TTCATTTTTTATTTTTCATTTTACACATTTTTAATGTAAATGTTAAAATAAAATTAATTTTTATATACTGAAACATCAAAATATAAATAAAATTAATGTGACAGTTTTTAGTATAATATAAAAAATCCAAAAAAATATATGATTTAATATTTTTTAAAGAAATTTTTTATAAATAGTCAAAATCTTTAAAAGAAATTTTCAAAACATAAGTATTATTTAGGGTGTTTTGTTTTGTATTTTGGTTTGAAGAAATGTTTTTGATATAATGTATAACAAATTATGTAAATAGTATAAAAATAATTGGCTCTGTTTACTTTAAAATTTTATTTCTGCTTTTACTATTCCAACTTTATTTTCCCTTCAAAAATATCAAATCAAACACTCAATTTTCATTTATTTTATTATACTAAAATCTAATTTTACATTCAAAAGATCACATCAATACATATTTATATCACATCAATTTCAAATTTTACTATTCAAAATCAAAACCTCTAAAGTAATATATTAGTTTTTTTGAAAAAATGACTTGAAAATTTTTTGGTAAAAGAATAAACTCATTATATAACACACAATTTTTAAAAAATATCACCAAAAAATATAATAGAATATACAAATTTAAATATATGACCATAAAAATATAAATATAAATAACGTACAAAATATTATTCTCTATCATATTTTCATAATTTTTCATAATTTACAACAAAAATATATAAAAATTATACAATTAAATAAACACACTAAAACATATAAATACATAAATAAAAAATTAAAATATACATAATTTATTTAAAAAATAATATGAAATAATTTTTTTATTTAAAAATTAATTTTATTTATTCTTTAAAATATTTATTAATAATAATAATAATATATTTATATATTAAGTATATAAATGTATATATATATAATTAGGGGCTCCTATGGGCCCTCTAGAAAAAATGGGCCTGGGCAAAGGCCCTATGGCCCTGCCCTGGACGGGGGTCTGTATCTAACTAATATTACAAATACCTTTATAACTTACAATATATTAAATAAATGCAATTGCTTTTATATTATACATACTAATAAAGTTATTTTAATTATTTCTACTTTATTTCTATTATATTATATAATAATAATATTTTTAAAATTACTTGCAAAAAGCAAATGAATATTTAATTTTGGGACGGAGGGAGTACTAAACAAATATTATTGGCGATGAGTTGCACGTGTAACAGTCAACGTGCCTTAGCTAATTCTATTTAAAGAAGCATAAAACAGTAGAAGCCTTTCATTGTCTGCAGATAATATCATTTCTATGTCAACTATGCAGCAAGTTTTGTTTTTATTGTTATTATTTAAAAAAAAAAATCAATTTTGCTGATTTGACCAATAGCTTTTCGATTGTCTCCCAGCCAGCAAATATATTTTCCACCAAAAGCAACTAAAATATTTAGTACAACAAAAACAACATAACACAATATATAATTTATCATATTCAAATTCAAGTTAAAATTAAATTAAGTAATTATAGGTGTGTTTGTTTGGGGGTTTGGATTTTGAGTTGGGATTTGAATAATAAAAATTTTGAATTTAAACAGTTGTATGATGTGGTATAAATAGGTGTGATGTGATATTTTGAATGTAAAATTGATTTTTAGTATAATATAAAAAATAAAAAATAGATGTTTGATTTAATGTTTTTGAAGAAAAAAATTTGGATGAATAGTGTAAATCCAATCCAATCCCCCAAACAAACACACCCTAACGGATGGCAGTGAGAAAATATACATACATATGAATTGTATGCCCACGAGTAACAACACCGTCATGTTTTCACATCTATTTATTCTATAGTAATTTTATTTTAAAATAGAAAAAACCCAACTATTTATATTTAATTTAAAATTTTATATTGATTGAAAATGTAGAATAATAATAAAATAGAAACGTGTAAAAATGAAAGAATGAATTAAGGGATGGAAGGATTGGTTGGTTATGGGCAAAGTAATTAAAAGATAGAGTAAACGGGATTGAGGTGAGATGACAAGTCAAATGTCAAATCCAAACACTTCATATCATAAGATAGTCAGATACAGTGCTAGTGCTGTCCATCATTTGCTCTGCATTTTTTTTTTAAATCATGTCTATTAAAATTAATTCCCTTGAATCTTAACGTAAATATTAAAAAAAAAAATAATGCTCTCATAACAAATATTAATTTTTTATTTTAATTTAACTAGTAACAAAGTGTTTATTTATTTTTAATAATTGTACTATCTATCTAACGTTATAAATACTCTTACAATTTAAAATATATTATATAAATATCATTGTCTTTATGCCACATTATATTAATAAGATTATTTTAGTCATTTCTACTTTATTCCTACTACATCCTAATACAATACTAATAATTCTAAAATTACGTGCAAAAAGCAAATAGATACCTAGTTTGAGAAAGAGGGAGTATTTTATTAAAAAATTGATAAGTATTTAAAGATATTTTTTGAAAATTTAGTGTTAATAATATTTTTTAAAAATATAAGAAAGTTAATAATATTTGTTATAAATAAGTGTTGAAATGAGAATAATAATTAAATATTGATTTTTTGACTTTGTCAAAATTAGTAGTGAGATGAATTCAACGGATTAAAGTAAATACATTTTACGGATGAATGAAGTAATATTTTATTTAATAGAAGAATGTAAGATGTTTTGACAATTTTATCTTTTAACTTTATTATAAATTAGTTGTACATGTAATGATATATTTACAATTCAAATAAATTTTAAAAATATTTTAATATTAGTGTATTGTTAAATTATATAAATGGTAGTCTTATCTAAAAGTTTAAACTATTAAGAATATATATAATTTATTTATTTATTTACAAACGAAAATCTAACAACATGTATAATTACTTTTACTAAAATAAAAAATAATAAATATTTTTGAGTGCGACAAATAAAAATAGTATTTTAAATTTAGATGAAAAAATATTTTATTTATTAATAGATTTCATTTTTAAAAAAATAAATTAGATTTGAGAATTTTTTTTATTTAAAATTAATCAAATTATTATTTTATAAAATATACTACTATATATTTCTCAAATATAGTTATTATTAAAAATATTATTCGTAATTTTACAATAAATAATCTTGAATCTTCTAACAAACAAATCCCTATTTATTAATAAATTCTACAACTCGGCCGGTTCACAGAGTTAGGGCAAACAGGTCAGTGCGGACCGGCCCGGGCCGAGTCGGCCGACACACTTTCCTATACACAAACATGCTTCCCTTTTAATATTTTATTATAATGACTATTTTATGGTTTACTAATTAATAGATAGTATAATTTAAAAAGCCACATATTTCTAGCAACTATTTTATTATATTAAATCAATAATTACATGGTATAATTAATTAATTATGACCAGTATCCCATATTACTATTTGTATTATTTATTGAAAAGTTGACTCAAGATGAATTCTACATAGAATTAGTGGTTTTTTTTGTTAAAAAAATATTATATTGTGCGAACAATTACTAACAAATACTTAATTTAAATAATAGTGTTTGAATACTTACTTCAAAATTTCTTTTCAAACTATACATTGTAATGAATAATGTGATTAATGTTGACAACAAATTAAAAATATTAAAATGTCCTCATCTTATTACCAACTTTCTCTTCCATAACATATTTTTCAATAGTATTTCATTAATGTAATTACATATAAATATATAGTTACATTTCTTGTTAGGCCCATTTTTTTTTTTTTTGGTTTAAACTTTAATTAGTGTGACATTGTCTCAATATTGTAATGACTTAAAATACTCAACTGACTTTGCACAGTAACAATAGTAATAATAATAATGAACATTAATATCACCGGGTAGGAAAAAATTTAATTGTACGAACAAAATTAATGTTGGACTATTACCCAATTATTGAATAATTTATATATTAATAAGAGAAGAAGATAAGAAAAATGGATTTTTTTTTTTTTTTTTAAATTACTGCACTCACAACTATATACTAAAAAAATATACATTTTTGTCCTAGGTACTAACATGATTGCAAAATATTTAAGCTTTGTTTACTTAAACTAATTTGGTCTAATATTCTTTATCATATAGTTCAATTTTATATAAAAAGATACAATTTTAATTAGCTTATAAAATATTATATCTAAATCAAAAGTTACATTAATTAACAAAGTGTTAAGACCAATATTGTGCTCAACATTTTCTCTTTTTCATTAATTAATTGTTTTTAAAATTCTAATAGTAAATAAACAAGGGACAATATCATATGACCATTTAGGAACATGATCTCTGAACATGAAAAAAATAATAATTTATTGAATAATGTTTGTTTCAAGTTGCAACAATGTCGCATAAAAACGACTATTCTAACCAAAATTTGGAAATAAATAAATAAAATACATTATTAATCATATATATATTTTTGGATCGGATTTACTAATCATATTATTTATGTATAAGGCTGTGACAGCACATAACATATTAGCTAATAGTAATACAATATTTACTATATGTTAATACTATGGCTAATAAATATAATCTGACAATATGTAATTTGTTGTTAACATTTATTGATTGAGACAAGCTGATTTGGCGCAGTGGACACAATTATCATCTCCTGTTGAGGATATATATTGTAGTATTAATTTTTTTTTATTATTATTATTACTATTATCTTGAATGGGCATCGAAAATTTAAACCCTAATACCCCCATAAAGATTTAGCTGAATAAGTGTAACTAGGTCTGCAATTAAGAACAAAACCCAAAAATTAAGACAACTAAGTAAAACAATAATATTATAATATATAATTATATCAATAGCCAATTAAATTAAACCAAATCTGATGAATATAATAAACAAACCCCCAATTTATTAAAAAACAATCTGAACCGCCCAAGCCAGCCACTGGCATCACATCCATCCGTCCATTCCAAACAAATATCTGAGCACACAACATGACCCTTCATTCATTCACAGAAACAAAAGGGCAAATTAAGAAGACAAGATTTCCCAATTCTCTGCAGAGACAAAGAAGAAGAAGCAGAAGAAGAAGAAATCAAAAATGGATTGAATGAAAAAAAAGCCCTCAGAAAATATTTAAATCCATGTTCCCCCTCTCTCTCTCTCTCTAGTTCTTCTTCTTCTTCTCTCTCTAAAACCGTAGCTAGTTAGGTCGCAGATCGATCGATCGAGAATTGAAAAGCTAAAAATCGAAAGTGCAGTGCGGTGTAATGAGCCCTGAGGAGTCGCTGAGATCTCTGTCGTTGGATTATCTGAATCTGCTGATCAACGGTCAGGCTTTCAGCGATGTAACCTTCAGTGTGGAGGGTCGACTGGTCCATGCCCACAGGTGTATTTTGGCGGCCCGGAGCCTGTTCTTCAGGAAATTCTTCTGCGGGCCCGACGCGGCGGCGGCGGGGTCGGGCTCGGGTCGGGGGCCCGCGGCGCAGGTGATACCGGTGAATTCGGTGGGCTATGAGGTGTTCTTGTTGATGCTGCAGTTTCTGTACAGTGGTCAGGTCTCAATTGTGCCGCAGAAGCACGAGCCTCGCCCGAATTGTGGAGAGAGAGGGTGCTGGCACACGCATTGCACCTCCGCCGTAGATCTCGCGCTCGACACGCTCTCAGCCGCTAGATCGTTTGGTGTGGAACAGCTCGCTTTGCTCACTCAGGTCTCGTCTGCTCTCCTCTCCCCCTCCCTCCATGTTTCCATGTCCCCTCATTATTTTTTACTTTTTTTTTTTTTTTTTTTTTTTATAATTAAAGAAGCCTAATTTATTATTTTTTATTTTTAAAAAAATAGGGAATTTTCTTCGACTGTTTGTGTTTGGGTGAAAGTGATTTGAAAATCTGGGCTTTGGAACTTGGATCCATTACTTCTTGCTGGCTTCTTTTACAAGTGGGGGGGGTGGGGGGTTTGGGATTGTTTGTTCATCGTAGGATTGAAAGTTTTGGTTTTGGTAATGGATTAGTGGAGTTGTGTCTTTTTTAGTACTTGTTGTAATAAATTGAAAACTTTTTTTTTTTTTTTTTGGGTTCGATGGCTTTTGGTTAATTGATCAATGATCCTTTTTTTTTTTTTTGCTAATGGAACTTGTTGTCATGGTTGCGTTTAATTTCTTGTGATAAGTTCAGTTTCTTGATTTCATGTATAACATTTTGTGGTTTTCCAATTCCCAATCTTTTTTCTATGCACTGAGATGTTTCCACATTCGGTGGTGATTTGCATTTGTTGTCTTGTCTTGTCTTCGACAGTGATCTCATTCATTAAACCTTCCCCAAATTAAACAACTCCATCCTTTTCCAGTTTCTTGTCTGAAAATCATCGTATCTTCAAAGCTGCTGCTGCTGAAGATGATGGAGTGAAATTTGTGCGAGAATTATGTCCTGTCCTGTCCTGTCAATTCATGTCGTCCTTGTTCAGTTAACCTAATTATCATCTGTGTCTGAATTCTGCAGAAACAGTTGGCGTCCATGGTGGAGAAAGCTTCGATTGAGGATGTAATGAAAGTCCTGATTGCTTCCAGCAAGCAAGACATGCACCAGCTATGGACCACCTGCTCCCACCACGTCGCTAAATCGGGCCTCCCGCCGGAGGTTTTAGCCAAGCATCTTCCAATCGACGTCGTCGCCAAAATCGAGGAGCTCCGCCTCAAATCCTCCCTGTCGCGCCGCACCTCCCTAATTCCCCCGCACCACCACCACCACCACCACCACGACATCTCCGCCGCCGCCGATCTCGAGGACCAGAAAATCCGGCGGATGCGCCGCGCCCTCGATTCCTCCGACGTCGAGCTCGTCAAGCTCATGGTAATGGGGGAAGGCCTCAACCTCGACCAGGCCCTGGCGCTGCATTACGCCGTCGAGAGCTGCAGCCGGGAAGTCGTCAAGGCGCTGCTCGAGCTCGGCGCGGCGGACGTCAACTTCCCGGCCGGACCCGCCGGGAAGACGCCGCTGCACATCGCCGCCGAGATGGTCTCCCCGGACATGGTCGCCGTCCTCCTCGACCACCACGCCGACCCCAACGTCCGTACAGTCGACGGCGTCACGCCGCTCGACATTCTCCGAACCCTAACCTCCGATTTCCTCTTCAAAGGCGCCGTCCCCGGTCTGATCCACATCGAGCCGAATAAGCTCCGCCTGTGCCTCGAGCTCGTTCAGTCGGCGGCGATGGTGATTTCCCGGGAGGAGGGGAACGCCACTGCGGCGGCGACCTCCACCGCCATTTTCCCTCCAATTGATCATCAGGATCATCCCGGCGGCGGCGAGATTGGTGGAAGCCTTAACCTAGATTCGAGAATGGTTTATCTAAACCTAGGAGCACAAATTGGGGCTAAATTGGGGGACGGCGGAGAAGAGAGCAGCAGCAGCCATGGCAGCCAAAGAGAAGCTCTCAATCGACACCACTCTCATTATGATCATCAGTATTAACTCAACCACTCCAATCTCTCTCTCTCTCTCTCTCTCTCTCTCTCTCTATATATATATATATAAGTTAATTAAATTTATTTCCATGAACTTATGACCGTCGATGTTCAAAACCTCATGGAGATCAGATAATATTAGTTACCTGATTAGCTAATTAATTAATTTACCTTTACTATGACAGTAGAAATTTTAACTAATTGTCTTTGGCTTTTTATATATATAAATATATGGAGATGTGAATGACGACTTTAGCTATAACTGATAAGAACTGCAGCGAGAAGTACCTGAGAGAAGGGACTGAACAAGAGCAGTGTCCGAGTTTGTTGCTGCAGCTAGCTGTGATGGGAAGACACCATATGTAGGTTATTCTTCTTAAACCCTCCATTAATTATTACCATTATTTTAAAATTTTAATACAAATCTTTTTTTTTAACAACCCTTCAACCCCAATTTTTTTTTTACATATATTCTTCCTGTCGATGTTACTATATAGTTTCAACAGATTGGAAATTTTGGATTCTTGTGGTGGTGGGGTAGAAATACATACATATATATATATATGTGTGTGTGTTTGTGTCTACATGGGATTACTTATTGTTCTTCTTCTTCGATGCTATATAAGAATACTGTGTAACCTAACAAACATTTATGCATATATATATATATATATGTAATTAGATTATTTGATTCTTGATCGTCCCATCTAGTTTTAATTTATTTCCATCTTTGTCTGAATTGAAATTGATTAGTCATTTTAATTACTTTGTGGTTCCAATATTTCAATATAATTTCATCTGAAGCATGTCCTCAGAAACCCTAACTGCTGAGGTAAGTGTTTGTGAGTCTTGATTGACTAATTTTTGGCCCTCTATTATTAGAAAAGGGAGTGTGAATTTATTCCTATATGTTAGAATTTATTTTCATTAATTATCAAATAAATTTCATTCAGGACATAATGCATGTGCATGTATAGTAGTCATTTGTCCTCAACTCATACATATATATACTCAATTAATTTAATTAACAGCTGTTTTAGACAAAAATTCAGACATATAAACCCCTTTTGTAATAAGAATTATGCTTTCTAACACTTCAGATGTATTCATGACTATGGTCCTTTACAGACATCTCATTTGGAGTGTATATATTATCTTTACTTACATCTCTCAAAGAGATGTACATAGTACTAAGGTTTTCCGTTATATTTATATTTTTTATTTTTTATTCTCTTTTAAAAAATATCACATAAATGTACTTTTATCACCTCAAAAATTAAAGATATATATATATATATATAGATACAAAAAGAACACACCCTAAATATATAAAAAAACATATTTATTTTAACAGTACAATTACAATGCTGAAATTAACAATTCAGCATTGTTGAAGTTATTTTACACCATTGATTCAAAAGAAATAAATAACTTGACATAATTGCTCTTATTTAATCAAAGGTTAGGTTTAATTTAACATATGTTGAATTAAATTTATATGTAAGCATATATATGATCCAAAAGCTTATTTTAATGTATTAACTTAATACTTAGTTAATTTGTGTCCAGATGTTCTAGAATATTTTATCAAACTAATAATATTACAGTTGCTCAGGGTTTTTTTTATGTTATTTATTTGAATTTCAGTTTAAATAATATTTTAATTTGATATTTTATTAGAGTAAATAATATCTTTCTAATTTATTAGAACACAAAACAAACCAACCCTGAATTTTTAGGGTTTATATATATATATATATATATGAGTGTTTGTGCAAACCACTTATTATTTCTTAGAACACAATTAGGTCACACCACAATATTGAGTTGTATTTGTCCTCTGTATATATATACATATGTATGTATTCGACTATCAATTTTATTATTATAAATTTAAAAACTTATATTTTAGTTATGCAAAAATGATTGAAACTTTTAGGTCACACGACAGTTAATTTCATTAATTTCGAAATAATAAAATTTTTAATTGAATTAAAGTTTTAATGTAATCTAATATTTTAAATAAGAAAAATAACTTGGCATAATCTCTTACATAATAAATAAATTGACAATTTATCTGATAATTTTGAAGGAAAAATAAGTTAAATAATAGTACTAGGCATGAATGCGGTGCACTAAAAAAACATTCGGATTTTCGATTCGGATTTTGCCAAATCCGAATCGATCCGAAAATTCAAAATTTTTGAAAAAATCAATCCGAACCGAACCGAAATAACCGAAATTCGAAATCCAAAAATTCGTAATCCAAACTAAAAAAATCCGAACCAAACCGAAAATTCCGAAATTCTAAATATTTTTATTATTTTTAAATTTGTTTTATATTTTATTATTATTTTATAATATTAAATATATATATAATATATAAAAATTAAATATATTAAAATATAATTAATACATTTGAGTTTTTTATATTAAAATATAATATTTTTTAATAAAATATTAAATATGTATAATAAAAAAATATATTAAAATATTATATTTCGGATTTCGAATTGGTTCGGATTTTAAGTATACCGATCCGATCCGAAAATTCGAAATATTTTAAAAATTCAATTCGATCCAATCCGAAATTTCAATTTAATTTGAATTGAATTTTTAAATTTCGAATATTTTGCTCACCTAAAAAAAAAAAAAAAAAAAAAAAAAAAAGAAGAAAAAAAAACACCCATTTCCCATAAATATGAAAGTTTAGTGGCAAGCATCTTCTGAATTGATGGGACACTCACAAATTCCCTTCTTCTTTCTTAATATATTAACTCTTGCAATTTTCCTATAAATAATCGTGTTATTTTATAGTAATGAATATATGTCCATAGAAATTATATATATTATTCATCCAATTTTTTTCCCCAAAAATATGAAATCACACACCTATTTTTTATTTTTTATATTATACTAAAAATCAATTTTACATTCAAAATATTACATCAATACCTAATTATATCACAATTATTCAAATTCAAAATTTTTACTATTTAAATCTCAATTCAAAATCCAAAGTACCAAACAAACACACCCTTAGTGTTTTGACAATCGTATGCCTAAAAAGTGCATTTGTGAAAAGGCTAACCACCTACTCTATTTACAAATCCTAGTACTACTAAATTTGAATTGCAGTAATCACTGTAATTAATACTTTTTTATTGTTTAAATTTATACTAATTAAAATTTATTTTAAGATAATGGGGCCGAGTAATGCTGACCTAATTAAATTGTTCAAGGCCCAATACAAAAGCCCAATTCAATTTGTTCAATGCCTAGGCCGGCCTTCGTCTTCGACAGTGCCGTGCCCGGCAGCTTCAAGTTCGACTTCGAGTTCAGCATTATATTTCTTAGGATTGTGAATTGCTGCGAGTTTGATGAGCTTCATGCGCGCTTTTGCTGCAAAGAAATTTAGGTGCTATTAAGCATTGCTATGGAAGAGTTGGAGTGGTGGATTGTGAGCTAGCTAGGGTTTTTGTGGATTTGGATTTGGGGATTGCCCGTGCAAATGTTCCATTCTTCGATGGGTTCCTGGTTGCAAGAACTTTGGCTGCTGCGTCGATTGTTGCTAATGCCGAACGGAATTCCATCGCTTCACGATGAAAATTCTGCTTAACCGAGGTATTTTCATGGATTCTTATCATTTCGGCACTTACTGAACTTGTCGTGTTCATGCTTCGGATACTTAACTTGTTAGAAATTATTGCATAAGTTATGCTTTCTTTGATAAATATGATTGATAAAGAATTAGTATACATTTGGCTCTTGTTTCTGTGTTCTCTCTCTAAGTTTCCATAGGCATTATATTGTTTATGTTACTGTTGAAATTTGAAGCACATTTGTTGTGTTTCTTGACAGCATTAGTTACATGTTTATTAGTGTTGGCATCGGAAGCACATTCGCCGTTCATTAATGTTCAGGCACTCTTTCTTTCATATAATTAGTTATATTTTGATGAATACTGTTATTAAGATTCCTAGTTGATGGCGATGAAGTGATGATTGGCGTTGGGAAATAGAAGGGTTGTGAAGAGATTAATGAAGAGAAAGAAAAATGAAGTGATTTATATTTGAAATTTATAAAACAATCGATACAATATAGTGTTAATTTGCTTCGCCCAATGTTTAATTGGGCAACAAATATCGTTCTTGAAAGGTTTCCTAAAACTCAAATAGACATGTGCAATTTAATTTAGAAGGATGAGCTTTTAAGCTGCAGATGAGAAGGATAAATGTATGACAGATATAGAACTTTATTCAAGTTATCAATACTCCATATAGTCGTAGGTTGTCCGAATCTGCTGAAGTCTGAGGCCCATATTTATAGAAAGTAAGGATTTCTTTGATATGTTTCCGTTCGGTCTATGTGCATTGTTTGGAAATCAAGCACATGTATTTGAGGTTTAGGAAACTTTTTAAGAATAATGTTGTTGCTCAATTAGGTATTGAGGGATATGGAGAATAATAATGTTTGGTGATTACACTTACCAAACATTAAATCTAAACGTGCATTGTTGAATCGTGTAATTAGGGTTCATCTTTAATTGAATCCTTTATAACAGAAGAGATTAGAAGGGGGAGATATGTGTAGTAGAGACCATTTTAAGTATGGCTTCCAAATGGAACCACTTTAGTTTCTTTCCCTTCCTCCTTCTCTTCACAACTCTTTTGTTTCTCGTCGGTAATAATCTTTTTTTCCCCATCAACGACTATAGGTTTCTGGAAGAGCATGGGTTTCATAATGTCACATCTTACCTCGAAACCTTAAAGAATCCTCAATGGTTCGAGGTTGTATCGGAAGAGATAGAACAGGATAAGATCAAGATTGGTCTGATGCTCATGGACCGTGTTGGGGAAGAACTCAACATGCCGGTGAAGAGAAATCCCGACTGGTTTAAGGTTGTCAGACGTGAGATTGCCAATGTAGAAACAATTAACATAGGATTGGTGAACATCGACGGAGTGAGAATACACGAGGCTGATCTTGACTTGAAAGTGAATGTAGTTAAGGTTCATTTCACCCCAATCAGATACAACGAAATCCCTTGGTCCGAGTTGTCCCCCGAAAGGATGGATGAATCCTCGAATTGCCCTGACATCCCGATGCCAAGGTTCGTAGATTATGAAAACCTCGATGCTGTGGTCGCAAGGGTTCCGCGTCGGGAATGTAAACATGGCGTTATGCGGGATGTCTCCCGGCTGCAAGTGAACCTAGTGGTGGCTAATTTACTCGCTAGAAGTCGGGGGAAGGATGATCGAGATAGGCCAGTATTCGCTGTGTTTTTCGATTCCTGCGATCCCATGATGGAGATTTTCCGATGTCAAGACATGCTGTGGCATTTCGGAAACTCGTGGGTTTATAAACCCGAGTTAGCCCGAATCAAGGAGCTGTTGCTCATGCCTGTCGGGCCATGCCAGTTTGTCCCTCCGTTTTCCCGTCCCGGTAAGACGATTGATACCGCTTTCAAGTTAAAAGAATCGACAAGACAAAGACAGGCATATGTGACGATCCTCCACACCTCCGAAGACTACGTCTGCGGCGCCATCGTCTTGGCCCAAAGTATCATCCAATCCAACTCGACAAAAGACCTAATCCTCCTAGTCGACAGCAACATTTCTCTGCGATCAATCGATGGCCTCCGAGCAGCCGGATGGAAGATCCGGCGCATCGAGCGAATCCGCAGCCCGTACTCGAGGAAGGACGCGTACAACGAGTGGAACTACAGTAAGCTCCGGATATGGCAGTTGAAGCAATACGATAAAATCGTATTCATCGACGCTGACTTGATAGCGAACCGGAATCTGGATAGTATGTTTCTCTACCCGGAGCTGACGGCCGCCGGTAATTACCAGCGGCACCTCTTCAATTCCGGGCTGATGGTGGTCGAGCCGTCGGAATGCACATTCCGAACCTTGCTTCGGAAGATGAAAGTGGTGGAGTCGTACAATGGCGGCGACCAGGGGTTCTTGAACGAGATGTTCGCATGGTGGCACCGCCTGCCGGCACGGATGAATTACCTGAAGGTGTTTGTCGATCCGGAGGATGATCAGCACTGGATCGACGGGGATGATGTTTTTGCGGTGCACTACACTGGGCTGAAGCCATGGAAGTGTGGGGACGAGGGGCGCGACTGCAATTGGGAGTCGCCGGTATTCGAGCGATACGCGAGCGATTCCGGGCATAGAATGTGGTGGAAGGTTTACAGAAGGATGCCTGAGGAACTGAGGGAGTTTTGTGAGTTGCAGAATGGTGATTCTTCTTCTTCTACTACTTCTGCAAGTATGTAATGTTAAGAAATATATGTTGGATACGTGTATAATATAAGTTTATCTGGTCAAATCACGAAGAGGATCTGAATTTTAGTTAGTTGCAATGGACGTAAGATGATCTTGTCTGATTTGGTCTTCCTTTGTAGTTTGCATATCATATGCTATGCTTTCTGTATTAAAGGAAACGTTAGAAAGACTATTCTTTATTTCCTTTTCATTTTCCAGTAAGTATTATTGGGCCTTAAAGCCCGTACATTGTTGGTGGGCTTCGTGTATAGGCTATGAAAGGCTTCTAGAAGTCTGGAATTAGGTATTTGATCTGGTCACGTGAATAATTTCCAAGGAAAGCCGTAACAAGAAACTCCCATCCCCCATGTAAGCAGTAAAAGTAAAACAAACCCTAATTCACAAATCTTCTGGACAGATTTGATATTCATTCAATTCCCTTTCGTACACTCCAAGCCAATAATCTTCTTCTTATATATACTCCATTATATATCAGATTTATTGTTTCAATTTTTATTAAAGCATACTTAACTTATTATTGGTCAAATACCAGTGTTGATTCTTCTTCCTGTTCATGGCTGGCATGCAGTACAAATTTTTCCCCACAGATTTCTTCTTCCCTAAGCCCTCGAAAATTGTCAACAAAGAAGCCAGCAATCTTGGTTATAAAGAAGCCATTGCCTGCGAGGGTGAAGAAAAGGCACAAATGACTGTTGGATTATCTGATCAGAATAATGGAAAATCTGCAGGTGACAAACTCACATTCCACGGCGACAAGAAGCTCAAGATTAGTCCACCACTTAAGTTGCAGATTGATCAGAAACCTATTCCCCATGGACGTCGACACTGATGATCTTGTGGTTTAGGGCAAAGATTTTAGGTTTTATATATAGTTTTCTTGTAATTTCATTGCTTTTTGGGTTCGATCTGTTTGTGCCTCTCTTGTTTTGGATGTGGATTTTTATTGAATGATTTTAATTGATTTAATTTTGTCGTTAAAGGGTATGGAAAAATTGTTGTGCTCTATAAACAATTATATAATGCTCGAGTGTGCCCCGATTAACCCTAGATAGGTCATGGAAAAAATCACATTAGGTAATTTGTGTATGATAAATACAATAAAAATATGTCGGTAATATTTGATCCGTTCACAGATCATTATATCACACTAATTCGGTCATCTTTCACGGGGCTTGCAATTACTTTTGTTTAGATGTTATGTTTGGCGCATGAAATGTTTTGTATAGATATTGAGTGTTAGTAATACTATATCAGTCCGGCTCTAATTATCTCATCTATTTTTGTTTGATATTTGAATATTAATTATTATATCAAAATATAGTATAAATTCTATTAAAAAAAATTACAAAAATACTTTAATTAGTGTTTTATAATACTAATTTAATGATATTTGTATAAAAAGATTATATAAATATAAAAATATTTTTAATGTTAAGTACAATTACGGGTAAGAGTAAAAGATTAGAAAAAAAAAAAAAAAAGAAAAAAACTCCAAGAACGTGTGTTTTAAATTAAAATTAGAAAGACTGTTGTAATTTTGAACGAATATAATTTTGATTTTTATAGTACAATATTATTTACAGGTGAGGTACAAATATAATACGCATAATTATGGTATATTGGTATGAACTTAAAATAAAGAGCAAATTAATAAAATAGTTACCTAATTTGGAAGATATATTAATTTACAACATTAAGAAATATTATATCTAACACAATTACACAAACCAAACAATATATATATATGTGCTAAAATAGAAAAATTTACAATAAAAATAAACTGGGTTGGACTTTTGGATTTGAGTTTTAAATATTAAAATTTTGAATAAAAATATTATTTGATATGATATAAATAAATATTATACGATGCTATATAAAATTAATTTTAAATATAATAAAAAAATATTTAATTTAATATTTTAAAAAATAATAAAAATATTTCATAATTTCCCAAACAAACACACCCTAATATATTATTTAAAACAATAATTAAAGAAAGTCCACACACACTCTCTCTCACACATGAATATATACGTCAGTACGCATGTATCATAGCTTTATATATTTTAATTTGTTTACATATTATTTATTTAACGCTACAGTTTAATATTCTATGAAGGAATAAATTCCAAATAAAATAACTTCTAGTTATTTAATTTTTTTAAATAATAAAAAATAACAAAAGAAAAATCACTTCATAAAGAAAATCATTAAAAAAAATAAATAAATAAAACTTTGACTTTGGTAGTTTGATCGTTCCAACCGAAGCCAACAAGTTTTACGCTATAAATAGAGAGACCAGAGAAAGAAAGGCTAAGTACGGTTAACATTCAACAAGAAAAAAAACCTCTAGAAAATATTTCCCCCAATTTTCATTTCAATTTTTTGAAATCGTGATTTGAAGCCGATCGATTATGGCCGGACTTCAGTACAAATTCTTCCCCACGGATTACTTGTTCCCTCTCCAGCAATCGGCGCCGGCGAACACCACCGGCGGAGGAGGCGATAATCCGGTCCGGCAAGTTTCGCTTGTCAAGACGGCGAACGGCGAGAAATCGGCCGAGCATCCGCCGATTTCCGTAACCGCCAAGGGTAAAATTGTGAAAGCGATTCATTCTCCGTCTTCTTCGTCTGTGGCTTATGCTCCCGTCGATCGTAAGCGGAATTGAAGTCCTGTTTATTGTATTTTATATTTATTGCGCATAATTATTCGGCGAAGAATATCATATATATATGGAATTAACTATTGGTAGAGGCTAGGATTCGTGAAGCATCTCGGAAATGGAGAAGATTATCGTGGCTGATGCTTTCTCTATATATAAATTTTGTGTTTGATTGTTATCTATATGTTAGCGTAACAATTTTTTTGCTGCTGAATTTGATTTTCATTCTGTGTTGATTTTGTTTTTCTATGAAAAGCTGCTCTAAAAGGATCTCTAAGTGGTGAAGTTTCATATTATTAGTTTCTTTCTTTTTTTTTTTTGTTTCAGTAGAACATCAAATGTTGATATGATATTTTTCCTATCTACAGCATCTAGATCAGTATATATTTTGGTATTTAATTGCAGGAGAGATTAATTAATGGGATTCTCAATTTGCACATGTTTCTTAACTGAAAGGATCAAAAAACCAGACTTAGGAATATTCTTCAATGCGGTTGCACATGTGACGTGAATTTGAGATATTTTGTTAGGTAAAGAACTTTGGGGCTACCAAAACCATTTTATTTTTTATTTTTTTATTTTTTTTGTATTAAATGCATTTTATTAACTACAAAATTTATTAGATCACATGTTAAACCACATATTATTAATTAGTTGCTGAATTTTATTAGTCACACCTACATATTATGCATCTTTAATCATTTCCTACTTTGTGAAATAGAATCTTTATATTAAGTTTTTGGTGGGTTTCTTCAGTGAACTGATGGGAAGAATTTTTTTCTACAGTTATATCAGTGAAGCATATATATTTATAAAATACTGAAAGAAATCTTAACCCCTCACGTTTATCATATCTTTATATATATAGGTATATATGCTTTTATTGATTTGATGTTGATAAATTTAATAAAAAAGAAACTTGGCCCTCAAGAAAACAATATATAATTAATTTAATATATGGATTAAATTAATTTTGAGAGCATATTTTTTATAATATATATGTTGCAGGGTTGACTGAACATGTGGTGTGTGTGCAAACATTAGAAAGATACTGATAACAATAATTGAATTATATATGTCCAATGGAAATCAAATAATAACATTCTTGGTCAGCAATGATGGGCCAAATGACTTTAACATGAGAACAGTGATTATGCTCTAATATCATTATTATTATACTATTTCTATGTTTTTATAAAAATATATTATTATAGAAAATGTTATATTTAATTATTGTTTAAATAAAAAAATTAAATTACAACATAATCAGACACACAAACAAAAAATTGTGCTTTCTTTTAGAATTTTTTTTTAAAAAAAAAAATTATACAAATATCCTATAAATAAAATCAAATTTATAAAATAGTGATTTTTTAGAGATAATCATAGTGGTTTTCTTTTGTAATATATATTAAAATTTTATAGATACAAATAATTATTGATCATTGAATTTTTTATGAAGATTCATTTTAATATTTAATATTATATTTCTATATAAAAATAAATTTATTGGTAAAAATATGTTTTTATTTTTTATCATTTCAAATTTAAATGGATATTATTCTACCATTTTTAATAAAATTTAATATATCTCTCACAAAATATTAAATTTAAATTAATATTTTATTTTAAATCACAGTCCAAATAATCCGAATAATGAAATAAACACTCTGAAACTTTGGGCCTATAGAAATGTTATAGGGTTAGGCCCGAGTATTTTGGGCTTGTTGAATCAACAGTGCCACGGCATCAATTTAATCATAAAAAGTTGAATCTATTTTATATTTTAAAATTGTTGCTTATTTTTCAAATTTTACATTTACCCAATCCTTCTCTAATTACCGGTTGATAGATAGCAGTATCATAAATATTTATATCAATTTTTTTTTTCTTTTCTATTGTTATAAAAAATATTTTCTTAATCTTTTTTTCTTGTTTTAGTAAAAAGCATTTATTATAATATATATTTTTATCTATTTTTTTTTTAAAAAATGTAATCAATCAAATGAACATAATTTTTTTTAAAATATACTAAAATATAATAATAATAATAATTAAATTGGTATGTACTAGCCCGTGCGCATGGAACCTACCCCAAGTCCCACACCATATGTCTATACGCACGTATTTTATAAATTTTTGCATGTATACATACATACATACATTCATGGTCTATCTAGAGGCAATGGTGGAATCCGCTTCAAACTCAGGGGGCAAAATGTCTGTTCATTTCTATCAATTCGACGTTTCCGCAGAGACGAAGAAGAAGGAAAAAAATAAATGACCGTAATTTTTCATACTTGACATAATAGTCGGGAAAGGCGGTGCAATTCTTATGCACATGGGGAAAGTCTAATTAACTACTATTTGAATTAATAGTCATATTGTAAGCTTAAAGGGTTTCAAGGACCCCAATAAATTTTCTAAACATTACACGATAAATGAATATTTGCAATGAAAATGAAGCTCTAAAAGATATTAATTTTGAGCAGAATTTATCATATTATGGCCAGCATAATATGGAAATGATAATACGGGAAGAGTCAAAATACATTTTGAATTCAATGTTGTCAAAACATTTGAAAAAAAAAAAAAGAAAAAGGAAAACAAAGATATATATACTATATATATATAATATGTATATCCATGTCTTCGAAGTTTGTTAATTTTCTTATATACACAAATAAAAAATGACTTCAAACTTATTCCAATATTAATTGATCGGCATGAATTTTTAATAAAAATATATTTTCTCCGTACTAATTACCATGTCCCCTTTTTTATTTTTGTCTATCTCATTGATTCTGTCATTTTTTTTACAAGAATTATATACTTTAATCTTATTTTAAATTTTTTAAATTTTAATTAGATTAATTAATTATCTTAATTTATAATTATTTTTATTATACGATAATTATTTTCACCAATATATTCTTAATTATTTACTAATTATATCCCTCTTAAATTCTCGTGTCTACGGTAAATGGATCACGGTAGCCGGGAGAGAGGGAGTATTATTTTTCTTATATAATACTATATCAAAATACTATTTAAATCAAAATATAAATTTTTACAAAGCGACAAACCCTAAAAACATTGCCAAATAAACACATCCTACATGTTTGAGTGTATATATATTATAACCTGAATACTGTTACAGTTACAACAAAATCAAGCAATTATTTCTTCCCTTTAAACATTTGCTTCGATTTTTTATTTTTTTTTCTTTTAAAAAAAATTAGAGTATATAATAATAAGTTTTTATTAATTAGTGGAAATAAATAAAACAATTTTAATATTATGTCCTTATAATTACAAAGAAAAAAATATTTTTATTAAAGTCATGATTATTATAGTGTTGTTATATTAACTACTTTTATTATAAAATAAACGCATTGAATGGATAAAATAAATATTGTTGAGGCGGGAGAAGGGGGTAAGGTAAGTAGGCAGGAATACAGTTGGATTGGATAAGGAAAGTATTTTTCTGTTGGTGCATTATATAAACCTCACTCCATCATCGATCACTTCATCAGAAAATCCTAAATTTTCCAATTTCCCAATCCTTTAGAAAACCCTAAGTTTTTCAATTCCCAATCCATCAATGGCGAAGAAATTCCAAACCCTAAAGATGGAGGCCGGCGCTTATTGCATTCCCAAGAGAGTTCAGGCGCGGCGTCCTTCCGGCGAGGACGCACACTTCTTCTGCTCGGCGGCGCAGGTCATCGGCGTGGCGGACGGCGTCGGCGGATGGAGCCGCAAAGGGATCGACGCGGGGAAGTACGCGGAGGAGCTGATGACGTACGCCGCCGACGCCGTCGAGGGGAAGTCGCCGGGGGAGGTGAATCCCCGGCGGGTGCTGGAGGAGGCGTATCTGAACGCGGCGGCGGAGGGGAGCTCAACGGCGTGCATAATCGCCGTCGCCGGGCGGTGGCTCCGGGCGGCGAATCTCGGCGACAGCGGCTTCGTGGTGGTTCGCAACGGCGGAGTGTTGTACAGGTCGCCGGCGCAACAGCACTATTTCAACTGTCCGTACCAGATGGGCTGCGCGTCGGGGCAGTCGCCGGACGACGCGGAGGAGCTGGTGGTGGCGCTGAGGGCCGGCGACGTGATCGTCGCCGGAACGGATGGGTTGTTCGACAACATGTTTGCGTGGGAGATCGCGGAGCTTGTGAGTGCGTGCTTGCGGGACGAGGCCGCCGCGGAGGTGACAGCGAACGCCGTCGCCACGGCGGCGCGTAGGAGATCGGAGGGGCGTGAACTTACGCCGTTTGAATTGGCGGCAAGTATTGATGCGGGTTTAGAGTCGTATATTGGCGGCAAAATTGACGACATTACCGTGGTAGTTGCTTACATTATCGAATAGTACAAATGTATGCTATGTAGATAGATACATACATGCATACACGTATATATATATTTATATAAGAGATTTTTGTAAAAATTATGGGTGTGTTTGTTTAGATCTAGCATCCACATTGTAGAAATTTTCCAAGAGTTTCTCTCTGCTTCGGCATCATCATTTCACTTTTTCACCTCAACAAAGTAATTATTCTGAAACTATGGTCTTATTTGGTTGGGCATAGGATTTAAGAAATATTTATATTATATTAGTATTGATAAAAAATGTAAGTAAATTTATTTTTATCTTTACGAGTATATTAATGTAAAAAGTAATGATATGTGTGTAATAATAATTTTACAGTGATATAAGTATTTATGAAAATACGACTATTGTTTTGAGACAGATAAAAATGGTAAACAACACTATTCTATTGCACGAAGAGAGTATATGTATTTATATTTATATAAACATAATTTATTTAGAAATTAAATTTAAATAAAAGTATATCAATATATATTATTTGGTAGAAAATGAAATTTTATATAATACAAAAATATAAAAATAAATAAAATTATTATAAATAAATATAAAACAAAAAAATTGAAAGTTTTTTTTAGGTTGCTCTCAGCAACCCCAAAACTCATACTATTATTTTTTTTAAATCCTCAGAAATGCCACCTTAGAGGAGATGGAGTTTCTCTCGATTGAGCGAAATCACGATGACTTTTTAATTTGAAAGATTTCTTTTAATTAAAAATCGGTCGTTATTGAATATTAACTTTTGTTAAAATAATAAAATATATATATTAGAAATCGCGTCGAAAAAAATATCTTGGGCAATTTGAGGATTTAAATTTTTTTGTTATTCATCAATTATTTTTTTTAAAATACTAAATTAAATATTTATTTTTAATATTTATTATATTACAAAATAATTATATATTTAAAATATTAATATCAATATATATTTTTATTAAATTATAGAGGTTAATAATTTATTATTTTTTTCAATTAAAATTTAGTTTATTTATTAAAATTATAATTTCTCAGTCATATCATTCTTCTAAAGATTGCTTCTTTTTTTTTTTTCCAAATTGTATATGTAAGCTGAGTATGTTCTCATAGATCTAAAACTGTGACCTGGGCTCGAAGCCCTTCACAAACAACATAATAGTTAACGATGGCATTTTTTCAAAATTGTGCATGTAAGCTGAGTATTTTCTCATAGATCTAAAATTGTGACATGGGCTCGAAGCCTTCACAAAGAACATAATGGGCCTAGGCAATTCTATGAGCTCAAAATATCCTGTACATAAGAGATTAAAATAATAGGTAATTTATAAAATAGCAAAGTTATACTCCATTATCTTACTTGCATTTTAATACTATAAAATACAGAAAATAATGATAAAATTAATAGCACAAGTCATTCTTTACGTTGTTAATATTATTTTAAGAGTTTTATTCTTTTAATGGAGTACTATTTATCTATACGTACAATGTATGAAGATGGACATTTAGGTTGTCTACCGGCTGGCGCGCCACGTGTCTGACGGCGATCAAATCGGCTCCACACCCTTAATCAATTGCTCCTCTTCCCCCCGTCCGATCATCTTTCCTTAGACGACAATCAGGGTATTGTAAAACGTGGTCGGCCCCATTCTCGACCCGCTAATCATAATTCCACCACCTCCACGTGTCCGTGCCTTTTGGACTTCGGTCACCGTCTATTCCCGGTCATCCCCACGTACCTATTACCTAACCCATGATACCATTGATGTACCATGCTCTTTGCGCGCTGTACAACACAGGACTGTAGTGACCTGCTACACGTTTGGCAACTGTGTCTTGGAAAGCCAATAATTGGACAGGTTCGGTAGGAGCCGTGCCTAAGGTTCGGATCCGAATCTCTAGGTTCGGACAGTTTACGACTATAAATACGTTGTCTTCTATGGAGATCTGTCCTTGCTTTTTGACTGAACTCTGGCGAGAAGGAACGAAGAGAGGTATCTTCTGTGTGAGTCTCTGCTTATCTACTCTGTTAGGATTTACAGCTGTCTCTTGGATCCGTTTGATTCTGAAATGTGTTGTTCACTAGATGTGGTTGATTGACTGTTTAGAAATGATATAAGTTTCTGGTAACGTTCGGTGAATTCGTCGCAGAGTAAATTTCAGTTGGTGATTTCATCCTCTTGTTTCACCGATTTGAATGATTAAATAAGCTTCGAATGTAGATTGTTCCATAAGATGATGGTGAATGTCATTTCTAATTCGAGACCATTGTTTGTGAAGAGGTGCTTATTTTATTTATTCCGTGTTATTTTGTTTCTGTTTGCTTTGTTTTGAAGTCTTCTTGCGGTTCCCTGCTACTGCTCTATTCGAAATGTTAATTGAAAATATGATCACGCGTTTTGGTTTCTTGGACTGATAATATTGTTGGTAAATTTATTTTGAAATCTCAGGTGATTTTGATTGGAGAAGCAAAGCAATCCTGGCATGGCTCTAGTGTCTGGCAGAAGGTCATCCCTGAACCCTAATGCACCACTATTCATTCCGGCAGCTGTGAAACAAGTGGAGGATTTCTCGCCGCAATGGTGGGATCTTGTCACTACTGCAGCATGGTTTCGTGACTACTGGCTCAGCCAACATCAGGGAGAAGATATTTTCCAGGAAGAGCAGCACGATCTTCTTGAAGATAGTGCTGTTGGGTTGTTACCTGATAACATTGATCTTGATATCGACGCTGATATCTTGGATATGGAGGCACAGTACGAAGAATTTCTTCAATTATCTGATACTTCCTGTGGGATTAAGAAGTCCTCTGGAGTGATAAATGATGGTAAGAAACACTCAATGCTAATCTCCTTGATCTTATGTAGATGCATCGTTTTCTAAATTTTTTAACTTCTGGTGCCTTGAGAACTAAGCGATATGTTAATGTTACCAAATAACCATTGAGGTAATCAATCCTAAGTATAGCTATTAGAAATAGAAATAATTCCTTTTCCCTGTTAATCATTGAATTGGTTTAGGATAGTCTCTAATATATAGAGGAATATGCCTGTTGATCAAACTGCCTATACTGATTCAACTTTTCAGTTTTGGAAATGCCTTGCCAGACATTAAGCATGTAGCCCTGTTAAAGAGGGTGAATTGACCCAAATGATCATCGATTGATAAGAACATATTGGCAGGCATTCCAGTGTCTTCTTGTAGGTTAATGTTAGCATACAATCTTATGTAATGTAAATCAATTCTGTTTCACAGGCTCGGGGAGGAATGTGGATGCAATAGTGAAGAGCCTAAATGTGCCGAAGCAGGGAAGCTCCAAGCCCTCTAGGGAAGCCATGAAACATTGGGAGAAACCAGCCAAGATTGTTAGTCCTGTGCGCAGCCCCCGGTTCATTCACCAACCCCGTTGAATCTCCCAGTCAAAGCTGCTACTCTTTGTACAATCTTGTTCACAGCCATGGCTCCCTCCCTTTAGATCTTACTTTTGAAAAGTGATCCAAGGTAATGTAGATCTAGTTTTCCAAGAAATAGAAATAAGAGACTTTTAAGATTGACCATGGTATGACTAGTTTACTCTTTCACTGGCTGTGAACGAGGCAGTGAAAGAAACAGTACAATTGAATGGTTGATGGCCCTTTACGCCGTAATGCTGGCTGGTTACGGTGTTGATCGAGGCTAATCAACACTACTATAATACTCAGTTGTAATAACATATGTATATTACTAGATACATTATCAATTATACTTCTGGATTGTGGGCTAGTGTCTTAATGTAAATTGTATGTCAAGTAAATTACCTATTTTTGGGGTTCATTGTAATATTTGGGTTTTATTTTTATTTTTATTTTTTATCGTATTCATAGATGATTATTTACAGTTTACATGACATTTAATTTGCCAAATGATTAGAATTCAAATGATAATCGGTTTGATGAGTAAATTGTGACATTTTAAATATTGTTTGTTTGTTTCTTTTATTAAAAAGTCATCATGTCTGTTTGTTATGTGTTGCATGATATATGACATACGCTTAATCAGAACCTAATAGCTGCGGCCATAATGATATATGTACACCAGGCAAAAGGTATATACCTTAGCTTCATCAAAATGGTATCTTTATTGTAAGAATGTTGGATGTCGTGGCGACTCATGTATCAACCGTTTGTCAGTGATTTGGGCAGCCGAATCTGATCTTTTTTAGTGCTATAATGACTTTACTTCTTTAATGTATATTTTATATGGTCCCTTGATGATTGCAGATCTTATCTAATAATGCAACAAATACCTACTACCAATACTTGTAATTTACAATAATTATATTAACTATAATAAATATTAAAAATAAGATATTGTTGTAATTCAAAGGAAAAAAACAAAATTAGACACAGATGCATCGCACTTAAATTATGTAACCCTAAATGGTTGGCCAGGCATGGAAGGGTAAAACCGTCATTATACCTCCTCTCGGCGTGCTCTATAAATAGAGCCGTTGCCGCGAAATGTTGAGGACAAACTTTCTGACGGTGGGGGAATAATGAAATCGGTATTGCTCCTATGGCGAGTCTGAAGTAAGTTCCGGCATCGGAGAGTTCACGGAATACGCAGGTGAAGTGTTTCGTATGCTTTTCGGTTCGTGAAGATTGGTATTGGTTGCAGTGTTGTGACTGTTTGGAATTTGTTTACTGTTCTTAAATCCTGAGATTCGAAGAATATTGGTAGTCAATAATCGAGGTTAACTAATGATGAAAAGAGGATGAGGATTGGTGAAAAGCTTTGGTTTGTTGTGCCATTTGTCATTCTTTGTGAAGAAAGTAGTTTGAAATCTTTGTCTGCTCTGAGTTTGAGCTCTTCACAAAATCCGGCGAAAGTAATTTTTTGTTAGGGAATTATTCGTAATGATGTTCATAGCATCGTGCTAGGTAGTTGTAGTTCCATGAAGAGGAAATTTTGTATTTGTTTGTTTTATTTAATCTAAATTTTTTCCGCGTTTGTATTCTTGCCTTAATACATTCCTAACCATTTGTGTAACTCTTATTTAAGAAGCCTATTGGACTGTGTCTGCAGTTATCTGTTATCCAATTGAGAGCATCTGAATATATATCTATATATAGACATAATATTCAATATCGAAGGTGGAGTATAGCATAAATATAGTTTGCCGCCCATTTCCATGCTATTAGTTTGGCTTCTGAGTTGAGAGAAGAAAATTCTATCTGTATTATGTGTAATGGCCATATCTTGTTCCAATCTAGTTAGGCAGGCTCTGGTTGAGATGCAGTGCTAGTTCCGAAATATTCTCCGTGTATTTATTTTAGAAGTTTCAGTAAATGCTATGCTAGAAGGTCAATTGTGAGCAAATATTTTTGTTTTATTTCCTTTTAGTCAACGGTGTTTGCATTTTCTGATTTAGTTCTGACTTCTGGAAAACAGGTTTCATGCCGTTCTAGTGATCACAAGATTGTGTTTTTTGGTGTGACCCATGCTCAAGTATAGAAATCTCTTTTTGAGGCCAAAATTAGTTCCATTTCCAGGTTTCAGTGAGAGGGCATGCATATGTATCTCTAGATTGAGATGTAAAGCCTCGTTGTTTCCATCTTGCTTGAGTGCAGTTGATGCCATTGGAACCAAAAGACTGCACTCACAATTACGAATAGGGCACAGAGGTATGGTGGATGATCGTGATCACTTTTTTCTGGTGCTTGTGGTAGAAATTCTTTAGTGGATATGAAAATTAAATTTATTCGAAGATTTTAATGGGGAAAATTAGTTTAGATATCATATCTATGAACCTTTTAGGTGTTAATGAAAGGAAGTTTTCATCTCCAGTCCTGGAACTGATGGAGAGCAATGGAATTGTAGAGGAAAATGAAAATAACTTGCACCTTCCATCCTCATATGATGCTGCCATGGAGGCACTTTCTTCTCTCATCACTAGCAAAAAGCGAGGAGATAGATCAGCAGTAAGTGATAAATACGACAAATTGAGCAGAATGAAGATGTATCTAAAGGTAATGCAGAAGTGATTTACCGGGGTTCAATTAATTTTTGGTCCCCTTGTTTTAGTTTGTGACTGCTTTTGTACCCCATGTTTGACTGTTTGTTAGTAAATAACTTCCAAACAGCTCCAAGACTGGCACCTAACTTTTTCACTCTCATAAATGGAAGGCATTACATTTTCCTGAGGTCATTTAAACTACCAATTTGTCTTCTTCTATATACCTTAATATCAACGGCTTTGGATTAGTTTCACTCAAGTAGATGCCAACATGTTCAAAAGTTCTTTCATATATAAATTCAACTACAGCCAGACTACTCTGCAAAAACGAAGGATTCATAATTCACCATGTGGTTTGTTCTTGATGTATGTTCATGTAAGTCAAATAGGAGTTGCAATTTGAGATAGGTTTTCTTTCCTCCAAGTTTAACCCTTCTTCTGATGAGGTATTGTTGCTTTGATATTCAGTCATGTATAACCTTTTCTAGTGATCATGATAAATTCAGATCTTTTGACATTTGAATAGTAACTGAACTCTTATGTAGTTGTAAGTCAACCAACTGAGGTGCTACTCTAAATAGTGAAAGAACCGGTATAAACTTTTTATGTTATAGTGATCTTGTTTTCGTTTCCCATTACATATATTTCTTGGCATTTTGTTTAGTTAACAAATTTACTAGTCACAACTAAGTGCATGTTATTTTGGCAGATAATGGGTTTGGAAGAGCATATAGCACGACTCAAAATTATCCATGTTGCCGGAACTAAAGGAAAGGTGTTAAGTTAATCTTCTTTGCAAGGAACTCTTTTTAAGATCAACAATTTTTTCTTTTTTTCGCTAAGAATATCGCATTAGGCTGAGGTTGACTTTATTACCTTCATTTTATTACCATTTGTTTCCTCCAACTTTTGGAGGACATATTTTGGCTAAATGGAAGGAATTTTCCTTGCAAAAACCCTTCCTTTCCTCTCAAATAATGTCTTTCTAGAGAGGACATGTTGAAAGTTATACACGTTAGATTTGGTTAAGATTTGATATTTTATTATTATTTTCATTACGTCGAAATTTTGACCTTTCTCAACCTCTCCCCCTCAAATTCTACTAACCATTCACATTTCAGGGTTCAACATGTGCATTCTGTGAGGCAATTTTGAGAGAATGTGGATTTAGGACTGGACTGTTCACTTCTCCACATTTAATTGACGTGAGAGAAAGATTTCGTCTTGATGGGTTAGCATCTAAATGTTTGTTTTTCATTTATATAACTTGTGTTGCATTTGGTGAGTAAAGTTGGGATGTGTAGAGGTGCGTGACAAAGATAACAATTTAGGATGTCAGAACAGTCTTTCTTATAATAGCTAAATTGGTTGATAAATCTAATCCCTGAAGTAGTGTACAGAGCTTTTAGGGTATAATAAATGATCATTTGTATAAAGTGAGTTTCATACAATAATTGCAAGTTTTACTGATTGAGTATTACTAAAATTTCAATGAAATTTTCAAATAATTTGGATTCCCTTCATTTTTCTACTTGATCCCCAACTTTGATTTAACTTTTTGAGAGATCACAATAGCTGGTTTAGTATTATGTGATCAGAGTTTTGAAAGCATGGGATGTAAATAACTAATGTTGGACAACAATGAACAGCAGATCATTCGCCTAATGTTTATGAATTTCCTTGAGAGATGAGAGTCTACATTGTAACTTAATTTCCTCTGCCTTACAGATTGGATATATCTGAAGAAAAGTTTCTATATTATTTTTGGGAATGCTGGCGTCAGCTGAAGGTAAAACAATAAATTTAATCTTTAGTTCATTTTCAATGTCATAATGGGTGTTCCTGGTATTGCTGATCTAGTCATCTGGTTTGAGTACCCCTTTCCGATTGTGTAAATATATTGCATTTCCAGGTTATCTATGTTTTGAAAACTGTTTGTCCTATGCTGTTCCACTTTCCAATTGAGATGTAACCAAATTCCTATGCAGAATGGCGAATTGTTAATACTTTGTTACAGAATTGAGGGACAATAGTGATAAATGGTGATATATGGGAATATACCAAGGCAAATGATGGATAAAACTCTACTTATAAATGATAATTCTCACATCTTAATGAGCAATTGCGTGGAGAGTGAAGAATGTATGCACGTGTCTATTTGAGATAGAATTTATTTTCAAGAAACATTTACTATGCCTTGTAAATCTAAATGTCAGTTTGAACTTTTGCACAATATAAAATATTATTCTGCAATGCACGCTTCTAATGATGGAAATCTTGTTCTTCAGGAGAATCTCTCAGATGATTTGCCCATGCCTCCACTTTTCCAGTTCCTCACTGTATTGGCCTTTAAAATATTTGTATGTGAAAAGGTAGGATGTTGTTTTTCTCTAACAAGCTTTGATAAAACATTATGGTGTTAGGATTTAAAAAGATCACCTACTTATATAGGTAAATATATGTGAGAAGGAAACATATCAGCTTATACACGCAGTAATGCTAGGATCTTGATTGGAATGTTGAATTTAATTTCAATAACCATATTTACAATGAACTTCAGGACCTGTTTAGTAACCATATCCAACTTTAACTGACATGTTTCACAGGTCGATGTTGCCATCATTGAAGTTGGTCTCGGAGGCATGAGGGATTCAACGAATGTGGTAGCATGTCCACCTTTTTCCTATTCTGACTATTGATTAACTTTGTGATTTGTAACTTCATAAGTAATATCTCTATATATTATCTCTGGTCTGTTGAGAACCTATAGTTGTTATCACACCCTTCTCTGATCAATTGTGCAGATCGAAAGTCCTGTTGTCTGTGGTGTTAGTTCTCTGGGCATGGATCACATGGAAACATTGGGTATGTTTATTGCACGAAGTTACACTCAGATGTCTTTTCTTGTTCTGTATTTATGTTTCGCAAATTGATGAATCTGTATGGCCTCCTGCAAATAAACTATAGGTGATACACTTGGACAGATTGCTTCCCACAAAGCCGGAATATTTAAGGTGCACTACTTTACATACGAAACAGAAATGCATTTCTTCTACAATTCTCCATCGAGGATTATTTATTGTTAGTTATTGGCAGTTACACTTTTTCGAGTATTTTCTGAAATGGGTTGATGTCTTCTCTACTCCTGAAGCCTCAAGTCCCCGCCTACACTGTCCCACAACTTACTGAAGCAATGGAAGTCCTTCGAGAGAAAGCCAAGGAAAAAGCGGTATCTTAATAATTTATTCTTTGAATTCACATTGAGCACGTGCCACTCCTTGTTTACCTTTGATCATGTTTCAGGTTAACTTGGAAGTAATTGCCCCTCTCGATCGTATGAAACTGAAAGGTATGCAACTAAGCTTGTCCGGTGATCACCAATTTACAAATGCCGGCCTTGCTGTTGCCCTTTGTAGGAGTTGGCTTCAGAGTACCAGAAATTGGGAAAGGCTCCATAAGGTTAGAGAATTCTATCAATCCCAATCATCTATACATTAAGGGTGTGATTGCTTTGTAGGATGAAATTATAATCCCAGTATTATTTTAATAGATCATAATTACGAGACTAGTAATATCATGTTTATTTTGCTTGAAAAATATAAAATAATATAGTGTTTCGGGTCATTGATCAGGTTGACACTGAAGATGGTTTACCTGAGGCGTTTTTGCGGGGTCTTTCTGCTGCACGTCTTTCTGGAAGAGCTGAGATTGTTCACGACTCTTCTTTGACAACGAATGGTACCAATGGAGCGATTGACAACTCTTCAGGCAATTTGATATTTTACCTGGATGGGGCACACAGTCCTGAAAGCCTGGAAGCTTGTGCCCGGTGGTTTTCTAGCGCCATAAACGAGGTCCCGAGGCGTTCACTGCCAGTTCCTTCATATTCTTCAATGCTGAAAACTTCAGAATTGTGGAGTAATGGCTATGTGCAGCCGGGAAAGAACAAACCTGAGAAAATTTCAAAGCAGGTAAATGATCCTTGTGTACAATTAGTAAGCACCTTTTCATGTCCCAGGAACTTAAACCGAGTAGTAATATTTACTGCAGATTCTCTTATTCAACTGCATGGAAGTGAGAGATCCTCAGATTCTTCTCCCGACACTTGTTGATACATGTGCTTCATCAGGTATACCATCCATAAATTTGATCTTACTTTTTAGACACCATATCATGTTTGATCGAACAAGATAGATTTATTTAAAATTATAGTTTCATTATAATACAAACTTTTAGGTCTATTTGATAATGTCCATCCCATAATTATTCTGCACTACTATAGTGGATTATGTTAATTTTGATAAATGAAACTGTTAGAACATGTTTACTTTGCGGGATCAAAGTACATGTATGTTATTATGATACTCAAATTGTCGCAATTTAGCCTCAAACTTGTATAGCCAATATGATAATAACGACTTATTACTAGCTCGACTAAAGTTGAGATTAGTGTTACTTATCGTGTTTTGGTTCTATTTTGATGGTTTTACATGTGTTAAGAATGCTTTGGTACATTTACCCATTGGGGGGTTTTTCAGGTACATATTTTGCAAAGGCCATTTTTGTTCCGAGCATCTCTACATACAGTAAGGTCACTTCTGGTTCCTCGGCAATCCCTTTGGAGGGCTCGTCTAAGGATTTGTCGTGGCAGTTCAACCTCCAGAGAGTGTGGGAGAAGATCATTCACGGAAAGGGTAAATTCACACACACATGTATATGGGACTTCACGAGCTCAACTGGCTATTAATGTGTGTGTATATATATATATAATCCTGAAACAGATGCTCACTGCAAGAACTTCAAGATGCAAATACCGGAGGCGGCGCCACGCGGAACATTTATTCATGAGGATGCTTCTAACTGCCGACCCGCCAACGGACACTTCTCGTGCAGTGCTGTGGTGTCTTCGCTGCCGATGACCATCAACTGGCTGAGGAATTATTGCCGAGAGAATCCTTCTTATCGAATCCAGGTTAGTTAAGTTTCCCGACATGTCATCATCCAAATTTATGCTATTTTTTTTTTTTATTTCTATGATTAAAAAATATATTCTTTTTATTATTTTTTTTGAAATAAAATCGTGTACTTTTTGTATTTTTTCTTAGTATTATAGAAAGTACAAATTATCACACATTTTCATTAAAACCTGTGCTAAATACTTAAGCATACAATGATTCCAGCATTGGCATTGTTGCAGGTTCTGGTGACGGGATCGCTGCATCTCGTCGGCGATGTGTTGAAGCTGCTGAGGAGGTGATATGTTAAGAACGTCCATTTTTGGAGCAGTCAGGTGAGGTTTGGGTTTTTTTTTTTTTATTGGTTTTTTTTATAACAGACTTCTAATGTCTGTCTATTGTTGTGTGTATTCATCATTATTCATATGAATTATTGGATGGGGTCGTAATTTAATTACTGGGGACTTGGGGGGTAATACGCAATTCTTGAAAATTATACTATATGATAGACGTGGTAGATACTTTACTACAAAGTTGTTCTACGGTTGAAATAAGTGTAGAGGTTAGTTTGCTGTCCTTTTTTTTTTTTTCTATTGGTTGTGTTGGGTACAGTTGAAAATGAGCCAACAACATGTGAGTATTCAATATGGACCTAGTATAAAGGTAAGATTGGGCCTGAAAGGCCTGTCAACATTACACGGGCCTGAGGGATAATATTGGCCGACAAACACCAGGATGCAACATGGGCTTGTCGGAAAGGAGCAAAAAACACGTGCGTTCTTGATTGGGGCCTAATATAAATGCGCCGAGTGAGTTTTAGATTTGGGCCTCTAGGCCTCGTGTGAAAACTGATATTGGGTCTGTGAGGCCCGCCAACATCACAGGGGCTTGTCGGAGACTGGCCGACAAACACATGAAGCCACATGGACTTGTCGGAAATGAGCCCGCAGCACGTGAGCTCTAAACTTGGGCCTGTCATAATTGGGCCGAATGTATGTGTGTTTTGGATTTGGGCCTTTAGGCCTGGTTGGAATGTGATATTGGGCTTTAAAGGCCTTTAAACATTGCATGGGTCTGTCGGAGATTGACCGACATACACTCTGATACCCCCTTGGTCTGTCGGAAATAACGCGACAGCAGGTGAGTTCTCTACTTGGGCTTTGATGAAAATGGGCTTATTGTAGGGGAGTTTCCATTTTGGGCATGGAATGGCTGTCAGCATTACATGGGCCTGTTGGCAATTTTGCCGACAAACACCTTGATTTCAGGTGGGCCTGTCGGAAAAAAACGACAGCTTCTAAATTGGGCCGGTTGAATATTGGCCGTCAGAAGAGTTTAGTATGGGCTTCAAGGCCCATACTAAAAGTAAGATTGGGCCTGAAAGGCCTGTCAACATTACATGGACATGCTGGAAATTGGCCGACAAACACCATGATGCCATGTGGTCTTGTCGGAAATGAGCGGACACCAAGTGAGTTCTTGATTGGGCCTAATGTAAATGGGCCGACAGATAGTAAGTTATAGAATTGGGCCTTTAGGCCTAGTGTGAAGACTGATATTGGGCCTTTGAGGCCCGCTGACATCACAGGGGCTTGTTGTAGACTGGCCGACAGATACCTGACGCTACTTGGCCTTGTCGGAAATGGGCCGACAGCACGTGAAGTCTCAACTTGGGCCTCATAAATGGACCGACTGTGTGCTTTATTTGGGCCTCTAGCTAGGCCCAGTTTGGAATATGATATTGGGCCTTTAAGGCCTTCAGAGGCCTATTGTAGATTGGCCGACAGACACTCTGATGCCATGTGGATATGTCGGAAATGAGTCGACAGCACGTGAGTTCTAGATTACGGCCTGGCAGCAATGGGCCGACAGCACCTGAGTTTTCAATATGGGCCTTTATCTCTAATGCACGTAAACATGGGCCTGTCGGAAATAGGACGACAAGCAGTCTGATGCTAGATGGGCCCGCATGAAGGAGTTAACAACATGTCCGATTGTTGTTCATGGGCTTATCGGGCTGTCCTACTTGGTCCGACAAAATTAATTATAACATTTAAGTATATTGGGCTTGCGCTAAACACCTGTCCAGCGAATGCAGATTACTCCGATTTAACCACGTTATAGAATTTCCAAAAACCTAGGATGTGTTTGGTTACGTTCTCGAAATTAGATTACAATTTTCTTTTCCAATATTATATCTAGATCACTCACAATCTTTTAATTCATCTGCTATAATTAATATTAGTTAAAGTATATATGAAACCGTTATTTTCTGAGAGAGATCTAATTAAATCCCAATCAAAGACAAATTAGTATATATATTATATATATTTATAAAGAAACACTTACTGTTACTGATATGATATGGCTGGCTGCCGTCACCGTGACCGTTAAATATCCCAATGAAGACGGCAGTTCTCCACGGGAGCACTCTTTCCTTCTGCATGGAAAACTCAAAACACAAGTTAAAGACTCGCATCTACGTACATTACATTTATTTCTTCCCGCGCAGACCTCCTCCTTCCTTCTGCAGCCATTGCACATCTGCACTTCAATTCTCCTCTTCCAGATATCCATCCAGGTTCATTCACACCTTCATCAATTTCATCTTCTTATTACACCTACCACCAATTTCATGCTTAAATCTTCAAAGGAAGCTGGAATGGATTGGATTGGATCATCCATATTGACACCACAAGTACTCTGGCCAGGAACTTCTGTTCAAAACACCGAGTCTGTCGACATGGTTATCTTTCCTAAACCCTAATGTACAGCTTTCGAGCGGTCACTAAGCATGTACTCATGGAAACTCAAATGCAGGCATATGTAATTGCTTCAACTGGAACAAAAGAAGAAATGCTTCATTGGAAAAGAACCCTAAAGTTTGAAGCAAAGTAAAAAGTTCTTACCTCATCAGATTCTTTACCAGGTATCGAGCAAATTTTGTCTGGAGCAACAAGGAAAAGAAGTCGAAGCTCTTGAAGGTGCACACATTTTGTCCTATATGTAAATATATGGGAATCACAGCATATATCTATCTTCGCTAGCCGGAAAAAACATTCTCTCCTACATCCTTTGGTTGTTGCAGACAGGTTATTATACAAAGCTTGAAGGCATCAGGGGTTTTCAATGCTACCATTTCTGAATTCTGATGATGGGCTGCGACCACAAAGTAATAGCACAAGACAGGCAAGACACTTGACTAACTCACATAGTAAACGAACGTACATATGACCATAGATTTGTGCCTAATCTGTCTGGTGTACAGAGTAGTGTGCGTGTGTTCTAGTCGAGATCTGATTTATTTGTTACATAAGATGGGACATTATTCATTCATCGTGGCGTTTCTTTATTGAACTGATTCTCTAATAAGGTCTTTGTTTCTCTAAGCATATATGTCAGTGTATGTGTATTTAGTAAACTGAGATGGCTAAAAGCTGAGATTAGAAACTAGAGGACACATTTAAATGCAGTTAAGAGCAATGGAAACTTAATACAATTAACAGTATTGATAGTCAGGGCAAAGATAAGGAAATGATTCTTGATTCAGAAATCAATTAAAGCTATCAAAATAGCATCAGCTAAACCTGCATGCAGAGTGTCTCGGTTCAGTCAATGTCCATCTCCTTCTCTTTATCAGTCTCTTTGCTTGTCCACAGCTTGATTGTTCTATCATGCGAAACAGTTGCAATGCATTGTCCATCTGCCATTAAACGGACGATACAAAGGTTAGTAGTACACACAGTTAAAACTAATCTTTGCCATGAAATGATAGAACTAACCTCCGGTGATATCAAGTGACGTAACTTTTGATTCATGGCCTGATAGTGTCTTCACAGGCTTAAAGTCTCTTGACGACCATATCTGAAATGAGAAGTCAATACAAGGGTCACAAAACAGAAAGCAAACTGAGGAACTATTTAAACATGTTTTACTAAAATGTACAAACCTTAGCAGTCATATCATATGAGGCTGTGACCAAAAGGTACCCGTCATGAGGTTCGAATTTCACTTGAGAAATGAGGTTAGCATGTGCAGGTATTATGTACAGAGTTTTTCTCTTCCTCAAATCCCATATCCTGCAAGTATTGTCTTCACCACCAGTGGCTAAGTGATAACCATTTGGAGAAAAGTTGGCACCGAGCACCTAAAAGAAGGAAAGATGAAATTGCAGTGAGAATTACAAAACAATAAAATAAAGTGCACCAGAAAGGCTTAAGGCAAGGTAAAAGATGAACGTAGAATTACAGGCTTGACATGGCCTTCCAAAGCAAGAATACTTCTTCCGGATCTTAGATCCCAAACACGAGCAAGAGAATCCAATCCACAAGAAGCTGCTAATGAACCATCATGATGAAAAGTGATCCCGTAGATACTTCTACTATGACCTTCTTGGAGAAGCAGCTCCTCGCCCGTCTCTACATCCCATAATCTCCATGTTTTGTCAAAACTGGCTGTACCTAAATATTTTCCTGATGGATGGAATGCGATACGTGCAAGACGATCCAAATGGCCACTGTATGTTCGAAGGGCAGACCCATCGAAATTCCAGAGTCTTGCAGTCCTGTCAGCGGAGGCTGTAGCCACTTGGTTGCTGATGGGAGAGAATGCAATATCAGTAGCTCGTTCGGTATGGCCCTTAAGTGCGGATATCTTCCTTACTTCCGGCATCTTCCACACTTTTGCAATCCCGCTTAGAGAGCTAATAAACAACAAAACAGCAAGAATAAATTACAAGCAGTTTCCAAATGCATTGTAGCAAGTGAACTCATCAATTTACAACCAGAGAATATGATACATGTAAATAAATAAGTATCAAAGAAAAGTAAATTTTAGTTACAAAATTACATAAAAATTAAAGGGTATGATTACTGTAGTCAAAATTACCCTTTCCTGATTAACTTTATGAATGAAGCACAACAGGCATAACAAAAAACACATGAATTCAATTCATACTGATGCCGAAACAATTGTTGAACATTTAAACAACCTCAATCTTAATCTGCCGTATTTATATGATGATCATTATCGCATCTATGGGATAGGATAGGATAGGATAATCATAAAATTAATATAATAATCACTGGTCGAGTGTAGTAAGAGTTTTAATATTTTAAAGTAAACATGTGATTAAACGTGAATAGAGTTCTCAATCAGTTATAGTAAACACATCATAAGTGGTGAGAACTTATGAATGATCAAAACACATGTAAAATTGCATGTCTAAAGCTGCATCAATGGCGGATATAGGATAATAAGACAAACACAACTCAACCAGCCAACATTTGCAATAAAGAAGAAGCTTACCAAGTGGCAAGCATCTTTCCATCATGTGAAATTGAGCAACCAGATAGAGGTCGATCATCACCAATCTCACTGCACTCGAGGCCCAAATACGACGCCTGTTTCAGTGACCAATCGATCTCTGCATCCAAATCTTCATCCGGATCATCCCGTTTTCTTCTTGTTCGGTGCAGGCGTAGTGCTGATCTCACCAGAGAGTACTTCGCGATCTCTCTACGAGCTTCTAACAGTGCCTGAGAACCTTCAGTGAAAAATGGATACTGAATTTCTTCCTCAAGCTCCGACGGCGCCGCCGTCGACGCAGCTTCCTCTTCCTCATGAGCTTTCATTAGTTTCTCCAGTTGACCTTCTGAATCAAGTTTCGCCATAAGCGTCCTCAGCCGATCACGCCTTTCCATCTCCCTCTCTCCGAACAGAGTGATCGGTTCGCCGAGGCGCCGGAGGCGCGCACGGACAGAATTGTCGTTCGTCGGAACCGCTAGGGCAGCCGCTCGGCGTTTCATTAGAAGTTCCTGCACTGCTTTCTCCTGTCGTTCCTTAACCTTTTTACTTTCTTCTGATACCTCATACTCCCGAGCAGCGGCGCCGCTCGATTCTGGCTCCTCCTCATCCGAACCTGAATCACTGGTTCTCGAGTCGCCGTTATCCTGTGCTACTGAAGGCCTGTTGACCGGAGGACGGACAGGTATCGGATTCAATGGCGCCGGAGTCGGACGAGGAGCAGCAGCTATTGGAGCGAGAGGAGGAATCACCGGCGGTGCAACGACAGGTGCAATCACCGGTTGAATTGAGGTTATGTCGGTGGCGGTAACCACAGTTTCACTGCTGGCAGGTGGAACAGATTGCTCAGCACCAGATGCAGATTCCATAGCCACCGGATTGCCTCTCCACCGTCAAACGACAACCGCTAACCACCTCCAAGGTACAAGGTTTCAAACTGAAAAATACAGCGCAAAGGTTAAAAATGGCAGCGAAATGGAAGGAAACTACCTCGAAGCAGCGAAAGTTGATTGGCTTCGCCGGAGACGACGGCAATCGGCAGCAGTTAAAAACCCTAGAGCTCTGTCATCTTAAAACTTGGGCCTAAGCCCAATAAAAGGTACCCATTATTGGGCCGATTTATAATTACAGTGTCCTAATTGAGTCTCATATTTACTCGGGCCCAGTAAAAGCTATATATCATTTTAAACTACATTTTAAAAAAAAAAAAAAAAAAAAAGTGAAATTAAATTAAATTAAAATTCCAGCAGGGTAAGAAACTATGATAAATTTCCACATGCCTGTAATCATACTACTTTCAACACTTTCTGAAATAAGAAATGAAAATTAAAAAATGATCAACGTCATGCTTAACATTGTTATCATTTTTTTTAACAAACATTGTTATGTTGATGTTTCTTTCTTACAATAATCCATACATGCATGGTCCCCCCCCCTCCATATCTGGAAAGCTTTCTGGGGTATAAAAATGGCAAAGATATGTGATGAATGGTTTCTGAAATTTGATTATTTGTTAGCTAATTAGATCCCAGAGAACAACATCATTAATTAATACTAACGCATCTTATGTAAAATATTCAAAACCTTACCTAATTCATAATTTCCTAACCCAAAATTTCACTCTGGTGGGCCAATTGAACAGCTAGAAAGTCAATCACACACTTTTCTTCCCCTCAAAAACCTCACACATACACACATATATATATCTGTATCTATACATAAGATTATACTTGACCATATTTCTCATATGATTCACAATTGACTCAGTCAGCATATCCCAATTCTCAAATGAAAGATGAAGCAAGAATTTCATCACTTATTAGTGGGAATGGTAGAGCAATTTTCAGCAGAGATCTACCAAACCCATAGTTTGAAATGTGTGGGCTATTTCTTGGTTCAAAATTTCATTACATGAACAAACTCAATGTGGAGTCTGAATGAGATTTTATGTAAGAAAGGATAGTGGCAATGATAAAAGAGATAAAGGGCACAAAGAAGGCACTCACACAAGACTTTTAGAGCATGGCGTAGGAAAGACATATCAAAGGTTAAAGCTTTAAACCCCCACACCCCACCCCACCCCACCCCCAACCACAAAAATATATGTTGCTTTCACAGTCACTATCAATAAGCACATGATGTGCTTTTGAAAGAATATACTAATCAAATTTCTGTTCTTGAAACTTTAAAGAGGGTAAACTAAGCCACTTTGCCTCTTCTTCATCCATCATTCTAAGAAAACAAACAGTGATGGATATGCTGTCAGACATGAGTAGATTTTATCAACATATGGAGCGAGCCTTAACGAGTTAATTCTACACAGGTATGGTATCATTTCGCTAGAAAATTCAGCATATTTTGAAGAATAAAACAGTTCTTTATTATCTAGACTCGAGCATGACTCAGAAGGAACATTCTGTCGCGAATCTACTTAACTGCTTACCTATATGGGGAAGAAGAAAAGCTGGTTCACCTATGTAAAGAGGCTATTTATTTCCGAGTCTAGACCAAAATCAGAAGAGGTAAATTAGTGTCATTCGATTGCAACATACTGTTTTGATCTATGTTTTTGCAGTTTTCGTTAATTAATCATCTGATGAACTTATCATTTGAACATTCTTGTGGCTTTAAGAGTTCTCAGAAGCCCAAGAAATGGGGATGGTTTTTCGAAAGGTTCAACTTCAGACAGTGTCCTGCACTAGAGGCACCTCAGGAAGCTGTAAATAAAATGGTGACGGAGGAACAAAGAAAGCATGCATTGGCCGTAGCAATTGCAACCGCTGCAGCAGCAGAGGCGGCTGTGGCTGCTGCCAATGCTGCTGCTGAGGTTGTCAGGCTCACAAGTATTCCCTATGAAAGGAAAAATCAATACATGGCAGCCATCAAGATCCAAAGTACTTACCGGAGACATCTAGTGAGTTCTTTTGTTCCTTGTATACACAGGTCGTATATCCTGAAACAAATCAGTGAAAAATGTCATTATTGGGCTTTTGTAGGCAAAGAAAGCACTCAATGCACTTAAAGGACTGGTAAAGCTTCAGGCTGTGATACGAGGAGAGCTAATTAGGCGCACTGTTGTTAGAAAAATGCCATCAATGTCTTGGATCTTGAAACAACAGTCCCAAGTACATAAAAAGAGAATTCAAACTCCCTTTGATCATCTTAATCATGGTACAAAGAGAAATAATGTAAACAAGAAGGAAGCATGCCAATATGAAGAATTTAGGGTAAGTGAGGAGGCTGAGATTACCTATACTACTCTAACCTGAACTACTTCAACATTTTGAATACAGAAGCTGATTTAATATAAATATGTCAGTCTCCTAATGAGTCAATAATGTGATATCAATATTGAAGAAAAAAGCATTACCATGATTTCTACATTGGCAGCATCGATGCAACAGTCACAAGAGTTGGGATCTGAGTTTGCCTCCTAAGGAAGAGTTAGGAGCCACATCTTTGCAAAAGCGGGAAGGCATTGCTACACGGGGGTGCATGAAGCAGTATTCATTTTCCCAGAGGGTATTCTCGAATCTACAAAAATCTACATCATGAGATGACTGACCGTAACATAACTAACATCATATCATCAGTTTTTTAGGCTTGCCTACATACTTGACTATTTTGTTTCCAGGAGATTAGAAACGACAGAAGCCTGCAAGAACCAATGAAGCATAAAGAGATAAAAAACATCCGGCTTGATAAATTGGTCGAAGCACATTATCAAGCAGGGATAGATAAGTGGAAATCTTTGTCTCGCTCAAATACCGTAACAATTAATGTAACTAGTCTGCCACAACTGAAGCAGAAACCAGAATGCAAACAGGAATTGAACACCATATTTTCACAACCGAGAAGATCATTTTGTCATGTGAGGCAGAAATCAATGGGAGATGATGGATCTTTACCTGACTCTCCAGTTTTCCCGGCATACATGGCTGCCACAAAATCTACTAAGGCCAAGGCTAGATCACTGAGCACACCTAAACAAAGGCTGGAGTTATGGGACATGTACTCAGGCGAACTTTCCCCATCCAAACCCAAGCTTTCTTCCTGGAGCTCTTTCAGTGGAGAAATAACCAAGAGTAGCAAAAGGAACAGTAATTCTCAGCACAAGCCTTCATATTATGGGACATTAATCTAAGATTTAGAAGTATAAGTTTTTGCTAACAATCCATCAAAGTACCTAAGATCATGATGTCTATGGTACACATAGTCATATCACTGGATATTTATCGTTTTCTGTTAAGAGCACGGAAGTGAAAATTGTGAGAATGTTTAGAGGGTAAGCTATCAGCTTCTCTCTCAGCAGTTCAGGAGAAAGGTTTTGTTCTAGATTTAGAACCTCATGTTTCCTAATTTACTTTGGAATCTTTATCTTAGAAAGAGCATAAAAAACGTATTGCTGAATTTATAATGATTAAAGGAATGTGATATTACACATTACACAATGAAAGGTTAACTATACGCTCGGTGCGCACATATTTTGGAATCATTCAAATTTATATTAACCATAACTCACTTTAAATTTGTACCTTACACAGATGTTTTTCACTCTAGAACAATTTTCATGTAGTCCGGAGTCAAGCTCAGTGCTTTTGCAGAGTCTTTCTGACGAACATTTTGCAGGTAACAGCTACAAGCTATCTGAATTCTTGTCATGCAATCAATGATATCCTTTAGAACTCCTTTCAAATAAATGGCATCTTAGGGTTCTGATTACATCATCCAATGCTTCATCATCTGCTGCCAAATACTCTAAAACTTCATCTCTACTGTGCCAGATTTTATCTTTTATGATGTAACTGCTTCCATCAGTGGCTATGAGACCATGTTCACAGGCCAAGTCCAAGGCCTCTGATTCACGGCATATTCCCTTCCCAAACTTTATGTTCAACTCAGCTTTAGTCATTGCAGGTGCAAGCTTATTTTTAACAACTTGCACAAATATCCCAAGACCGGTAGCCTGACATTAAAAAGCAAATAAGGTCAAAAATAATATATAAATAACCCTACAGAAAGCTCTCTGGTGGCAAGTATCAGTCTGTTACATACATATATAAATCAAACATTCTTAGTGTTTATCAACTATTCTCTATTGACCAAGGCATCAAGCTACGGTAGGAGGTTTGAAACGAAAGGAAACTTAAGCTATTGAGGATAAAGAAAATCAGCTTTACTGCTACATAATTTCTGACAGGGACATTCAGTTGCAATCATGCTGGCATATATAAGTTGAGAAAATCATACATACACAGATTTGCAAGGGAATTCATATTAGATGATAAGAATAATAAGGGACATGAGATGTTGACATCATTGCACAGTCTTACCTCATCCCCTGCCTTGAGCAATTTCCTTCTACTAATTCTCATTCGGATAGCTGCATAAAATTTCAAGGCATTACCACCAGTCGTTACTTCTTCCCATGCTGTACCTTTTACTTCTTTCTTCTTATGTCTAACCTAAAAGGACTGAAGAATATTAGTCTCAGGTACAAAGCATGAGAAATAATTGAAGCTACCAGCGAAAAAGTGCTAACCTGGTTAATGAAAATGACAAGAGTACTGGAATTGCATAGAGAATAATGGATTTTTCTTAGCGCTTGTGTCATTATTTTAGCGTGTTGGTCTTTTGAGGGACTGCATGCCGGAGCATCAACTTCACATTGAGGAATAAGTGCAGCCACCTGCAACAAGAATTCAGGTCAAACTTCCTGTATATAAGATCCACGATTTCCTGTATATAATGGAAAATGAAACACAGAGATATCCATTTTTTGGTTTTCACAAAAGGGTAAAGGACAAGAAAAAAAAAATATATATATAATCAAGTTAGCCTAGTGATTAAAATATCGAGCAGAAAACAATACACAAGGGGAACTAAGCATGACTCACAAAAGGGAAATTGATTGCAAAACTGAAAAGGCTTCAAATTAAAGCACCCTATGCTGAGTTTTGAGGAAGATGCCATTGATAACCATATTTCATCAAATCCCCAAAGGTGATATATCTTAATGACTCGTGCATGTTCAGTGTGTATAGTTATCTTTTAAAAGAAATTTTAGCAACAAGCAGAACAAATATCTTTCTTCATTCACACGACAGTACAAAATATAAAAGAAACTTGACACATGCACAATATGAAACTAGAAAGTAGCATGAATATGATAATGATAACTTCATAACCAGTGAGTAGTATCAACAAGTTTGCTTTGTTTGAAACAGAATATCATTTGCTTCATTAGATGGGGAATAATCACTCTAATCAATCATAATTGACATTCAATTTAATTCATGTGCACAATTGGAGACAGAAAAAAGAGACAGGAATAATTTCAGGCACATACACTGTCAACAACAATTACAGAAATTGATCCACTTTTTGTCAGTGTATCCACCACACTCAGTAAATTTTCAGCACAGTCTGGTTGTGAAAGAAGGAGATTATCTGTGTTTACACCAATTGATTCTGCAACTGAAGGGTTTAGTGCATGCTCCGCATCAAGGTAAGCACAGTAACCTACCAGAGAACTACATTAGATTAGGGATAAATAACAGTAACCTATCTGAGAACAAGAGATACTTCAACTTATTCAAGTCTGTTGATACAACCAACCTCCGAGCTTCTGAGCTTCTCTAATAACATGCAATGCAAGTGTTGTCTTCCCCGATGCTTCTAGCCCATAAATTTCCACCATCCGTCCCTGATAAAAACAATCATCAAATTGAAGTCTGTCATAGAAAATTCAACTTCCTGTGTGACATTAAACAATGTAGACAAGATAATTCTCAATTTCTCACTCTCATGTGAAATAACTACATAACTAGGTTTACTATGATGATATGACAACTCATGGCCATACAATTTGATTTCTTAATAATCAACAAAAACACAAACTTGTGATTAGAGATAGGTGCAACTAAGTGATCAGAAACAAACCTTAGGCAGTCCACCAATACCAAGAGCCTGATCCAGTTTCAATGATCCTGTGGAAATCACGGGGGCACGTCTAGCGCCAAAAAATCGCTGCAACGACAGCATTGATTCTTTACCAAAGTCTGCCGCAATATTTGACAGTGCCATACGTAGGGCAGTTTGTTTCTCAGTCACCCTGGAATCGTCTGTAGTATGATCATCATCATATTCATATTCCGAAGCTTCCAATAAGAACAAAAGGGTAGAATGTCAGCAATTTCAAAACTGATATCGAATTCTATCATGAGCAGAAAAGGAAATTATCAATAACATGAAACCTAACCTACGCCCGTAGATGAAGCAGCATTGCTGAGAGACCTACGCCAAGTAAATCCATTCTGAAGAAACATAGTAATTGCTATACATGTCAAAAGTTAACAAAATCACCGAACCACAGGCATTACAGCGACATAAAAAACCGTAAATCGAAGTAGAAAAAATTCAAATAAAGCATAATACTAATCCTTTTTACAGCAAAGCACCACTAGTCTTTATTTATTTATTTATTTTTTTTGAACTCTTCCAATACCTTGGAGTTGAAGAAGATGCGAGAGGAGAATCGAGAAGTAGCCGACAAAGAACACAATCTTAGAACTTTGGCTGATTGACGAGCAAATATCACCATTTTATTTCTTCTACTCTTCACGAAATGTATTCAGTGCCAAGAAGAATTAGGGTTGCTCTTCAGGTGGGATGGCGCCATTTTGCGAAGAGAGAAGGAAGAGACGGCCATAAATCGTCTTTACAAACGACAATTTCCAAATATAAAACGCGACTTTACTCCTGAAGTTAAAAAACCAAGAAGGCAATAACTTGTAGAATAGTCAAAGCATAAAAAATTCCAAATCTACGAACACACCCAGCCTGTCTTCTTCCTTCTCCAATTTTCTCTCCTGTCCAAATTCCCAATTTGCAGAAAATTAAATTACGATGTCATCTGTGATCAACCAGCTATCGTGTTTCTCTTCGATAGCCAACAATCGGCGATTGGAATTTCAATTCATCTCAAGTATCCGTACTGTAACAGTTAGTTTTGGTCCCCGGAACCTGAAGGTGCGATTTCTCTGCCTAAACTTGGAATTAGGTGTTCCTGAATTGCGATTAGTTTCCAGTGGTTTCTATTTTTAGGTTGTAGAATATCATCGATGTGAGAATCCATATATTCGTATGCTTCATATCTCTGGAATAGTGAAGAAAAGAAGGCTTGATGTAGAAAAAAAAAAGTGGTTGTGTTTCTGTCTGGCAAATGCTTTGCTCACCGCGGTTCGGGAAAGTGGAGATTAATTTGATCTGTTGAGGAAAACGGAGATCAATTTGAACTCATTGCTAAAATTGAACCAGATATATTGTTGTGCCGTTTTCTTCAATAGCTTGATGAATTGAGCTAGTTTTGGTTCCTCCTATCTTTATCTTCAGGTTCTAAATGTCGCAAGCAACGACGGCCATAGCACACAAGTATCAAGTTTGGACAACAAAACCTCCCCAGATTATGTAGAAGATGCATCAAACTTACACAAAGGAAGCTCCATAAAGTCCAATTCTCCAACAGAAAGTTTTGCTGCTGGAGGATCAAACGGACATCTTCAGGAGTCTGTTGTCACTGAACCAAAAAGGGCAGCAAAGATTCATGACTTCTGTTTCGGCATACCCTTTGGTGAGCACTTATTATATCAAAGCATAAGTATCCACACTGTTTCTGCACTCTTCAATTGTAAAATACAAAGGTATGATTTCTCTTGAAGTTGTTCTTGACTGGTCGTTTTTGAGTAATCTAACAATCAGTGTAGCTTGGTTGTGTTCGTATCGATATCTAATTAACTTGTAGATTGTTTTCCTTCATCACAGGTGGGCTTGTTCTTAGTGGTGGCCTACTTGGCTTCATTTTCACAAGAAATCCTGCGACATTAGGCGCCGGCGTGCTCTTCGGAGGTGCTTTGTTGGCTCTTAGTACTTACAGTTTGAAGGTATGGCGTAAAGGAAAATCGAGCTTGCCGTTCATACTAGGTCAAGCAGGTAATCCCATACTTCCTGTTCGAGTTGATACACAGTCTCTGTTTATCGATCAATATTCTAAAGCTTTTCAATGGTGCACAGTTCTCTCTGTGGCTCTCTTATGGAAGAACCTTCAGGCCTATTCAATGGTAAACATTCATACTTTGGCTAAACTAGTTTCATCTGTTGCGGTGTATTATACTTGACCCTACTTCCTGGCTTCGTTGCAGACGAAAAACCTCATTCCAACAGGCTTCAACATCGTCATAAGGTACTATTTGCTGTTCTTTTGACTAGATTGTTCCTTCTCTAACATTTTCGAACATTTACCAGTGCTGCAATGCTCTGCTTCTATTCGTATGTCGTGCTATCTGGAGGCAATCCACCACCAAAGAAGTTGAAGCCATCTGCTTCTGTCGAGAAATCTTCATAAAAGAATCAATTGGTAATGTAATATCAAGAATTGAAATTTTGAAGCTTTCGTATTTTTCATGTGAATCTCAATGAGAAATATGTCTTGTCTAGAGTCGTTTTTCCCACTTGTTGTACATTTAAAGTATCGATATACCTTACCCAGTGCGCACCTTCGGATAGCGGCTGCGAATTCCCACGTCATCAAAAAAAAGAAAAAAAGGTATCGATATACCTGTGATGGTCGAATCATATCCCGGAAAGCTGTTTGAAACTGCACGAGCAATTCGCACATTAGGTAGCAAAAATAGTTACATGTTCAAATATATAATCAGTCTAGTGCAGCTCAGTCACTTAGTTTCATTAGTCCAGCCAAGGCCGGGCCTTGCGATTTCCTCTTTCAGATCTTCATAATCACGAGCATCGCGAAGAGAAGCTTCAAAATCGGTGAAATCGCTTGCAACAGGTAAGAAGTTGCTTATATTATCCGTCGCCCCATAGCCCCCTGCCCGTGTCACATCATCAGAATCGACATAAGTATCAGCCACATCCCCATGTTTTAGATTGTCATTTTGTTGTCCTCCAGCTTTGTCATCCCCGGCATCTTCGTAGCCCTGAATATTCCGAAAATGGTCCTCAATGTCAGTGGAATCACCCGCAACTGGAAGAACATGACCGATATCATCAGTAGCTCCAAAGCCTCCAGCTCGCACAACTTCATCTGCAGTAACAGAAGCTTCCATATTGATTGCTCCCTCGCTCGTCACTCGAACATCATCAACTTGTCCCTTTTGGTTGTTCGTCCCAGTTGCACATGATTGAATCTTTGCTGTGTTGGATAGAAACAAGAAATGTTTCGTCATTAAGCCAATACAAACTCCAAGTTTTATTTTCAGTATAATATAAACACAGCATTTTCCAAGCTATTAAAATTTGGATAATCGAGCACATAGAAGCCTATAAACTACAGATTCATCATATGAAATTTGATCGATACAAAAAACTAGCAAGACATGGAGAACCATACGAGCTTTAACTTGGGTCTCAAAAACTACATATACATCGATTCGAAGCTTTGATGTACTTTTGCAAGGATTATGATCGGAAGATTCAAAGCATACACTCACTTTTGTAACAATTAAGAACGAGAGAAGGTCGATTAGAAAGAACTTGGTTGTTCATAAACCAAGGCCATGCCATTTCATGTAGCATTCTTGTAGTGTAAAGTGAAATTGGAATCCAATTGGTTTCTATTATTACCCAGAAAAGCACAGATTCTTATAACCATGCTAAAGATGAAAATCATTTTTGTAAGTAACCGAAGGAGCAAGAAGCCATAAATTCACTTCACCCAGCCCAAATATTCAAGAATTAGTTTCGCCTCTTGATGTAACTTAATGAAAGGTGAATGAAGAAAACAAGAAAACTGTCTGTCCTGAAACACTGCAGTGATTCATCACATTCGAATTTCCAGTCCAGGCAAATTCTAGAGCACAGACTGTTAGGAACCATCGAGGCATAAGAGCTACTGGATTAGCATTAATTTGTTAATAATTTTCAGGTACAAGTTTATCTTAGGTCAACAAAGTTACAAAATCAGGAGAAGTTCCATGATTAAAAGAAAATCAAGGTACCCTGTGAGCTTTCAGTCGAGCCAATGTCCATGACTGATTCTGAGTGCTTTATAACTCGTCTCACATCTGTCAATGGTAATTTACACGAACTATCCAATCTGCGTGAGAAATAGTTTTGAAGCTAAAGTATGATACAAAGAGAAAGCATGAAACATACAAAACCTAGAAACTGAACATGAACAACAGCTTCTAAAACTGCAAATCAACAAGTTTAAAATGCATCTCCCAAGTTGAAAACCCTAGATATTCAAATTCAACGCTCGCTAAACTGCAAAACATAACAATTAAGCAGAAAACAAAATTAATAAATCAAATCCAATAAACGTGTCAAAAGGTTGAAGAAATGAACAACACATTCATGGCAAACCAGAAATACAGAATCGACGACGATAAGGTAAAAACCAAGCCAGAAGAAGAATAAAAATTTCTGCGTAGACGCTTACAGAACAGTCACCGTAATCAGCGACGGTCGCTTTTCCAGACGAAGACGATGAAGATTTCGTGAAAACAAAAGTGAACAAGGTCCACCGGCTGCCGCCGCCGCCGTATAGAGTTCGAGTTGCGGCTGATCACGTGCTAGGCACGTGGACTCGCTTAGCAACGTGTCTGAGAATTGCTCTAATATATGTAAACAAAAATAAATTGGGTTTTATTGAGTTGAAAGTTATAAGCTAGTAAAATATTTACATTGTTTGTTTTAATTAGAAAAATTATATTTAATTTAATAATTCAAAAAGACAAAACACGTAACAATACTTTGCCAGCCATCGCCCGTCGGATTAACTTGTTCGGAGACGGCAGATGGGAATCAAAAGGCTGTTGTTTGGTTTATTAAGGTTAGAGAAAACTTAGTGGGCTGAAATTGGACTATGTGGTTGGTCTCTCTAATTGAACATTTTGGGCTCTCTAATTGGGCTCAGTCCAAAGTTTTAAATTATTAATGTGCGTTTCTTTATCACATGCAATGTAAATAAATTATTTTTATATTAAAAATGTAATATTCAATATTTAGTGTTTATTACAAAATATAGTTATATTTTATTTTATGTCTATAATATTATATTTTTACCTATATTATCATTTAAAATATTGTACTCCTATAATATTTTATATTACAATATTATTTTTAATCTCAATTATACTACACGCTTAATTTTATTTTAAATTCTATAATTTATAATTTTTTTTAAATTTTAATTAGAATGTTAATTATTTTAATTTTAATATATAATTACTTTTACCAATATATTTTTAATTATTCATTAATTATATTTATCCGGAGAATTATTCATTAATAGAGAAATGCTAAGTGGAAGCAGTGAGTATATCTTTCTAACGTTTATATTTTTATTGTTTTTTATTCGACATTATTAAGAACATGAGTCAGAAACACCTGTATATGTTTTGAACTTCATAAAAAAAGTCAAATGCACCAAATCTCTGTCCCTGCACGCGCCTTTCTCCGCGACAGCGATTTCTTCTCTCTCTCTCTCTCTCTCTCTATATATATATATATATGTAGACGCTTGTGCTATGTTTCTTCCCCATTTGGCATTTGCCAGACCAGCGAAGAGAGCTTTTTACGGCGGACGGAGGGAAGGTTGCGCCACCGCTTCTCACAGCAGCAATCTCTGTCTGAATAGCCATGTGGAGCGTCACGCGCCGTCCAGATCTGCTAGCCACATGCCTATTACTGTACTTGCTTCTCCCTTTCGGCATTCTCTTTGCCGATGAATCTGAAGTCGGTAAGAACACTACATATAGTGTAAGTTAGGCAATTGAAGGCTTTTTCTGGCGTTATTCTTCGTAGATTTTTCGAGACAGCTAATCTCAGCTACAGACAACATTAAATTAGCTCAATTGTCGTAAATGTCTGTATACAAGTTTGGCTCTGTCCTCAGATTGTATTTTCTTGTTTCATTGTTGATGGTGAGGTTCGATCTCTGCGTTTTCATTAATACTTTAGAAATGTAACACAAACGCACCTATGTGTTTGTGTAATGCTTTTTTTTTTTTCCTTTAAATCGAGTTTTGTAGTTTGGAAAATAGTAAAAACTTATATTTGATTTTATAATTTGTTAGATAAATATATATTTGATCTGACCCTTAAGGTGAGATGAAAAAATATTTGATTTGATAAATAGCGACAAAAGTGTGCATATGAATAAGCATACAGAGCACAAAACTTGTAAAAATCCATGAAATCTTCTTCTTTTGTTCATCGTCAAGTTTATATATATAATATTGTTGCTTTTTTTGATGAAATTCTGCGTGTGCATAAGTTAAGGCATATGTTTTCAGCATTCTTTATCTGAAAGTTCCATCGTTGCTTTGGAATCTTGATTTATACAATTAACAAAGAGAATCAATTCATGTTCTTCGGACAACATTGGAAGAAACAGCTGTTTGCTGTTTCTGATTCTTACCAAGGCATAATGTATTTTTGAGTGAATCATCAAATGAGATCCGATTTTCTTGTGTCTTAACAGAGGATGAGTCTGAATTCACTTACACTCGGCACAGTGAAAAGGGGCCGGAGAATTGGGCAAACATCAACCCTCATTGGAAAGCCTGTGGGAGCAGGAAACTTCAGTCCCCGATTGATCTTGTAAATGAAAGAGTCGAGGTTTCTCCTATGCTCGGGGGATTGAAACGAACCTACAAACCGGCGCCTGCTGTAATAAAAAACAGGGGACATGATATCACGGTTCGTCTTATGTTGTTGTCTTGTCTCCATTTCCGGCCTTGTTTTTCTTTCGAAGAATGTTAGTTAGTTCTCTTGCAGGTTACTTGGCAAGGAGATGCCGGAGGTGTTGTAATAAACAGGACCGAGTATCAGTTACTGCAATGCCATTGGCACACGCCTTCCGAGCACACGGTGGATGAAAAAAGGTTCGTTCATATTGCATTTGCTTCCATTACAACATAGTACATTCGGAAAACAATGGAATCTAATCTTGTCTTGAATATCTTTTTCCAGATTCAAGATGGAGATTCATCTGGTTCATAAAAACTTGGCAGGACAAATTTCTGTAGTCGGGATCTTGTACAAATTGGGGCGCCCTGATCCATTTCTTGCAAAGGTAAGCAATACATGTGTTAAATGACCATCTAACTAAAAACTTAATTAGTGGAGAATGATGCATTGTTAATTACATATTATACTTCTAACATCATGTAAGAACTTTGATAACAAGATGAACCTCACAAGACTATATATATAAATTTAACACGATTCAAGATTCTGCAGCTTCTTGAAAACATCAAGACTTGTGGTCATAAAGGAACTAATATTGGTGTCGTCGATCCATGGGATATCAAATTCGGAAGCAGAAAGTACTTCAGATATGTTGGATCTCTTACAGTTCCCCCTTGCACAGAAGGTGTTCTTTGGACAATCTTAAAGAAGGTGAGCTTTGGAGCATCCTAGGTTTCATTTGCTAGAGCGTGCATTCGATGTAATTGTAGAAGCTCGACGAATTTCCTTCTTTTGTAGGTAAGGACGGTGTCACAAGAGCAGATGAGAGCCCTTAGGGATGCTGTCCACGATGTAAGGCTCTGTTTATTTGAAGTTTTGTTTATAATATCACATAAAAATATAATATTATTTCATTTCGAATCAAATTCCAGAACACAAAACCAAAGCATAGTTCTTATGCTCTAACAATACATACATATAGAAGATAGATAACTAGCAAATGCTTTCAACTAACAAAACATGTGCTGACAAATATCCTTTATAAGCATACTGTATGAATGTGTTAAAAAAATTAGTAATAGTATATAATGTACATACTATTGTCCTAATAGTCCCAGAATATTGTATTTGTATTATATGTGTTACAGTATATTAAATTATTGTTGCAGGGGTTCGAAGACAATGCAAGGCCAATACAGCGCAATTCAGGCACAATGCCAGTGTACATGTATCGTCCCGGAGGCGATTAAACGCCAAAGGATGTTGCAACAACAATGCACAAATTAACGTATGAACTCTTCTAAATATTGATGTCCGAAAGAATACACAGTGAGATTATCCGACATTTGCTGCTTGTAATATTTGTCTGCAAATTAATGGTTGAATTATGGTAACAAAATTCAGTGATAAATTTCGCAATCACAAATGCCAGTATTAATATAAATTTATACTAACAATATCAAATCGTCAATTTTACTTATGTGAATTTCGCCATTTTTTGTTTACAGTTTTTCGGAAATAAAGTTTATTGTTGGTCCCAAAATTAGTGAGAATGATCACATTTGATCCATCTAAAATTTTTATTTTTGTTATTGAATAAATTTGATTTCACAGCAAACTCTCTCTAGTTGGGCTCTCGAGTTTATTTCATAAAATCTAGACCCGAGCAGAATTGAAATAGGTTGAACTTGCCCATGGGCATTAATGAAGGAATTGCAGGTTTGAATGTCCGAAGACGACCGACGACGACGATTAATAACTGCAAATTAAAACACCTCCCAATTCATCAACGGTTCATACACCAACGCCACCCCACCCCTTCCATAAGAGCCTCGAAATTCTTCGCAGGGAATAATTTCCCGACAGCGACGTCTCCTCATCAGATCTGAGTGTCTATTACTTACTTACTTAGGGTTTTATTTCCACCACAAATTGCAGGCAGTACTACTGCAGCTGCCGGAATCCCCCGCCATTTAATTTCCCAAGCACTTATTCTGTCTTCCTCGCTCTTTCCAAATCCTAACAGCCATTGTATATACATGTATATGTATCTATATATACCTCGTTTCTGTAGCATCCCTCCCAATCTACAATACTAACAACAATAATAATATACCGTTGGTTCATTAAGACAGCAATGGCTACTTTTCGTCTATGTCTGAATCTGCTCCTTGCCTCTCTGCTTTTGCACCAATTGCTTTCCACCGTTGCTCACACCAATGAAGTTGGTAAGTAAATCTCCTTGCTCAATATATCAATCAATTCCAGCACCATTTGTATAATATCCATATATATAATCCCATCCTGTTTGTTTAATTAATTAGAACTACTTATTGTTGCAATGGAATTGCAGAGAATCAGCATGACTTTACGTACAGTGTGAACATGACAACCGGTCCTCACAATTGGGGCAAGCTGAATCCGAATTGGACAGCCTGCGGCATCGGACAATTCCAGTCTCCCATCGACCTCGTCGATTCCCGCGTCGTCGTCCTGCCCGCCCTCGGCAGCGTCATCCGACTCCACAAACCGGCTCCGGCCCAAGTCCAAAACCGCGGCCACGACATCACGGTAATTAGTTACGCTCCATTTACATCTAATATAATTTTTAGAATTTTAGAAAAAACAATAAAAATCTAATATTTATATGTATATACACACGTTTGATTTGTTGTGTGGATGGATCGTCTTGTGGCGGCAGGTGAAGTGGGTGGGAGATGCCGGCGGCGTGATCATAAACGGGACCATGTACAAACTTCAGCAATGCCATTGGCACACTCCCTCCGAGCACACCGTCGAAGGCCGAAAGTATAAATCCTTTCCTGTTACTTTCATTATTTTATTTAGCATTATTTTATATATATTTAAAATGTCATATTATATTTTTATTTGTTTTTTGTTTAATGTATAATTATTTTTTGAATCTGAATCCTTAAAATATTTTTGGAAACATATCTAATTCTCGGATGGATCTTTTTTAGATACCCTATGGAGATGCATATGGTCCATCAAGACTCTCGCGGCCAGATCGCCGTCATTGGCCTTCTCTACAATGTCGGAACTCAAGATCCGTTCCTCGCAAGTGTGAGTAGCGCCAAAATAACATGCTTCAGTCTTACAAAAGAAATATTTATTTTTTCATTTTATCTGTGAATTCGCTAACATAGTGTTGTTGTGTGACTAATCTTCAGCTTCTACGGAACAACAGAAACATTAGTCATATCGGACAACACATGGGAGTCGTCGATCCGAACCAAATCAGATTCGAAAGCCGGCATTATTTACGATACATTGGCTCGCTCACAACTCCACCGTGTACGGAGGGCGTCATCTGGACGATCTTAAGACAGGTATCATCCATCCAAGCTAGTATTATTATTAATTCAGACACATATACTTCTGGGCATACGAGGTATATAAGTTTCCTCCGAGATTTATTCCGTTTCTTATTTACAGAGAAGCACAGTTTCAGTTCGACAAATCAAAGGTCTGAGGAGGGCTGTTGAGGATGTAAGCACACATTTCTCCTATAAGGATACTCTTAAATTATTAATATTAATAATAATCACCTCTATACCAATTATTAAATTGTACAGTGTATATATATGTATTTAATGTAATTGAGGACATATCAAATTTTGCAGGGATTCGAAAACAATGCAAGGCCAATTCAGCATTATACGAAGCCTGTGTTTATAAATCGTCCAGACAGGGAGCCCTGAAACCCTTCCATTTCTCTACGGTGAACTTCGCTGCGGTTGCTGCAACTACTACTATTGTTTGATTTTTATGTCCTCCGGCACCGGAGGAGACATACTACCTAATAATATTTATTCGTGTGATTCGTTATATATTATGATGTAATCTACTGAGGATGTTATTACATCATCAATTCCATACATACATATATATATATATGTGTGTGTGTGTTCATTGTTTCTAGAAGCTTCTAGAAGTCTTGATTTAAACCCACAAAACAAAGCCAATTCAAATGCAGAGCAAAAAACTAACAGAGAAACTTCAAGATTCACTCACAATCACAATCACAATCCAGAGGACGATGTAATAACCATACATGCACTAGAGAGTTAGTTCTTACAATAAAAATTGTACATTATGCGATGAGGAAAGGAAGAACAGTCAGCATGAAGGTTTCGTAGTTGAACGTCACCGAGCCCGTGAGCCCGGTGTCCTTCTCCTTGAATTTCTCCGTCAGTCCCTGAACAATTGTGACGCGCATAGCTGATGTTAGAACTGTATATACAATAAATGGTTTCGTATCGAGTTTTAAGGATTCAAATGGGATGTGAAAGAGTTTACCTTAACAGTGAGGCAGCATCTGGCCGACAAGCGAATGATGGAAAGGATTAGTTTCAATTTCAAATGATGTTATTAAAAGATGTAAAGATCGAACATTCGAAGGGAACGTACTCGATGAAATTGTCGTATTCAATGGCCCTGTTTTTGCCGCCGCTTTTGTCGAACTTGGAAACAAGTAAATCGAGGACTGCAGGCGACACTGAAAACCCGAGGCTAAGGAGAGCCTCCCGCAGTTCAGATGTGTCGATTCTTCCACTTTTGTCCCTATCAAATCGCTCAAATATTGCCTGCACGAGATGGCACCGAAACAGTGTAAAGAGATAATGCCATCTAGTATAGAATAGACACACTATCGAATAGCTATAGACAAAGCAACTAACCCTCCAACTCTGAAGACTGTAAAAGACCTGAGAAAATTCCTTCGGACCTGCTCCAGATTATTATATCAAATCCATGAACAATAAAAAAACCGACCAACATATTACAAAAGATTCATACATTCCCTTCCTGCAAACAATTCACAGTGATTCCAACAAAACATATGTATCGAAGTCCTATGTAGTTAGTTTGTGTATCCAATCTTGTTTTTGCATAATACATTTTTCGTCCTAACAGCATCCAAAGCCTATTTTTCATTAATAGGATTTCAACTCCAAACACAAACCAACCACCAATTTTTTCACATCCCTAAACCAGCCATTGTCAACAAACTAAACAAATTTGTAAAAGAGTGACGAACATCACCATCTGTGAGCCATTTCAATCATCAACCTCTGAATCAAGAACAGAAATAATAATAGAACACTTTTTCCCCAATCCAATATTCAAGAATCCAAACAAATCCAACAAATATCACATCCCAAAGGGTCCAAAAGCAGGTGGATGGGTAGCTTTCCTATCCTATGAGATCTTCGCAATCCAAAGTTGACCAAGATTAATTGCCTTTCCCCCTCCATTAAGTCAAAAACTATCCAACTGCCCTCCCTCTAAGGAAAAACTATCCAACTGCCCTATATGAATCCACTCTCAGAATTTCAATTGATTAAAAATCTGGAAAGTAGCTTAGATGCTTTATTGGTCTTTTCCATGAGACTGAAAAGTAGCTCTTGTATGACACTTGTAAGAAACTAGAAATTAATATCATCTAGCTTGAAATCAATCCAATTTGCAGTAGAGCAGTGTAACAGTTACCAGAATTCTGATTGATAAGGCTAAAAATTGGGTCAATTTTTATGTGTTAGGTATTCGATTATGAAAATTGAAGGTGAAATTGAAGAATTGAGTAATTGAACTATTTTACGGTTTCGAATCTCATTTGGGAAACTTAAAATCGGCGATAATTCGCAGATGCTTACCGATCTTTCTCACGTTGGTGTTGGTGAACAGATACATCAACAGGTGAACCGTCCTGAGCCCGAAACTCTGATTGTACGTCGATAGCGCGCGCTGAAGCTCCTTATCGTCGATAAAACCGCTCCCGTCCTGATCGGCCACCTGGAAGCACGCGATCACGTTCGGATCCGTTCCCGGAGGGAAGGCGGACGGAACTAAGGAGGCGAACGGACTACCGTACGGGGCTGTAGGCTGTGGATGATGTCCGGCGTACCCGCCGTAGCTTGGCGGCGCCGCTCCGTGGGGAGCTTGCTGGCTCGAGTACGGAGAGGGTACGGGAGCGTAGGGCGACTGCTGGTTGGGAGGTGCTGGGGATGGACCGCCTGGCTGATGAGCGCCGTAGGGAGCGGAGGCGTAGGGTTGAGACGGCGGAGGAGCGGACGAGTAGGGCTGAGACGGCGGAGGAGCGGAGGCGTAGGGCTGAGACGGCGGAGGAGCGCCGTACGGATAGCCGGAGGGGTTTGGGTAATTCGACATTATGAATCTACGATGGTTACTGAACTGCGAGCAGATGCAGAGTGGAATTTATTGCAACGGACTTGATATTTTGGGGTCTGAATTTTTGGATATTTTCAAAATGGCCACTCCGAATGCTTTTTTAATACCATTTAAATCTGAGGTTAGAGTTGTAAATTCATGTCTGGGATGGCAGATGTTCTAATCGTCAAGGACGCGTCCGCTAGCGCGTACGCGGTCCACTGTCCACGTTTGTCGTCACGTCACCAAAAAGATATCGGACACGGACAATATATATATTTTTTGCCTTTTTTTTTCTTTTATTTTTTATGAAAATATAATTATATCCTCATCCATCAAATCTTTCTTTTTTTTTTTGTTAGTACATTAAAAAAAAATTATATTATAAGTTGTAGATAATTCTTGTATTTTTTAAATTTAATTTATTTTTTATTTTTAATATCATACTCCCATCATCTATTAAAATTAGCTCACCGGACATAAATTTTAAAAAAAAAATAAATATTTTAATGGAAAAATGATAAATAGTTTGAAGTATTTTTGAAAATTTAGTTAAAAATTAAAGTAAATAAAGAGACTAAAAAAAATGAGAATAAATATGATGAACTGAGGGAGTACTTATTAACAAATATATTGTTAGTATTTACTCACTTATTTTATAAAAAAAAATCTCAGATACTAACGAAATTTGCACATGAATATACGTCGAATAAGGACGCAAATTCGAGACTTATGACTCTTATATTATGTTAATCGTCTAACAAAACTCATATCTTGTGTTGTTAAATTAATACTCTCTTCGTCCCAAACACTGCAATATTTTCTTTTTAGTATGTTCCAAACATCCTCCAACATTTCCAAAATAGAAAATAATTAATTACCCCCACTTTATTTACTCACATCATCCAAATAAAAAATTTAAAAATATATTTCTCTCTACATTACATCACCTAATTTCTAAATTATCATACTTAATACTACCCACCTAAAAAACCATACCAAAAGTAAATGTTGCACCTTGTTTGAGACGGAGGGAGTATAATGTTCTGTAACTTCCGCCTACTTAATTAGTTTAAATCGCAGTTCAATAAAAGAAATCGACAATTATCGAAACAAATAAAAAAAAAACACCGTAATAAAATGATCAATCAACAATATTGAAATTGAGAGCATTCGCAAATCCAAAGAAGGAAATCAAGCAGAGTAAGTATTGTTGTATCGTATAAAGTTTTATGTATGTATGGTATCGTATAAGTCGAGTCGAGCCGAGCTAAGCTTAGTAGAATTGAGTCGAATAGAGTTGCGACAAGTCACGGCAAGGGTGGGCGAGAGAGCAACGACGGCCTATAGAAGGCATGACTCTGCGCAATCTCTATACGGTCGCGCGGGTCGTTGAGGTTCTCGTCTCTAAGCGCTTCAAGAATCGCCTCGGCCCCTTGTTCCCTACAACAAATAAGAATTAGTATCGAGTACCTCATTTTTGAACTAGCTCTACCCCCAGGCTCAAAAGCTCATTAGAATTTCATTTGGATTGCACTCTAATAATTCAAAATTAATCAACATCATGCTAATTATCCTTAATCAACAAATACAAATATAAAACAGACAACACATAATTTCAATTAACGCAGTACAATATATACTAAATTAATTGAGATTATTGCGTTGATATTAATATAATATTATATTTATTAAAACTCGTGTCTAACTCAAATGAACATATGTTTGACGAGTAAAGAGACTATATTATACGATGAAATAAATTGTATTATGTATTGTATAGACTATTATCATCGGTTTATATGTTTTATTTGTATCTATAATAAAAAATATCGAACCCTTGGCATAAGTTTTTGAGAACCTTTTACTCTGATTGAATGAGTTTGAGTCTGAGTTTTCGAACAACTCAGCTCGTATAACAGCTCTAGTCATGTTACCTCGTAATGAGAATTTTATAGAGAATCTTGAGGATGGGGCAAAGCTCGACTGGCGCGACAGCCTTGTTTGCTCCCGGGTGCAACACGTTCAGGCTCGGCTGGCTTAGGAGCTCATAAAACGCTTCAATGGCGGAGATTCCCTAATCGACATACGAGAAAAGAATTTGCGTTCGAGCAAACATAAGCAAGCCGAGGTTGTAATGAATAATGTACATACTGATTCTACCTGAATGGTGCCTTTGCCGCTAATACTATCGCCCATGTCCAAACTCAGCTGTCCGACTGCGATCATTTGTCCGTACCACGCGTTCCGGCCTTTCAAGAGGGTCACATACGTATCCGCAAGCAACGGCCCGGCAAGTCTCTCGGGTTCCTCCGTCAGAAGATGCGTAATGAATATCATCTCGGACGTGCAGTGCGCGAAATACACGGATTTCCCCGTCGCGCTCTCCTTCGTTAAAGCCGCCACCATGCCTGGTCGGATTCGAGACATCCGCGACTTGGAACTAGTAATCGAAAGATTTTAAGGCAATGTAATAACGAGACAACTGGAAATCTCTTACCGGCCCCGATGGCGTAGACGTTCTTTAAACCTCCCATGACTTCGTGCGTCACGAGATCGCTGTTGTCCCACACGATGAAATGAGGCTGCCTCAAGAACTTGGCGAGAGGCAGCCGCCACTTCTCCGACCCACAAATGCGCGCGTTCGCATACTCCTTGTTGTAAATCTCCGATGCGATATTTGGCCCGCCGAGGTACAAAATGTTCTCTATCGGGACTCCGGCTGCCAATGGAAGCTTAGTAAGTTAACATTTTGAATGATGATTTATTTCTCAAATTTTACTATTTGAATTTTACGTTTCTAAAAAATATATATCTCACAGAATATCACATCAAATATTATTTTATAAATCAAATCTTCCTAATCCAAACCCAAACACACGAATCGAGTAAAATCGACACCGCAACTTACTCGCTTGATTGATCATTTGTGTCGGAGTGATTATTCGTGGCGTCGGGTTCAATTCAGCTTCGATACCTGTTGAAAATGAACAGATCATGAATACAATACGATGTAAAAAATGCATATATCGATCAAATTTAACAGAGAAGGCGACAATCAAAAGTTACCCTTCGCCAAAGAAATTATGATCGGTGTTGAGATCCTTTCCTTCCAATAATTCCGAATCTCTTCAAAAACTTCACGGGTATCAGTCGAAGGCAGCCCGTTGATGACAATATCGGCATCCCAAACCGCCTCTTGTAAGTTCGTGACAACCTTCATCGGACACAAAGGCGTATCGATCATATTCAGACAGAATCCATCTTTCAAGATCTCGTCTGCATATAAAGTCCGGTCGCCGAGCCGAGCCTCGACATATTTCAGGTACGCGCATCGTCTGATCAGCCTCCGCAGCACATCCTCCCGGGAATTGATCACTTCAAAGAGATGCTCAGCCGTCGCCCTGTCGACAGCCCGGCCCGGCCTCCGCCATATCCGAATCTGAAACCTGTCCCGATATTGGCCGTAGCTGTCTTGCAGCATGGCTGCAAATACACTGCCCCACGCCCCCGCCCCGATCCCGACGATCCTCAGAGGATCTCCGGCAGCTTTGCCGAGAATTCCCCGGAGCTCATCAAGCTTTTCCGATGCACCGGAAGAGCTCGACGAAGCAGAGCCGTTTGAGTAAGAATTAACATCAATGCTGCTAACCATCTTTACAGATTATCAAAATTTGAGCAACCAAAAACACCAAACTACTCTGCAGAATTAAGCAGAAATGATCACAATCAGTCCACAGGAACATTCACAAAAACAAAAAAAAAAATAAAAAACAAAGCATAACAAATGGATTGAAGAATTTGGAGGAATTTCTAACTTAAATACAGTTTGTGGATTTGATTTCCTTTCCTGTTAAGCGTTTCACCGTCACTTTCTCGATCTAACAATTCTATTAACGATTCTCAAGCTTTTTAGGGTTTCCAGATAATCAGGATAACTACGAACAAGTGAAAATTTCACCTAAATCTGACCTAATTTCTGACTAAGAGAGGATTATCAAACCCTACATTTCAGTAATTTCCGCAGGTAGAGACAGGGGAAAGAGCGATCGAAGTGCAAACATAATTGCAATTAAAGTAATCGAGAAATCAAAGAAGGCATTGTACTTTCCGCCAGGGTTAGTTCATCTACCAAGCAGCAGAACGAAGAGTCAAAAAATTAAATAGTGACAATGACTCAATAATCCAGAGACAGAGAGCAAAACAAAATGATAGGCACGAACCTAATTTCTTGTCGATTACTTCAAATCTCTAACAGACATCCAGAAATTTCCATCAGAAGAAAGGCATGATTTACTGCATCCTCTCAATGTTATAAACTTGGAAACCTTCAAGCAAACAAATTGGCATTATATAAACACACACATGTATGGATCATTGTGTGAGAGAGAGAGAAAGAGAGGAGAGAGAGAGCATTGATGGAAGCAGTTGTGATTGATGAGAGAGGCGCCATAGGCCATAGCTAAGCTCCAAAGCATTTAAGGATTTGGGATGGAGCCAACGCTTCAAACGGTCATTAATTTCTTGAGGCCGGACTTGCCCTCTTTCACCTTAACTTTTTACTTTGTTTATTTTTTATTGTGAAGTTAGAAAATTTTAAAAATACTATAAAGAATTATATTATATATATTTGTTCTTTAGATATTATACTCTTTGTTATATAAAATTATAGTACTGTTCATTTATTTATGTCGTTAAACTTTTGTATTTATTAATTTATATAAAATTATATTCCTATTTACACAATCAATTTTTATTAATTTTTAATAAATTTATGTAATATTTCATTTTTCTTACCTATTTAATTTTAATATTAAAAAAATATTATTATTTTAGTATTCATTTCCAAATAAACTTACATAAATTTAAACGCTGATCAATTTTATTTTATTTTTTATATTTTCTATTAATATTATTAAAAAATAGTACTATATATTTATACAAAATATAATATATATTATTTCTTATATTACCCACTAATTACCTCGTCCAACACAAAGAAATACTTAACACTTAAATTACAAAACAAACACACCCTAAATAAACACAAATTTTATTTATTTATTTGAATAGGGTACGAAATCATTTTAGATATGTTTTAGGTGATTATTTATTTTTTAGAGATTTAAATTAAAATAAATGTATGACCGAACAATTAATTATTTAAATTAAATTACTAGTATTATAGAGCAAATCTCCTTTAAACAATAAAAAGTTGTTGAACATTTCATAGGTTCATAAATCATAAATGTCAACTTTTAAAAAAAATTAACTATAAAAATAAATAAATAAATAAATTAGTAAAAGAACATTTCAGATATGATAAGATTGAGTGCTCACCCGATTAACTTTCATTACAAGAAATTGGCAGTGATTAGTGATTTGTATTTTAATTTTTCGTTTATAATACTAACTCTTTCTTTCGGGCTCTAAAATCCCATCTACTTTCTGCGTATTAATTTTTAATATTAATTATTATATCAAAACGTAATATAAATTAAAAAAAAGATATTACAAAAATACTTGTATAATATTTTATAATACTAATAATACAATAACGTAAAATATAAATGTGATCCAAATGATTGAAGTATTATTTATTAGTTATCTTTTTTAAATAATTATGTCAAATGTTTTTTTATAAATATCAAGAATGCATTTAGTTTGGGTTTACAATTTAAATCAATATTTTAGACCACATATTTTGAATAAAAACACACTTTCAGTGTTAAAGTTTTAAACTGGTATTTTTATAATAAAATTCTTGTGTTGAAATATGTTATTTAATACAGTAAGATTTTTGTTTATCTATTAATATAATTAATGAAATTTGTGGAATACAATATTTTATATACATATATACATACGAAAGAAAACAAGATGATCTTAGAACTTATTTGCTTTGGGCCACAGACAAAATCTAACATTATTAATTTAATAAATACACTTTTTTTTATATATATAAAATATCCTATTAAATATTATTTTTTAAAAATTGGATAGAAAAAAAAAAAAAAAAACCAACGCTACTATAGATACAAAAATAGCAAGTGGTTCATGGAACTGAAACATGAATATCAATGTAAGCATTTCTGAAGTACCAAAATATGCTACTATATCATATTCATATGTATCGATCATTCTTTGTAACACCAAAACCTAACCAAGATCACATTCATTACCTTTCCATAAATCTATATCTTGTAGTAATCCAAAACTAACCTTAAACTCCTGTCCTAAAGCTCTCTTCTTTCTACTCATCATCTGCTTGTTACTTCCAGTCCCAGTCGTTTCTGAAGCTCAGCCTTCCGAAGTTTATAGTAGCCCGGTATCTTCCGAGCCTTGCCAATTGCCCTGAGATCCTTGAGCAATAATCTGCTTCCATCCTCGATCATCAGTGGAGGATTCGCAGCCGAGTCCTTGGCAATTATTGCTAAATTTGCTTCCTCGCCCGGGATCTCATCATCTGGCTTTTCCAGCTTCATCAGGAACTTCCGGATGCTCGTCCTATCTCTGATATTCTGTGTTAATTTCCTTTTCTTCCGCGAAGTGAGGGAGTCGTCTGATGAAATATCTATAACAGGAGCTAGACTCGAATCTTGCTGTGCATGTTTCTTGCTGCTCTTTCCAGAAGTTTCTAGAGCCCCAAGACTTGTCTGTTCCTTTAAAGTTTGGGTCGATGATGATGATGATGGGCGCTTCTTCTCGGGCTTCCAGGAAGATGTCGGCTTGGCCATGTTGAAGACAAGGTTCTTGATTTCGGGTATTTGTGGCAGTTCAATTTTTGGCGCTGTGTTTATCTTCAGCATGTCGGGATGTTTTGTTATTCCATTGAATAAACCCGAAAATGGGGATGAATTGGTATCCTTCCTTTCAGTTAATTGAGTCTCCAATGCCTCAGATTTTCCGGAGAATTTTGTTCTTTTCCCTTTCACCATCACACATCTATCTGTTGTCGCCTGTCGTGTCTGATTTGAAGCTTCAGCAATTTGTTTCAGACACTGTAATTGAGTATCGCAAAGAGCACATCAGTAGCAGAAGGATCATCGCGATTCACAGAACATAAATGAGTCCTAATTTTAACATACAAATTTATCTGCAGTATTCATTTGGAATTATTAATCTAAGGCTAATGAGGTTTATTAAATCTCGAGTACCTTCATTGTTTGTGCAATTCTTAGTTCTGTTTCTTGCAACTTCAGAGGCGAATTCGCCGCATTCTTTTCATATCGAGCCCTGGATTGAGTGATAGTTTCAACGCGGAAAACCTCCTTATCAGCTCTGGTACCGGTGGTCGAATCTTTTATCATCTGATAGAATAGCTGGAGCAGAGACAAGGCAACAAAATGAATTGAATCATCATAAATAGAGATCGATGAACTCAATCTATTTATATACCTCTGTTTTGTTGAAGCTTCTCCACCCTGACTTTGCAGGAGCCGAAACTGGCATTCGCTTTCTCTGTAGTTTATTCGGATCCTTCGCAGTCTTCACAAAAAGATTATCATACAGACATTTATCAGCATCTGAAATGCACTTCATTGCCTCAACATCTTTCTTCTGTATATAAAAAGCACCAACATACATTTCTGATTGAGGTTGATAAATAACTAAGGCTATACATACTTCTTGGAAAATAAATAAATGGGATCTATTTTAATCCAATGATAGCAATTAGCAGCGTGACAATAAATCCCTTCACATAGTTAAAGTTTTAGAGCTTGTTAGTTATATACCTTATGGGAATCATTTATAATCTTATCTTCAAGGTCCATCACCAGACTGTTTCTCTTATTGCTTTTCTTCAGATTGGAGCATTCCTTTTCATCTAATTTCTTATCTTGCTGTGACCTTGTTGCTCCTAAACTCTTCTTGCCGAACTCCAAACCACATGAACCTGATATCTGTGTGGCAACAAAACATGAAAATATCTTCCTAGCAATGTTAATGAATTTCTACTAGAAGCAAAAACTTTCTGTAACTTGTACTTGACCTGCTTAATTTTTGCTGAGGAATAGTTATCCAGTAAAGGCTTCACTAGATCATGTAATCTTGGAGGCAGTTTGAGTTGTTCCGATTCAACAACTGAACAATTCACCTCTTCTTTATTGTCCGTCTCTAGGGGCCGTGTCAAATTTTCAAGATAATCAATCTTATCTCTTACTGCTGCAGAGCATGGTTTGGACCAATGTTCATCATCCCAAGCCAGTTGACACTGAAGCATCACTATATCTTCTTCAAGTTTTACAATTTCATCATCTGCTTTGTCCATCAGTATCCTTAGCACTTGTATACAATATTTTGTGTTCAAGGCATCTTCTTCTATCACATCTACACGACAGAAATGAAGATTGAGAAAAGTAAACATTTCTTAGGCTTGTGATACACTGAAAGCTAGTAACATTTTAATAACTCACCATGCCACAAGTAAAGGTCAGAGAAAGGCTCAATGGCGTTGCAGTAGCTGCTCTGGTTGTCGACTAGGGACGAGTAGTTTTATTACATTAGGCTAACAATTTATTATAATCTAAGAAATAAGTAATGAACACCATTACTTTTCTAAGAACAATTCAATACATTCACTGAAGATAGCAAAAGTGATCCACTTACAGGGACACACGTGAACTTGATCATCCCAGGGTTCCCAAAGAGTTAAATCCATGGTTCATATCAGCTTGAAACACACAAAACCTCATTTAGCAAGTTCAATGTATATTATGTATATATATATATAGATGTCGATCACTCAATGCTTCTGAAGGTAAATACAGAAGAAAAACTATCTAGAAAACAAACACAAAACCCTACATATCACGAATAGCTGATAAACCAAATATTACTCCAGTAATATCAAAAATCATGAAAATAACTCTTAGATTCTGAAGCGCATAAACCTATCGTGCACAGCGTGAACAATGTGCCTCAGAGAGTACTAACAAAGACGAATTACCTCCGCCGCCAATTTTTTAACACTAAACTGTTGCTCAAAGTCACAGAGAAACTTACCTAAAAATAAAAAACTTCACAAAGCACACAATGCAAGCATGAAACGGACACTCAAAGCATAACAATACCTAAAAACCAGAACAAATCACACAAAGTCACCACGAACCATACCGACCAAACGCAGTCGATCAAGCAGAAACAAAATAAACATACTTAAAAAAGAGCGAAGAAATCTTTGAGGAACGTTCACATAAAATCGAAGAAAGGAAGCTCCAAGCTCTGCACCAGTAGCTGAACTCATCAATGGAGCAAAATGTTCGCGGCAGAGCTCAGCGACAACATAGGAATCTCACAAAAGGGCATTATTGTAGTTACGTAAACTCTCAGGGTGGAATTCGAAATTTTAAAATTCATTTCTTTTAAAATTTAACAATAATTTGAAATAATAATGTGGCCCCCACCTTCAATTATCCTCCTGATATAAAGTGGTGGCCCACTCACGCCTTTCTATGTTGATTGAGACTTGAGGTTTCAAATATTAAAAAATTATTATATGTTTATTAATTTAAATATTTTACATACTTAATTCGGTCCATTTTCGTCCGTCCGAAAACAATGTTACTATATTTTAATTTAGTAATTGTACTATCTACTTAATATAATAAATATTCTTTGTATATTACATAAATATCATTAATTTTATATTATATTATATTAATAGGAGTATTTTTGTTTTTTTACTACAATTTAATATAATATTAATATTAAAAAATTTACTTACAAAAAGCAACGTCACTCTTAAAAATATATATTATATAAATATTATATTTATAGAAAATACTAAGAGGGATTATTATATTTAAATGAAATATATATTATATAAATATTATTTTTATAGAAAATACTAAGAGTCATTCGTTTTAACAATTTTATTTATTTTTTTATGTTATTATATTTGACATTAAAAATATATTTATATTTATATAATTTTTTAGATAATGATCGTTATAATAGTATTATAAGACACTAATATAAGTATTTTTACATTTTTTGCAAAAAGTAAATGAGATTCTTATAGTCGGATGGAGGTAGTATATTTTTCTTCTATTTCATTTTAACGTATGTACTAGATTAAAAAAATAATATTTTATTGATTAATAGAAGTACGTAGGAGGTTTTGATACGGTTGTATTTGACTTTATTTTTAAATAATATATTTGTAATTTTAAGTAAAAATTTAAAATATTTTAATATTAGTGAATGATTAATTTAATTAAAGTAGAAAAGAAATATTCTTTGAGTGGTAGACGAAAATAGAAAAAATATTTATTATTCACGATAAAAATAAACTAATTTTATATATTAAAAAAAATATTTTAAATGCAGATAAAAATATTCATTTATTGATAAAGTGGTATGTAATAGGATATTGATTTATACTTTGTTAAATATATTTTATATTGATTAATTTACTAAAAATACAAATGTGTTAATTGTTATTCGACAATTAAAATAAAAAAATATATCCATTATTATCGACCTATGAAATATTTAAATATTTTAATTTATCTAAAAAAAGATAAATAAAATCATATGTATCCATGTAAGAAAATGGAAATGCAGTAACCGAGTGGGAATCCATAAAAATAGATTTGAAGTTGTTGAAGGCAAGTAAAAGCTTTTTTATTTTTGACTTTCGAAATAATGAAATTTACAGATTACCCAAACAAGGCCTAGTACTAAAGGCATGGTCCTAACCTAATCCTCCTAAACATAATTACAGCCACAGGTCACAATCCTTATGCCCTGTTTGGATGGCTACGAAATGTGCCTCTGCATTACTTTTCAAGTATGTGTTGAAAAAACGAAACTTTGGTTTTATTCCAAAATTTCCACTTTTTGTTACTCCTTCTTTCGAAAATAAAGACACCCGCAACCGGGGGTTTCTCCATGTAGAGAAATTCCACGTCAGTATTTAGGCAATTAAAAAAATTATATAATTACTTTTGTATTTCTCACTTCGTGGGTTGTCTAAAATAAAAAAGTCAATAATGTTTTTAAGTTTATATAAAGAATAATACTTCACCAAATATAAGTATATATATTTAAATAAATAATATCAAAATTTTCAAAAAATTAAAAGAATGAGAGTATAGTTAACCAAAAATAAAAATGATAATGACAACACATATTTTAAATATAAATAGAGATAATAAATATATTTATGTGACAGAGCAGAGCATGTGCTATCTACATTTTTTATCTATGATGTTTGGGGGTGTTTATTTTTTTAAATCCCCAAGTAGTCCAACCAATGTAAGTAGGCATTATTGTTTGATTTAATTAAAATCAGTTTATTTATAAAAATAGATGCAATATGTATTTCATGTAAATTCAATGAAATTGGTGGTTGATTGCTAAACATTCAAATGGGCCAATATACAAATTTAGCCCTCACTTCCGCAAGAGCACAATAAATTGAAAGTCTCTGATCCATATATATTGGATCATCATTTTTATTTCATAATTAATTGATCCACATAAAAACACAGTACAAATAATAATAATAATAATAATAATAATAATAAAACAATGACATAAAAATTAAATGTAACTTTTTCAGCCGAAAAAAATATAATGATACAATAATATTGAAATGTTAAGTACAATAATATAAAAGCTAAATTGAAAAAATGAATATATTCTTCAATTTCCAAGTTTTTAACAAATTTTAGCTTGAAATTGATAAAAATCTTGACTTAGAATTTATTTGATATCATTCACATAAATATATATTATAAAAAGCAAAAAGTACAAAAAATATACACAATATTAAAACATATGCCGAAAAATATTCTCATAGTTTTCGCCGACAAAAATAATAATTTTTTTTATTTAACAAAATATTCCATCAAATATTATTATTTAAATATAAATTTCAAATCAAATCTTCTTATTTCAATAAAAATAAAAAAAATAAAAAAGATAAAAAACAAACAAACTCCAACAACACAACAAAAATAGAGACAAAAAGACACCATTGAAGAAAGGAAATTGAGTTAAGGTAGAGATTACAATTGGATGGATCCCAAATAATTGGAGAGTAAATATGTAGTAATAATAATAAACAACACAACACAAACCACTGATCCCACCACAAAAGTAGTCATCTTCAATAACCGAACACACAAACATAAACATAACCTCAAAACATCTTCTTCAAACATCCTCAACAAAGCCAAAACTAACATAAGAACAAGAACAAGAACAAATATAATGTCCAAAATCTTCAAGTCCAAAGACTCCATCATAATGGCCCCAAATTCGTCGTCCTCGTCGTCCCCGTCGTCGACACTGTTCATCTCGTGCCTTATCTCCCTCTGGTACTCGACCAACATCGGCGTCCTCCTCCTCAACAAATTCCTCCTCTCAAACTACGGCTTCGCCTACCCGATATTCCTCACTGTTTGCCACATGTCCGCCTGCGCCATCCTCAGCTACGTCTCCATCAAGTTCCTCAAAATCGTGCCCCTCCAGCGGATCAAGTCCCGATCCCAGCTAGCCCGCATCGCCACCCTTAGTGTCGTCTTTTGCGCCTCCGTCGTCGGCGGAAACGTCTCGTTGAAGTACTTGGCCGTCTCGTTCAATCAGGCCGTCGGCGCCACCACGCCTTTCTTCACGGCGCTCTTCGCGTACCTCATGACGAGGAAGAAGGAGGCTTGGGCTACTTATACTTGCCTCGTGCCGGTTGTGACCGGCGTTGTTATTGCCAGCGGGGTATGCATTGTGATATTTTTGAAAAACAAAAAATTATAAAAAAAAATACTATATGCATACGGCTCTAAGGGTCTATTTATTTTTTAGCTATTAATTTTTAAATATTAATTATTATATCAAAATATAGTATAAATTAAGAAAAAATTACAAAAATACTTATATTGATATTTTATAATACTAATAGAAGACCATTTGAAAAAAAAATTATACCAATATAAAAATATTTATAATGTTAAGTATAATAATGCAAAAGGTAAATGTGATCCTTAAAGACGACGGAGGAATTATATTTTTACATTAAACATATGATATATATTTTATTCTCTTAAATATATATATTTTTTAAATATTATTTTTTTATATTATTATTATTACATTTTTTATACTTTAACATAAAAATATATTAAATAAAAAATACAAAACTAATAAACCAATTATTTTTGTGTCATAAATATTAATTTTTTTTAGTATTTTAATTTTTCTTTAAATGTTGTTTAAAATAAGTCTGGCACTATCTATTCATTTTTATTTCTCAAAGATCATTGAATCGAACATTTATATTTTTGTTTTATATATTGTTTAAAAATATTTTTTTTAATTTAAAATGTCATCTTAAATATTTATTTATATCATATTTAATATTTATAAATAAAATATTTGCAATTCTAAACATTAAAGTCAAATCCAAACAGTATATATTGACACTTGACGTATCATAATAAAATAAAATTATAATTTACCCAACCTAAGATATGTCCCAATAAAAGTATAGTATAATAGTTATACTCCAACATCTATAAATACAATGAAATTTGTGATTGTCCTCGTTAATACGTACATTTGGTTTTAAACATCATAAAAAAGATGTCATTTTTCCTGTCGTATTCCCGAACAATCTGTATATTTATTCAAATTAAATTTGTCTACAACAAAGAATTGTTAACTCCATGGCTATGTTGCAGGGAGAGCCAAGCTTCCATTTATTTGGCTTCACCATGTGTATAAGCGCGACGGCAGCGCGCGCATTCAAGTCTGTTCTTCAGGGCGTTCTTCTTTCCAACGAGGGGTAAGCGAGCACATCTATACACAACATCGCATACATAAGTATTTCATACTTTTAATTTTATATATACATAGTAGCGCATTTCAATGTAAAAATATGAAATACGCTGTATGCGATTTTGAAATTATGTCATGATAGTTCATCATTTAAAAAACTATATGATAATATACTATATAAATTATTATTATATGTTGTCTTTGCATGATATTAATATAAATCTTGTATTGTTGATTAATATTTCATATATTACTCGTTTACATTTGAATTATTGTCAGTACAGTGCTGAATGACAGTCATATATGTATATATGTTTGATGAATTGTTGAGAAGTAATGAGCTAATAAAGTATTCGACTATGTGGTGATCAGGGAGAAGTTGAACTCGATGAATTTGATGCTATACATGGCCCCAATCGCGGTCATTGTCCTCCTCCCGGCAGCACTTATAATGGAGCCAAATGTTGTGAGTGTAGTTATAGCGCAAGGGATAGAGGACAAGTACATGTTACTGCTTCTCTTCATCAACTCCTCAATGGCTTACGGCGCTAACCTTTGCAATTTCTTGGTCACTAAGCACACTAGCGCTCTAACTCTTCAGGTTCGTATTTTTTATTTTTTTTTCTCTCTTTCTTTTTTACAATAAAAAAAATTATATATTTTTGATCTTATAACTAAAACTCTTTGATCATTTTAATGAATCGGGATCTTCAACCCCCGGCCCTCCTATGTATATTTATACATACACAAAAATATATAAGATTATATATTTAAATAGGGATAAAAGGTGCCAAAATTTATAAGATTATACAAGTAAATATAAAAATATATAAGATTATATATTTAAATAGGGATAAAAGGTGCCAAAATTTATAAGATTATACAAGTAAATATAAAAATATATAAGATTATGTATTTAAATAGGGATAAAAAAGTGTCAAAATTTATAAGATTATACAAGTAAATAGGGATAATGTTTGAGTTAGTAATTTCAATTTTATGTTATGAAATGACTAAAACCTTGATGACAGACCAAACATGAGACTTGTTTCAACTAAATTTCAAGTGAATGACTAAATAAATAGGGATAAATAGTGTCAAATTTTTTTTCTAAAATTTTTGGATAGTACCACAAGTAATTTGTTGTTAGCTAATGTAAACAGAGCCGTTAATATGTGATTTATTACGTACAACCATTTTGTGTCTAAACCTGATTTGTCTCTACGGCTTCAGGTCCTTGGAAATGCGAAAGGGGCCGTGGCTGTAGTCATATCCATATTGATTTTCCGCAACCCGGTAACATTCATCGGAATTGCTGGATACACCATGACTGTAATGGGAGTCGTTGCGTATGGCGAATCCAAGAGAAGATACAGTTGACATTTCTCGCCGGGCATCGAGCAAGTGAGCGTATTGATTAATTAATTTTTGTGTTATAATTTGTAACGAAAGATAATTTTTTGATTCATTTATATATAGATATATATATATATATATAGTTAGCGGTCATGTATATGTATTTGTATGTCCATTTTCTTACATGTTTGGAAGGAAATATTGTGGCCCTATTGAGGTTGTTCTCGTATAGTTAAAACTATTTGTTTTTTCAATATAGGATAGAAATAAAAAATTATAAGTATATTTTATATTAAATTATTTTAAAATAATAATAATAATAAATAAATAAATTGGCTGTATAGTATCAATTTTATTTATTTTTTTTCAATTTGCAAACAAATTGAGCTTTTTTTTCCATGATTGTTTAATGTAACATAAATATTTTGAATCAAAATAAGGAAAAAAAAAAAAAAGAATTCATAAATTAATGTTTAACATTCATTTTAGTATTTTATTTTTCCGTCTCAAATTTTTTATTGTTATTTTTAATTTGAGGAATCCAAAATCTTTCACAACTTATATATATATATATATATATTAAATAAAATTGTAGATAAATTGCACATTCAATTATAGCATTTAATGAAGTTTGTTGGTAGAACTAAGCATATACAAGTCGTCTATTGTTAATTGTGGCACGTGAATATTGTTGGGAAGGTTTTGTACTAACACACGTGGCAATAATTAATAACTAATAATTAATGAATGTGTGGCTTAGGTGTAAACGGTGTTAGAGAAGAAAACACACATTACACATGATCGTTTTTGTTTTGTTTTGTTATGTTTTTTTTTTCTTTTTTTTGAATTTAAGATGAACATAAATTTTGCATCATTTATTGATATTTTATGGGAATAATTGTATGTGGACTACAACGAATAGAGACTCGAATACACATTATTTATTTATATTTTACGAGAATTAATCAGTCATTGCATGTGGACGATGACGACCCTCATATACAGAATGATATACGGACATATGACTCTATTAATAAAAGTTTGAATTTAAATAATTTTTGTCAAAACAAGTGATATTGACCGAATTCGTACAAATTTATTTTCTCAATATCAACATAAATATCAACAATCATTAATGAGCAAAATTAACTTAATCAATGACATTTAATATATTTTTTAAAAGTAAAAAGCCTATAAATAGATGTGTATGCTTAAGTCTTTCTCTTCTTTATTCTCTATTGTTTATTTGCTCTTGTTCGGTTTATCGAGTGTTTGCCGAGCTTTTGCAAGAAACAAAAGAATATATATTTTAATTATTTTTTGGGATGGATCGCTCTCATAAATTTGAAAATTTTGGTCTTTTGGGAAGAGAATTTCTTCGACACGATTGTCATTAATTATTTTTGTTATTATTCTCGGTCTATCAAAATTATATGTATTTTTTTAAAACTTTTTGATCAGATGCTTATATATAAATTTAACTTAGTAAAAACTGAATTAAATTTAACTTTTAATTAAACAAGAATAATTATGTCAATTTATGTTTAATTTTTTTAATCAATGGTGGAAATTAATTCAACTTACTTGTTCTATTTTAATTTGTCCTTGATGATTATTTTTTTACTAAGGGGCTGTTTGGTTCGTAGATTTGGTGGAATTATATAGGATTTGGATTTTAAAATACTAATGAATCCATGTTTGGTTATAAAATTGATGATGAAATTTTAAGTGCATGAAATTTTAAAATCCTGCAAATACAATATTTTTCAATAACATCGTACCACTGTTACTTTAAAATCCTATGTTATTGTATTTTATATTTTACTATTATACCCTCTAATAAAAAAAATCATATTTATTTATTTTTTAATATTAAATGTATATATATTTACATTTAAATTATATTTTATTGGATTTATAAAATATAATATTATATTTAAGCATACTATTACAAATCATATATTTATTTATAATCATTAATGTTATTTATATTTAATTAATTTACTAATGATAAATGAAATAAATTAATAATTTAAAATATCAATTATTAATTTAAATTTATTTTACTGATGTATTAATTTTTTATTTTTAGTTTAAAGTGTTTTTTTTATATTAAATATGAGAAAGAATGTCGATACTATAAAAAATAATTAAATTGTCATATTTTTTAGTGTATAAATTATATATTACAGTATATATTTTGTATGAATATATATATTATATTTTTTATTATTAATTAAAAATCGTATTAAAATATTTTTGTTAGAATACCCTAAATTTAATAAAAATTAAAGTTTATGGAAAAAAATTGATGTAAAGTTTAATTTATTACAATAAATAAAATTCGTAAAAAGATAATTACGTAATTTAAAATATAAAAAAAATTAAAATCTTTGAACCGAACAGCCCCAACCAAACACGAAATAGAATTCCAAATCTTAAATACAATAAATTTTATCACATATAAATTCGCAGAATCCCAATCCCATAAAAAAAAAGTTCTTACACCAAACAACCCTTAATTATCTCACATATTATATGTTGTAATACATTAAAATTTTTCTATGAAGAATTGATATAATGTGTATATATATATATATATATATAATGAAAATTCATTGATATTAGTTTCCTATGTACACAAATCACAATTGAGTGTCGACTGAAATTCAGAAATAAAATAAATAAATAAATAAAATAATATTTGTAGACAGAGATCCCATCGGTGGTCCAAAATACGGACAGTTGAATAGCATCTCATTCTCCACGTGCTCGGGAGCATGGGACCACCTATTTAAATAAAATACTAATAAATATGTAAATGTATATTTATTACGTAATAAATGCACCACGTATTGATTGATGCCGTTTTGACTTTTTTCCTTGCGTTTTTGTTCTCTTGCAAATAAACACTACTTTCACTTCATCTTGTTCAGGCATGCATTATATACATATATATATATATATTGTCAAATATTATATTAATGTTTTTTATATTATATAAAATATAATTTTAAATAAACTTATAATTGATCGTATGTGTAATGAAAAGATTGTAATACATTGAATTCGATGTATTATTATTATTATTATTATTATTATTATTATTATTATTATTATTATTTTATTGAATTCAATACATTACAATCTTTTCATTACACATACTTTCAGTTATAATTTCATTATTATTATTATTATTATTATTGTTATTATTATTATTATTATTATTATTTCTGCATGTCGGCTGATGATTTTATTATTCTTCCTATAGTGAAGTGTCCCCTTTTATGACGGCTAATGTATGTGATGAAAAAGTATCAAAATAGTACCTTGGCGATTCCTTTTTAAAAGTATTTCTATTCACTTATTATTTATTCTACAGTAAAATATCCTATTTTTAGTTTAGTTATAGTTGGTATTTTTGTATGCTAAAGATTATTGTCTTTAACTCATAATTGATATAATACTCCATCAGTAAAATTTATGGTTTTTCTTTTAATTTGTTATCTAAAATAAATACTCCATTATGTCCTCTAATGGTCATTCTTACCGTTAACGTCATTGTATAAATTAAAAATATTTTTTTATTTATATAATTTTTTAATACAAATATTTTATTAGTATTATAACACTAATTAAAGAATTTTTATATATTTTTCAATTTATATCATATTTTAGTATAATAATTAATATTAAAAATAGAAATTGTAAAAGATAAATGGATGGACGGTGATAAAAATTTATTTTATAAAATACTTATAATTACGTTAGATAGAGAGAGACGAACAGCCATATATAGTAGAGATTCCCAAGTCCAGGGAGTTAAGCTCCCTAAGAAATTCAACATCACGGGACCAGCCTGTCGAACTAACATAAACATAATAAACAACAGCTGCTATGACTGCGGGGAGCGGAGCTCCAGGGAGCTTCAAGAACAATTATCATCTGGTGATGTGAGAAATGAAATAATCCAACTCCAGGCGCGTGGTCCCACCTTCCGCCATAGCCTCCCTCACAGCGCCGCTCAACTCCGCCGCCCTTCGCCGCATCTCCTTCCCTTCTCCGGACACCATCAGCCTCCTGACGGCGCTCTCCACCGCCGCCGAGTCGACCACCTCTCCCCGCCGCCCCCAGTCCTGCACCACCAGCCCGATCTTCAGCACCGCCGCGATCAACGCCGTGTTCCGCGGCTGATCGGAGTGCATTGGCCAGGCGGCGATCGGAACTCCCATCGAAATGCTCTCCATACACGAATTCCACCCGCAGTGGTTCATAAACCCTCCGGTCGCCGGATGCCCCAAAATCTCCAATTGCGGCGCCCAATCCCTCGCAATAATTCCCCTTTCTTTAACCCTCTCTTCAAACCCCGCCGGCAATTCCACTCTCTTTATTTCCTCTCCGGCGGTGGCTCCGCCGTCGGCGCTTCTCAGCACCCAAATGAATCTCCCGCCGCTAATTTCCAGTCCCGCCGCCAATTCCTGGATTTGATTTTCCGACAGCGTCGTCGACGTCCCGAACGATATGAAAATCACCGACTCCGGCGGCTGCCGGTCGAGCCATTTCAGACAGCGGTGGCGGCGGTCGGCGGCGGACCGGGTGTCGAGCGGGTTGAACGGTCCGAGCGCCCACTGTTTCTTGTTCCCACTGATTTGGGGTTCCGACAGCATTTGTAGAAACTGATTTTCGAGCACTCTGGAGGTGTTGTAAATCCTGCCGGAATTCAGACAGAGGTACTTGTGCTGGTTTCCGATGAACTTCGTAAATTCCGGCGAGAAGCATCCTTCGAGGGACGGGAGGTTCTCGACGAGTCCCGGATCAACGTCGAAAGGCTTTCCCAGTTTCTCCCAAAGGAAGAAGAAGATCGTGTACGCCGACACGCTGTGGAACGTGTAAGATTCAGCGTTGGGGAATTTCACGAAGTCCTGGACCACAGATCCCATCAGGGAGTCATAGATAACGACCACGCGTCTGCTGGTGGCGCAGAGGCACCGGATCAGCTCCGCCACCGGCTGCCGGAGGGCGGCGGCGGCGGCGTCGAACAGCGGCTGGAGATGCGACGGGAAAAGGATCGGCGCGTGGGGGTCCGCCGGCGCGTGGCTGCAAAGAAATGGGAATTCGTGGAAAATGATGTTGGGAATTGAGATTGGGTCCCAGCCGTGGATCCGGCGGCGGGCCTGGCGGCTGTGGGCGGTGGTGCCGACGTAGTGGACGGGGACCCCCTCGGCGGCGATGAGGCGAGAGAGGTGGAGGAGCTGGTTGAGGTGGCCCTGCAGAGGGAACGGCACCATCAGCACCGCCACGTCTCGCCGAAATTCCTCCGAAACCATTTTAAAATCGACGGTCGGATGTTAATTACTACAAAAAGTTTGTAGGAGTGTAGTGATCTAGTGATAATGCGTGTATATATATAAGCCAATTTTCAATATTTTATTTATTTATTATTGTTGTTAAATTATTAATTGCCTATTAAAGATATAAATACCTATTTCCTATTTTGAGTATTACAATTAGGCAAAACAAAGAATAAAAAATATTTTCTCTCACCATAAAGTATATATATATATATATATATTTAATCCAATTATTACATTCACATTACTATATTTCGTGTGTCTGTTGACTCAATATTTTTAAATGAAATAATTTTCTATAAATAATATTAAAAAAGAAATTTATTTAAAAATACTGAATGAACTACTAATTATTTTATAATCACAAACGACTATTTAAATGTTTAGCGGATGGATGAGAGTATATTACTATTAAATTTAATTATTATATTGTTTAATAAAATATTTGATATCTTTTGAAACAAATTATGTTTTAAAGTTTTAAGTATGATTTATTAATGATAACAATTTGCGGAGGAAATGGATGAACCCAACGTTGATTCTTCATTTTCCTCTGTTAGTGTCATTCCATTGCATATGAATATAATCGAGTTCGAGTAGGAAGAAAATTGACCAGTCATAGTCAGACACTTGTCAAGTTGACACGTGTCGAGCTGATTCGACGATGACAGCGACATTGTTTGTTATTAGAGCCTTATCTTCAGATTAATGAATGACAGCGCCATATCCCACATTCCGCAATTTTTTATTACATTAATATACTCCTGTCCTGGGCCTTATCTGGATATTATTATTATTATTATTTGTCAATATTTAAATATAGATGTGCTAGTTTTATTTTTATTTTTATTTTTATTTTTTTAATCTTACTTTTGTATTTTTACCGTTTATAGCAATACATTAAAAGTATTTGATTAAAATTATATCAACTCAATATATATATATATATATACCCAAAAAATATAGACTATTGTAGAGATATAGTGAAAATAAGAAAAACAGCAAGGACTTTATTAACGCATAAAAAAATACAATATTATGTAAATTATTACTATATATTGTCGATCATATTTTATAAATATACTTTATATTGAGATCAATAATAGTAAATATTAGATAACTTTTATTATGTATCGTATCGTCAGTTTATTCAAATTATATTAATATATCTTGTATTGTCCATTTTGTGTTGTCAATTTTATTCATCACTACAACAGATAACTTTCTCTATAGACGAGTGTCATTGAACAGACTCATGCAAGTAGATTTATTATTATTATTTTATTTTAAATCTAGAAATATCAAATTAAGTATTTATCACAAAATGAATTAAAAAATAAAAATAAATAAATAACTTAATAGAATGGTATATGAGTGAGACAGTTGTATAATAATTGACCTAAAACAGAAGAAATTTATTACGCACAGTAAACATCAAATCAAGAACGAAAGAAGAATAAAAAATCTATAGTTAGTTTTATATTACATCATATCCCTTATTTTGGATATATATATATATATATTGTAAGTATTTTATTTCCTTTCCGTGCAGATAGTAGATATACATTCACATTAATTATCTTATAATAATAATAATAATAATATAATAATAATAATATCATATGGCTGAATAATTTATTATTAAAATTGTATATATTTATGAAATATACTGTTCATTTAAAATATTATATTCTTTATTAATTTTTTTTGCTACCTTATATTAATTTTCTATTTCATTTTGCATTTTTGGTAATATCAAATTTCAAATCAATCCCAAATTATCAATAATTGACACGCACTAGAGATCATAGACTTTTTTTTTTTTTTTGCCAATTATGCTTTATCTTGTTATGTTTATGTTAGTTTTAAAGGTTGAAATGTTGAGTTGATAAAAAAATATATATATATATATATTTTTGTATTTTAATGTTACATTTAATACTATTGTATTATAAATTGATAACATATTATAACAATTCACAATATATATACCAATTCATCACATCACTAAGTATATATTAATACAATTAAAAAATAAAAATAAGAATACAAATGTATGTCATAAACTATCTACACTTAGTAACAATCTGATTTAATTCAAATCATACACGGTTAAATAATTAGTCATATATTGATTAACATATATAATCAAGACAAACAACTCATGGTTCTATATATATACTGTGTACTTTTATATTTGTATTGTATTATATAAATATATTCACTATATTGAAATCAATAATACAATTATATTATTTGAAATAATATCAATTATTATGTATGTCTTAATTATTGAAATAATATATATATTATAAGATCCAATAATATCGTAATGATATGAAAATGAGTTCGATGATGAATGGGAAAATAGCTTTGGTGATGGTGGAAAGCAATAAGGTAATGGTCATTCACAACTGTACCTTATCCACTCCATACACATACCATCCCCTCATTTCTATTTTTAATTATTATAATAATTTATTCTTTAAAAGAGATACCAATTAATTAGGTTTATTTAGTATTTTTTAATTTAAAAAGACTTTTCAATATTATTCAATTACCAGTATTTTTTTAAGAAACATATATTAAATATTTTTCTTCGAAAACATGATCCAATAACTATTTTACTTTGAATATATATATATATATATAATTAAACATACAAAGAATTAAAAAGAAAATTAATTAATCATGGCTCATCGACCTTTTAATCCTTTGATGACAAAAAAGTGTATGCCAATATATGTTAAGATGAAATAAAATATTATAATTTATAATATTTACAAGAAATATACTACCTGTGAACAAATTCTGTATTATTTTCAAAATAAATCTCAATAGAGAATTATGTTTCTAAATATTTTATTTATAAATTTTTTGACAAAAGATAATCAATTAATTGAGAAATTCTTTCAACATATAATTCAAGTATTTTTTTAATTGATCTATAAAAATAATACTAAATTTTTTTATTTGTTCACAAATAAAATGAAATGGATTATATATGTATTATTCATATGTTAATTTAAATATATAAAATATGTTATATAAATTTTATTATATAAATCACTCTTATTTATATTAATCAAAATGCTACATTAATCTCTATATTATATATATAAAGAAACCGAAAGAATAGAAACTGCATGGTTGTATTCTTTGAGCTATACAAGTATTATTATTATTATAATTATTATTATTATAAATTATTATTTTTAAATATGAGATAATATATATTTTAATGAGTAACTTTGAGTTATTAAAACATAGTGGTAATGTGAATCAATTCGTAGATATTTTTGGATTTTGGAATAATTGTGCTGTGCTAAAGAGGAAAAGGAATCAAAATTGTTCTCCTCAGTCTTCAGTTTTACTAACCTCTTTATATATTATACACACGTGCTCATTTACATTCACTTTTATACATATAATTTTTTCTTCAAATGGAAATATTTATGTAATAGTGTAAACCAAAATAAATAGTAAAATATTTTATTATAAATTGTGTAATGTTTTCCCTAATCCTTATTAGCATATTAATATATTTATTTATTTATTTATTGCTAAATTATACTATCTTTTTGCTGGATATATATGATATAATTATATATATATATATATTATGAATACTGTAATTAGTATAAAAAAATTGCTACAAAACCTATTCTATTATTATTATTATTATATTTAATGATTCACTCTCATTTTACTTGAAATGATATATAGCATACCTATATATATATAATTACCACACAATCATAATTCTATGCATAACCCTTTTTTTTTTTTTTGTTAAAATGAAATGAGTTATTTAGTAAATTTAATATAAAATATCTCATATATTCATATTAAAATAAAATTTATATATATTTAGATACTTAGTAATTTGTTACATACTTAAGATGGTTTTTACTTTAGCAATAGTTTGTGACATTTTTGGGATCGCAAAATGTGTTGTTATAAAAAGTAAACATTAAGACATTTGATTATAGATGAAGGCCATGTGTTTAAAAGAAAACGGGATGATATTGTTGCAAGAAAAGTATCGGGTATGTTGTCTTAATGTGGAATAATGCGCCATGATTGAAAAAGAAGCGAATTTCGTTCATGCGTATGGACATTTTTGGATAAAAATAGAAAAATGAAAAGTTGCTTTTGCCTACAATATATGTTGTTGGTAACAATATTATAGTCTATATAATCATTTATCCTTCTAGAATACTTTTGTGTAGAATTGATGGTAGAATTTGTTATTGATTGCTAGCTGGTAAATGATGCATAGATTTATTGCTTTATCGATTGCAATAAAAAAAAAAAATAAAAAATACGACTCTTAGTATAATTTTCTAAAATACATCTAAAATTCTTAAATGTGGGACAATTTATAATCTTTTATTTCTATTACTTTGTCTAATAATATTTACCTACGGATTTAAAACAACTTATCAATCAATATATAATTTGATTATTTATAAAATACCTTTTTTATATTAAATATTTTTATGAAGTGTTATTTTTAAAATTATTTTAATATAAAATTTATTTTTAATCAAATGGAGTATATATATATTATATTGTAACTTAATCAAGTAAAATCTCATTCAACCAAACTTTCAACGGCACGTAGAATGGAATCGACGAACATACATACTCATAGGGTATGTTTCTTTTGAGTTTCTACAAAGTATATATTTTTTTTTATTTGAACTGGAAATATATATATATTCTTTATAAATTATCAAATTAAATATTATTTAAATAAAAGAAATTTTAATTATTAATTTCAATTAGAAAGAAAAAAAAAAAAAAAAGATGTACTTTAGGATGGGCACGATGAGAGTAAGAAGCCAAATTGGAAACCAATTATCATCTCATCTCATCTCTCGTGTCCGAAGCACGTGCAATTAAGGATGTGTGTACACACAATATCAATATTATATGGGTCTATTTATTTATTATTTTAACTATTTTTAGTTTTTTTTTTCTTTATTATTTTCAAGATAAAAAAACGTTGAACCTTTACAAAAAATTAAAAATGAGTTAAAATTATATATAATACAAGTATTAAAATCATCTGGTGATTTTGATTTAAGTTTGAGATTTTAATTTAAGATTTTATTTAAATAACATGTTAATAAAATAAAATATTTCCCTGAAGGATTTTTATTAATTTTTAATCATAGTTTGGAGGGTTTAATTAGACAATATTAACTCTACATAAAAATTTTTAATCATAGTTTGTAGGTGCAAATGTGAAGATGATTAGCACAATCTTGTGATGATGATATGATATGTATGATTTCATGTCATAGTAATAGTAATAGTAATAGTGTAGTTATATGATGAGTCGATTGTGATGATAAGTTAAAAAAGAGTTGGATGACAATAACAACATTATTATTACTATTCTAAGGGATCAAATACAAATATGACTTTTTCCTAAACTAAACTTATTGAGCCCGTCGACATAAACTATGATTCATCATTTCAATAATAATAATTTGTCATTATTCATTGTCCTTATTTCTTTCTAAGTTTTCTTTATCACTATTTAGCACTAAAAATATTGTCCTAAAGTTGAGTCAGCCGACATAATTTAGGTTCTTCTTGTTTGCATTATATATATACACTTGTATTATTCATAATTTATTTATTTTTCCTCTTTCAAAATTACGAAATCAAATAATTCATTTAGAATATTACATTTAGGCTCTCTTTCATTTAATGATCAAATAAAAAAAAATAAAAATTGATGAAATACAATGTTTAAATTGATCATTTAATAAATAATATCCTCAAATGAAATACATAAGAAAATCAGTAAGTTATTTGAAATTTGGATTTTTTTAGATTTTAGTTTAAATACTATTTTGATATAATATTTTACTAATAAATATTTTTATCTGAAACCAGAAAATTTATGATGATTATAACCTTTATTAATAAAATCTTAAATAATTATTAATAAGCTCAATTAGCTATATATCGTTATACATAAAATGATCTATCTCCTAATATGAGTAACGAACGCATCCATCTCCCGGCGCGTGGCTCCACCTTCCCGGAGCACGGCGTCCCTGACAGAGACGCCGACCTCCTCCGCCCTCCGCCGGAGCGCCTCATCCTCCATCAACCTCCTCAGCGCCGCCGAAACCCTCCCCGCCGGCACAATCTCCCGCCGCTCCGCCCAATCCCTCGCCACCACCCCAACCTTGAGCACCTCCGTCATCAGCACCGCGTTCCTCGGCTGATCGGAATGCATCGGCCAGGCCGCCACCGCCACGCCGGCCGACAAACTCTCCGTGCACGAATTCCAACCGCAGTGGCTCAGAAACCCTCCGATCGCCGGATGTCGCAAAATCTCCAGCTGCGGCGCCCAATCCCTAACCAAAATTCCCCTTTCTGAAAACCCTAATTTCAAATCCTTAATTCTTCCATTGCCGCAATCCATTTCGAGCTCGCCACGATCGGCATCTCTCAGGGCCCACACGAATTTCAATCCGCTCTCTTCCAGGCCGGCCGCCACCGCCGCGATCTGTTCTTCCGGCAGCGAAACCGTCGTCCCGAACGAGACGTAGACCACCGATTTGGGGGCCTGACCGTCCAGCCATTTCAGGCAGGCGTGTCTCGATCCATTTTCCGGCGGGTTTATAACTACCGGATTGAATGGCCCTAGGGCCCAACATTTTAATTGGTTCTCGTGTTCGAACAGTTTGTCGATTAAATCCAGAAACGGACCTGTTACATTTCGCTTAATTAATTTTCACAATTGTATATTGATAAAAAATAAATTAAATATTTAAAATGAATATCGACCTTCGGTGATCCGACAGGAGTTGAAGAGGTTTCCGGAGCTCGATCGGAGGTGGATCTGTTCGGATTGGACGAGGTCGAGAAATTCGGAGGGGAAGCAGTCTTGGAGGGAGGGGACTAATTGGGCATCGACATTGTCGACGGGGAAAGGTTTTTGGAGGGAATCGTAGAAGTACCAGAAGGCGCAGAAGGCGGAGATCGGGTGGAAAGTGTAGCATTCGGCGTTGGGGACGGCGGCGACGTCCTGGACGGCGGAGGACATGACGGAGTCGTGGATGACGGCGACTCTGCGGGAGGATAGGGCGAGGCGGCGGACGAGGGCGGCGAGGGGCTGCCGGAGGTGGGAAGCGGCGGTGCGGAATAGGGGCTGGAGGTGGGAAGGGAATTTAATGGCGGCGTTGGGGTCGGGGATTGGGGATTCGAATTTGGGGATGGGGAAGTCGTGGAAATGGACGGTGGCGGGGTGCCAGCCGTGGAGGCGGAGCTTGGCCTGGCGGAGGTGGGCGGCGGTGGAGACGTAGTGGACGGGGATGGAGTAGGCGGCGATGAGGCGGCTGAGGTGGAGGAGCTGGTTCAGGTGGCCTTGTGCTGGTAGAGGAACCATTACCACCGCCACTTGCGGCGGCGGCGGACGGTGGCGGTCGCCGGCCATATCGTTGATTGTAAGTGTATATGTAATTGTGATTGGTATTTATTTGGGGAATTTTTTTGTATCTTGTGCCGTCATTTGGCGAAGAAAACTATGGTGAAATGCAATAAAAATAAATAGAAAAATAAATTGAACATTGTCATTATGTACAATTAATTATATAAATGATTTATATCAATATAATTTCTAATTTGACATAGCACATACCATACTATAATTAATTTTCAGGCAGCAAAAATATTTATAGTATACAGTTACAATTACAAAGTCACAGCACATTATTTTTATTTAACAAACATGCAAGTCCATCTGTTTTTATGTGTATATGTACTTAGACAAATCATTAATCATTCCCTTATTTTAATATGCAAATTACAAATAGAATCACTATTCCTATCATTTATTTATATTTTGAAATTGAATTACTTTGTAGGGAAATACTGACCTATGTATGCATCCATACCTATACAGCGCTGCAAAATGTCCTCAGAATGGAAGTCTTCCTACAAAACAGAACACATTAAATTAAACAAACCCTCCCCATCAGTTTTGACAAAAATAACTATATAAGTAGAAACTAAATTAATCTAAAGTCAAGTTTTTTTTACCTTAGTCTATGTATTATTTATTATTCCTTGCAATACACAATAGACTCTTCCTAAAGCTCCAACCACATGAATCCTTATGTATATATATATCAAGGGCTGCAGAGGTTCCTAAGATCATCTTCCTGTGCGTACCAAAGAGGTACTATCTTTGTGAGATGAGGGTAGAGATCCTTGAACGAATTTCTTATCGTCCCTTCTGCGACACCGGTTGCTTGAGATACATCTGTTATATACAAGTCAAGAAACTATGCAGACATAGGTGAAAAATATAACATATGCAGCACACAAGCTAATTACCTTTGAGAGGCTTTTTGTCGTCGGAAAGTTGAGTGACTATGTATATAACAGCCGCTGCGATAGAAATCGGGCTCCTCCTAAGATGAATCAGTTATATTAAACAGTCATCATATGGAAGTTCTACATTTGGATGTAATAAGGTTAATTGTCGAAATACCTTATGTCGAATTCCTCTGCCTTTTTAACAGATTCTTGAGCAGCTTTAACTGTTTGATTCGACATACCAAGATTCGAGCAAAACCGTCTCTGCACATAACAGATATTGTGATTGTTAAAAGCAGCAGACAGATTTTAAAGATGGACTAGAAGGTCAGTGCTTTGTAGAAACCCGACCATGAAATCCCCGGCGTGTATAGTCCCGATCTCCACAGACTGGCCCATCTCTAGCTCCAGTTGTTTCATGATATACTCTTTTGCCCGGCCAATTTCCTTCTTGGTTGCGCCATTGGTGACAGAGCAAATTTCTAGTCGAAATTCATTTGCAGGTTTAGAGCAGTTTGGTTACACTTGAGATGGATAAATCATGAAGCTAACTAAGTGCCAAAAATCACTTCAGAATTTGTACCCTTTACAGTTCGGGGCTTGTCTTCTTGCCGGCAAGCTATGTACAAACAAGCAGCTAATATCGCATCCTGATTTCTTCCTCGACTGGACTTCTGATCCTCCACCTTCTTGAAAATTTCATTAGCCCGATCCTTTTTGTAGCAAAAACACAGATTTATTGAACTAGCTCAACAACTAATATATTAAAATTGATTCATTAATAGTGAAAACTTCCATGCTATTATCAGAGATGCACATTAGCAAGGTGTGTCACCTGAGCTGAGTGTTCAAAAGTATGAAAGTTATGGCAACAGAATATGAGCAAGATACCTTTATGGTTGCAACAAGGCCGAGCCTGAAAGAAAAGGCTGAATCAGAAGATGACATTGAAGTTTATATCAATAATCTTGAAAGTTTAATACTCCTATTCATCAATTTCATTTACAGTAACTTTTTTAAAATATCTTATCAAATATATATTTTTTTTCATAAAACCTTGTATCAAACACTTAACATTTTACTATTTCTAAACTTTTCCAAAAAACTTCAAAATTTTGTATAGAAACGATTAGTAACATCCTAAATAATTTATAAATAAGTGCTTACAAAGTGAACAAATTACTTGGAATATAATCAGAATACTCAACATTCATTGTGCAAAAAAGGAAAAGCCTGAATTTGCATGATTATTTCTTAGCATTGGGAAATTTATGATTTATAAATAAGTGTCCCAAATTGAGATCATGATGGTGACGGTAGAGTTGATTATTCCATCATTAGTATCATATCAACCAAAACGAAGAAGGAAAACACTAACAAAAGATAAACAGTATAGACAAAGAATTTCCAAATCCAACACTAAAAGCATGATAAACATCACATCATCGTCAGGGCATTCCGAATAATACTAATTAATACTACTATATGCATTTTTACCTCTCGGACATAGTAGCAATCGCCTTGAAAGCCAGAATCAGCGATCTGTCTGGATTGGAACCGCGATTCTGCCAACGTCCAAGCGAAGAGGTGAGGAAATCGCTGGTGGTTCCGTTCGGCTTGGAAATGACGGTGGAGAGACCACCGTCAGTTAACAGCGGGTTCGCAGGACCTCCAACCCTAACCGGATCATTGTCGCCGGACTCATTGGCGAAGGTTCGCCACTCCGACGTTTCGTCGATGGAGTAGGCCTCGAGCACGAGACCGCATTCGGAACACACAGTGTCCCCTGCCGCGTGATCCAGAACCACCTCCGTGTTGCGGTTACAATCGGCGCAAAACACATCCGCCATCGAATTCAATTCCCTCTTCCGAACAGATTTCTGAATAATCACAACTGCAGCGAATTTGTGCGACGAATCAAAGGGCTAACTAATCATGTAATCGGTTGAAATGGGAAAATTTTGTCGCGGTTTGGAATTCGAAAGGTAGAGATATTCATGGTTGATTTAATTGTCACACTTTCATTGTATGCAAGTATATATATATATATATATATATGCGAGGATGATATGACTACGTTCCCACGTATTTTTTTTATTAGTAGAAGATATATAAATAAATAAATCAAATCATTTTTTAAAAAATATATAAATATAAATTCATTAATAATTATATAAATCAAATAAAATAAACTTTTTTTTATATATGTATGTTCATGTTTTTCATATTCATTTCTTTATTTTTTATAAATATATTTTAGATACTAGTACTATTTTATAAAATTTATAAAGATAAATAAAATAATAAAAGTATTGATCAATAATTAATTTTTTGATTATTACTTAAATCTAAAAAAAATAATTAATAAGCAACAACAATAATAATAGATATGAAAAATGGTATACTAATATAAAAAAAAATAATATATATATTATTTATACATGTTGTATTTTTTATAATATTTATAAAAAATTGTATTAAAAAAATATTTAAAAAACAAATCTTATGCTTCTATAATATTTATAATTTTTTTCTAATAAAATTTTCTACCATAGTTATAATGTTCTTCTGTGATTATATTTATTGGTTAATATTTATAATTTCTTCTAATAAAAATATTGGAAGAACAATCCAATAAATTTCTATAAATTCTTTTTTATAAAAATAGTGAAATAAATATATTATACGATACGATAAGATATAAGATGCTATACAAATACAATATATCCATTGAACAAAAAATAAATTGCTCAAACAGATATGGGCACTATCAGACAGAATTCTTGTAGTAATTTCTACTTCTTCATCATCAACATCTAAAAGTGAGAGAGTTAGTCCTAAAGAATGCTTCGAGACAAAGCAAAGAAAAACCTGCGCAGTAATGATCCTAAAGCCATCTTTTGATGAACTTTGATGAAGAACCAACTGGGGGAGGTGTCTTGGCATTCCTATCCTCAATGCCATCTGCATAAACAAGCAAGCAACAAATGTAATCATCAACAAATGTTTTTCTCGAGGTAGCAAATGTTGTCCTAGTTTTGATTCTCACTCACATTCACTAGACCTTATTCCTGGTGGCTGTAGACCTGTGAGTGATTGTCTTCTTGAGGTTCTTGCATTCGATAAAGTCGGCGACTTCACAATCCTCGGTGTTTCTGGCTCTGCTAGTTTCGGTTTCCTGATGTTGAAGAAAAAATGGTGCTAAGAGAAAGAGTTTGTTCAAAGAAGACAATGCATGGATGCATATATATATATGTACCTCTTGTCGGAGCCTTTGATCAATTTTCCGATGTTTCGAAGGGACTTTCTTGTGTGGGACACTTTGGATTGCACCGTGGAAGGCGTCTGGAGTTGTTGCGGGATGATGATCGAGTCTCTTTGGGTCATCGGTGTTTGGAAAGATGGAAGAGACTTCTTTATTGTTGCTGTGTCGATTCTTACCACCGAAGTTTGGACAGCAGCACTGGTTGGACTCCGAGGAGACCTCTGGCTGAGCAATGGTGCATTTGTTTCCTTTGTTCTGGAGGTCTTTACGATCGATTTTCCATCAAGCCGCGCTTCTGGTGTTACGGCATCCAGTAACTTGATCTGGCAAGAATCCTTCTGCATGTTGTTCCTAGGCCCTTCCAGGCTTGATCTTCGACTGGAATAAGTGGTTGCAGGAGGGGTTTTGACAGCCCTTTTGTTTACGCCATTCGTCGATCTTGCTGATGGTGTGGTAAGGCTGTTTTCGATGCTCATTCGTCTTGATGGCAAAGGTGTTCTATGATCAGCCATTTGTTTAGGTTTCTGACATGGTGGCGTTCTTGCTCCTTCTTTTGATCTTCTCATCGGCGATGTCCATTCCTGGTTGGTAAAAGCCTTCTTGAGGCTCTCCAACTGTAAAGTTGGAAAGGAAAAAGATCGAATGGACAGCAAAAGCATGAAAATTGTCGTTTTCAAAACAGGACAAGTTATGGTGTTACCTGCGCCTTAAGCTCCAACACTTCGATGCTCTCTTTATTCGCACGAGGTGCACCAAGTTCGACACTTGATACCCTTTGAGCAAATCTTAATGTTCTCATGGTTTCTTCAATGAAGTCGCCATCGGGATTCACATGAGCAACCATCAATGTCTTTGCATTCCCTCCTGCTTCATCGTTGCGCAAATCATGGATAATGTCATCGTGGTGGTGTAGCTACGGTGCTGATTATAGTAGAAGTTGAACGTACCTAAGGTGTCCTGAAGAAGCAAAGTGAGCTTGCTGTTTTGGTAGGGAATATGAGAGTGCTTCTCTGCTAATGCTGTGATAACATCGACCAAACCAGCGAGCGATTTATCGGTACTTCCTGCTAGATCCACCAAACGGAGGCAGCTATGAAATGTGCTTCTTGAAGCATCTTCGCCGCGTATATGGACAGATAACACACTGCTCGACAAAAAGACATGCTTTCATTTTCTCAGCCTGTGGTAATCAGAGTAACTTTTCAGATATTGAAGCCTTTACCTGTGTGAATTCCGGCTTGTTTTCGCGACAGAGGAATCAAATGCACGATTTTGTTCGCCAAGCCTCATCACATCTGCAACATCGGCTGCAGATTTCACAGGAAGCAATGTAGCATCTGGAAGAGCCATGCCGTTGTTGTGGATGCAGCTCCGGATCTCTACCTTGCTGAGAGTTAAGAAACCGGCTAAAAGCCATGCTGGAAGTGCAGAATTGAAGAATAACAGAGTGGAATACTGAACTGTAAATGCGAAGGATATTCTTTAAGGCCTGGATCTTTAGCAAGAAGATCGAAGACTTGTTCATCATATATCTCGAACATCTGTACTTGAATTTCATACTTTGTGATGTCCCTCCTCTGATCAGAAAGATCAAAAAGATCGTCCAGTGCCAAATAACTTATTCCCGACTCATTGCCCGGCGCATCTGGAGGACAGAACTGCAGACACAACACAATGTACTTATTCATTAACAAAAATTCTTCATATAATCATATCCATGGGAGATAGAAAGAATGTAATGTCAGAGCCTCACCATGGTATGTGTCTTTCCTGATCCAGTTTGACCGTAAGCGAAAATACAGACACTGTAGCCATCCATTACTGATCTGACAAGAGGCTGTATGTCTCGGAATACATTATCTGAAAGTTCAAATATACGATATCAAGATTGTAACTTAAGATCAATCTTTCATAATATATAGTAGTCTCACTTACCCTGAGTCGCTGCTGGACCGAATACATGATTGAACTGAAACATTTGCTTTCTATCCCGTGGATGTTTTGGATCCACAACCACTAGAGATCCATCCTCACCGATAAAATCAATAACATTTTTTTCCTCAAGATTGCATGCGGGACGAATTCTGCATAATACTCGAATACTTCCTAAGGGGATCATAGAAGAATCATTGTATCAATTTCCATAAATTGGAGGCAAAAGGATGGAACTTTTACAAAGAAAATAAGTTTAACTAACCTTTCAGATCCTGAACCATGTTGTACAGTTTCCTGTTTTCTTTGACAGCATTCTGATAACCGAGTGCGGCGCTGGACATTTCAAGCACTTGATCTTCTGTAACCATTTAAACAAACAGAAGATTTTGAGATCAGAACTAATGCATGATTATGAAGCCTTTGTTCGACGGAATGTTGCAGTTCATTACTTATTGTAAATCTCAATTAACTTTTCCTCTGATTACATGAATGATTAAGTTCAAGAAAGCACAAGCATTTTACAATCCTGCTTATGAATATACTGTACCAAGTTGTTTGATATCACTGTGAAGCTGGGATTGCAGGAGCTCAACCTCCTGTTTCACGCTTGATAGCAAACGTTTGATATCCTGCAGCAAAAACAGGATCCAATCAATTTAAACTTACTGAGATAAATGATATGTTATCCACATTGAACATGGTGAGAAGTTTCTAAGCTGCATATGGATGCGATTTGTGTGAACCAATGCAATAACAAGTCCAGATGATAAAGCCAATGGAACACCTTTCATACATATATGCAATCATTATACAAGAATTTAACATATTTGTGATGAACTAAAGGCAAAAAAAACTTACTGAAAGTTCCTTCTCTTGCTGCTCAACTAGATCCCAGTGATTGCAGCTACCCTTCCTCAAGCAAGCTCTGCAACACTATTGACCAAAGAATTCAGCTATGGTGCAATAAACCCAAAATAACAACTTATCCAGATTTCTGTAAAAATCACCTTTTTCCGTTTCACATTTGACAAATCTGCAAGAGGCACAACTGTGGATTGCACAGGCAAGCGGCTTTGCTCTCTTAAATGGTCCAGTATACTTGAGTTCATCTAATTGTAAATAAAAGTAAAGCACAGCTGTGAACATATATATGTAAAACAATCTATTTGCCCAAATGTTTGTGTGGCATTGCTATAAAATATAAAAATAAAAAAGAAATGATTACAGCATGTAAATAACAAGTTACTATGAGACTGTCTAAACAAAACCAATTTGGAGCCATTTCCATTTGAATTGCAATGTTAATGGTAATAAGCATTGAGTCGAATTTATAAGAAAAAAGCTTGCTTCAACAATGACTGAAAATTGCTCCACACTGGCATAACACTTGTTAAGCATGTGAATATGAGAATGCATTAACATACCAATCCAGTTCGACGGAAAAGGTTATTTAGTGAAGCACATTTTATGACAATCAATGTATGGCAACCTTCTTATGTTTTAAGAACTTACCTCTGGAAATGCTTTTCGTAATTGTTCCTCCAGGCAACTAGTTAGAATCTTGATGGAGTCGACCGTATCCTTTTCATAGGATATAAAATTATCATCAAATTTAAGTTTATAGTTCCACTCTATGGAATTCCAGATGAAAATTAGAAGTTAAACCCACCAAGCCTCCACTATAATATAAAGAAACTATATTATTGTTGATGTTCTCCTTTCTGGACAGCAACTGTTCTTCAAGGGCCTTGACAATTTTAGCTGAAAATTTTCAGAACCAGTATTAGCAAGAAGGAAAAGACAATTCAAAATGCTATTATTTGAGAAGGCTCATTCAATTGAAACTTCACAGTATCTTATGAACTATCAAATAACATCATCACAACAACAAAATTTCCTATTGTCGAAGAACAACAAAATGAACATATATTGACTTCAGTAACTTCTTATGCTCCTTTTAAATCAATACAAGTCTTGTCTCAAATTCAATTACTAACAGTTATGGATGTATTAGTTGTATATACATATAAATTTTAGCTTTGAGTGAATTATACATATTTTGATACAATAATGAAGTAAGTATAAGGAAGCTGATTAGACTACCTTCAAGATTCGCGATATCACTTTCCTGTGGCATTTTTCCAATGTTGCCTCCTGACATGTCTAGTTTTCTGGCACAATGTTGAGGAACCAAATGCGGAGTACGCACATGAATTCTATTGGCTGAATGTAACAGTGGTGACTTAGGTGGCTTGTAGACGCCATTGCCTCCTGTCATTTGCTTCCATTCATGATAACCTTTCAGAGCCAAAATGCAATCGACAACTTTAGTTGACGATCCTTCTTCCAAGTTGTCCTGCACATACAACATAAAGTAGTCACAAAATGTTCATATTGACTTACACCACAGCGTATGATTCGAATCTTACCCTTTCAAATATAGAAGCTTCAAAATTGGGAAGTTTCAATTCTCCCACAGCTACCAAAAAGTTTCGAACATTCTCAAAGTACTGATAAGCTGGCAGAGGTTGGGAATCCCACAAGAGTGGTGAAGGACCACACTTTTCTACAACCTAAAATTTAGAAATAAATTAGGCTCATCAGTAACCAAAACATATTAAGTCTATAAGGTTTCAACATGGATGAGTAATCACCCCTATGTTTAAACTTAGAGAAGATAGACCTTTGACACCGAACCAGGTTGAATTATGTTCATTACTTTGCAGAGGATCAATCCATTTCTTAAGCAAGAAATGAAGTCTTTCTCCAACGGCTGACTCGGTATTCCAAGTGGTCCAACAAGATAATCAAGCCAATGGACAGCTTGATATCTTCTTAAAGCTACAAGCTCAATAAGGAAATATCATAAACCGGAATAGACCTCTTGCAATTGCATCTTAAAGAATCAAATTAAACACATAAAGCAACAAAATGGTGATGATGAATCTTTCAATAAACACTAGTTAAATTCGGAATCAATACATATCATCGCTCCAGAATACATATATATAGTTAATGCTATTGATGTAGATACAAAAATAATACACACATATATATATATATATCCCCTAAATTCTAAAGCCAGCGATTTCTAAATCAAGGAATTTGCTCATTTGCGGATTGACTACATACGGAAGAACTCATCATGCATGCATATGTTCTTGTTGAAACTTCGTTTAAACTAATCGCACAACAATCAGATTACACTGACAATTAACAAACGAAGAAATTATCGGCGGAAACAACAAATTAATTCAAACCTGCTTCTTCAGCCTTTCTCGAAGCCAAATCCAATCCACCAATTGCCCCTCTTCTTGTTAAATCCTCCATTGAAACTACAAATAACCCCAATGTTTCATCAACTGTTTTCACACCATTTTTCATATCACAATGCATTACGCAGAGACAGAGACAGAGCTCGAATACGTATCAAGAAAATGAAATTTATTAAAAAAGAGAACAATCCAACAACATACTCAAAGATTTATTTCCACAAACGATCTTGAACACGTAAAAAGAGAGAAAACCCTAAATCTCTAACGCAAATAAATCAGGAGAGGAATGGAGGATTGCTGCTAGGCCGAGGTCGAAACTTTCTCTGAGCTGAGGTAAATGAAAATGGTAAAGCACAGGCTTGGTCAGTTAATTACTGAGCTATTATTTCTTTAGAGCAAAAAGTCCTAGGTTCGGAATCACGCCGAAGCTGAGGCTCGGGATTTGTAACGTTACAGAAATTTGAATTCAATTTAGTGGGGACGATTGATCTGAACCGTTGATCTTTAGTCCTGAGAGCTTTCACGTTGCCATTGAAATTTGGGCTCAGTTAAAAATTAATAATTTTATACTTTTTGGCAAAAGAATATTATAAAAATATATTTTATAGGAAATTATTTTATTTTATTTTTTTTATTTTAAAAATAAATTATAATGACACTAACCAAGTATTTAAATTTTGGCATGTCCTCTTATTTAAACCCCACCGTATTTGTAAATTATTAATAGTTTTTGTTTAAATATGTCACCATTTATGCCTAAGTAAATAATTGTGCTCAAAATAAATTCCATAATTAGAATAATTTTTGGGACAATTATATATGATTGCATTCAATATATATTATGTTGAATAATTTTTCTAATAGTATTAAATCAAAGCATTATTGATTCAATAGTTTCCATATATATGCGTTTGAAAGCATTGTATATTTAGCAATGAGATGAAACTATTGTGCTTTTATTTTAATCACCATTCAATTAAATAAATAAACTTATCAATTAAATAATAAAATATCATTCAAAAAAGAAAAAGTCATATACTTTTCTTTTTTTAATTCTCATGGATCTCTAAACATATTATTATTATTATTATTCATTCTTTTTTATAAAGAAAAAATAAATACTTTTTACGGGTATTTACATATTATTGTATATTTTGAAAAATTATAAACATATTATTATTGTCTATTAACTAATATAATATTGAAATGGGTATTTATTTATTTGTTTACTTATTTATAAATGATAAAAATGGAATAATGGGTGAATTATCAATTAAAGCTAAAAACATAGGAGAATGCAAGGGACTTTCTTTACATGGAAATTAGTTACACAATGTCAACTTCTTTATTTCCCAAATTGGTCAACCTTACCAAATTAGGCCATTTGGTAAGGAAAGTTAGGAAATAAATTGTATTTAGCAAGATTCCAATTCTTATATATTAATTTAAAAAGATAAGTGAATTATTTGGGTTAATATTGACATAAATATCAAACTTATTTTTTGGATATATTGTGTGATTAGGAGATTAGTTGTGGCTAAAAATAGCAAATGAAGATTATGTCACAATAATTCTAAAATTTTTTTTTTTTTTATGACGAATAGTTCTAAAATAAATTTGATTTTTAAAGTGGTGGAACTCTTATAACTATATTGCTATAATGGAAATTTTTATTTATATTTCCTCAATTAACACATCTTTTTTTTATTTTAGAGATGAATGCAAAATAGATATATATATTATTGATCCAAATTTGTTTTGCAATGATGTTCAAAAAAGCATATAAATATTATGACAAAAATAAATTGAAGCAAGAAGCTAGTAAAAAAAAAAGTAATAAATCGGGTAAATAAAATAGCGTAATGATATTTCAAATTATATATATATATGATGTGTTTTGAAATTAATTATTTACTTTGAGCAGATTTCAATAAAAATATATTATTTTTTTTACAAAATATCATATTAAGATACTATTTAAACAAAAAATTTAATTTAATACTTTTATTTCAAATCAATTTCAAACTAACCAACTATTTTACCATTTGAAATTTTCAAATAAAATAGCGTAAATTGTAAATTTTTATTTTAATGTACTAAAGTATATGTTATACAATCTATTTTTTATAATATATATCTATATACTTATAGATATGCAGCAAACAGAAAAATAAAATGTCAAAATAAATATTTAGATAATACTTTGACATGATATTCTATAAAAAATATATATATATTTATGTAAAATAGATTATATGAATAATATTAATTTTGATTTGAAATACACACTTTAAAATATACAATTTTTTATTCACAAACTACCAAATCAATTATATTATATTCTATTTAATTTTTTTCTAAATATTTTTATTATACAATATCATAGTTGTATATTTATAATAAAAAATCAAAAAGATTTATGTAAAATATTATTTTCAATAACTATTTTACCCAAAAATTAAGATATTAACATTCAAAATACCAAAAGAACAAAGTTTAGTGTTTTCTTAATAAACATTACATCAAAATACTAATTATATTAATTCTTTTTTTTTTCTTTCATACGATATTACATTCAAAATAATAATAATAATAATAATACCAAACCCCAATTTTTTTAAATAACTTCATTTTGAAAAATTAAATCACCATACACACACAATATATATTTATATATATATATATAATGGCATCCTACTTTATATAATATTTGCAAAATACCAATAATATAAAAACAAAACTAATTGATGTAAAGTAGAAAGTTTAATTAAATCAGCATCCTAAATTAAATCAAAAGGGAATTGTAACAACCATTCAAAATATTCACCTTATGGCAAAGGCAATTTTGGAAAGCCAAATAACTTTGGTAATTATTAGGTTTCACTACTTCACATGCACAACAATAATAATTTCAACAAAATAAAATAAAATAAAATAATATTCATCAAATATATAAATAAATAAATGGGTTAGTATTTTCCCAAATTTAGCATACCATATTTCCATTACAATAGTTTTCATCTTTTGCCTTTATATGTGCGATTTCCTAATATAGTCAAAGCTACACAATAATGTATTATTTTATTGTATTTTATCTTTTTGTCACTAATAATATATAACAATTTATACATAGCAAAACATCACCTAAATTAGATTGTACCAAAACGTGATTATATATATATATATATATTTTCAAATCCATATATGTAATTATTTTTCTTCCTATATCCATAATTTCAATTTTAGAGCATTTATTTTTTCATTTTTTATATTTTGTTTCTTTTTAAAATCCACTTTATATTACTTTAGTTTATCACAAGTGGAAAATTCAGTTTATCACCAAGAAAAAGAACTTGTGATAATAATACATTGTATGCAATATTTGCACACACACATTTATTTATTTATCTATTTTGGTAATGTACAAATCATAATAGGTTGTATTTTTAATTATAATTTTTTTAAATATATATATATATATATTAATTATAACAATATTAATGAAAACAAGCACACCTCTGTTTTGCAAATATGATATTTGTCACCTATTGTGAATATTTCACTCTGGTGTGTTTTTTTTTTTTAAAAAATAGTTCAATGAATTTTTTTTATATGAATATAGAAAATTATGTAAGTGATATAAAAATAATAAATATGTATAATATATTATTTTTTTTAAAGATGTATTAATTAAAGAACACACTTATCTTTTTAAAATATATATACATATTTTTTTTAAAATAGTATATTTTTACGAATATACACGTACATGATACATATATACATATATATATATATATAGAGAAAGAGAATTGCATTTTTTGCTAATATATGTATTTCTAATTGTTATTTTTATCTTATACTACTTTTTTTTTTTTTAATGATTTGATAAATTTTAATCATTTGTTAATTTTGTTGGGTTTGTTAGCCCAATATATTTCTGTGGCATGACTATTTATAAATATTATAAAGAAATACAATATATTCTCCTACTAACACAATATATATATAATATATGTATTTTATTTATTTAAAAAAATTAACAATTAATACAAATTATTATTTTTTATATTATTAACATTAATTTTCATATATAACATAAAAATAAATTTATATAAAAATACTAAGTGAACAAACTTATTATAATATTTTATATAAAATATTCACAATTTTTTTTATATAAAAAATACTGTATATCATTAAATATCGGTATCATATCCAAACTATTCATCAAAATTAAAATTTAATATCAAAAGATATAATAAATTTCAAAAGAACAACATCAAAATTATATATAATAAGAAATAGTGATTTGCCATACTTATAAAATAATTTAGGATAAATTTTGCTAACAATATATGTATTTTAATAGTTTATAAATAAATTAATCAATATATATTTTATTACATATATAATAAACATTTTAAGTATATTATATTTAATCAAAATTACACGCATATACGGTGCTAATTTAATAGAATTAATTTTGGTATAAATAAAACTTCCTATATTTAATATTTCCAATTCCAGCAATGTATTGATATTATTAAAATCAATTTCCACACCACAAAATTTGATTCTCACAACTAAAAACCAGCCATATATATTAAAATATATTTTCCTTATTATATATATATAAATAAATAAAAAAACTCCAAAATAAAATTATTTCAAAAATAATAATAATAATAATAAATGAGAAAAAAAATAAGTATGGTAACTAAGGCGCCACAAAGGGAAATATTTGATTTTATTAAGAAATTAAGTAACTGTATTTATTAATTTTTTTTTTTTTTTTTGATTCATGATTAATTCTTGACATCCCAAAAGAGGATTCTCAGTTTCTAAATATGCATAAAATTATACAATACATTGTTATATATATACATAGTAAGCCCCAACCAAAAATGTATTTCTAATTACCAAATATAATAAATTAAATTAAATTACTTCATTATATATTTTATTATTATATATATATATATATATATATATATATATAAGGTGCATTGATTGTAATCTCCCTCCCTCCGTCTCTCCAAGTACATCGAATTTGTTGGTTTTGGATTTGGGAGAGAAATCGGAGGAAGGGAGTATGGGGAGAGGAAAAATCGAGATTAAGAGGATCGAGAATGTGAACAGTCGTCAGGTGACGTTCTCGAAGCGGCGCGGCGGATTGATGAAGAAGGCGAAGGAGTTAGCCGTGCTGTGCGATGCTCAGGTCGCCGTTATCATCTTTTCCGGCACCGGAAAACTCTACGAGTACGCTAGTTCGCGGTAAGTTTATACAACTTGTTTACGCTTTCTCTTCCTCGCTTGTTTCGATTAATTTTGAAAATCAATCACGAATACATCTATGTAGATTTGTAGAACACACGATGATCTACCAATCGATAACTGTGCGATTGAATCTCCGATTACCGATTGTTTGGTGAAACCGAAAATCGTTATATTTGTTTGTATTGTTATGAAAATTTAAAAAAAATAAAAAAATAAAAAAATAAAAAAATCTGTGGAGCGAAATTGGATTGTGGTGGAAGAAATTGGGCTTTTAGCCCAAATTAGTTAAAATTAGGTCAGTCCAGAATGTCCAGTGGATTATATAATTTTCAATTTTTCAATGGTTATTTAATATCCAAAGTTATTTGATATGATCTGATACTTGTTAATTAATTTATTGATTATTATTTTTTAAATCACAATGTTGATGAGATTTGTATGTATTTTTTTTTTTATTTTGGCATATCAAAGTATGGATCATATTCTGTCCAGATACAATCAGACCCATGAAAGTCCAGAAGTTGCCACAGTTGAACACGCAGCTGATCAAGTAATTTGATCTTTTTTTTTTAAAAAAAAAAAACATTATTGTTTTATTGCAATCTGGTTTCTTCTTGACAATTTAATTTTTATTTATTTACAGCATGAATCATCTTCAGCTGAGATCATTTCCCTAAAAGGAGAAATCGGAAAGCTTCAGTTGGTGCAAAGGTACTTAAAAGTTTGTTCTTTTGGTGTTTTTTGTGCATTTTTTTTATGTTTATTAACCGAAAATTATATATATATGTAATAATAATAATAATAATAATAATTGAATAAAATATAAGAGTTTCAATTACAATTTACAATCTCATTGAACTTGTGCCAAAGTGGATTACATTTAAAGAAAGATCAATTCAAATTCTATGTTCAATTTCAAATTATTGGTAGATTTTTGTATTTTATTCTCAAAATAGAAATTTAGTTTTAGAATTCTTGCATTTGTATTTATCTAATTTATTTCTCTTTCTCACACACACCCATATATATATATATATAGAATATATTTCCTTAATATTTATAATTTTAATTATTTTTGCTGCGAAATATAAATATTGATGAAAGTTATATATATGTATGTATATATTATAATATTTTGAAAATTGCTTACATTAAGTAAATACACTGTTATTGAAGGCAAATGATGGGGAAGGAATTGGATGGAATGAATTACAATGACCTGCACGCATTGGAGCAACAGCTCTTTGATGGAATTATGTCAGTCAAGGATAAGAAGGTAATTATTTTATTTTATATTACTATTTTAACATAATGTAATTATAATATATTTTTATCTTTCTCAGGAGAAAATACTGTTGGATCAACTGGAAAAAGCAAGAATGCAGGCATGTATTGTACATATACACATAATTATCATTACATTTATTCCTTTTTTTATTTTATTTAATTCAAGTTATGTACATCAAAGTAGAAAATTGTGTTAATTTTAATCTTGGACAGGAGAAGAAAGTTGTGCATCAGAATGAAACTCTGCTGGAGAAGGTAATTTTCATTGATTCAAATAATATTTGAATTTATTTCATTCTTTGTTATATATATATATATATATATATAAATAAAATATTTGGCCAGATTGAGGAGCTTCGACACCATGCTAGGGCAAATAGCATCGATAATTATCACTTTGTTAGCAAAGACCCATGTGCGAGTTCGAGTTTAATGACTGATTGCAAGCTTGATAAAGAAGGAACTTCTGATACTTCTTTGCGTTTAGGGTAAGTCCAATTTTCATTTTGCACTTTTTAAAAAATAAGTGTGTTTAATTCTTACTATTTATTTGTTTTCAGAATAGAATTGGTACACAATTAAAAAAAAGATAAACAGTCTTTGCTATATAAAGAAAAGATATGTTTTCATATAATTTGCATTATATTATATTTATATATACACATGTCATTAAAGGTATTACACAATTTATTATTATTATTATTTTTTTATCAATTTTTATATTTAATATTCTTCAATAACCCATAATAGCTCAAAAAAAATGTTTGTTTTGTTTTAAAATAAAATTCCCGCTATTCAATTGGTATGATTTTAAATAAAATAAATTTTAATAAATATCAAATTCAAATCAAAACTAAGCAAATCTTTTTGTATAATTAGTTTGGGTTGTGTCTCTCAGAGCAAAATGGTGTAATTGTGGCAATAAAATTATAATTTTTTCCCCCAAATATGTTTTTTTATGATGTTTAATTGTATTTCTTTATTTTAATTTCAGGTTATCATGTGTGGATCTTTTTGGAAAGAAGAAAATATCGAAAAATGAAACAGATGAGAAAAATGATATGATAGTGGATTAAAATACTTTTTTTATTTTTTGGTTCTTAAATTACTTGTATCGTGCCAATAATTCCATAATATTATTTAGTTGCTTAAAATCAATTACTTCCCAACATTTCTACATCTAATACAATATATCAATTCTTTTTTTTTTTTTTTTTTTTTTGTTATTCAATCTCCAAATTTGTATAATTATTGACCTAACTTAATTGTTACAATCTTCCTTTTTGTTTAAACTTAATTTATATATTAATTATCAATATTTAGTATAGATTGCAGGGCTAATGGTCATCATGAGATGTCACTACTGTCCTACTGCGTGAAATTATTATTAAAAAATAAATAAAGATCTTACTAATGAATATTATTATTATTATTATTATTATTCAATTGTGGTCCTAATTTGAAATGATTAAATTAAGATCAAATCCAAAAGCACAAGTTACTGAACTTTATTTATTTTTATTGTCTTTTAAATAATACATATATATTACTGCCCTTTATATTTATAATTCCATTTAAAGTAGAATACTTTTAGTCTATTTAATGAATATTGACAATAATTATTTAATTATATACTATACAATATATCGTTTTTTTATGTTTTTATTATCAAGAATAATCATTCTTGGTGGTCCATGCAATGGCATGCTCTCATATTTCATGTTTATTTTATTCTACTTTATAAAAAAAAAAAAAAGGTGATCAAGAATATATATATATATATATAGTCTCTAAGTGTATTGTATGTGTTGCAAACTTGCAATTCCCTATATATTATAAAGATTACAATTTATTTATTTTATTTTATTTCAAATCATCCTTTATGTATCATTAAGGTTGTTTTTAGAGAGAGAGAGAGAGAGAAATATAGAGTTTATTTCTTACTCTTTTATTGAATGAGGATAAAAAATAAAAATAAAAAATAGAAATATTCATGCTTATGGGTGTGCTTATGTATTTATTTATTTTTTCTATAAAAATATTAATTGCCAATTTACATTAAAATAAAATAAACCTTCCATCTAATATTTTTATATAAAACTATAACCAATACCTAATGGAGTAGTACTTTACAACATTTCGATATAGATTTAATATTTTATCCTCTCCTCCTCAATTATTTTGCTATTTTAATTTGAGATGTTCTAATATATATATATATATATATTACTACTTTAAACTCAATTTTTTTCATCTTTTATATTTATCAATGCAACTTAAGTGTTAAATATAAAATAGAGTACAAAATGTATGTTTAGTATTTTAATTTAGAATATTTTTTTGCCCTGATATAAAAAATTGTATTTCGATAAAAAAAAAAAAAAAAAAACTTTTATATTTATTGTTGATTTTTTTTTTAAGAAAATAAAAAATATGTATTATATATATTAAGAATACTAATAAAATTATATATATATAAAAGTAAACAATGCTAATATTTAATTATTATAATAAAAATAAAGTTGGCCAATATTAAAAAGGATGTAAATGTCTGTTTATGGGCAAAAAAGAGGCCACGTGGCAGTACACGTCACGCAGCGATAGGTAGGCCACCAATAGGATTCATTGGCCTTAATAAATAATTAAAAATATTCAGTAAAAACAAAACTGTTTGGAACCGCCCTTAATTTAATTATTTACACCCTCAATCAGTAAACTCCATAAGTTTCATTTAATTTAATTTTAAAATTAATCAAAGGTCAATTATCTTTGATTTTATTTTAATTTCATCATGTCAATTTCCAAATGAAAGAATGGCTACAAAACTCATCTCTCAAATTGCAAATAATTTATAATTAATTTGTAATCATTCAACAATCATCCAAATGCTTAGTTTTAATTCAGATTAATAAATTAAATAAATTGTCACAATATATTTGATTGGATTAATGTATGTCACTATCTAAAGTCTAGCTAATTTACTATATATATATATATATAGCACACAAATGGTCAATTATTTTGGCAAGACATTTTATATAATAATCAAATAATTAAAAGCCATAATAATCAAAGCGTGACACACCCATGCATTTCGACTAATATTATATATACATTGAAATTATATATCATTTGTATACGTACGTTAATTGTTATTTTATTTAGTTTTTTTTAATCTAAGTAATTTTTACAACTATAGGACAATACGTATGTCTATTAGATATAAATAAATTGGGTTGTTTAACTTATTAAAAATATTATATGTAATAATTATTATTTTTTTTTAAAAAAAATCAAACATACAAAAACTAAAAAATAAAAACACTATCATTATTTCTTAAATGATGTTATTAATTGATTAAATATATGGATGATGCCGCGAGCAATCTGTGCACGTGTTTCTTTCATAATGGTTGCATGCTCCACTTGTAGCCGCATAGTTTATTTATTTTATTATATCAATAAATATATAAAAACTATATAATATAAAAATAATTGCCTGTTTGAAGTTTTCTATTTTTTTTTTGTTAGATTTACATTGTTCGTAATTTTTTCTTCGTTATTATTGTAAATTATAAAAAATTTTAATGTCAAATAAATAGTATATATTCATAATTTTTTCTTCGTTATTATTGTAAATAGTATATATTTTGTGGTATTTTTAAAATTATCAAAATGAAAAAATAGATTTTTTTTTTATAAAACTGATTTAAAAGTATATATTTAATTATTTTTATCTATCTCATCTATATTTATATATTTTTATTATAAAAATATTCTCATATTAGTATTTTTAAAAAATTATAAATATACCATTAATTTATATATAAAATAAAAATAATAAATTTGTTAAAAATATTCTTGCATACTTTATTTACTAATAAAATACTTTAATCTTTTGATGAAATGAATTGAGTATTTAAAGTATTATTTTCTTTTAACTAATTGTATTTATATATAACTTATATATTTATTTACTTTCTATTTATTATTACACCCATATCATCCATTTATATATAAAATCATATTAAAATTTAAAAATATAATTATCTATTAATTGACCTATCTACATATAAAATATTAATATTATAAATAAGTCTAAGTGTAAAAATTAAATATAAATATAACAAACCATTTATATCGTATAAAATATTACTCTCTTTCGGTCAAATTTATTCTACTTTTTTTTGTATATCCATTAAATTTAGAATTAGTATATCTGTAAAAGTAAAAAAATCAATATGAATTATTATTTATTTAACACTTATAATTTATAACAAATACTATTAATTTTATTATATTTTTGTTTTTCATTTACTTTAATTACTAAGTAAATATTCAAAAATACTCTCAATAATTTTTTTAAAAAATTATTTTCCTGAAATTCTCATGCGAAGTTCAAATAGGGTAAATATTGTGGACGGAAGGAAGGAGTATTTTAATCCAATTTTTCATTGACCTTTGTGATAATAGAAATACATAAATACGTAAATAATAATACATAAAATATAAATCGAGAGAGAGAGGACTTCCTCCCTCCCTCCCCTATAGGCTATAAATATATATGCATGTGTGCGAGCTTGTCCACTTCTTCCCCCATAACTCTTTCTCTCTCTAAAACACAATATATAATTATACATTCATATATATCATCGGTGGATTGATTAATTGATTGAGTGGAGAACAGAAATAGAAACAGAAATGGAATTGATGGTGGGCACTGCAACTGGAACTGGAACCAGTCTTTCAAGAACCACCAGTAACGCCACCACTACTAACAAAATCATCCCTTTCACTTACACCGCCGGCGATGATTCCGGCGAAGGATTCTGCCGCCGTCCCCTCATCCGCCGCCTTTCCAGCTCCGGCCGCGGCGGCGGCGGCCTGGTCGCTGCTTTCCTCCGCTCCATGATCTCAATCTTCAGCTTCCCCTCGATTCTGCCGAGCTGCAGCTGGATCGGCCTCCCGACGCCCCTCCCCATCCCGCCGTCGCTCGGCCGGAAGGTCACCGGAACTCTCTTCGGCCGCCGGAGGGGTCACGTGACCTTCGCCGTGCAGGACGACCCGAGATCGGAGCCAGCGCTGCTCGTCGAGTTCGCCGTCTCCACCGCCGCGCTCGTCCGGGAGATGTCCTCCGGTCTCGTCAGGATCGCCCTCGAGTGCGAGAAGCCCCGCCGCCATGGCGGAGGAAGGAGGCTGTTGGGGGAGCCGGCGTGGACGATGTACTGTAACGGGAGGAAGTGCGGCGGGGCGGTGACTAGGGAGTGCAGCGAGTCGGACTGGCACGTGCTGAGCACGGTGCAGAGAGTGTCGGTGGGGGCCGGCGTGATTCCGGTGGTGGACGACGGCGGCGCGGCGGCGGAGGGGGAGTTGCTGTATATGAGAGCCCGGTTCGAGAGAGTCGTAGGGAGCCGTGACTCGGAGGCCTTTTATATGCTCAACCCGGACGGCAATGGCGGACCCGAGTTGAGCATTTTCTTCCTTAGAATTTAATTTTTAATTTTTATTTTATATACTTACATTACAATACACAGACTTTTTTTTTTTTTAATTTATTTTATTGGATTGGACAGTAGTTAGAGCCTTATATATGTGTTCATGTAATATATATACATATATATGTATATGGTATCGTATCGAATCGAATATATGGGTGCTTTTCTAAGTAATTAATGTTATTCAGTATAAATATAATTCACTATTATGTGAATTATAAAAATCTGAATAGTAAATAAAAAAATTAAAGATAATGTACATTTGAAATATAAATGGATTAATATATTACTATATTGTAAGAGTTAAGACACTATATTCATTCAAAGTTGGTGCAACCGTGCAATGATGATTAATTTCAATTAGAATCCTAACCAATGGTATTTAGCAGCAATTAAGACAAGTCACTGAATTTCTAGGCTAACAGCACATTGTACCCGATGTTACATATAATATATATATATATATTCTAAAAAGATTTTTGTTTACCACATAAAATGCTCCTATAGAACGCATGTGATAATATATGTTCTTATATCAATCACTATAGCAGACGCAGTATGTGATATTATCACTTTTAATCTGAAAATTTAAAGTTATGGAATTGAAAATAATTGTCTAATCACAAATGATTCAATCGCGTACAAAATAATGGAAATTGGCACATAATTCGTAATTATAATAATCTCGATTCATCATCATCATTTATAAAAAAAATATTTGTAATATAGATAGATATCAAACAATATCTAATAGAATCATTCATTTTCCCACAAAATATGGGTATGGGATGCCCTAATAAAAAGGTTTAAGATTAAAATATACAAATTTTAGTTATTTTTAATGTTTGTTAAATGACCTCTTATGATTGGAATTGTGAGTGGACAATTTTATTTATTTCAATATTTATTTCGTATCTGTATCTTACAAAAAACAAATTGCTATAGCATCCATACATTTACGCACATTTCATCATTTAGGCAATCATTTTTATGCACATACGTGTGTTTTTATTGTTTAACTTTCATAATTATTTTTATTATGTTCGATACATATAGAACATTATATACAATAATAATAATAATTAAATATCATATTAAACAATCAACCATGTGTACCATATTCTACTATTGTTTTATCAAAGACTAATATCAATATACTTTAATGATTATAATTATTAGCTCCTATCAAACTTGCTCGAAAAGATAATGATTGAATCAAAATGTAATCTAAATAATTATAACACCATCAGCAATACCATCATACAAAAAAGTTTATGTTATTTATTACACTATAATTGATTAAAAACAAAGTCATGTTACATTTTATTTAATTTCAATATTTTTACTATACAATTGCCAATTCTATAAAAATAAACTATTTATCTCATAAAATGACCACATTCAAACAATAAATCTAAACTTCAAAAAAAAAAAACTTTAATAGAAAAACATATGATATCAAAATACTATTAAATAAAATTCAAACTCAAACTAAGAAGAATAAGGTGACTTGCAGCAGTGCCATTACAGTCCAATCAAAGGCACAAAATAATTACTTACTACTTTAAAATGGCATGTAAAACAAGAACAGTAGAAGTAGAATCAGTACCCAACACCATGTGATAATATATTACCAACTAAAGATATTTTCAGATATGCACTAGTTGAGATATATATATATATATATATTTATATATCTATATATCTATACACACACACATATCCTAACCTAAATAAAATTGAAATGCATGCCATGTTCAAACTGTAGAACTACACAATCAATTATCCCAGCAAACAAATGACAGGAGAATTAGCTATGAATATTGGGGGGAGTGCTTATTTTGCATCATTATTTAATAACCATAAACATTCCACATATGTATTTGTGTGTGTTCTTATGCAAGGAAAGAAACTGATAAACATGGGAAGAGAAACTGATACCTAATGCCAGATGAGGGAAGTGGGTGAGATGTCATCACTGATATGAAAATGTACTAATTTGGAACTACTATGTGTGCACATGGCAAGTAAGAACATAGAACAAAACAAAACCAAATAATGTAGGATGATGAATCACTAAATAATATGTTCTTGGATCCCACAAAGATTTGAAGCCAAACAGAACAAAATTCTATTAGGATGCCCTCTAATTAAGATTCAAGAAATGGTGAATTTGGCAGACGTACCTTTGAAGCCAAAGTAATTTGGTGCAATTGCCTGGCTGGCCGATGATGACTTGAGTGAAAAGTGTCGAAAGGATAACTCCAGTGCTTATTCTGGTAGGAGTATAAAGCTTTAAAGACAAAGACACAATGTGAAAAATTGTGCATTCAGAATTCAATGGGGAAGGCCTCTACAACATACATGCTTGTATATGAGTGTGCAGATTTAGATGGCGGAGGTACATTGATAGCAATGCATGTCAAAAATCGAATTGAGGCGGTCCATGAGAGAGGTTTTCTTTTTTTTTTTTTTTTTTTCACCTTCACCGACATCGCTCACTGATTTGCTTCTATGAGTTCTCTGTACTCTTTCTTCATTTTGACGCCTGAGACAGTCCTGTAGATTAAGTAATTAGTGTAAGAATTCTGGACGGTTAGAGCACGACTGCATGCATATTTTCCCACACCGAGGATATTGTATTTCTTAATTATAAAGAATGAGATCCAGCAGAACCAACCTGATCATTTCTTTGTTCTTGAAAAATTGAACACAGGGGGTGCCCATTATTCCAGCAGCCTCGGCAATCTCTGGATCTTCTTCAATGTCAATTTCGACAAAATGAACAGCCTCATCGTACTCGTCAATGACCTGCCAAGCACAATCACAGTTTCACACACTTGGTTAAACTGATTGATTTTGGATAGAAACAGATGCTGCAATTTTCAGGAGAATCTCCACCATAACCATATGCATGCAATAATACAAATCTTTTCAATCACTCTTGACGAGACAACTTATTGAAGGAAATCCAGGATGTTTAAATTCATTCTACAGTGTTAATTTTTTAAAACCTCAGACAAAGTACTGGCGATTATGCCACAGAACTATGATTCTCTAGACTTAGGAGTTGGTGGTTGTATACCTTGCTAAGAATTGGTTTCAAGGTCCTACAAGGACCACATGTCGGTGCCGTGTATAAAACACATACAAGTCTTGGGCTTTCATGATACAGTTTCCTTAGAGCATACTGCAATGGGGGAATATTTAATTATATAAAGAATGGAAGGTTCAATACAAACAATATTAGTAGATAACAGTCTCCATTTAGATTGGTTACCTGTCCCCTGTGCTTTGTAAGTGTGATATCAAAACCTTCTTGCACGTCTCTGTCGGTAAGCTCTTTCTTAGCTTCCTCAGGAGCCGGCTGTAAAAGTGCAGCAAATAGAAATGAGATAACTTCCATCAGTATAGTGTCACGATTTCAACTTCTTGTTTAATTAGACGGTGCATTTGGGCATTTAAAATCTTAGGTAATAAGAACATGTGTAAAAGAACATTATTTTGATAAGTTATTCTATAAGTTTCAAGACAATATAGCAAAGGATGAAGTGCACAGCAAATTAAAGGGGAAGCCAATGAGAAGTCGATGCCTGGTGAAATTCAACCAGTAGATTTTGGCTTGTAAGATATCTTTCAACTGATAGAGCTGCAATGCATCCTGAACCGGCTGCAGTTACTGCTTGCCTCCACTCATGATCCTATGTGCAGACACCAAGATGTGATTATAATTCATAAAGAAGCTCGTGACTTTAACCAGTAAATGACAGGTAAGAAACAAGATGGTAAATAACTGTGGAGAAAATTCTAATCAGTTGTTCGCCCCTTGGGAGTGAAAGAAGTCAATATTATCAAAACATGAAGAAAACATCCCAAAAAACAATATACCTGTACATCACCAGCTGCAAATAAGCCCTCTACTGAAGTTTCTGCAGAACCTTCTTCAACCAAGACATAGCCAGAGGAGTCGAGATCAACCTGGCCCTCAAGCAATTGACTATTTGGGGAATGGCCTATTCCATAAAACAAGCCCCTTGCTTCTAGAATTGATTCTTCTTCTGTATCGGTCTTTTTAACCAATACACCTGACATCTGCCCTTTAGGGTTGCTCACTACATCCACAACTTGTGCATTGAAGTGTACGGTGACGTTTGGATTGTTGAATACTCTGAAACATGCGCCATAACCAACCTGTTATACAAACATTCAGGGGAGTTCAAACTTAAATAACTAGGGTACTTGAGTAAATTTTTTCAATGGAATAGGAAGAGCAAGTTTATGTCGCTTTCGATAACATAATTTAGTTGATTAAGTCTTGGTATTACAAGGAAAGGAAAAGCGAGATAAATCAGAAAAGGAGGAAAACAAGAATTTAAAACTAGCATTTTTACTATGCCAAAGATGCCTATCTTTCTTACCTGTCCTGCATGGCTTTTGATGCCCTGAGACTGTCTCGACGAACAAGCAAGTGGACATGACGAGCATATTTAGTCAGGTACAAGGCTTCCTCTGTAGCTGTATCACCTCCTCCAACCACAGCAAGGACTTGACCTTTAAACAATGGAGATGCTCCATCACAAATTGCACAGGCACTGATTCCTCTGCTCCAGAATTCATCTTCTCGAGGCAAGTTTAGCCTCTTGGCAGTTGCTCCTGTGGCGTAGATAATACTATGGCATTGTACCTGGAAAATAGTTTGTTAAGTGAGCAGCAGCCGACTCTTCACTGAAACATTTCATATAAAACGAGACAAATCACCTTGCGCTCAGCACTTTCCACTGTAAAAGGTCTGTTCTTCAAATCAATGAATTCCACATCCTCTTGATGTAACTCTGCACCCCAACGCTCTGCTTGTCGCCGCATCCTAATGAAACAAACATTAGCAAAAATTACTATTGTTTTTCATTCATAATGTACTTAGAGAATTAAATATCAATGGTAATGAAGGATCAATCCAAGAACCAAGTCATAAGTCTAGAAACCTGTCCATTAAGTCAGGACCAGTAATACCATCCGGAAACCCTGGAAAGTTTTCGACTTCAGTTGTAGTCATCAATTGGCCTCCCGGGACACCGCCAACTTGATATCCTTCAAACACAACCGGCTTCAAGTTGGCCCTACCAGCATATATTGCTGCAGTGTAGCCTGCCGGGCCGGATCCTATAATTACCACATTCTCAATACCCTGAGCTGCAAAAGAAAAAGATTGAATGCATTTACAATCAATACTAAGGGAACAATGGAAACCACTTTCTATAACACATCATATTGAAGAAAATATATATGAAAATTTTAAAAGGACGTGGTCAGGTGATCAGAAAGCACCAAAAAACAGACTTATTAGTAACATCCAACAAAAAAGCATGCCACTATTCACATGGAGCGCACACAACACTTATGACACACACCCACACACACGTGCCGAATCATATCATTTGTATTAAGTGCATAAGACAGGTAATGCAGTTTTAACTCATAGAACGTCGTGTCGTTTAACACTAAGTATCCATGCTACCACCAATACCAACAGATTTCTCACTTGCACCAATTAAAGTGTAGAGATACGTTTCAACATTGCATTGTAACCAAAGAATCAAATTAAAACAATCTATCTACCTATCTACCTATCTATCTATCTATCCCTCCATCCATCCATACACACACAAGTATGTATATTTTTACATATCATAATGATTTTTAACTCTTTTTTGTTGCCAATTGAGCTCATTGCTAAACTTCTTGCAGATCACTAACCTTGACAAAGTAGGACCATACTCTCCATGTATGGACTACACAAGCTTTAGCACAACTAAATTCATAAGCTTTAGCACAAGTACGACTGAAATTCAGTTAAGGAAGTGCCAAACAACATTGAATCTTACACACTCTCCGACCAATCAAATCTCAATCTTTCCACAAAGCAGTAAATGCACCTGAAGAGGTAGGTTGCTCCTCCGCGGCTGCTGCCGCCGATATGCTAAATCCGGATCGAGACAAATGCCGGCGGCCCAACCGAGTATCCCGGAGCCAGAGTTGTCGGCGGCGCGTGAACCCTCCTCCTCCTCTTCCTCCGATTGAAACCGGAGTAGCCATCAAGGAACAGGCAGCACGGAATCCGACGCGCCCTCCGGCGTTGGCTATCCTGGGGTGTGGAGCAGCAGGGACGAGCGCCATTGGCTTCGGACAACTCGATATCCTCCAGCAAATGCGTCCAACCCAAAATCGGTCTCACGCTGACACACAATTTTGGTCACTAAAAAATGTTCGCTTCTACACTTTTATCCCTATAAAATTCTCACTTTGTTGCCTGTTGGTAGGTGAAAATAAATAAAAATATAGATACAATTATACAAATAAATAAATAAACGCCAAATAAAAATAGCATCAATTCTTGAAATTTTACTGTCGATTTATTTATTAATGAAAATAAAATGAATTCTTAAGGATATTGGGCCTTAATATTCCCAAGGCCCACTTGTTAAAATCCACACAAGTTACTGGCCCAAATAATAAATTTCATATAATTTAATTATAAATACATATTCCAACACTCTTCTTATAAATATGCTATTAGATGTAAAATTAAAAAAATAAGTTTAGGTTCGGTTATGGGTTTAGCCAGCGGTGTGCGGTTGGACTAGTGATCTTACTTGCCACAAATGTTTCCCCATGACTTATTACTGTTGTATAATTTACAAAGATGGAATTAGAATTTTTATAAGGTTAAAAATACTCTTCAATCCACCAATTTTGTATTTATTTTTTTCATAAAAAATATTTATTTTTATTTATAATAAGCAATTCTTATACATGTTTTAATTATATTCGTCAATATTATATTTAATTATAAAATATTTACATATTCAATTTATCAAAATTTTTCTTAATCTTATTAACTTATTTATATACTATTTTCAAGTTATTTTTACTTTAAGTCATAATTAACTAATATGATAATATATTGATTAAAATTCATTTCCAACTCAAACAAATTAAACATAAAATTGTAGATGGAAAGAATATAATTTTTTAATTAAAATAAAATGAAGTGCAAGAAATCTATAGATAATATTGTGTAAACGGATAAAAAAAAACATATAAATTTAAATATAATAATATTTTTTTATTAGATATTATATAAATATACTTTTAATAAACAAACTAAAATAATAAAATAAAGATGTGCTTGAATAATAAATAAATAGTGTATTTTCTTAGTACAAAAAGAAAAAAAATAAAATAAAATTGATGAATGCACACATGTATGTATACACTACACAGTTGAGTAGTCAATATGCAATTAATGTGTACGAGCATATGCATTTCATTTCAAAATTAGAAAATGGCCATAGAGAATAAAAGTCAAGAAAGCCCAGCAGCTGCCTTCCCAACAAATCAACTGAATTTTTTAATTCAATAATTCAAATATATATGTATATATATAAATAAATAAATAATCTGCTTCCAAGATTATTCCAATTAATTACATGCACCCATTTTTGACTACGATAACATGTAACTTAACGTAAAATTATATAGGCAAAATATAAAAATAAAATAAAATAAAAACTTCAACACAGAATAATTATTTATATATAATTGCAATAATTTATTTTCAGCAGAGGCAGAGGCAGAGGAGACAAGCCGACGAATATTTTACATTTAATGTAAAATTGAATATACTTAACATTTGCTCCTATCAAATGAATGAATAGTTTAGCAGAAAGTCAACAAAAGTCACTTTTGGGAAAGAAGAATCCAAAGAAGGCAGTGAATGTGCATATAACCAACCTTGATTCAAACTCCTACAGCTTTTGAATAAATTCTGGATAGAATGTATTATTTAAATCCGAATATTTCAAGAATTTCAATAAAGAATGTGGAAATTGTTAAGCAATTTGTTTAATAGTATTGCATAAACCACAATTAATTTCGTATGTGTCACTTCACCGATAAAGTCAATAAATTGCAGATAATGGAATTGGAGTCTTCCTTCCAAAGGATGATGAAATCAAATAAATACTGTGCAGAATACGTAGAATACGAAGCGTATGCAGGTATGAATTTAGGAAGCAGAGACTACGAAGAACTTGCCTGGATATTATTATTGTTAGGTATTGTTGCGGTGGTGTGAGGCTGAGGAGGAGCAATTGTGCAGGAATTCTGCTGCGGTGGCTGTTGGAGGTTGCAATTGATAGCCTCTGCGCGCCTCGATTGAGCTATAGGAGTATGGATCGGGATTTGGCGGAGTATGTGAAGAAGGCGAGTCCGCCGCCGTTCCTGCTGAAGACGTATATGCTGGTGGAGGATCCGGCGACAGACGCGGTGATATCGTGGAACGGCGAGGGGACGGCGTTCGTGGTGTGGCAGCCGGCGGAGTTCGCCAGAGACTTGCTGCCTACGCTATTCAAGCATAGTAATTTCTCAAGCTTTGTTCGGCAGCTCAACACATACGTAAGCAGAAAAACTACATTACACAAATTTAGAAACACGATTTTTCTGAACACGTTTTCAAAACGAACTATATATATATATTTAGGGATTTCGGAAGGTCACAACAAATCGGTGGGAGTTCAGCAACGACAAGTTCCGGCGGGGGGAGAGGGATCTCCTCTGCGAGATCGGGCGGCGGAAGGCGTGGTCGTCGGCGAAATCGCAGGCGAAAGAGCAGTTATCGGACAACGAGGAGCAGAAGTCGTCGTCAACGTCGTCGTCGTCGGAGTTATCGGTGCTGGCGGACGAGAACCGGCGGCTGAAGCGGGAGAACGGCGTGCTGAGCTCGGAGCTGGCGGTAATGAAGAGGAAATGCGGCGAGCTTCTGGAATTAGCGGCGGTGTACGGCGGCGGCGGCGATGGGGAGGGGCAATGCTGCAGGGAGAAGGAGGAAGGCGGGAATTGCGAGGGATTGAAGCTGTTCGGAGTGAGATTGGAAGTGGAGAAGAAATCCAGTAAGTGACTGCAAATGCAAATTGATTCAAATTCCTGCATATCATTAACAACAACAAACATATATCCCAAGAATCTTGAACCTTATATATATATATATATATATATGCAGATCAAACTAAAATGTGAATATCATCATCATCATCATGAGTTGAGTTGAGTTCATGCAAATTAGTTAAAATTAAAGAGGTAGGAGAAGTTGCATGTGACTCAATGAGTACAGACAGTTGAAAAGCTGTGCTTAGAAAAGAATCATGTGCTGCTGCTGCTGTTGTAGTGAAATCTTGTTGTTGTATTCTGTAGATTATTATTCCTATTATTGTTATGTATTATGATCCAAGCTAGCTTGTTGCAGTACTTGTTTCTTCTAATAATTTATGTCCTCCATAATATAAACATATGATGATAATCATGGAGTTGACATCTTTTTTTATTTTTTAGTATTATTTAATTTTATTTAAACCAAAACATAAACTAGCACTAAATAAACACGCCCACGTGTGTCGTATATAGAAGTGGAGTTATTATGCCACCGAAACCATTTTTGTGGGAGAATCATAAACCCATTTTGAAGCACTTACTGGTTTCTTGCTAAATCTTTAGCATTTTGACTATGTATAATATATATTTTTTCCTCTCACAAAATATTCTATTAAACATTATTTTCAAACAACTTAAAACCAAATTTTTTTCAAACTCATAAAAAAAAACACTCTTAATTTATTTATTTTCAGTTTGATACTAGTATCTAAAACTATTTTTTTGGCCTGTAAAATATTAGACCATTTATATTTATTTAAATACAAATATTCTTCCTGTCCTATTAGTAAAATATTCATACCTAACACTCATTCAAAAGTTACACTAACACATAAGAGCTTACAATACTCAATTATGTGTCACGAAATCAGAAGAACATACCATGATTTATAAACGACCAAAATAGTAAAAGTAACAATTATATCAAAATTAAATATATTTTTTTTCCAAAGTAAAAAATAACTAATACATAATAAAAACAACCTTAAATTATAGAGTGAAAGCACTTATTGACTGACTTCCAAATTCCTAACACACACAAATTGTTTTTAAAATTTAAAATTCTTTGTATGACTCGGTGGCAGTGTATAATTAAGGGAAGGTACATGAGCAAATAGTCTTAATCATGTAACAAATTTTGACTCTTGGCATAAAAAAATTATGAAGTCAAATAAATAAATAACACAAGCACACACAACTGATTGCTAGCTGACAAATATAAGAAATCTTATTCAAACATAGTCACCTAATGGGAACAAAACTCAAGACATCACTAGTAGAAAAAAAATATACCACAACTGCAAATTCCTACATTAATAATAATAATAATAATAATAAACTTTCCAACAGCTGTAAAACTTCAAAGGATTCCACACAAACATTAGAACAAATACCTCCAAAAACCAATAATAGCATCCACATAAAAATATTATCTGTTCTGTTCTTGCTAAGGCAGCAAAGATAATGATATTTACAACACTGCAAGAATCAAAGCTCTCTACAACAATTTCTCAACCATACCTTGTTCTCTTCTGTGCCTCACGGGTTTGATGCGAAATGGTTAAATATAGTCTCTAGTGTCGACTGGCTTACGCTATATTCTGATATACCGAGTGCATTTCTGCAGTACAGGGCAACATTTCTCAATCACCAACCAAGATAAGCAAATAGTAGAGAGAGTAAAATGGAAAACAGTGAAAGGATTTACCGGTTCCTTTCCATATGCCCGAAAACATCGGCGAGGGAGAGGTCTTCGTAGTATGGAAGCTGAATTCACATAACATATAACATTTAAATTGTATGTCTTGATTCGGGATAGAAAGAGGATTGTTGAAGCATGTTCGAATGAGACAGGAGGAGTTACCTGATATTTAACACTCAAGCCATCACAACCTTCAGGTGTCGCACCGGGGAAGGAAGATTGGATGAATGAATCGATTTCGGAAAATTTTTCTTTGGTTAACCACCATTCTGAGAATACTGGTAATTGGATCCCTCCTAAGAAGATTTTCCACAAAATATAACAATAAGATGCTGCAGAGATATATTTAACTAAAATAATGGCGATAATAGATTGATCTGATGCGAAGAATCGCCATACCATCACGAAGCAACTGTTCTGAAAACTGTTCACCGAAGGCTCCATAAGAATCAAGATCAGCAGATACAAGGGTCTTAACTCTTTCTACATTTCCAAGCCATCGACCAATTGTTACAATCATCTCTCTTGATAAGCTGATCTCGGCTGCTTTTTCAGCTGAAGTGCCATCAACACCACCAATGCAAACTTCAAGGTTGTCAAGTATGCTTCGTGAATGAGAGGGCATGTCGAAAAACTTTTCCTGAATTGTTTCACACAATGCAGTCAGCTCCGAGGAGCTCACTTCAGTAGGTTTAACCTGAAGATAAGATAAGTAGGAATTATTATTGCGGAAACATCTAAAGATTGTTCTACTAAGATTGATGCTGGCAGGTAACAAACACGTTACCTCTAATTCGAGATGGTTGCCGAATCTGTTTTTCAGATGCTGAGGGCTTCCAATGCATCTTAGCTTACCTCCAACCTATATATAGAGGCAATTCTGAAGATCGTCTAATAATCCATCTATCTCATCAGACACGAATTGAAAAACCGGATTGTGACTAGAGATATACCATTATACCGATCCTGGTGCAGAGAGCCTGAGCTTCATTCATGCTATGAGTTGTAAGAATAACAGCTGTCTTCCCTCTTCGGGTAGATAACCGTGATATGACATCCCACATAAATCTTTTGGCAATGGGATCCATTCCTAAAATCAGGCATAAACGTATTGAGGCCAGAAAGTAAAGGGAATACATTGAAGGGTTCAGCAATAGAAAAAAGAAGCTGCAGCAGATGCATTGGAACATACCCATTGAAGCTAAGGTGGTTATCTTATTTGCTTTATTGCATTTTTTTTTATTAGTTCCATTAGTAAATTGCCTCTCATTTCTTTCTAATGAGAATGAGGTAATTTTTTTCTAATTTAGAACTCTCTACTTGTCGACTATTCATGCTGCATTGCCAAACTAAAGACAGTCGCTAGCTAAAACTTAATTTTCCATGCATAGCATCCATTGTGCATCATTTTATGACAAGATTTGTAGCTGTGGAGATAAATACCGGTAGATGGTTCATCAAGAATAACTAGTGGAGGATCCCCAATCATGGCAATTGCAACTGACAGTTTTCGTTTATTTCCTCCACTTAATGCATATGATGGCTTATCAGCATGTTTCAGCAAGTCAAACTCCACTAACTTTTCCATGACCACCTGTAATCATTTATCACAAGATATCATGTATCAGAAAGAATATGTGTTTGTCGTAAAATGAAGTTAGCCGAATCCCTTGTCCACAAGGATTTGATTGTGGTTTCTATGACTGAAACGAATGATTTTTCATCTTCATATGAATTATTCTGACAGGCAACTTTTACTTTCAAAGTGAGAAGTGCACATGTGATTACGACAAGTATTATATTGGATGTATAGGTTAATTCCAAGATAAATGCCAAAATAATTTTCCGATAGTATGTTGTAAACCCATGGTGCCAAAGTTGTGATTGATGTCTTAATCAGCTTCTAGCTGTCTTACAAGAATCAAGAAGACAGTTCTGCAGCCAAAAGTCAAATTATCACAATAACTTATGTTTTCAACTATGAATATTTATTGCAAGGATATATTGAAGTGCTGCTTACATGTTCAAGTTCTCCATCTTGGACTCCTTTTATCCTAGCATAAAGTTCCAGGTGTTCACGAACCGTGACAAACTCAAGCAGGGCATCAAATTGAGGGCAATATCCAACCTGCACACAAAAGTTGATCAAAAATAAATAAAAAGATTCAGCTAGATTCAATTTTCATAACATGGAAACTTTTTCCAAGTATCTGTCACATGGATAAGCATGGATGGATCCAACATTAGTAACCTGTAACCCAAATAGATATGGAAATAATCCAGTATATGAAGACATACATGTTGCCGAGCAGCCTTGGGATTTGATTTGATATCTTTACCAAATATGTATGCAGTCCCATCAGTGGGTCGTTCTTCTCCTGCAAGAAGAACATCACTGTCTAGTCCATCATCTATGGATAAGATGATACATATGTGATTCATTTTAGCCACTTTCAACATTTTAACAATGGAATAAACACAAGCCCAAAGGGAAAACAATGCTAGTTGACACCTCATCTTCGAGACTTACTCCTCAGCAGCATCCGAAGGAGGTAATCACCGAATATTTCCAAAGAAGTATTTCTCTAAACTAAACATAATGCAAATTATACTACAATCTTATCTTGAGCATACAACACTTATCTAAATAGATACTAGATTGGTTCATTTGGTATAGTTTAGGCAGTGATGTTTCTGACTATCACTGCCAAATTCTTTGTAAGTGAACCATTTTCATGAAGAAAACATGCTACTTTCCAAAAATCCAGATGGATACATGGAGCACATTTTTATTCATCTTTTGATTAAGTGAATGGTAGGGTTGGTACAGGAAAAATATAAACTATATACACTGGATTGTAACAGCAAGAAAAATACAATAAACATTATTACCAGACAGCATAGAGAGAGTTGTCGTTTTTCCAGCACCATTGGGTCCTAGAAAACCAAAGCATTCTCCTTCTGGTACTGAGAATGTCAATGAATCAACAGCAACTTTTGAGCCATTCCTCTTCCCTCCCAGATACACCTGAAACCCATAATTTAGAAATCACTAAACTGAGTTCAATTAATAGCTGAAATTTCCATAATTGATTACCTTTCGAAGATTGCGCAGGTAGATAATTGCTTTGGCAACTCTGCCAGATAGAACCCAGTTTCGTTCAGTTTGAACATCAATGTCCTCCTCAAGATCACAATTCTCTACTGAAGATGACTGAAGAAGAGGTTCTAAGGAACTACAGGAAGGTGAACATAATTTTCTTGCACGTGTCCACAAGTCAGAAGCTGCCACAAAATTTATCTTGAGAGGAAGCAGGACCTCAAGAACAAGCGTCAAAACAAAGTAAAGCAGGCCCTACAGAGGATAAAAGAAGTCACCAAAAAATTACACTAGACTCTTTTCAGAAAAAAAACAAAAAAAAAAAAAAAAAATTCACCCAAGAGAACATAATCATTACATTTGAAAGAAGCAACACTACAAAGCAGAAGCACATTTGATCAACTTGTAGTCCTGTAAGACAAGTTTTTCTATCTGTAAAGATGTTTTCTGTTGTGCCTCAAGCAGTCAAGCTAATCGAAATTTCTGCCCTAGACTCAAGCCACTAATTCTGCATGAAATGCTGATACACCATAGACAACATGATATACACACGAAGCATACAACAGCTACCATATTAATGTAATACAATATTAATTACATAACAGGACAACCTGAGTTACGAGAAGTATACACTGGGTTCCATATTCCCAATAGAAATGCCTAAACCGATTCATAGATTGCTTAACATATAATGACAGTGTTCAATTCAATTACCAGTCCATATTGGAGGGAAAAAAAAAAAAAAAAAACTACACATTATAAAAATAAAATTAAATAATTAAAAAAATATAAATCAGACCCATCTGAGGTATGAGCATTAGAGCTACAACTGGCACTGTAAAAACTACTGTGCTACTTAGATTATGATATCAAATATGAATCTAAATTGAAAGAAAATTGATGAGGAGTCTTTTATTTGCTGCACTTTCTAAAGTGAGTGTCAATATATAACTAGGGAAAGGCTTTTCTTATACCTAAGACAATGCTAGCGGAATTTTGAAGAACCTAACGATTAAAATATTTTTATCTCTAGCTTGGAACATTTAGATACATGATAATGATTACCAAGACACTTCGTTCAAAAGCCTAACAACTCAATATTAATCAAGGGAATTATGACATATACTTTGAAGGAAGTAGTGGCTACCGACTGAGTCTTTTGCATCAGCTTACTTCAAGGACAATCAACTATTTTAACTTCATAGAGAATAATAATAATAATAATACTAATAATAATAATAATATCTTGACCTAAAATAAAATAAAGAAGCAGAGACGTTGTATCAATGATGACAAGAGAAACTCATCCATAACCTAATATCCATGAAATTATAATAACATGCTGGGGTTAGAGAAGCACCTCAGTGACCATGTAGCATATAGAAGCTCCAGTAACATTCCAGCCATATACTTGATCGCCAGATCCCTTTTTCATCCCTTGTCGCAGAAGAGCTAATGAACTTAAACCATCAGCGAAGCAAAATCCAGGTGACAATCTGAAGAAGTTCTGAAAAAGGAATCCTGCATTTGTTAGATCAATATAGGTATTCCCTTTTCTCATGCGCACTAAACTCAATTACCAAGGGTCATTTTTCTTGCACAATCATCATTAAGACATATTACAGCAGCCGCAGTTCTTTAATTCTAAGGTTCACCATAGTATCTGCAAGCAAGGCATCATCCAACAGTTTTCGACCTTACCTGACTCAAAAAGAGATTATTCACATGGCAGCCTATATTAAGTGTCGTGTATTCATGAAAACCATGGTTTCTATATAATACCTTGCAATTGTAAATTTTCTATGCAGTTCTAGCTACTTAACAGTAACACAGTTTTCCTAGTCCTTATGCTCACAAAAGTTGCAATATAAATTACAGATCTGGAAAGGCTTCACATCTGAGTCCGTCTGAATAATAATAATAATAATTAATGATAGTAACACTATAGAAAAACTATTCAACCTTGAGATGAGAATTGGCTTGAGATGTCGATTCCATAAGCCCCATTACAAATGATAGTACCATGAGAATGAGCCCAGTGAAAAAATGCACCAAGAGGACCACATTCTGCAGAAATGTAGAATTTTTTCAGTATTCAATCAGATAGAAGTCCAGCATATTTACATGACATCAAATTATCAGTACCTGAGCCATGCTATGTTCAGAAAAGAAAAAAGTGAGGCAATAAGTAGATGATGATATTGATAGACCGTATCCCAAGAACATGAGGACAGTGGACACAAAAGATTCCCTCCCGATGAATTGATCTAGGCCTGCATACAGGCAATTAAGAAATTATGGAATCCTTGGGACAGTGTAAGATCAAATTCAAAGGTAAACGTGATCTTACAAAATTTTGATACTTTTAAAGCGATATTTTTTCTGAATCACAATTTAATTTTTAGTACAATATTAATATATATAAGGTCAATAAAAGCTTGCTATATTAAAAAATGCCACTAATTTTATAACTTCAAGTGATGGCACAAAGTGCAAGAATTTACCAAATATGAAAAAAAGGAAAAATGCAAAAGATGTTGGAATCAAGAAGCTGATGAAGTCCCAGAAGTATGTGGAAGTCCAATATGACAGTATAGACACCTGAAAACAGTGTATGCAGGCTAGTTACATAAACATGGCAAAACTAAAGAAGACAAGCTTTAAAAAAGTAGTCATACCCCACTAATAAGTTGTTGATTCTTTGCTTTTACTTCACGTTCCTGCATCAAGAAGATGCAAATTACTGCCACATGGTATATAACCAAACAAGTAATTTCTGCTTAATGATATATTACATAAAAAGCTCATTCATATGGCTAGCAACATCAAGTGACCACATGCCTTCATAATTTTCTATTCCTTTTAAGACTCATTACACCAAGGATACAACAAACCCTGGGAGCTATACTGGACAATAATATTCTAAGGGAACTGCTACATACAGTCTAGGCTAGTTGTGTTATTTAAGAGAACAAAAAATCAGTAAAATAGTGATTTCCAAAGCTGGCTGTATTTTAGACTACTCATGGATTGGGTAGTTTATTCATTATCAATTAGAAATAAATTGTATTAGAATGAAGGTAACAAGACAAACTTATTAAACTGCAGCAATCTGTTTTTAAGAAAATATCAGGCTTTCAGTAGGGTCTGTCCGTGTGTTATGCATACCATCCCAGAAATAAATTGTATTAGAATGAAGGTAACAAGACAAACTTATTAAACTGCAGCAATCTGTTTTTAAGAAAATATCAGGCTTTTAGTAGGGTCTGTCCGTGTGTTATGCATACCATCCCACTACTTGGTGCACAGACATGTTTCCAAAGCATGATAACCATAAAATACAACCCTTCTGCCTACTATGTTCATCATAAGGAGAAGTAAGGGCACCCAGAAAATAACTGGAACAGGCTCATGGCAAGCATATCTTTTCCTTTCATAGGAATTGTAGCTTACCTGAACATATCAAATTACTGAGTAGCAGAATTAAAAGATAATAAGATCTACATTTACTTAATTTATTGTTGCCAACAAAATTTTTTAAGACATAATGAAGAGGTTATCCTTTAACAGAGGAATTTGCATTGTTACCTTCACAATAGCCACTGCAAATGAAGCAGGAATGAAAGAAAAGGCAACGGTGATCACAATAACGACTCTAAAGGCGTCGAGATCCTGAACATCATACACAGAAATGGATGGAAGAATCAAATTTCACATGATGAAATGCCACATGTATATACACATATCTGCGAGAAAACCATAATAATGCTGATAGAATAGGTTGGGTAAGAGAATTAGTTGTTAAATTCAAAATAAAAAAGTCCTACGAGTAAAGGAAGGAATTTAGAGAATTACCATATCATTCAGACTAAATAAATATTAAATTGCCAAATATGAAATCCAGTGATTTGTAAGAATCCTAAACATACATGATTTTGCTGGATCTGACTCTTTGTCATTGGCAATGGGTGATTACGTGTGTTTATTGTCATGTTCTCATTATGAGTGGCAAGCCTGAGTATTGCTGAATTCATTAGATTAATAAAGGTTGGAGCAGAGTGCTGACAAGTACTGTTGTGAAGAACAGTATAACCTAGATTCCCATCATCAGATTGTTTATCCATAACAACTGCTCCATATCTGTATACAAGCAAGCATACGAGAAACGTATAGAAATTAAGAGATAGTAATAGCTACTGTGCAGAGACTAGGTGCATGTTTAGATATTAGTTATGAAAACCCAGATAAAGGATCAGTATGGAAATCACCAGAAACTCTGTAAAGGATGGGGGTGACTGCCCAGCCAACAAAAGAAAAAGTACCACAAGCTTTTCTTTGGTATAAACTCAATAAACTAGTTTATAAGCCCAAATGGCGATCAAGCTCATCAGTCGACATGGTCTCTGAATGCATCATTGGATAACAAATCAAACTAAATAATTGTATAGGGGAACTATGCTCCACATGAGAATCCATCACAACCCAAAAGGCCCACATCATCCATGTGAATACGGTCCTTATTCGAGACTCGTACTTTCTTTAGTTTTAATTCCACCCTAATGATTCAGGTGTCCTTCCTTCAGTTTTTGGGTTTGGCTCTCCACTTCTTTACCTATGTGACTATAAATTGCACTCTCTCTATTAATATCTCTTAATTGCCAAATTAGACATAAAAATACAAAATTATATTAATGAGAAACAAGATTAAACCATTTCTGGAACTGAATGATAAAGGTGGTGTCATTTTCAATATTTCTTCCTTTGGTTTTTTTTTTTTTTTTTTTTTTGATAACATTTTTGTTTTAATGTTTCATCTTCAAGTACCTCAGTAAATGCATAAATATAGAATAAAAATGAAAATCTATAAAATCTGAAATACCTTGATTGATAGGATTCATTAAAGCTAGACATGAGATATTCACTCATTGAAAGTAAAATAGGGCCCAATGTCGGTCCAGCAGCTTCAACAGCATCATCAAATGCTTTCCCTGAATCAGGAAATTTATATGTGGTTGGTCTGTATCTTTGAATCCAACCATCATGAACACGTTTTGAAACCTGTGGAGTATTCAGAACATTTAGAAAGCAGGAAATTATTTAATAAGTGAAAGAAATGAAAGCAGGAAATTATTTAATAAGTGAAAGAAATGAAAGCAGAAAATAGCTTCAGAAACCTCCTTTGCTATGGATGATGATAGATCGAAAGGAATTGGACCACCACCACCTCCACCAGTTAATAGAGGATTGAAGTAAGAGGTCGTGAAGGTTATTGATTGCTGGTCAGGATGCGGCTTAAGTTGGATCATAATAAGACCAAAAAGCATGAAGAAGGCAGGAATTATTAGCTGGAAAACTATTGTCTTTTGATCTCGCCGAGCGGACGCTGCTCTCTTTATCAATAATGCTTTTGAGTGCCTCCAAAATGTTGACCTTGAAATTATACCAGTGCAACAACACTGCATGCTAAGGTACTTTATGATGTGTAGTGTAGTAGCAAAAAAGAGGCTGCTTGCTTTCCCCATCACAGAGAATATAAACCCAATAACTTCAACAAAATTTCTGCAGAATTTTGAGCTCAAGATTCTTTCTGGAAATTTGATTTGGCTAGGTTGGTTTTCATTCAAATAAGGCATAACTGAAATCCTATCATCAGCAAGACACTCAGGTTCATCAAAATCACCTCCAGCAACTCTCAGAAACACTTCTTCTAGAGTCGTGACTGAAATACCATAACTCTCAATGCCAAGAAAAGTATTTTCTGCACACTCAACAGTCCCAGAACTAGATTTTGATCTTCGCATGCACTGCTCTATTTCCCGAAACATGGTTTCAAAGGATGATGAAGATGCAAGAGGGAGCTTGAATGATATTTCATTGCCAACCTGCAAAGGCACAAGAAGTGCACGCAATGAATTGAGGAGATCATGTATTTCTGTATTAGTATTAAATAGTAGTTTTAAGTTAAAGCATGTGTAATAAGAGTTTCTACATAGCAATTTATTGTGTATATTATAATGAGTTCTTCACATATCAGAAGATTACTTCGCTCACACATGTTGCTGATGGGATGTATCTGTAAACAATATCTGCTGCAGCCGTGGCACTTGGTGTACTCTGAATAGAAAGACATCTATATTAAAAGGACTATATAAAACCAGCATAAATTGAGTGAGGCATTGCATACCTTCACAAGGGTAAGAGTATAACCAACACCATACTGCTGCTTTAAGAAAAAAGAACTGTTGAAGAAGAAAATTAACATAGGATTATAAATCAGTAAGAAACGCACACAAATAAGACTAGCTTTTATACAGCATTATCTCCAGTTTTAGACATTGATCTATTTCCTCTGTAATATTCCTCCCTTCCATTTTATCCCCACTGGGAAGAAGCATTCTTATATGATATGCCATAAATTACTTATTGAAGTGGTTAGCATCAGTCATAAAAAACTATAAAGCAGAGTAAGGAAAACCTTCCACAGCACTTGAGATAACCATTAGCCATGATAGCAATCCTATCCCCTAGAGCATCGGCTTCATCCATAGAGTGAGTAGTTAGTAGTATTATCCGTCCTTTCTTAATTCTTTTGATAAGCTGCCATGTCAACCGCATTGAGTATGGATCCATTCCACTTGTGGGCTCATCAAGGATAATAACCTATAATACAATATGCATGGCAATTTTACAAAAATTGTCAATAAGAATAATATATTTTTGCAAAAACTTGAAGACCTTGCTGTCTCCTATGAGTGCGATTCCCAAAGATAACTTCCTCTTCATACCACCAGAAAGAGCCCTTACAACAGTGTTGAGTTTATCAGCCAAACCCACCTAATAATATCATTACACGGAAAAAGTGCTCAGCAATGTTTTTTATTTATATATATGCTTTCAAGATTCAACAGGATGGAGCGGAGTATAAGTTACATTAACAGTGCAAGTTACAAAAGAAGCTTACTTCTTCAGCCATTACGGTTACAATATTCTCCAAGTTATCTTCGTTGACTCCCTTTATATTAGCAAATATTTCTAAATGTTCCTTCACCTGCGAAATCAATTGATAAAGTACTTCTCATTTCAAACATCACTTAGAGCTGAACTTAAAGAAAACAAGCCGATGGCAATATTTCCAAAGATTAATACAAATCAGGCACCCTAGAGAATAATTAGATCTTAATGATCAAATAGTTATTAGTTATGAGGTTTTCAACAGGAAATTTATTCAGAAACAAGAAATCAGTTCAAAAGTGAGTTGTCAAGGTATAGAAGAAATTTCTCTTACAGTCAGTTCAGGAAAAAGGATGTCATATTGGGGACAGACGCCCAAGCTTTTGTGTATTTCATCCTGCAAAACCATAAAAGTAAGTTTTTTAGCAATCCAATTATTAAGAACAGATTTTGAAAACCCATGGAGTGGACAAGTAGAAGAAAGAGCACAATAGGAAAAATTACCTCAAATTCTCAAAACACTGCGAAATATGTTAATTAAAATAAAATAGTGTAGGGAATGTCAAGGGGAAAATCATTACAAAAACAGGACTTCCACAAGTATGAAGAGAAATTTTAGAGATTTTTCAAGCTTGAGTAATCTTAGATGGAGGTTCCAAGCGCCCATAAAACACCAATCTTTAAATATGAGTGCTTCTTGAGACACAGGGATACTTATTCGTAGCAGATAGACACTAGTTTTCTCTTCTAGTAACAGATCAGTCCAATGGTCATGAGCTAAAGGATCCAATTAGTACATGAAGAATGCCTGGCCTCAAATTTCACCCCTTGCATGTTGTTTAATGATCATAGCATATAGAAGTAGACCAAATAAAATTAAATGGACATATCAATAGCCAATTAAATCACTTGTAAAATATAATGTATAAATCAAGGAATAATACATAGATAACATTCTACGTTGTTTTCTATTATTATCTTATTCAGTTCATATAACCATTCTAAGTTGATCATTATTGCACTTCTATTTCATCCTTTCACAAATAGGAAAAATAGAAATGACCAAGAACTGCAGATTCTATGAGACTACCCTTCATATACTAGAAAACCTTTTTTATTATGCCTAAAGAAATATAATAATAAAAACCATCATGTTTTCAGCTTTTCAGAGACACACATAAGATACACAAAACAGAATCAATAAAATTACCATATCTGTTAAGATGTTCTTTCCAAAAACTAATGCATCTCCAGAGGTTGGTCGAACAAGGCCAACAAGCATTGACATTGTAGTGCTTTTACCAGCTCCATTATGTCCTGAAGGATGTAAAGGTCAACAAGCACTACAAGCAATAATATTACTATAAAATTAAGTGAATCAATGAATGGACCAACTTAGCATGATGCCACTCTTGTATTCTAATGGTCATTCATTAAGGAGAACAATGAATAATCACTTAAGGGTGGGTTTGTTTGGGGGATTGAATTTTAAATACACTATTTATCCCATTTTTTCCCCCCAAAAAACATCAAATCAAACACCTATTTTTCATTTTTTATATTATACTAAAAATCAATTTTACATTCAAAACATCACATCAACACCTATTTATATCACATCATACAACTATTCAAATTCAAAATTTTTACTATTCAAATCCCAACTCAAAATCCAAACCCCCAAACAAACACACCCTAAGTATACTCCTAGAAACATAAAAGGTAAGATACTTAATAAATGTAGTCAAACACAAACTATGCCTCTTTAACAATTGACACTCTTTTTAATCAGAAGACAATTGATAATTGAAAGAGAGTTAAACATTTAGATGTTTCTTGAATATAAAAGCAAGGGCAAGGTAACCCTAAAATCATTCCAAGTTGGACCTCACTTAACAACACCAAAATATCAAGCCAAGAACTGAGTTAGTGTTGTTACCTAGAAGAGCGACAATTTGATTTTCATGAAGTGTAAGCTGTAAAGAATTCACGGCACAGCACCTTGATTTCTTGGAAGCGTACACCTTGTGTAAATTTCTAATCTGAATACATCTGATGAACACATTACAATACATCATGAGCATACAATATACTCTCTCAAAACATCAAGAAGTTAACTTTAGTTAATAATAATGATATATTTACCGCCCATCAAGCTCTTGTTGCTTCATTTCCAAATTTATGGCTTCCATTGCAGGTTTATATGCATCTCTTTCAAATGTAAGAGGACATTTCTCAAGGTCGCTGCCAATTAACTTAATATGTGAATTGGAAGAAGACTGTTGCCTTAGATCCCTCTTCCTCCAAAAAGGCTTGAATAATTTGGAACTCCACGGCCAGTGCATCCCATTCTCCTTACGAAAGACCTGATTGTAGAAATATAAATTTGATATCAGAACATAGCTAACTGAAATATCTTGTGGTTCCCCATTATTCAAAGAGGATTCACACATAATGAAACTGTTAAATACCAAACTTCAAGAATGGTCTTTTAAAGGAAAAAGGAAAAATATATATATATATATATATATGTATATAAGTAGAAAAGATATACCTCATCTAGATATAGACCAATAGCACAGTATAAGACAGTGTCCAATAACATCATGAGAAGACACACCAGGAAGGAAACTCCAGATGATTCCTGTAGTAAGGTAGAAAATGGAACATTTTGAATATCAAAGATATAAAGGCAAAAATAATTATATGAAAAGCAACAAAGCATACCCGCCAAATGTTGCTCCACCGAAGTCCAACATGAGCACGCTCATAATCAGCAAAATTAACCGACCCCAATGCAAATGCTGTTGGTGAAAGAAAAGAGGCCAAGACCTTCAATAACCTATAAATATCAAAGGAGATGCCTTATGCATAATTTTATTAAAAAAAAAAATCACTTTTCATGACAAATTGACCAAAAAAACTTACATGGAAACAGCCTCATCATCCACAGTATAATAAGGAAAGAAAGCTGCAAGAAATGCAAGTGTCCCAACGGCTACTGCAGTTTTTGCTCGATTGAAGAATGTGGAAATTAAAAATGATAATGTTATTGAGCTGAGTCCAAAACAGAAGAAGTATACAAACACCAGGGACTTGTCACTGTACTTAAAAAGAGTTTCCATTGTGCAGAGAGTGATGATTCCTGAAGAGATAGCAAACTGAACAAGCAAAAGAAACATCAGAAAAATTCTCTAAAACAATCCATGAATTGGTGACAAGACACAAATCTTTAAGAACTTTATACAAGACCATAAGTAGCCACAATTCTACTAAGCAAATAATGGCTTTACAAATTGGTAGATGCAGTGAAGGAAGGTAATGTAAGAGAGAGAAGAGTACCATGCGATGCCAATGTGCATCACCAAACAAATACTCCTATGTCAGAATATTCTCAGAGCAGTGTTGAAATCTTAAATTTACAACAAGGTGTTTACATTAAATCTTGAAATTAAAATTTCATATTCCAACTCTAAGGCCATAAAACTGTTTACCATTAAGTAGAGACACTGCTTCAAAAGTGCATTTCTTCGTCATGTTTGAATCATAATGAACTAATTAAGTCAAGTCCAATGAGCATCGCATGAGTAATACAGCTTCTTTAGAAAATGTTTCAAGGCTATGGAAATTACACATGGAATTACTCACAATAGATACTGCTAGAACTTTCCTCCTGGTAATAATATTCTGCTATAAAGTTATTTTCACATGGAATTTTTAAAAATACGTGACTTGGTTTTCTTTGATCACGAGTCAAGGTAACAATCAGGTATTATAACTTTGTATATCATTGATAGATATCATTACCCATAGACAAGAAAAGTTAAAAAGACAAAATGAGGGAAAATAATGTCATGACAACAACTATTGACACAATCTAATAATATAATAACAAACCTGCAGGGCATATGTCAGAAACCAGGAGAGAATAAACATGCTGTTCTTTAGACCCATCATGTATAGACCTTCCTTGATTTTTTGCTCCTGGTGTATCAACAACTTAGTATAAGAACATCAAAATAAGAATAAACTCTAAAACGTGGATCACTACCTTCTCAGAAACAGAATAACTAATAAGTCGAGAGATTGGATAAAGAAACCCCAGCAAGTACCTGTTGGGTAATTGTGATGAAAAATTTCAAATCAATATCCAACATATTAGCTATTAGCCAAGGGGCTTTTCATAAGCAATGTAGCAAAAGCATAGCAAAGAACATAAATGTTTACAGAAACACTTACAAAACTCCCATGACACTCTTCACAATAGACTGGAATTCATCATCTGTGTATTCAGGAGTTGGAAATGGGGCAAGTGTTATATTTGAAGGGATAAACTGTTTCCATGGTATCTCAAATTTTCTGTGCAATGAAGTTGAATCTGAAGATGATGTTAGCTCGTTGTCGGTCGAGTTTGTCATTTGTTGTTGTTGAACAAATATAATGAATGAATCCATTACTTGTTGAAGCTGAAACAAAAATTAAACAATAACACTAAGCAACAGGGCCAAAAATTAACAAGTTTCTGCAATTTCACTGTCCCATAATAAAATGATGCTCAAAACATATTAAGTAGGTTCAGGGGCTCAAAAGTTTCAGTGCATCCTAAACATTGATATTAACACATACAATAGAAGAAATTGTCAAAAGAAGGATGAGGATGGGGGTGATCAGAAGACTGATTGCAAAAAGGATATCATGCACAGATGTCCATACTCCATACAAAATGACTGGCGATAAAGTTTCAACATAGATGATTCTTGGAAGTATAGCTTATTTCCAAACAGCACTTCGTTGGAGTGGATTACCAAGAATTACACATTATAAAAAAGAAAATGAGAAAAAGAAAAGAAATCTCAAGTAAATTAGAAAAAGGTAAAAAAAAAAAAAAATTCTCAAGAACCATGCAAGGATAACGAGGCCATACAGTGAAAAATCCACTAATGCTGTACTGCATTATTGGTATTTCGTTCACACCCAACTGCAAGTCATTAAGAAATGGCCCATTCACATCCATGATTGTGTTAACGTCAGGAAATCCAGAAAATGCCCACGTGTGGTTCAAGCGTATGCTATAGTCAAAAGATTGAGGACCTTGTTCGTGAAACACAATTGCTCCCTTGATTTTTGGGCTTGTGAAATTCCTACAGAATGCAAAAGCTTGGAATAAATTTTCTTCATTCTATATTAGGATCTCAGACTAGAGTTTATAGTAAAGCTAAAACATCATTCCGCAGGGACAGACAATACTCCTTCAAACTATGCTTCATACTTTTCCCCATATGGTAAAGAAATAACATATTTAAATGAGGTGCAACTAAGATGGATAATGTGAGTGTTAACAAACTAATCTAAACATATGTGCAGCTAGAGAAGTAAACAAACTAAAATTGCTTCCGAAAAAACAATAGAAACAAAAGGACAAAGAAAATGAACAGATTAAAACTCACTTTTCTTTATCAAAAGTACCATAAGTGTCAGAGCGAATGTATGCCTCCAATTCCTCCTCATCTTTGTAAACCTTCGCTGTTAGCTGAATTAAATTAAAGCACAATCATTACCAATAAAGAGAAAAATAGTAAACTAGAAAATTATGATGGATGGATCTAGATTTTTAAAGAATATTGCTAAATGATAGTTATTGCGAAAACCTTATATCCTTCAAATTTCAAGCCATCACTGTTATTCTATGATGTATAGCAAAACTATCAAAGTAAGCATATGAAAGGATTTTTGAAAATAAAATCTAAATTTAATCACAAAGCAAAAGCAATGGCATCAGCATTCCTTTGTCAAACAAAACCAATGAGAATACTCAGAATTACCTTGCCTTTTTATCTCAAACAACACCTACTGACAATAATATAGTGGAACCACCAACAGGAGCAACTGGAAGTAAGCATTCAAGCAATACTTCGAAAAGGTCACCAAGTAATAGATTGTAGTGTAGCAACAAAAGGTTACATATTGGAAACCAGAGAAGTCATAGATGTGGTGAGGGACATGCATAAAGTATTACTATGTACCTTCAGCAGAGGAAATTTCAGGGACAGCACATTTATCATCATCCTGGTCTCACTTGTATCAGGTGAAAAGGCCAAAAACTCACCCTTGGCATATAACAATTCCAAAATTTGGTTAAAGGGTGCAGACATGCCACCTTGTCCTACTGTCACGAGCATGTCCTTCCTAATATATCTGCACCAGATTCCTTTACTCTCAGTAACTCCAGATTATTTTCCCTTTGAAGTATGAACAATAAAATTACTGTGCGTGCTTATATCTGTTAACTTCTCCTTACACCTCTGTAGTTCAACTAAACTTAATAAATTCAAATATAAGAGAGTGTTTGTGCAAACAAGAATAGATGCTTACGGCTGAGGAGGGTGGACTGTCGTATCAACGTTCATTTTCACAGCTATTAGCAACAGCATAACAATGGTTGGAAGCAAAATCTGCCCATTGCAATGAAACAAAGTGAACAAGTAATTATATCCTGCTGCAGAACTGAAATTACTTAACAGCATGACTTTGTAACAACCAAAAAGATGTAATTAAATCAAGTGCTTGAAATAGTATATTCAACCTAAAGATGAATGGAAATTTCCCAAATATCTCAAGATAGAGTAAATTATAGAGGAATTGGGTGATAGCTAATCAAGATAACCAGGCCACTAACAGCTGAACAAACACACATTTTGAAATTTCTTTTCAAGGAATCACACAAAAGTTCAAGGGCCCTCAAGTACTCAATTTAACAAGAACCCAAGAACATCAGAGCACTTCAAATACCGGACTCTAAAGGCAATCAAGATTCGTGATGTTGACAAGACTTACACAACCAAAAGTAGGGTTCTATCTGCAACAATACAAGAGGCCATACTATGGAATCCCAAATGTCAACAATCTTAAAATTTTCGACCAAGAAACATGAAGGAAAAGTTATTAATATCTAGTATATTGACAATGCAAAATGCACCTTTGAAATGATATTACCCAATTCATAACACACAAAAATAAATAAATAAGCAAATAAATTAAAATGCTTCGAATGCACCTAAGCAACCAAAAGATGCTAAGCATTCCAAGACTCAAAGAATCAAACTAATCTTTAGTATACATTTGCAATTTTTTTTTTATCAAGAAAACCTGGCAGTTCTATGCGAATGGTGAGATAGACACATTGTCAGAAAACAAGAAAATTAGGGAAATGTAAATTACATGAAACCTCTAAGGGCATTCTTAGATTCTTGATCTGAACACTAATGCAATGATTCCTTGTTCAAAACTAATTATAGTTCAAGCACCAAGCTCAATCTAAGACACCAACTGAATGGAAAAATAAAATAAAATCCCACCTGACTAAAAACCCCAACTTAAATTCTAAAAAATAGAAATTAAAGGAAGAAACGAGCGAGTTGAACACATACGACACAGACATAAAAAAAAACAGTTCGTGAGGCCGTGTCAGAAACCACAAACCTCTCCGCAAGTGACAAACGGATGACGAATTTTCAGTAGCCAGTTCTTGCGGAGCATGGCCTTCAATTGCCTTCTCGACGACCTCATCCCCTCCTTCTCCTTACTTTTCTTCTTCTCCATAGCTGAAAAGCGGTGTCCTCCCCACTCTATTCAGATTCAATATTCAGACAGAGTTCCTCTCCTTCCCTAACACTGGAAAACCGAATTTAATAATCATAAGAAAAGCATAGAATATGCATTGACTCTCCTACTTCAAAAACAAACAAAACAGCACTTGCAAATCAAACAGAGCTTCTTCTTATCACACCGAAAACAACTGTCAAGGCAAAAAGCACAAATGAACTAATGATCTAATACGCACTCACTCCCTAATCCACTCACCGCCCCAATTCACCCATGCTACAACACCAACAAATCAAAAACGATTAAAATAATACTCCAAACATCTAAAAACAAAGGGGAAAAAGCACGATGCAACTTTAGATATAAAAATATATATTTATATACCCAGACATACACATAATCCAACATCCGCTCACTCAAACAATTCCCGAGCTTCGACACTTACCACATAGCGGATTGAAAACAATAATATCTTCTTCCAAGGAGCGGTGGATGCGTGAAGCGGTCGCAGGCTCAGTAGAAGAACGAAGGCGTACAGAAAGCACTCGCCCCAACTGCTTTCTTACGAATTGGCCGTTCTCCTGACGACTGATGACGATTCAATATTTTGGTAATTTTTAATATATATATATATATATATATTTAGAAATTTTAAAATGAAAATGGAAGAAAAGTATAAAGAGAAGTGGCTAACGGTCAAGGTCATGTTAAGGCTGCGGGGAAAACAGGTCGCGCATTAATAAATTCGCGACAATTATGTACACCATTTTTTATTTTATTTTATTTTATTTTTCTTATTCCTTTATTTATTTATTATTCCCTCCCGTCTCTTATTATATTCAATTTTTTAATTTTTGTCCGTTTTCTCACTTCCTTGTTTTTGAAAAAGTTTATAATTATTTTAAAATTTTTAATTAAAAATTATTTAATTTTAATTAAACTAATTAATTATATTAATTTTAAATTATAATTTTTATTATATTATAATTATTTTCATTTATAGTCACATTTATCATTATCTTTGTGATTATCTTTTTAATTTTTATTATAACAATATTCATTATTTTTAATAAAAAATACAGTTATTTTAAATTTATTAATAGGTTACCTTCAACAAAAATAATAAAAACAAATTAAGTATTATCTTCTTTTTTTTTTTTAAATCTTAAAATTTTAAATTTCAAATTCAATAAAAATTATCTATAAATATATTTAAAACTCATTAACCAATTATAACGTTTTATCTATCATATTTTAAAATTACTTTTTTTTTATCTCTAATTTTTCCTATTCAAATTTCAAAATAGTAAATTATATGCTTCAAATTATTAAAATTTACATAGATTAATATATAAAAATTAAAATATAATATTATATAAAAAAAAATATTATTAGACAATAAAAATATAAGACTATGTATAAATAAATAAATTATTGTAGATATTATAAAATAGTAAAGGTAATGAGTTGAAGGTACAACGACAATAAAGAAAGTAATTTGAATATTGAAATTAATATGACGTGGATGAAAGAGATGAAAAAAAATAATAGTCTAGAAGTAACGACTATAACGAATGCTCTAATACATTCTTAATTTTTTAAAATTCTAGTATCTACATTAAAATTGATATGATAGATAGAACATAGAGAGTACTTTACATATGACAAAAGATTTAAGGGTGTGGTTCTTTAGGGAATGTTTGGGGAAATTTGACTTTCGATTTGATTTTTATTTGAATTTTGATGTGAGTTTGAATTTATGTGTTTTGTAATTTTGTATTTAGGTTTGAGTGGGGTTTGAAGAGTTTTAATGGATATTGATTTGATGGTAATAAATATAATAATATAAATGTGTATTAATTTATATAATTTGATTATAAATTTATATTATACCTACGTATATATTTCTAAATTTTTATTTATTTATATTATAAAAAATTATTTTACATATATATTGTATATATTTTATTAAATTATAATTATTGTAATTTTTTTATATTTATAATTTAATTTAATTTTTTTTTTAAAAAAAAAAACTTTGTCAGCTTGTCTCTCCAATTTCTGTTTGCATAATAATTCAGTCAAAACTGGACTAGAGAGACAAACCCTATAACTTATTTATAATAAGGATATTAGCAGTTATTACATGTCTAATGTGGTATGTGACAAAAGGCTTAGTTGAGAAACTTGAATAAAGTTGTATGTCTCAAATAACACTAATGTCTGATTAAAATCAACACTAAATACAGTCTCAGACAGCCAAGCAATGAAGATTATTACAATGACACAGGTGTAATTAAATAGAAATGAGTATCAAATATATTATTGAGTTTTGATTTGATCTATATTAAATATAAGCCAATCTGATCTGATCTATATAAGCCAATAGGCAAAATATGTGTTTCTTTGAATTTGATTTGAATTTTATATTTAAATAATATTAATGTGATATTTTATAAAATTCTATATATATATTTAAAAATATAGTATTTCAATAAAATATCTATAATATAAATTTTATTTTATAAATAATAAAAATTTAAATTTTATAATAAAAATAAATTATAACGTAGCTTAATTTTATAAAAAAATTATATTTTAAATATAGATAAAAATATTTATTTATTAAAAATAAATAAAAATAAAAATAATTTTAAATTATTAAATTTACTAAAATCATTTGTTATGAAATAAATTAAAATAAAATATATATCATTTATTATAGAAAATAGAGCATATAATATTATTTCCCTCCATCTAAAATTTTTATATATATATATATATTTTTGATTTTTTTAATATTAATTATTATATTAATATATAAGTGTATATATTTATTAGTTTTTATAATATAAATATAATAATAAAAATATTTTTAATATTAAATAAAATAAAAAATGGAGATAAAAGATAGAGTAATGAAAAATAAAATAAATTTGTATAAGCAAAATGCAACGTGATGGATCTTGGTTTCCCCACCACAAATTAGTAAATAAACGAAGTTGTTTATATGTCGTTAGCTGTATCGTTATTATAAATCCGTAATTAGTTTAGACAGATAATATAAATAAATAAATAATTACATAATTTCAATGATCCCAAAGATTTTAAACTTAAAATAGGCGATGATCACGTGCTTTGCACGCGACGTCAGCGTCAATCAATTAAAAGTTGTAATGGATAAACGTGTCTGTTTCGACAATGGAGTGGAGCAGGCCCACTTACACGACATTCAGCATTCAATAATCCTTAAATAATTAAATCAAATTATAAATATTTATGTATTTTATTTATCTGTATTATATAATGTTATTATTTATCAAATAAGATTAATAAATATTTTATTAAATTATAAATTTTAAAATATTTTAATATATATTTTAAATTTATTTTAATTATACATAGAATAATTTTTTATTCATTTAAAAAATTAATAAAAATATTTGAAAATGATCGTCAATATCATTTATATAAAATAAATAAAATAATATTATAAAAAACTACTATTATTAAGCCATTAAATATAACTAGATGGAGTATGGAATACAAAAATATCTACCTGCTAAAAAAGGTGTTATGCAAGCGTGGGCCAGATTATTAATAGAAAATTTTGGCCCAATTAATAGATAGCCCAATACAAAATGGAAGCCCAAGACCATTTACAGCTAGGCCCGGCCCGAATCTCACAACTCCCACGCCCTCCCGGGCTGCCATTTCTCACTCTTATTCTCATTGCTCACAGTGACCACCGCCACCGCCACCGCCACCGCCATCGCCATCGGCGCTGCAACTTATGGTATCGGAATTGCCTCCACCTGAAACTTCCTGAGCCGAAGCTGATACGGCGAGATGAAAGAGCAATTTCCTAGATTGGTCAAGGGGATTCCTCCATCCCTGGGGTGGAGCGGAAGAGCTTGCACCTCGGACGGTTGATTTTGGTCTTGGTAATGATCGGTAAATCGTACGCTTAATCTGATTCTCGTTAATCCGTTTCGAGAAGCTAGACATAAGAGATACTTTTAAAGCAAGGTATATTAGCCTGTGAATTGCTGTTATGGTTATCGTGCATTGTGCTTGGGAAGGAGTTCTGTAGTTGCATATCATAGTTTGGGTGAGATTGGAATTTCGGAAGGATTAAATTGAAATACTGAATAGGAAGTTGGATTAGGGTTCTGGTTGGACTTATTCCACTCCTCCACCATGCTAGCAAGGATTCACTGCTACAATAGATTCTTGTTTAGACATGTTACTGTCAATAGGCTTTATTGTTCAGGAGAATCGATGCTGGATTCATGTGATGTAGCTAAAAAAGTCTGTAAAATTATGGTTTCATGTCCCAAAATAGGCATCAATGCAGCGCTAGACCAGAGTGGCATTCGAGTTTCCGAAGAGGAAGTCGAAAAGGTTCTTGAGAAGTTTGAAAATGCTGGAATGCTGGCTCACCGATTCTTCGAATGGGCCGGAAAGCAAAGAAACTATGAGCATAGTGTAAGAGCCTACCATTTTATGATCAAGTCATTAGCGAAGATAAGACAGTACGAAATAATGTGGGATTTAGTGAATAAGATGCGGAGCAAGGGAATGCTGAATGTCGAGACCTTTTGTATTATCATGAGAAAGTATGCTCGAGCTCAAAAGGTGAATGAAGCAGTTTATACGTTTAATGTAATGAAGAAATATGATATGCCGCCGAATTTGGCTGCATTTCATGGCTTGTTGAGTGCTTTGTGCAAGTCAAACAATGTTAGGAAGGCTCAGGAAATTTTCGATGCCATGAAGAACCAATTTAGTCCCGATTCGAAAACTTATAGCATTTTGCTAGGAGGGTGGGGAAGGGCTCCAAATTTGCCGAAAGCTAGGGAAACTTTTAATGATATGGTTGATTCAGGCTGCAATCCTGATATTGTGACATACGGGACTCTGGTTGATATTCTCTGCAAGGCGGGTCGAACGAATGAAGCACTTGATGTTGTCAAGGAGATGGAGTTCAATGGCTGTCAGCCGACGTCTTTTATATATAGTGTTTTGATACATACATATGGGATTGAAAATAGAATCGAGGATGCTATAGATACATTCCTTCAAATGGAGAGAAACGGCGTACAGCCTGATGTGGCCTCGTATAATGCCTTAATCAGTGCATTCTGTAAAGTCAAAAAGTTCAAGAATGCGTATAAGGTGGTGGACGAGATGGATACAAAGGGAGTGAGACCCAATGCCAGGACTTGTAATATTCTAATAAACGGATTGATTGCTAGTTCAGAGACCGACGAGGCCATAAAGGTGTTCCGCAGGATAACTAAAGTTTGTGAGCCGGATGCAGAGACATATACCATAATGGTGAAGATGTTCTGTGATCGAGATGAGATAGATATGGCTTTCAAGTTTTGGAAATATATGAAATCGAAGCAGTTTTCTCCGAGCATGCACACATTTTCTATACTTATTAATGGGTTGTGTGACAAGGCCGATGTTTCCAGAGCTTGTGTTTTGATGGAAGAGATGATAGAACGAGGAATTCACCCGGGAAGGCATACATTTGCAAAGTTGAGGAAATTACTCTTGAAGGATGGGAGAGAAGATGTACTTGAGTTTTTACAGGAAAAGATTAACCTTTTGGTCAAGGAACCTCTGTGTGATTGAGGTATTGTACGCGTCAAATTACGAAATCATTCATTTTTTTCACTTGATCTGCATTGTTGATGTTATATGATGATTCGAATATGCGCACACGCTCGATTTTTCGTTCTATAGTTTAAGAAAAACTTGAGTCCACTACATATGCTATACTGAATGTTCTAAAAAGTATTTCCCTTTTTCTGCAGATTGTGTCCTTTTGATTCATATTGCTGAAAGTTGGTATCCTCAAGATCAAGCCCTCTGATAACCTTTCAAGAACAAAAATCTTTTGTGATCTGTATCCGCAGTTCAAAGGCGTATCTGTATAGTTGTTTCTTACAACTCATGAATGTCCATTTTGTAACGCCTAAATTTCCCGGGTTCCAGCACCAATTGACGGCCGGAATTTCCAGTTACGGACAACAAGTTGTTCAGCAAAGGCCCTAGATTACAATGGTATAAACCATGTGGTAAGAATGTTCTACTTTGTCTGGAAGCCATGAATCCTTCACACCAGTTTACTTTCTGTATATACTTAATGCAATCTTCAAAAAGAAACAGGAAGATTAAAAAGGTAGCTTTCTTGAATGTTCCATTTTCTGAATTTGTCGGCTTCTTCTTCTTCTGTGGATTAAGTTTGGCAATGAAGATGTCTTCGATATTAATTTTTGAAATCAAATTAGTACTTCATTATATTTGAGCCGGAATTGAACTCTTTGCATTTTTCGGATGATTAAACTCTGAATAAATAACATAGGCTATGCACAAAGGAGAAAGATTATGGTTCTTATATCTTTCAGTACTAGTTGAATATACAAATAAGAACCTACTTTGATCAATGTGCCTCATTAGTTGAAAGATTCTTCCTTTCATCATGTTTTATCATCGTCAAATAGCGCTACTATCAATATGCTTCCTCTAACTGTGTTCATCTCCTTCAGAATCTTGATGTATATTTGAAAGGCTTGTTCGCCGGGTAAATGAATAGCCTCATCCATTCGCCTCAGCTGCTGTTGTGCTAACAATAAACGCATTGGTGGTGAGGGGAGGACTTGATGTTGAATCCATTTTTAAGGTATGCTGATCCGATTTCCTCTTCAAAGATTCTGTCCAAGAAACAAAATCATGTCTAGAAACACCCGAGAATAGAGCAGACAATTCGACAATAACTGAGTCATGGGTAGAAACAATCCTTATAACTGAGTCATGGGTAGAAACAATCCTTAGTTCGAACTTCATCCTTAGAATGTTCTTCCATTTTCTGTTATATATAGAACTTAGTTTTCTTTCAATTATATATAAAATGACCCTTATCTTGTGTTACCTACCTATTCGCCTTTTTATGATTGCGGCATTCTCAGCTCCCGCACTTTTTTGTGCATAAGAGTATATGTTGTTGTATATTTGGATTGTAGGCGGTATTCCTGCATCTTCCATCCATTGCATCACCTGTCGGTCAAGAATTTTGAGTCACACAATCAACAATCTTTGCTGGTTATGTTTCAATAAAAGTTATTATCTAGTAGAAACTCTTTTCGGGATCATAAGTTTTCAATTATTCGAGAGCGCCATGCATTATATATGAGAAAAAACCGAAAACTAGAGATGATAGATGAGAAACACACCGAAGAATAAAGTTGAGAGCTTACCTCAATGTATTTCTTCCAATGCCCGGAAGCTAAAAGATTCTTTAATAAAACTTCATATGTCGTGGCGCTAACTTCTGCACCCGATGCAACTATCTTTAGAAATAACTGTACGGATGATGGGAAGGATGAAGCTATCGAAGCTAAATCAACAGCCAATGCAACATGCAGAAGGGAAATTCACTGGTCGAATCACGATTACCTTCATCATAGTGTCGATCTTTCCAGCTTTACCGAAAGAATGAAGAAGATGATTCAATGTTCCAACCGATATTCTCAGAAGGGATGCCTCCATCATTTGAATAACTTGAGTGAGGGTTTTCCAATCTCGCAGACTTAAAACAACATAAGATAGAATGACTTAAAGGTACCAACTCGAAGGCGCACCGAACAAATTACTTAACAAACAACTTACATGGTACAAGCCGAAACCATTTCAAACAAGACTGCGTCAATAAATGGGATCTGCCGGTCGCTCATGAACTTGGCAAGATGCAGAACTTTATCTGGTTGAGATCCTCGATTGCACGCTCTCATCAGTGCCGCACAAGCTATTGAGTCCGGTTGGATGCCATTCAGCTCCATTTCTCGAAACAATGTAAAAGCTTTATCCCAGTTTTCTGCACACATTTTCCGAGTTAATCTCAGACCATGTTCTTGAACAGAGCTTGCTCAATCACCATTTGAAAGTGTGCGAACTCACCTGCAGTATTATAAGCATGTAGCAATGTCGTATATGCAATGACATCAGGATGCAAACCATCCATTTTCATCATGTCAAACAGCGATTCAGCTTCAGCAAGTCGACCCTGGAAGTAAACGAAAGGAAGAATGGGAAAATGGAATGAAAAATCAAGAACAAAATATAAGTTCCGGCAACGAAAATTTACTCATCTAATATTACTTGCCTGTTTGCTATAGGCGCAAATCGAAGAAGAATAAACCTCCCGTGTCAATGGAATCTTGAGATTCCTCATTTCAGCTAGAAACTCAAGTGCTTCACTGTACTTCGACATCTTGCAGCAGCCGTTTATTAAAATGGTAAAGGTAACAGAATCAGGTCGAGCCTTCTTTTTCGTCATGCTCCTATATAAAGCTAGAGCTTTGTCGTATTCCCCGACATTCATATAGCTCCCGATAGCAGAGTTATAGGCAAATGTATTCAATTCTATGCCTCGCAGCTTTGCAGCCTTAAGTATGGAATCGACCTTCACCTTCTGAGAACAGCGACCGCAGGCAGCCAAAAGGGAAGTAATTGAAACAACATTTGGACGTAATCCAACTTGCTCCATTTCACGCAACAATTCCACTGCTTCGGCTAGAAGACCATTAGATCCGTAGGCGTCAATCAGTGCATTGTAACTCACCAAATTCGGTTTACAGTTGTTTCTTCTCATCATGTCGAATATTTCCCTGGCTTTCTGGGGTTGTTGTGATCTTCCGAAGGCATTAAGTAAAGTTGTATATGATACCACATCTGGCCGGATACCCTTCTGTTTCATCTCATTGAAAATTGCCAAGGCAGGTTCACTCATCCCAAGTGAAGCGTATGCACCGAGCAATGCATTGTACGAAACAATATTAGGCTTCTCACCCTCTGAAACCATTGTGTTGAAAACAGCATGACAGTTTTCAACCTGTCCACAAATAGAGTACATATGCATGATGCTAGTATAGGTCACAATATCAGGACGGCATTCTGACCTTTTCTCTCTCATTGAATAGAACACCTTAATAGCTTCGTCGTAATTTCCAACCTTGACAAGGCAATGTATCACAATGTTCAGGGTCGTAGTATCTGGTCGGATCTTTGTACCCTTCATTAGCTCAAAATACGACAGCGCTTTTGAATACTGCAACCCAGTTTTATATGCAGATAGAATGATGTTGTGAGTCACCAGATCAGGCCCGACTCCATTATCTGTCATCTGTTTACAAATTTTCAGGGCCTCCCTCCAATTGCCACTTGATCCACACGCATTGATCAGATTGTTATACGTTGATCTGCTTGGAGCAACCTGTAGATGTAGAAAAAGAAATTTGAAATGATTTCAGAAAACCAAGCAAAAAAAAAAAAAAAAACAGAGAGCCTTAATAGAAATGTACAGAGGTTAAAAACAGACCAACCAAACAGTAAATATAGTGAAAAGAGTGAAGCTCACATCATAACCACAAAGATTGATTATGAAGGAGAAATATAAATACACACAGCTGCACGAAGCATGTCTTCCATGATATTGAGTCCCCAGCGCCACTGACCGGCTCGTCCATGTGCGTGGATAAGGGCATTGTAAGTTTCAACATCGGGTTTGCACCTAAAAGAAGTAGCAAGCAACTAAGTGATAATAACAATACTTTACTGCAGTATGATGAAGTTTTAATGTAATTTTCACTTAGTTCTAGGAGTATAAAAGGATGCAATCCAAAGATCATTGGAGCCTGTTGTCTGTAGTAGATAACTTCATTTATTTCCAATAACAAGTAACACTGCACTTGATAAATAAATGTCGCAAAGGAAAAGCAACATGGTGCAAACAGGCATACCTCCATTTTTGCATCTCGAAATATAATCCACGAGCCTGGTCAATACGACTATGTCGAGCATGGAGCCTGATCAGCATATTGTAGATGTCATTTCTTGCCCGGTAATTTTTTTGGTTTTTCAGCCAATTGAAAACTTGATTACTATGTTCTATATAACCCAATTGAGTTATCTCCTGCACAGCAAAGCAGGGGTTCTCTTAAAATTTCATTATGCATCGAAAAAAAATGAAAAAATAGTTATAGAAAGTTTGAGTTCTAGAATCATAACAAAGTGATGGGAAAAATAAAAAACACAATTACGAAAAAAATTGGAAGCAAAAACATATAGCTGAAGAAAACACCATGGCTAGCTGTAAATACATTGCCTATAAACAGTTCTCTCCCAAAATAAGCAGTAGAAGGCATCATATAATAAGAACTACCACAGAAGTCTGAAGCTGATCAATGCTTAGATTTTTTATGAGTGCAGAATGAAGTTTCAATAAACTATATGCTGGAGCTGCTAAGTATGAAATAATGACATATAAAGACTGGTATTCGCATTGTAAATTGTTCATAAATTTCAAAATTGAATTGCATTCTCAAAAGCAATCAGATTCCTCGATAAAAAAAGCGGAGAATAATGATAATTAAGCAGATTGGGAGAAATTACCTTAATTAGAACAGGAAAATTTTTGCGAGCGAATCTGCCAGCCCAGCGGTTCAACACACCCTCGACGTCTTCCCAGTGGTTAAGCTTAATTATCCTCTCCACCACCTCGGAGATAGTCCAATCCCTCTGATACCGGTCTCCTTCAACTCTCAAACGATGCCGTTTCGGGAGGTCGGACTTCTGGATACCGGAGATTCTGGTGGACAATTGATGTGTCCCAGCGTCGTAGTCCACGTGAGCTTGTTTTTTCTCCTCGAACGGGTCGAGAGTCTTGGAATTGGAGCAATGGATCACTGAGGGAGCTTTCGAAGGGGACCGAGGCTTCGGCGGCGGGGCGAGGAAGGTGCACTGGTGGTGCACGGCGGCCATAACGGTGGAGATAAGCACCGTACGCTGAATTCCGACGTCTTATCGTAAAATAAAATAGGTACATAAATAAAACGTAGTTATAACTAAAAAGCGTTTTTCAATTTACTAATTTTTACGAAAATCGCGTTTTATCTGTACGGACTCCTGGGCTTGAAAGAATCGTTGGAGGCCCATTCATAATTGGGCCCAATTGCACATTTTGGCGAATAGTTAAAATAGATAAATAAATAAAGCGTCGTTATAACTAAAAGCGTGTCCATTTACTTATATTTACAAAAATCGCGTTTATAAATCTGTATGGACTTCTGGGCTTGAAAGAATCGTTGTAGGCCCATTCATAATTGGGCCCGATTGCACATTTTGGCGAATAGTTGGAGAAGCGAGCTCTCTGTCGCTATTGAATTATCAAAATATTGTACATATAATATCCAAAAAAAAATTGAAATATCAAATTTTTGATATATTTAAATCTTCGGTACGGTATTACCAAAAAAAATTAAAAAATAAGTTGTGTCAATTTATTAATTTTAGTATTATAATATGAATGTAATAATTATAAAATTTATGCATATTGAAGATGGCATTACGAGAGGTAGCGAGCGCCTACCGACCTGGGAAGCCAGCACCGACGGTTGATTGCAGGTCCAGGCGCTCGAGGTCCACGTGCCCGTGTCTCTTTTTATTTCTTCACAGGAATTCTGCAGTCCTGCTCCTGTATTTATTTCTTGCCCCACTTATATTTATAATAATCGGAAATTAATTTTTAAAATATAGCACAATTTTAATTAATTAATTTATTTAATAGTGATTTTTAAATATTCGTGGGATGAAAAAAATATTGATTTATAATATCAATATGTTAAATATCTATCCATTAAATTATAATTTAAAACATTTCTAAAGTTTCTTGTCCAATATGTGTTTAAATAAATCATCTTCATTTTTTTAAGAAAAATAAAATTATATGTTTAAAATATATATTGCAACTTTTATATCAATGGTATGGATTTTTCTTTAAGATTTAAAAAATATATTTTTTAATGAAATTATCTTAAAATCAATTAATCATGCTAGCATATATATACACATTAAAATTGCCGATAAATGTAACATCAAAAAATTAATATGCATCTTTGTGGGAAGAAATGAACAGCATTAAATTTGTACTTTTATTTAGAGGTTACACAATTTATATATATATATATGTATATATATTTAAAGTATCAGGTCTAACAAGTATGTTTGGTTTATACTGTAGTATAAGAACAACAATTTTCAATATATATTATAAAATATTTTCATATTTTTATAAAATAAAATAAAAACAGGACAAGTTAAAGTAAGAACTGTAAACAATACTACAAGTCTGCAACATATATAAGATTATGGGACTAAATAATTTTCAATTGTTTTATTTATTTATTCATGTAAAAATGCTTCAAAAAATGCTATTATTGTTATTAACTTATTATTGTTGTTGTTTGCAATAAAAAGCAAACATCACGTGTGAATACTTCAAAACAATAAAATATAATATAATATCCAAACCAGTCTAATTTATTATAATGTTAAACTATTGACTCAAAATTCAAAATTCAAAATTACAATAGTGGCCAATCTACGGAGTATTAAATTGTTAACCTTTTTATAATTTATGCTTAATGTAATATAAACTCAATCCAATCGCATGAATCAATTGGTTTCAATAATAAAATATACGCGGGGTGTGTTTTTAATTTGAAATATTATTAATGGCACATATAAAAACTATATTCATAATAAAAAAATTACTATTTTTTTCTTAAAAAAAATAAACATAATATATATTGCATATATTATATTTTCTTATAATAATAATAATAATAGAAAATTATTTATTGGAAAAAAAGCAAGGTAGTTAAAACTTATTTTAGGGCATTTACCATCATCGGCTACAAATATGCATACACAAGATTCTCTCAGACTCAGATATATCTCTACTGCAATAACATTCATCAAGTTTTCAGCTCTGCACTCTCCACAGTATATATACATATATATATATATATCCTAGAAAGAGACTCTGAAAGCGATCGAAACAAGTTGAAGAAGAAGAAGAAGAAAGATTGGAGAAAATAAAATTCAGACAAGTATGGTTCTGAGAAGCAAGAACAGCAGCATGGAAGCAGCTGGCCATGGATGGAGAAGAATGGGATTCCTCTTAATCTTCTTCCCTGAAGAAGATAACAATAATAATAATAATTATACTAATAATTCCCCAAATCATCACACCAGAAAACCCTACAATTATTCAAATTTCCATTTTCTCCAATCCACTCTCTCCATCTCCATTTTCTCCCTCTTACTGTTCACCGGAATTCTTCTCTACATATTCTCCACCCTCCCCTCCGCCGCCGCCGCCAACCGCCGCTCCTCCGCCTACACCACCGTCCCTCGCCGACAAATTCCCCGGCCGCCGCCGCACGCATTGCAAGGATTGGGCATTCTCTACCGCCGCGGCGTTCGGGCAATGGCCGACCTCATCGTCGCCCACGCCGCCGACTCACTGAGTCTACACGAGCTCAGGCTGTTCCTCCGACTCTTCCACCGATCCACCGCCGCTTCCAGATCCGATCTTCTGATCATATTCCCGACGAGATATCGATCCTCCGCCTTCGACGACGTCGTTTTGCAGGAGAACGACGCGTTTCTGAAGATGTTAGCTCTCTCACTACCGAGTTCCGACGCCGCGGCGACTCGCTCCGGCAGACTCAGTAAGAGGGAAAGCGGCGAGACGATATGGGGAAGAAGAACTCGTTCCAATTCTACGGAGTCACTCACTGAGTCGACTCGGACGAGTTACGGCTCCGTAGTGGGCTTCGACGTCCAGGAGCTCGACCCGGAGAACTCGCTATCCGGATTCATGGACAATCCCTCGATCCGGTTACGCAGATGGGCTTGTTACCCGTTGCTACTGGGTCGGGTCAGGCGAAATTTCAAGCACGTAATGTTAGTCGACATGAAGGAGTTTTTGCTACTCGGTGATCCGCTCAACCGGGTCAGGACCCACAGGCCCGAGTCAGTTATTTTAAAATCCACGGCCCTACCAAGGAACGTAAAGAAGAACACGATCAAAGATCCTACCCGGGTGAAACAGGTTAATCCGGGTATTATAATGGGCGGGTCAAGAGGGATCCGTAGGCTGGCCGGAGAAATGCTGACGGCAATCGTTAGAGCGTCGGTGGAGCAGCAGACGAGGAAGAAGAACCCGTTTACCGAATCGGATCTTTTCAACCAACTCGTTCGGAATGAATATGTTTTAAAGAACGTGAACGTCGTCGTTTCGACTGAGTCAGTGCCCGAGCTGGGTTCGGGCTCGAAATCGGGGCCCCATTTGTTGACGAAGAATTATAGTGTGATTAGAAGAGGGTATAGTAGTAATTTCGTACATGTGCTAATGAAGCAGACTTGTTCATTTCCCGAAGCTTCTAAAATTTACAGTGGTTGTTAATTAATTACACGTACTATTCTTTTTGTGCATACACATCTGCCATAATAAAAAAAATTAAATATAAATAATTTTATTTTCTTTTTTCCTTTTTTGGTTAAAATCAACTGAGATTCTGGTTTCTTGAATTTAGTTGCAGCGGTCAACTGTGTTATCTGACAGTCACATCTTGACCGTCAATGAAGACGATGAAGTCAGGATTAACGGTGGCAGTGAGCTTTCACGGACAGCATCCGTCACCGCCCGTCACCGTGTTTATTGCCATGCACGTTGACCAGTAATTAATAGGAGTAATTCTATTAAATTATATGAATAGCAAATTTAATGAATTTTTACCAAACCCACTGAAATTTGGATTCAATTTTTGTTAGGTTCAGCTACACATAGGGTTTAGAAAAATTAAACTAAGAATAAAATTGACTAGCAGATAACTTACACCAAACATAAATATATAAATATATGTGTATATATAGACAGTCAATTACATTGCATTGTTTTGTTTTATTTATTTTTTTAGAAAAAAATAAAAATCTGCATTTTGGTTAAGTGGTTGAGACAGAGAAGCGAGAGGGGTGGGTTCATATCATAATATCATTGTTGAATTTTCATCACACGATGCAAATGCAATGAAGAGACGAGAAATGCCACCGACGAAAATAGTGAATTCCACGTGGCGTCATTTGGTTGGGCCACATTTATTTTCATTACATCAATAATAATAATAATAATAATAATAATAATAATATGAAAGGCCTATTTTGGGTGATGGCCACACGAAAGCTCGCCATCCCACTTGACAGCCACTCTACTATTAAAAAACACTTTTTTTTTTTTGTTTATGAAAATGATTATTTTGCATTAATTTCTGAAATTTATTTGCAGCTTCATATATAGGTATAGATATACACACGTATGTGTGTGTGTATGTATGTATGTATTGTACGTATGGTGATGGCCTACGTGTATCGATCATATGACGACAAAGAAAATCCAAATCCACCCTATACGAATAGATACAACACTATAGACCGGACAGCCCCCGCCTTCTGTTCTGGGTGCCTTACTCAAGTTTAGTTTAAATAGAATGTCTTATGGTATATATAGAAAAATAATAATGTATATTATTTTCTTAGAGAGGATAATTTGTATGGTAAAATATTTAAAATTGAAGTTTAAAAGAACACATTCTATCCATTTCATTTTACCCCATTTTCGAAATTTTGTTCACTATATATATATATATATATTAATTTCTAATTTCTTACTAACAACAATAACATATAGAGATATATGATTATTATATGAACAAACAACATGGCAATACTATCATTTTAGAAAATAAATAATACTAGTATATGATAATAATATTAACAACATATCAATACAAATAAAATGTAGTTAATACTATGTTTTTGGATGAATATATGTATATGTTAAATACTTAAATACAAATAATTATATTAGTAATATAAAAATACAAAATTTTTCTTTGGTATTAATAATTTTGTATCACAAAAAATAATTGAGTGAACCTAATCGGGACAGGACCAGGAATATTTCATTCTATTCAAAAATTTCATATGGACAGACAGATACCATTTTGGGACCAAATAAAACACGGCAACGTCCAGTCACCCGCTACACTTATCATATAGTAAACTCAACTACATAAAAATTTTGGAATTTTTAGATAATCTTCTTTATAATTTAAAAAATTATATATTTAAAATTACAATAAAATCTTTTACATAAAATAATAATAATAATCTTCACTCAAAAGCATTCATCTTTGAATTGATTACAAGCACAACAAACATATAATCCCTAAAGTTCGATAGCACGCATATTATCTACACCACACATCTCTTCCCTTCTCGTATACAGAAAATGCAATAAATTAAATATACACAACCAATAACTCAAAACGTTCGATCACAACCAACACAACAAACAAACACACATCGTACATACAGACCAAATCAAAGAATCAAACCTGCCAACTACAGCAGCAGCAGCCGCGCCGTCGTCGACGCGAGCAAACGATGAGAAATAAAAACCATTCATCATAATCGAAAACCATTACCGACTTGACGATGCAGACAGCGACAAAAAAATCGACACCGAAGAAACCAGCCGTAAGAGTCGACGTACCGAACAAATGGAGCGACCCAGCTGGGTTCCTAGAAGAGATCGAATTTCTTCTTCTGCATGTCCTGCTTCCATTTCGGAAGCTTATAGAACGCATCCTTCGTGATACCGAATACCGAGCTGAACTCTTCGTCCGATAGGTAAGCCTGCAATCGAAATCATTGTCGTTGTAACGAGTGAAAAGAAATTTTTTTTAAAAAATCGATGAATATCAATACGGCACAAACCTCTCGGCGCTTGAAATCGATCCCCGTAACAGGGTTCTCGGATTTCGCCTTCAACTGCTCGTAACTGAATGTAACCTGAGAACCTCCAGAGCCTTCCTCGTACTGGCCGAGTTCGGGTTTCGATATCGAATCATCACCGTCGGTTTCAGAAGCAGGTTCGATGTCGGTTTCATCGATTTTTGAAGCTTCTGTGGAGTTTTCGCTCCCGACCGCATCTTCGCTTTTAACGGAAGCTGTAAACAGAATCTTCGCAAATGAATTGAACAACGATCGAACAACGACGAAGGGTAATCAAGAAATTCTTACAGTACATACCGGGAGGGCTGGCTTCTTGCGAAATTCGACTTGGCCGTGCGGATGAAGCTTCTGGAGATTGTTTCTTTTCGGCCGTAAGAACAGACGACAATGCCGCGACAGCAGCAGCTCTCTGAGAGGAGCCCTGACTTCTTCCTCCCGATTTTGATCCAGACCCAGTTTTCGGCGACGGAGTCGAACTGAAGGCAGAGTTTAAAGCAGCTAAAGCTGAAGCTCGTTGAGTTGGGCCGCCGTTGTTGTTCGAACTATTATTCGACTTCTCCTGATCATCAGACAAGGCAAGCGCTCGTCAGCAATTGTAATAACCGGGAATGCTGATTCGGACAGGAGCGGTTAAAAAGGATCGGCTGTAAGATTACCTCGGAACCATGACCGGCACCGAAGAGTAGCATAACTTTCTTTTGAAATGAATTCCCGTGCGCCTATTTGTTTCCCAAACGATGGTTAGAACATTACATGAATGTAATAGGTATGGACAGGCATAAAGTATAACCTGAGACGTACGTTCGATTTAGCTTGATCCCACGAAAAATACGCTGTGAAGAAGCTCGGCTCATTTCCTTCGGTCACTTTGTAGAGTGGAACTTTTAGCGATAATCCCTCCAATGCAGAAGCTAACTCAATGTATTTCTACCATAAGCAGCACAGTTAATATAAAAAAGATAGACAAAATTTGTTCAGAAATCGAATATGTAATGTTTTCGGCACCTGCCCGATTTCGAAAGAAGTTTGCTTCTCTTTAGGATCTACAGATTGGCCGACCCAAACAAAAACTTCAGCGTGTGTGTCGAGTATCAATACGTCTTCGGTTAGAAGGTCATCTTGAGCAAAGTTATATATTTCTTCCACCTGAAATTGGAACGTAAATTAGAGTCATGCGTCAAGGAATTTGTGATGAGATTTCCAGCCAGTACATACGCACCTCGAATTTTCCTGGTAACGAATTCATACGGTTGCACGAGCATCAGTAAAAAAAAAAACAAAAATGGAGTGACCGTAAGATTAGATCAACCGAGATTGGCAAACAGATTTCTTTCGAAAGGATTGTATAAAAGTCGAAAAAAAAATTTCACCTTTATTGAACGAGTATGCAAACAAGTGGGGATCTCTAACAACCTCGTTGGACGTCTTCTTGCTCGTGTAGCTTTGTTTTCCTCCGAGAGCAAACCAAAACGACGAGATCTCAGTTCCTTCTTTAGTGTGCTTGACAGGTGACCCCGGCTAAGTTCACGATCGAACATGAAGTTACCGATAGTAACAAAAAATGTAAGAAAAAGCTAGACATACGATTCTTGCGCTTGATAAATGGTTTCAGTTTGTGAGAAAATTACCTTCAGAAACTCAGCGACTTTCGCCGCCAATTGTTGCTGCTCGAAAGTGGCTTGATTACCATGCCAACTGAAAAGCGAATTCCCGGATTGAAGCAGAAAACATTCGAATGAATTCAACGACGTTCCCACCTATTACAATAAAAATTCCAACATCAGATTCAACAAGTTTCAGGCCAAACTTACGACATTAATCTCAGACGTTGGTAAAGAAATAACAAATGTTCATAAAAACTTTAACGAGCACTATCAAATTATCGGAACTCACTGCATCAACTTGAACAACTTGATTGTTGTGAGGAGAAGTGCCCGATATACGAATGAGCGCAACACCATCCAAGGTGTATGTCTCGTCGTTTAATCCCTTGTCGGCAATATAGTTCTTGTAACTAGAGCTTTTTCCGCCCTAGCGAAATAATTCAATGTAGTAAGAAAGAATAAGTCACGAGTTATTACATAAGTGCTGACGGCATTCTATCCCTATTCAAAGTCGTAAAATCGCACCTTAAGAATCACCATCGGCTCAAAGATCGCGACAAACTGCGGTGGCTCTTTCCCTTGATATATCCGACCCTGGAGAAACCACAAATTTCTTTTTAGTTTTCAAAAATCATACATTGAGTTAAAATGAGGTTCAACGTACCAACACCGGCTTCCCTTTCAGCGAGTTATACATCATCATCGCTAGTTTCATAGCTGTCTCTTGATCGTCCTAAAATCGAGAACATATTCATTAGCTCAATCATTAATGTAATTTGTAAGAGTCGTCGATACTAATTCTTACTACCTTAACGCTGTCTTTTCCAATCCAACAGCACAAATAGTAATCGTCTTTCCTTTCATGAGAATGGTACGTGTAGAGAACGATGTAGCAATCTCCTCCGTAAAATTTACCAATGTCTTCGCTAGGCACCGCCGTTTTCGCGCCACGATCAATGCTCCAAACCTGGAAACATACGTTATTCATTATTCACCGTAATCTGACGCCGTAAAACGTTTTAGGAGAGAAATTAGACCTCCATCTTTCCACCTCCTTCGAGCAACGGAGGGACTTCCTCGTTCACGGGGGCACTTTTACTTGCTCCTTTCACGGCACCGCCTTGTTGCTTTAAAAGAGCTAAAAACAAATTCGACGGATGAGTTTTTGTAATTCGAAATTCAGTTCGACAAAAACGTGGGAACATCATGTGAGATTGCACATACCTGCGACTTTCCCGCGCCCCTCTTCAGTAACTGGAGCCGAACCCGACGGCCAGGAGCCGAAGTTTGATTTGAATGAATGGGTCTCGTAGCCTTGAATAAGGCGAGTGATACGCGTCGACTTCGGCCTGTTTTGGCCGGCCACAAAATCCTGAGTTTCATTCGAATGTGAGCTTCGAGTAGATAATAAAAAGACGTATATGAAAGCTCGAGCATTGAATAGTTCACCTCGGCAGTTTGAATAGCAGCCTTCCTCTCGTCGACTTGAGTTACCCGTCCAATCCAAACGAATACGTCAGCACCGCAATCCAACAAATAGCATTTGTTGTTTTCGAGCAGCGACTTTGAAATTTCGCCCTCGACTTTCTCGACTTTGCCATTAACGATACTGCCACAGAACGGGTCGCAATGAATAGTTTTAAATCAAGATTACGAAGACTAAAACGAGAAAACATGAATGAGACGTAAAAAGAAATACCAATAAAGTTGGGGAGAAGTCTTCTCTGCGACAATATCGTCGTCGGTAGAAACTTTCTTGCCAATTGGGGCAAACCCGCCAAAGAGGACCCAAAATTCACCGGAATCAGTCTCGGCTTGTAGCTTTCCGTCGTCTGAAGTGTTTGTACAAAATCAGAAACAACGACAAGAATACATAAAAATCAAAGATCCAAAAGACTTCACTCACCAACAATGGCGACGTCGCATGTCCCGTCGTGATACTTCTCCTTCAAAAACTGAATTACTTCCAACGCTTTCGCCCTTTCCTGAATATTGGAGTTTGCGCCGTTGAATTGATATATCTTATCCTTGGTGTCGAGAATAAAAACGTCATCATGATTCAGCGAGGATCGCGAAAACGGGACCTGCATGAAAATGAAAAGGCAAACAATATTCACACGTATGTAATGAATCTACAAGGCAGTAAAGTTCAATGTAAGAAATGCTAAACCGACCTGCTTCAATCTAACAGCACGCTTTCCCCTACAAACATACAACCGAGTTTCAAACTCTTCTTCTTCAGGTTTCGTAAATCCCGATGCAACGCCGCCTTCCAGAGGAATGATGCACGGTTTAAAGTACGACAAGAATTTGTCCGATTCATGCCCCTGTAATTCTCGGTACTGCACAGCACGACCGCCGAGCATGGCGTCGAGTTCAACAGTTTTGATTGCTGCAGTGCCAGCCTCATCCTAAGAAATTGAAGACATTCAAATCCAAGTTCATATACGCAAAATCATTACATTAAAAGATTATAAAGACAAAACACATTTCCTCCTACCGGGCTAGTATCCTTTCCGAGCCAGAAATGTATGTCATAAAGATAAGCGCCACCCTTGCCAGGACTCGTCTATATACGAAGCATTAGATACATTAAGTATTGATTAAAAAGAAATACACAATCTAAAGATTTATCTTATTTTAACTGTACCTGAAGAACAATGTAAGAATCTCCAGAGTAGAATTTGCCATAGTCGGATTTTGGCAAAGGGATGGGAAGGAAGTTTTCGATTCTCCAGATTTCGGTTCCTCTGCACACGCATTAAGTCGAACAGGTATGGCATAGAGTAATATCATCTAAGATGAATGTAAAAAATCGAACCTTTTTTTTTAAAAAAAATTATTTATAGCTTCTATATGAAAGGATACACTCTCTGACCGGCTCCCTGAAAAGCAGGTTCCAGAGTTTTGGCTGAGCTAGACATTGTGAAATATCCTTACAGAATTTCGAAAGGAAACCAGATGCCTCGAGCTTTCAATGATCGTCCAATTATACAGAATCCAAAGCTGTAATAAACTGGCGAGAACAAAAGGTGTCGGCAAAACAGGCATACAGGAAACAGCATTCTCAAGTTATGGCAGCACAATAGACACGAACGCTATGGAGAACTAATGTGTAAATATTGCATTATACAACAATCAGTCATATCCTTTGTAAGAACAACCGTTGTAATTATACAGACAATAAAAATAAATTAAGAGCTCAACTCTGCAACCGAACCATTGAACATTTCTATTGTTGTTCATAATATTGATGCACAAAAGCAGTTATAATTAGGCAAATTCATCATGGTTGCTGTTGATACTTGATAGTTCATTCGAAGCCTATAAAAAGGTATTGAATACCTGAATTTATGCAATTAAATAACATAGTTTGCAATAAAATTAAACCCCATACATATGTCAGATCAAAAACCTAAAAGACGTTTAAAAATCCCCAATCAACAATAGCTCTTAAGTTAGAACAGGAAACAAAACTTGAAACTGCAACTCAACACAGAGTTCGATTCTCTAACATTTGCTATTTCAATCGAAGAATTAAAAATAAATATGTAAGGAAGTGTGGAAGCTGAGGCAATCTAAGAAAGCACAGGTGATTAATCAAAGATAACATATTTTCAGATCAATCTTTAATTAGATGAATTAATCGAATCGAAGACTGAGATGAACTAAACAAAACCTACCTCGTAATACCTCAGATTAACACAAACTTACACTGAAACAAACAATCAACTACCAGAATCCAGAATCAAAACTGAGAATCTAAAAGAAGCAGAATCGATCAAGAAATAGAAAAGAGAAAGGATCTAAAACCGTAGCACCAACAAATTCGATCAACAAACCTCAAAAAGATCTCTTTAAATTCTATCCGTTTTCTTCCAAAACTTTTACGAAACGGGCGGTCTAGAGAGAGAAAATGTGGAAAAAGAAAAAGGTTTCGTTTTTATAGGAAGGAGAGGAGTACAAGCAGAGCTGTAATTAAAAAAAAAAGGTTTTATTTTAGGAGTACGTTTTGGTTGGGTTTGTTCGGTTGTTTGGATTTTGAGTTGGGATTTGAATAGTAAAAATTTTGAATTTGAACAGTGATATGATGTGATATAAATAGGGGTTAATGTGATATTTTGAATGTAAAATTTATTTTAATATAATATAAAAAATAAAAAATATGTATTTGATATGACGTTTTTAGGAGAAAAAAATGGGATGAATAGTTAGACACACTCTTTATTTATTATTGAAAACCAAAAAGAGCAGTGAATAATTACTATTGTTTTATTTATTTTTGGTTCTTTATTCTTCTTACTCTTAAAATCTCATAAATTTATTTAAAATCTCATAAATTTATTTCCACTTTTCACCTTTTTGAGATTTCATGCAGAAATTTTGTTGGAGTATAATTTTTTTTCAGACACAACACAATTTTTTATTTCTTGTAATTATTATTTTTTAAAAATTTTTGAATGAAAGCTATGATACAGTGTTTTATAGGTGAGAGAAATGTGGCAGCAAAAGGCAGTCCATGATGAATATTACACCGCTTTTTTTAATAAAATAAAATCATAGCATTTCTTTATTGATTGTAATAAAATTCAAGATTTTTCTTGACATATATGTATTTTACTGAAAAGCCTGAGGCTGAGGGTAATATTTGATTACATTCATCACTAAAAAAACGACTTGAGCACGCAATATTAATTCAAGTTAAAATTTTCGGACAGCGACACAAATATAAATATATATATATGTATATGTATATATCGTTCTATCCCATTAATGAAAAAGATACTATTTTTCTTTATTGCTAAAAAATATCGCAGGTAACATCATTTTCTTGTTGCTTCTAATCATCGTTGGCTTCTTGTAATAATAAGATATCAAAGGAGAGAGAAAGACGGCTTACATATTTCTAGATACAAACAAAATTAAAAATATAATATATATATATATGATTCTACATTTCAATTTTTAGAATTTTGAGAAAATATATATATATATTTACTTTGTATTTAGAATATAAATTAATGTTATTCAACTTATGAAAAAACAATATAAACTAAAATTGAAAAGTAACGGGAGAATTATACCGAACGGGACGGAAGAAGTATTTCTTTGTATATTCCATAGGTGTGGAAGGGACGGGACCTCCGGTCCTAGAAGACTCTCCAGCCTGACATGACCAGCGGAGGTCCCTCAGATTCCAATAAAGGACCCAACATGTCTTTATCTTTTCACTGCACCCATCACTCACTTCCGCTTCAAAATTTTCTAAATTAAAAAATAAATAAATAAGAAAAACAAATTTATACAAATCATTTGGGTTGGGCCTTAATCGTGAAAGTGGGCTTTATTATGTGAGTCTTACTGGTGGGCCTTTGAGAGAAAATTAGGCCCAATATGTAAAGCCCATTTGGAGCCCCATTTTTATATAAAGCGCTGAGAATTGAAATGGTGTCGAAGGGACGCCTCTGCGCGGAGGGGGAGAAATTGAAATCGGGGAAAATGTCGACTTTGGATTTGGCTGCAGCTTCGTCCTTGTCGTCGGATGTTGAGCCACGGGGAGGTTTTCGTTTTCAGCACACGCCTTATTACTGGTGAGACACTGCTTGTTTGTTCTGTTTTTTGTTATTGTTTCTTTTTTGCTTTGCTTGTTGTTTACTTGGAATAATTTATTGGCGGCGTTTCGTATGTATCTCGATGATGGCGCTGATATATTGTTGCGGGGAATTCTTTGTGGTGTTAGTTTAGTAGCCCAACGGAACTTTGGATTTTATGCAATTGATGAACATTATTGGTAGTTGTCGATGATTATCTCTATAGTAGATGATTTTGAAGCACTTCTTCTTCTTCTTTTTGATACTGTAATAGCGAGGAGAATGTGTACTTGCTATGCAAGAAGCTAGCAGAGGACGGTATAGCGAAGTCGGATGCTTCTGATCTTTATGTAGTGTTCATTTCCAATGAGAAAAAGCAGGCAAGTAGTTTTGGTGATTCACAATCCATTTTTCTTCACTCCTGGTTGATTGATTGATATCATAGATGAATTCAATTTCCTTGACTTTGATCAGATTCCATTATGGTATCAGAAGGCAAGCCATCGAGCTGACGGGGTAATCCTATGGGACTATCATGTTATTTGTGTGCAAGTAAGCAAACATCCGATTCTATTATCTCATCTAGGATGTGAAAATAAATGCACCATTTTTTTAACAATATAGAAGAAATGCTTTTTCCATAACAATATTTTAATGATGTGTATTGCAGAAAAGAAAAGAAAGCAACTTGCCTCATCTAGTGTGGGATTTAGATTCAAGTCTTCCATTTCCATCTCCATTATCGAAATATGTAGCAGAAACTTTCCGGCCCTCATTTCAGCTATTTTCAGAGTTTCAGAGGTACGACTAATTAATTGCTATCCTGAAATGATGTTGGGGTATTATTTGGTTTGTTGAATCTAATTTTTATTTTTTTATTTTTTATTTTCTAATGCAATGAACACAATGTAAAATAAATTTGTATTGGTAATCAAAGCTGCAAGTCAAGCAAATCTGAATTTACTTGGCATTATTAAAGCTACTGATTCTTTTGCATCAAAATCCATTCGAGTCCATCACACACACAAAATAAAATAAAGATACAAGAAGAAGAATTAGAGACTATCTATTCTGTAATTTCTTTGGTATAGGGTAAAAAGCTTATTTTGGGAAAGCCCTTTTCATTGTTACAAATGGCTGGTTCGATAATTACAGGGTTTTCCGGATTGTTCATGCGCCAATCTTCCTACCAGCTTTTGCATCCGACAGACGACATATGAAAGATTCAGCTGGAGATTGGGTTTCTCCACCACCACCATATGATGCAATTGTTGCTCAAGGTAAAACTTGATAATTTTTTCATGCTTAAAATCCCATTACGCCAAAGTTCTTAAATCATTAAGATGCAAACCTATGATATGATTAATTCGACAATTAGCATAAACTTGGAGACACCTCCCTACTACCAGTAGTAAATAAATTGCGACGAATTCTTGGAATAGTATAATGGTGGATTGTTTTTCGACACATTGGTTTTACAGATGGGACTGTTCATAACTTGAACGAATACTTAGAAATGTCCTCTGTCGATGTTCTAAAAAGCGTTGGAGCCGATGCCGTAGATGCTGTTTCGTCCCAAAAACTAGGTGTGCTGCTGAATGACAGCCAATTAGAGGAACTGTTTTCTCAGGTTTCCTCGTAATTGTCTATTTATAACAACATTTTATGCAGAAAACTGCAAAGGATATTTGCATAGGACAGTGTGTTATTTCTTCTGTTTTTTTTTTTTTTTTTTCTTTTTTCTATTCAAATAGTGAATCTATTACTACATACAGTCTTTGATGTTCATCTTCGTTGGCATAAATCCATATTATTAGTGTTTTTTAAATTTGGTTTGATTTGGTATTCAATTAATGTTAGATAATATTCAAAATTCGAATTATAAACTTCGAATCAAATATATTCAGAAATCTGAAATTGTTATTTTTTATAAAAAAAAGTAGATGAATTTATTAATAAACAAATAATATATAATAAATAAAAAACATTTACATGTCAAAATTATGTGACATTTAAGTATTAAAACACAATGTGTACAATATTAAATTTGTTCAAATTTTTAGTATCGATCAAAGGTGTTAAAATTTCTATCCGGTTCAATTCAAAAAACTTCAATTTCAATTTAATTCAAAATAGATTCTTAAATTTCGAATAGTTTGGTCACTCCCACTCTAGGGACAATAGGAAAATAGAATTTCAAAAAATACCTCTCCACAATCATTTTCCTGTTTGAGATATACAACCAAAAAATAAAAATAAAAATAAAGAGCTAAGGAAGAATGGCCTTCCTAAAGAATAATACAAACTGAAATGTGCAGTGTACATTTTTTTTTTTGTTATCAAATGGTTGTCTTCCTGGTCCATGTTTTACTGTTTTTCTAACTCTCCTCTTTGAGGTTCTGTAAATCTTTCCTTGTCCCAAAATCAGACCAACTCCATCAACAAGGGATCTCCGGCAGCCATGATTCTTACAAGCTTGATGAAGTCTTGTTCACTCGACACCTTCCACGGGTGCACCGCCGGCGCCGCCGCAGAATAAAATGACGTCGAATTCCCCTGTGGCTTCTGCTTGTATTTCATCGAGCTGAACACCGAGTCGAAATTCTGGGGCGAATCCATCGCTAGAAAGAACATCGGCATTGCGACCTTGTGGTGCAAATCCAAATCCCCCACAAGACCCACGAGATCGACGTAGTCTTGCACAAATCGACGAGGAACGTAGAACACCTCCGAGTTGCATACGACGAGGCTTTGCTCGTCTTTTACGCCCTCCTTGTAATTGACTTGCAAGTGAGCCGGCATTGTCCCGACGACTTTCTTCACCACGTCCGCTTGCTTGGTGAACCATTCGGCGCTTCCCGTGGTCGACATCGTTGTCCAAGATTTCGATACCTACATACATTCAATTCTATTTAGACAGAGAGTTTTGGAAATTTTTTCAAAATTTTGAGATTAGTAAGACTTTCGTGTATTTGATGTGATATTTTTGAAAAAGTTAATTCAGATTGAACAATATCGAAAGTTCCAAAAATATCTCTGTAAATAGAGTTTGATCTTTCTCGATCAAAACTTTGCGATGAGATCGTAACTCTCTAAGGCTATTTACCTTGTTAGTGATCCAAAGCTTCGACTTGTCGGCGTGGAGCAAGTTCCAATAGTTAAGAACCGTATCGTCTTGAAGAAACAAGAACCCGTCCGCGCTCGAATATCTTTCAAAATACTTCGGCAAGTACCTAAATGCGATGCAATAAAACATGAATAACTCGGGAATTTACAAAAACCCAACGGCGCATGCATAGAAGCGAGTACGTACTTGTAGACATAGTCGAGCTGCGCTTCGTCCACGACAAGATCGTCGTTTTTGGTTGACGACAATATAATGACCGTCTTAAATATTCGTCCGTACAACAATCGCCACTCCAACGCAGTCCGCTCGACAGGTCCGGCGCAGTACATAATCAGCACAACATTCCCGAAACTCTTCCTCCACGTAATCAAATTCCCAATCTCGTAATTCACTTTCCCGATCTCCTCGACTCCGAGATGCACCGACGGTAACTTCTGCGGCACAAACTCCTTCCTATCCCCATGCCCGATATTCGCTCTCGGCCGGTCCAATTCAAGCGACATCAAACGCGGCTGCTGGTACCCGACCGCAAGCAAATCTTGCAGCCAAGCCGCCGTAAATTGCACGTCTTTTTCGGTCCAAAATCCCTCCTCGGCCATCACGTAACTCAACTCCAATATTTTCTCGAACAACCGGTGCTTATTCGATCTCCACGACACCAAGAAATTAATCAAACGACCCACATTCACGTGGAGATCCTTCTCCTCCGAAAACGGATACCCTTCGATCGTATCCGGCCGATGTACAGTCGGAGGGTACACGACGACGTACCCGCCGAGCTCCCACAAAATCCTCTGCGCCCAATACCCCCTCAAGATATCCGACGCCATTGTGCTAACCGAAACTGGAAGCATTAGCCCCCAAAACGCCGCCGAATGAAACAGCGTATTGAACGAATTCACCGGCACCATCGTGCCCTGAGGCAACGCCACTTTCGGCGCTTGATCGTCAAACCGAATGTCGAACGCTTCCAGCTGAGCTTTTCTAGTGAAATAAAACACCGAATCAACGTCGGGTAGGCCGTTCGATATCCCCTGCTGTATGAACTGCTTCCCGCCGAATACTTCCGTGTAGAACTCCTCATGTGCGATGTTTCCGACATTTTCTAATGGCAGACCTCGCGGCCAAACGGATCTTTGCCCGAAATGGATGTAAGGATTGACCACAGTCCTGTTTGGATTCTCATGGCTGTATTGTAAGATGACCTCTTGTCTTGCGGCCTCGCCGAACAATTCTACGTCGAAATACTTACCTACATTGTTGTCGATTATGTCGCCGCGATCATCGACGTCGTAGATCTTCTGAGCGCCGTGCTGTATGGCGAATAGATATCCGACTGTTTTACGAACATATGAATCGAAAGGCAAGTAGTTTATGACTCTAAAGGATAATTCAGCTTGCGTTTCCAATGATAGATAAATTGCACCTGTTTATTGGCATTATGTGAAGAACAACAACATTAAGCTAAGACAAAACAGAAATTGGCAGAGATCATGATCATCATCGTCAAAAAGAGCAGCAAATATTTGAATTGGAAACTGAAATGATTATAAATATGTATGTACTACCTTTCAATTTCCAGTCCTTTGGAGTGTTGGAATTCCCAATGGCGAGGAGCTGCCAGCCCTTGATTTTGGAGATTCGAATTAGGGATTCTGAGGGGTAATTGGAGACGGAAACGACGATCCATTTGTCGGATCGGAAGGAGGAGAAGGGGGTGGATTTGTCGAGAGTGCGTGGGATGGAATTCCAATTGATTTTGGGGAATTTGGGATGGATTGAGCGGGACTGGGTGGACTGGATGCAGAGGAGGGCGGCGGCGTCGCCGCCGGCGGTGGAGTAGTTGCGGAGGAAGAAGAGGGCGGCGACGGTGGTAATTAGGAGGAGAATAGTGACAATCTTGAAGAGGTTGTCGGAAGCCCATGCGGCGAGATCGAAATTCTTGGTGGGAGTTGAAGAAGAAGGGATTTTGGGTCTTGACTGGCGATGATTTTGGGGTTTTGCGGCATCGTCGACGCGATCTTGGACGAACATTGCTGCTCTCTTTCTTGTCTGGATGGATGGATGCCTTTAATTCAATTAATTAATTCGAAGCTCAACAGCAGCACAAAGAGGAAGAAGATGAAGATGAAGGACTGGCGAGTGACTGAGTGAGTTTAGGTTCTTGACTCGGTGGAGCTCAGTAATAGATTGACTACTAGCTTGATCTGGAAGGGGGTGGGGTAGGGTGGGGGGGGGGGGGTGGTCTAGGAGGTGCCGACAGGGGAGGGGGAAAGTGGGTTTTTTGCGTAAGGATTAATGGAACAAGTTGCAACAAACTTATGTTTGGTAAGAAGATGGAAAAAGTACAGCAAAGCTTAGGAGAGAGAAAGAAGAGAGAGAGTGTGGGTATTGTCTTCTTCTTCTCTTCTTGTTCTTCCTTTCTTACATTACCAATGAGTGTTCTGTTTATTTAATTATATTCTAGTTTTTAATGTTTTGTTTGTTGTGTTTAATTGTGTATTTTTAATGATAATATATATAATATTAATAATATTATGTATAGGGTATGTGTTTGTGTTATGTGATTTATTTTGAAGTTGGGTGGGGGAATTGATGGGAGAATTAGACAGATCAACTAATGATTTGATCAGTCCAATATATTTAGTGCAGAAAATAAATTTCTAACATTATTATTCTTTTTTTCAATCTTATAAATTTTAACAGAGAACACAAATGGTCCACAGAAAGAGAATATATGCCACAAAATTTAAGGGCAGCACACAATAAATGTATAAAACTCAGTATGTCCTAAAATATGTGCATATGATGATACTCTACTGGAATGAGAATATTTTGGGTATATACACAATAGCAAGTTATTTAATTTTTTAAAATGAGGGATAAATATTTATTAACTTGAAGAAGACTTGAAGTATAAGGAAAGCATCTTCATTCTTCTACTACTAGCAAATGCTGTCTTCCAGGTAATAAAGGTATTAATATTCAATCCTCAAGTAGTATAAACTGCTAAAGCAAAAGCACTGCAAAAGATCATAGGAAAGTGTATAAATGTAACTAACTTACGTTCGTCCCGCTCCGATTCTCCGGATTGTTCGATCTCTGCTTATATCTTCAGAGCTTGAACTGGCCAAATCCTCCCTTGAATGAGCCATACAGAGGGCGCGATCTTTTGAAAGTAAAGATATCTTCTATGCGAACAGAGGTCGGATCTGATGTTTTGTTGTTGTCTGCCTCTAACTCGGAAGAATGACGGTTCCCATATATGCGAATGCTCAAGCTCTTCTTGTTAGGAGCACCGATCTTTATGTACTCATTGAAGAAATCTATCAATTCCTTCTGGGATAATTGTTCCAGTGCTTCAACCTGTTTCATCAAGTAGTAGTATACGCAGGATTTAGAATTATTGAGGTTTAGAGTTGTTTCAAATCAGCAAAGAAAAGTAATTTTCATAGAGGCAGGTGAAATGCGGTGTAATGAAATGAACCGGGCAATCAACGCATTAGATGATCAGAAAAATTGAAATGTGGTAAGCCCTTAGCCCTATGATATCATATAATGCCATGTATCGATGGGGCGTGGATTGTAATCCTTTGCAAATGCTCGTGGTTGCCAAAGACATGACTTTGTCCTAAAGATAGACATCATCTCTCAAGTTTATCCATTGCTCAAAGTTCATTTTCTTTTCTTTAATACATTCTAAAAGGGGTGTGCTATTCGCGATTTCAGAAAGTGAAATTTTATGCTTGTAAATTAATCCATTTACCTCACGATCTTTCCGGTCAAATTTGAGGGTGCCATCAATTATTTCTCGCAAGTAAAACCTGGATTCTTCTCCTAAATTTTTGTGCTTCTCACGCTTCATCTCAACTAGCGTTTTAACATTGTTCTGCAACAATAGACAACGGCAGTAGATGTCAATAACAAGGTATCAATCTAAGTTAACTTCACTTCACTGATCAGCAAGAACCAATCGAAAAATAAAGATTCACAGAAAACAACAGTTTTCACTGTTAGAAATGAAAAATCGAAATTGTCAGTTCAAATTAATGGAAGAGTGTCTCATCTCATATATAGGAACTTGAACATAATTCACCACTTTTGGCAACAATCAGTTTGCATCAACATAGTTTTCACATATACGTTCATTTTATAGATTACTTTATGAAGAAAGCCATAATGTTAACTTTTACCTTAAATTCTTCATTTGACATTTCATAGAGCTTGGTTTCAAACATCTTCAGAAATGACTCAACTCTCAAATCAATTTGGCCAGGACCCTGAGAAGTATGAAACAGAACTAAGATATAACGTATATTATAGCAACAATAGAATTTATACGCCAAAAATCTCATAAAGTGGCACAGAAGCCCAATATTCACTATATTATACACATTTGTACCTTGACAGTTGATTGGATGATGAACTGCAAACCGCGGATACCAGAATCATTCCTACATTAATCAGTTTTTCAAAACAATTAATGAAATGGAGCAAAAGTACAGTAACTGCTTAGGAAAAATGGAAGAAACTAAAAAGAAGTATATCACCAAGACACCAACCTCTGCAAAAGTACAGTAATGTAACCAAGCTGTTCAACTGTTCTAAGCTGGTGGAATGTAGGTTGCTTTGCTATCAGAACAAAAAGTTGAAGTTGCACATTCAACTTAAAATCATCCCGGTGAATCTATATATTGGAGGAATATAAATATTAGTAATATGATATGATGCACGTCCACCTAATTTGAGCTTTTTACATGCGGCAGCCATTCGAGCACAGGCCATCTAGTTCAGAAAGAAGTTTGATTGCCACAAGGTTTCAGAAAATGAACTCTTAAAAGTTATAATTACACTCTACCATACTATCATAACCTTATTGTATGGTTTAAAAGTGGTCATCTTATAATCAATGTAGAAAAATCAAACAAGAAGAATGAATCGAAGATGATGAGACAAATAAGTTCAGCTAGCCAGTTGTTTCAGTGCCTCTCCAGTGTGTTAATGCCAAGTGTGCCTGTGCACCATGTATGACAAATCTGATTACAAAACATGAACAAAAGCAATGAAAAGTAAAGATAACCAAGGCTACAGTAAGTTTTCCAATCACTAAATAAGTCTTCAACGCTGGACTGTTGACGTTATTTAGTGTTGCTAGTTTTCTTAAAGCTTGGGGTTAATACTTGCCTAGGATATGATCCCAACCTAAATTATCACAAACTCTGTCGGGTTGAAAAAACTTAACCTTAGTAGGGGTAATTATGAGATCCTGTGTAGTTAATGCTTAATACTAGCTGCAAATTGACCACTGGAAAGAGAAAGCCTGGTTGTGCCACCTAAAATCCACGGATTGACACCTAAATAAATTTACCAATATTAAATAGCCAATTCCCACTATTCCTTCCAAGTATGCTCATACCTGAATGTAATGCATAAGAGCAGAATTTTCATCACTAGGATTTTGACCTTCAGCACTATAGAAGTAATTTATTCCCTTCTCGAGCTTAATGATTCTATCAGTCATGTGTTGAGAAGCAAACAGAGCCTGAGACAAGGGATTGGAGCCCTCAAAGAAAACTCCTTCAACATACTTTATCATTGACTCGGCTTCTTCTGGTTTAATATTTCCTATTCATAAACCAGCAACAAAAGAATCAATATGTCACGAAGTACATAAAAAACAAAGTAAAATACCAAAGAACAATGCACCAACAACAGAAAGAGTTAGAACCTGCTACATAGCATTCCAAGAAGGTCTTCGAGAGCATTAACGGATAAAACTTAACAAGATGCTCAGCTTCAAGGTGAGAAAGAGCATCATGTTTGTCAGTCCATGGCCAGAATTGGTCTTGTAGTATTAATGAGCAGTAGTTCATAGCATGCTGACATGGCTGTTGGAATTTCAAATTCTGATATTCTTTTGAGACCCGCTCCTGTTTATATCATAAAAATGTACCATAGAGAGGTTGATGATAACACACTTCTTTGAGTTAGATAAAAACCCGGAAGAAATACTATCGCTATGTGTCAAGTGCTTATGTATATATTCATCAAACATAATGGCTGGCAAAATTGGCAAGAAAAGAAATAACATCACATAAGTAAAATGACATTATTTTCAGAGATTTAGAGTTGTTTTACTAATAGAATCCATATCAATACTCAAAATTATTACAATATAATGTTCTTGATAGTTCAAGTGTTGGTCTAGTAAACTCCTTTTGTTGGGATATATCATTAGCAGGGGTTGCCTCTCTATTCCTGTTTACCACCCCCATTCGCAAGTACTACATATCCCCCAAAATTACCAATGGTTTATATGATGTGTCCGCAGCACACATAGATCACACTTTGAACTAAATTGATCCTTAGTATAAAACACCATGAAAGTAAGAAATTTCCATAATTGGTAAGCAATGAATAGTAAAACAACAAAATGAGGCGAGGAAACAAAAATAAATAAATAACACAGGAATAACTATGGCTCTGACCATTTTATCATCTGAAAGCAGAACTTGTTAGGTGTAGGCTTCTTCAGGGGTAGTTAACCCTAATGGGCTTATTGGAGTTTGAGCTCAATTCTCATTAACCCTAACCTAATTTACAAATACTAACTCCTCTACTTGTAAAACTATGCCTCCTCATATCGCAGTAATAAAGAGAGATTCTTGGTTGCCCCTGTGGATATGTAGGTCGATATTTCTTATTGGCCAAACCACGTAATCCTTTATGTTCAATTTCTTGTTTGTGTGTGTGTGAATTAATCCTAACAGAACTGGCGTAATGATGCTTAACATTTAAAGCACACGTAACAAACCCTACACTTTAGAAATAAGCTCATGAGAAAATGAGAACCCAACAAAATCATTTTACAAGATCAAGACTGGAGATACAAACTTTTAATATTAATTATAGTGTTAGAACAATGTTGTAATACTCTATTGCAAATAAAAGAGTTTAGACAGAGAGAACTGAGCTATTCTAAGTGACATAAAAATGTAATTGATCATACCTTTATAACAGCAAATCGTTCAGGTTTTACTTCGAACTCAGCAATTCTTTGTATTACAGTCTCCAGTAATTTTCTTAGTTTGTGATTAAATCCAATCACAGTAACCTGACCAGATAAAAAGAGCAATCAGTAATTGCATGGCAAATAATAATTAGCTTGGAGTGGAGCACAAATAATGCACAATTCTTTGTTGGTATAATTCCTCAAGCTGTGCTTCATTTGAATTCCAAAACATACTAGGTATATATTTATAATAACTTAGACTGCCAAAGTTCAATAGGCGTGCCACTTGAATGTGCCTAATTCTTCATTCTATATGAATGGTGCTCATGTTTTCCACAACCAATTCGTTTGCATTGAAAAATTTCAAATCTACTGAAAAGAGAATTATTGCTAGCCCCAACAATTTATCCTATTTTGGGTACAAGCATTATAATATTGTTTGAAAGCTTCCCGGAAGAATGTTTGCAGCTTTAAATTACATATCTTATAGATTCCATTGCTCTTTTCATAGTTCAACATTTCCAAAAGATATGGGATGCGTTCTTTTGGTGCATATATATATATATATATATATTGTATGTGTGTTTGGGTTTTGATGTATTTGAGGTAACATAGTTGTTGGATGTGATGTTTTGTATGAAAAGCTAGCTTGGGTTCAAACCACTGCTTGTGAGTTAACAACAAAAAACTCTGAAACTTGACTACAACAACATCATGCTGTTGCAGTGCTTTTTTTTTTACACTCATTTCAGCTAAATTCCCATGCCTCTGACACTAAGCATAAGATGGAACATGTTTCTACCTACATGGAAATTTAATTATTATAAACAAAAAGCACCTCTCCATCTCTAGATGTCCATTACCATCTTTAAATATATTCCTGAGAGCATAAATGGTATGGCAGATTTTTCGCTTAACATGGAGCAGAGCAAATGGAATCATTATCCGAGTCAAGTACACAATCCACACCAGACAAACTTCACTTGGGAACATTTATATACCCATGAGATTATGCATCAATTCAGTATACTATGTTTCTGAACTCGATGTTGTCCTGAAGTTTATTTTAAACTATCACAGACAACTCTGTGACACAGTGGCTACACTAAGTGAAAGAACTTTGTACCAAGTACGAGAAGGAATTGCTCCGATCAACCACATATATCTATACAAATTATTTCACTACTTTCCACTACCTGGTTTACATATTCTGACAGTGAAATCTTCCTTTATACATTGCTCATCCTCTTCTATATTTAGTGATTTCAGAGAAAGACAATGCAACGTAAGAACTTAAAGTGACACCCAAAGAAAATATATTTGCATCAATACAAATATGTACCTCAAAACCATAGCCAGTACTGTGAACTCCATAATGCAGGCCAGCAACTTCTGCATAATATGCTGAAATGTGCACAAACGATTGAACAGAAAGCAAAATAATTATAACTTTATAACAAGGAAACAAAAACATGTCAAAGATGTTATGCACTATGAAACAGATGATAATTAGATGGATTAGTACTAGATGCTCATAAGCACACTTCACCACTTTTCTCAGCAAAAAAACCTTACCATATTCGTTTAAGTAGTCCATCAACATGCGTGTAAATATTTCAGTGAGGACTTCTGATTCAGGGGAGTTTCCAGAAAAAGGACAGTCGAAACATATCTTAACATACGCCTTTGGAACTAAAAAGGCTGTGTCAGGCTTGTACCATAATCTTGAGAACATTGATTTCTTCATCAGAACAGGTAATTTAATCTGTTCCAAGAGTTAAAAATGGTAACAACATCAAGAATGTAGTGACTGCCAAATCACCAAAGAATGGATGGCATCATTTGAAAATACAACTTACCTGCTCCTGAGCAGTTTTGAGAGAGAGATCTGAAGGAATAAACTCATTAGGAGCTGGCAAATGCAGATCTACATTGGGAGCTTTTCCAACCCATTGCTGCAAGTCAACAAACTCTTTAACAAAACTCACATGCAACACCCTGTAGTTTATACTGAAAAAGAAGGAAATTGTTCCATCCAAAATTTACAAGGAATCCAACCTCTATTGTAGATCCAGCTAATTGCTCAACAGAATATGCAGTTCCATACCAAGGTTCAATTAAATTTGTCTGTCCATCAAACTTCGATGACTCCCAAAATATTCTGCAAAAGACAAGTCAGATAAAACTAATTAACAAACTAGCAGAAATATAATGTCAACACCAGCATCAGACATCAACAACTGAATATGTCATCTTTAATTTCCTGTCCAAACTAGAAAGTTGAGCATCTATATCTATATTAAGCATTTCTGTTAGCAAAGTTGATAAAGCATGAGGAGAAAATATTTACTGCTGCAAGTGACAAATTCCATTCATGAGACTCAACAAAATTCTCTGAGCTCACCTCAAGTTGTATGGGCTTAGCTCATTCAGTGCTGACAGAATTGTTTCAGGATTAAACTTTGATGGCAAAGCTGATCCCACAAGCCAATCATTTGGAGGATAAATCTAGAGGATATCATAAAAAAACCAAGGAAGCGACAATCAAAGAAACATGTTAAGAAGGATTCTACGTAGATAAGTGAAAAGATAAATGACATAAATAAATTTTATTCTGCTTCAATGACAAGAACACGGACAAGGAGATTTGCAAAAATACAAACCAACACCACCCAAACATCAAAGTGGCTTTGCCTAATGACTCACATTAAGGATAGCATATGCCAAAAAAAGCAACAGCCAACACGAATATTAAATTATTTCTTTTAATCAATCAATAAGGCAGAAAAAAAAACTTGTGGATTTCAAAAAAATAATGAATGAGAACAGACAGACATGGAAAAAAAAAAAAAAAGGAATGGGTTTAGACCCAGTGCATATATTGCATACTTATTGATTAGGAATCACTTATCCTACAAAAATCACAATCAGATTTTAAAAATTTTGGAAGATTTCTAACAAATAATTGTCCTTCAGCTAAAGCCTAAAAGCAAGGCAAGAGTAAAGATAAGGCAGACTGGTCAGTACAACTGTACATGTACTGGACATGATTTTCTAACTGTCCCATACTGAATTAGTGCTGAATGATAATACTCTTTCAGAATGAGATCAAGCCCACGATAAAAACTCGTACACAAGTGAAGATAGAATTAGTTACCTTCATATCAGATGCAATACCAACTACATAATCAATAGGGCGGGCCTTGTCTTGACAGTGGAAGGAGGTCTCACATACAGCAGCAAGCTTCATTAATTGAATAAGATGAATGACATTAATTGCAGAACAATTTAAGGCTGCATAGATAAGGATTTCAGAAAGTATCATGCAGGTGATAATTCTGTAGCTTAAAAATCTTCTAACATAGCAAAGAAAATGAGTGGGGCATTGGCATGCCCATAAATCACACAGCAATAAGCACCTAACTGAAGGCAGCAGCATTCTCAACACAATTCACTGGATCAACTTCTTACTAGAACATAGAGGACTCCATTCTAAGACTTGTTCAACTTTGGCAAAAAATCCACAGAACTGTTGTTCTTGGACACTTGCACTCTTAGTTCACATGTTATGTACTAATTGCTGATACACCACATGCAACAAAGCAGCTTGAGAGAGGTTATAAAATTACCTTAATATCCATCTCAGCAAACTTTGAGCTGGAATAGTAGACAGTTTAATATGAGAGCATGCACTATATGCCATCACTCAGAGAAGTCTAGACTTCAGCAGAGTCAAGTGGAGGTTGCTTCCAATTGCACTTTCTTTTTTATTTCTTTTTCTTTTTTTCTTTTTTTTTTTTTTTTTGAGGGGGGGATTAGTGTGGATAAAATAATCTAATCATATTATTTACATTGGATTAAAGCTCATTGTAAGCGTTTGACACTGATCTAAAAATGCCTGAATGTGGCAGAACTATTCCCAGCTAATGACATAGAATAAATTAATTAAAGCCAAATTGTTTACGAAGAAGCTTTTTCACCCTCCAATTAATATAAATTGTGCACACTTCACTGTTACTTAAGATCATGTAAGCACAATGGTAAAAAGAACAGATACACAATGATTGGACATTGACGTTCAAGAAAGTATAATCAAATCTACCTCATCAAATATCCATTGGCAGGGACCAGCTTCCTGCAAAAGATGTATATATTTGAACAGCAGAGCCACAATATCCTGAAAATGCTCTGTCATTAACAAAAACAGTGAAAGGATTACCTATCTCAAACTCATAAAATATAGTTAGAAAATGCAGTGTCGCCTATAGATAGGTGGGAGATACAAGGAAAGTATCCATCAGCATCAGGATCCCTTCTCTAAAGCTGAAAGCAAAAGAAACCACTTACCATGACCATCATCTGTTAAATCGATACTCACTTTGAAAAAGGAGTATTCATAAGTCCATTCTGATTCCCCGGCAGATAAACTTGTAGCCCAGCCTGGAAAGTATATGAATATACAAAACTCCATAACCTTTTTATAAGAAAATTGCACGCAAAACAACCTCCTAATTGTCTTAGGGTGTGTTTGTTTGGGGTTTTGGATTTTGAGTTGGAATTTGAACATTAAACATTTTGAATTTGAATAGTTGTATGATGTGATATAAATAGGTGTTGATGTGATGTTTTGAATATAAAATTGATTTTTAGTATAATATAAAAAATAAAAAATAGGTGTTTGATTTGATGTTTTTGGGGAAAAAAATTGGATGAATAGAGTATTTGGGGGAAAAATCCCCCAAACAAACACACCCTTAGTGGAATACAAAACATTTTATATGTAATAACTAAATTTTCATAAAGAACTTAAAACAGAATCCCAAAAGTAGACCAGGAAATTAGGAAAGATTATTGATGAATCTCAATGTAGAACAATCCAAAAGAAAGGGAGAATATATATCATAATTATGCTCATACTCCCTCCATTTTTTTGGAAAGAAAAACTGATTTAGATTAAAAGAAAGAGATACAAAGCTAAAGCCTCGGGAAAGGGAGACACAAATTACAGCCAAACCATTAAATCTTCCCTAAACCTAGCACTGCAAGCAAAACGCCATGCAAACTCGTTAGACTGCCACTATCTCCATTTACATAGTTAGAAAAAGACTATAGCATTTTCAATGAACATCCGCTAGTCCGATTCTTTCAGAGAATATATTAGGGAGGGAGGAAATGACTCGGGTGTGTTTGGTTTGGGTTTTAAACTCAAATCAACACTATTCAACTAGTATGATTCCCAATAAAAATACACTTTCTCTCATGAAACATCACATCAAAATACATTTAAACCAAAACTCAACTCAAAACCAAACAAACCCAAGGCATGCAAAAGTATTTCAATGCTTACCCAATTTTTTCAGGATGTAAAACAAAGATCCTTCTCCTTCATGTCCAATCAAGTGACCCAAATATCTAGCAGGCCCTTCCTTGTAGTGTCGGATTGAAGGAGTAATTGGCCACACAAATCTCAACTTGTGATCTTTTTTAATTGGGACAGCTTTCACAATGATCTAAGTCACAAAAATAAAGCGTATTAATAGAATCATAAAAGTAGTGCATTCAATCAAACTTTGCTCTAGGAGTGCGGAAAAGCAACTCTCTTCCTATTTTATATTCTAGGCACAGGCCTACATTAATAGCACCTGAAGACTTTCTGAATTGCACGGTTGTCCAGTAAAAATGAGTCGGTCTCGATCTGTATTTTTTATTTCATGGAATTTGCTTTGTACCAGGCTTTCACATATATCAAGTTCATCTGGAAAATTGAAGTTAATATGTTGACACAATTCACAATAACACAAACCAATTGATAGTAACTACTTATTACCTTTGCTATATACCACAAGATGCATGAGATTAGCTGAATAATTTTCCCTATAGAACTTGAGAAGCTCCTCTCTTGTGTCCACCCCTCTTTGGTTTGGGCGGACCTCCAAGGTTTCCCAATTCCCTGATCATTTATACTAATTAATTCAGAAGTACAAGCAATAAAAAGAAAAAATTGTCCGGCAACCCATACCAAAATATGCATAAAAAATCCAATTCCAAATCGAGAACAAAGATCTCCATCACAACAGGAATCAAAACTATATTTTTGTCCATACAACACAACACATACATATACAATTGGCAATTGATGATATGTTTTAACTCACTAACAGTGGCGGTAGCGGACGAAGAATGAGCTAGAAAGTGCAACAATTGCAGTCCACACAGTTGAAATTGTGGAAAATTTGTAGAATAGCCAATAAGTGAAGACTATTAAAACATAGAACTAAAAGTTTAAATAATGTGTATAATTATATAAATATATAATATTCATTTAAGTGGGTTCGGAGATGATTTTTTATCAAACCCATAATCCACGACAGACCCAGCCGGATTTAAAATTTAAAATCCAAACCCCACTCTGACATTAGTGACAGGTCCAGGGTGAACCAGCCGAATTAGCACCCCTGGTTCATAAGGCACCCATAGACACCAACTGTCTGTTAAACTAAACAAAACCTGAAGGAGAAGATAAATGTTTCTTAAATCTAAATTACTGCATTTACAATTTAAGAAGGTTCTAGGTATTATCAAGCTAGACAGTGCAAAAATGAGTAACATGAAATTAGAAAATTTTCTTTCCAACCTGTGCTGAACTTGTGGTATGGATGATCCTTCGCACTTAAATGTTTCTGAAGCTGCGGGGGTGGGGATTACAAGAATCGATGAATTCTCTTAACATAAATGAAAAGAAAAAAAAAATGGCATTATACAATTGATGATATTCCAACACAATGAAGTAAACTGATACCTTTCTAGTCTAAAGCAGCTAATGATAAGTAGTATAATCAACACCCACTAATTAAAACAAAGCACCAAATATATTCAAACACTTGGTTGAAAAACTTTGAAAGATTTCTACTATTAACTAATCTAGAATTAAAAACAGAATAAATAGGACAGAACCAAGTATCATAATCAACAAGACAGTGCGGCCAATTTAAAATCTAGAATTTGACTTAGACACGTGGAACACAAAAAGAAGACCAATCACTTAACAATAGGACAGAACCAAGTATCATAATCAACATAACAATGTCTGTTTTAAAGTCTAAGCAAGGATGAACTTCTTTCAATCAGAACAAGAAAAATCCAGGAGAATTGAGATAAGCCATTCTAGAGGGAGTTTGCATTCAAGAACAAAATATTAATTACTTCATCAAACTTTGATCGGTTTGAAGACCAAAAAAGGCTTCCATAAGCAGGTAGTAAATGAGATGTACCTGATTCATTCTCCAAACATCTGATTGTAGATTCTTTTGGTTCTCTTAAGGAATTCAAAGAAAAAAAAAATGAAAGGGCCAAAATAGAAGAATTCATAAAGCTGTTTGCTAAGTACATTGATGAGCTGCAAGAGAGTATGCTAACAGCACACCTGAGTCAACTGCCTTTATTTCCCTAGTGGTAGCTTCAGCTGACATCAGTGGTTTAATGAAAAACTGAGCGAATCTGAATATCTAACCACAATAAGTTAATCATTCAAGATAAACTTATCTAACACAGCAGATTAGAGATATATTAAACATCCTACCTATCCAAGGCATCTTCAAAGGCGTTAGGATTCACATCAAAGTAGTAGTTGGTGTGCTCAGAGGCTGTGAAAGCATTTGTACTACCTCCATTCTTTAAAAAATAATAATAACTCAAAATTAAACTAAAAAATTATTGTCACTGTCTTGCAAGATGCATCAATATATCATTAAAAAAACTCAAACTAAAAAGGAAATCCAGCAAAGCCCTAAGTTCTGAATTCTGATCCAAAAAATAAGATTTCTAGGCCATGATAATGAAACGAGATAGCTAAGAAAGTACCTCACTGATGTATTTTGAGTAACTGTCCTCCAAGGGGTACTTTTCACTGGCATAAAAAAGCATGTGTTCTGTAATACAATCACGGTGCAGGGTGAAAATATGAATTGAATTGTGAATCTGGATATGTGTTCTAACTTGGATTGAACAATCATAGGGGAGGATGATTTCCATTCCTTAATTAAAAATAAAATAAAAAATAGCACATTCCCGATGCTAAATGCTAATATCTCTCTTAGCATTTATATGCATCCAAATCTCATTACTGTTTCAAAATTGGCTTTCTAATGATTTTCCTTAATTCTGTCATTAAAGATGTAAATTACTCTCCATCACATAATAAGTCAAATTTCTTGTGATTGCTCCAACTATACCATGAAAATATAATTTTCATTCAGTTGACCCAGACCACACAACGTGAATGAGAAATCACCCTTCTATTTTCGAGCTTAGGTAATTTAAAAACAAAACCACCTCAGAATGCACTAATGGTTCCAAACATGTTGAAATGGAAGAATAAAAGCAAGAACGTGCATTTTTTCCAAGCAAGTTCATACTACAGAAAAAAATGAAAATTAATAATAATGATGATGCTGCATAAAACAGCAAACACAAAAAGGGGTTTATCATAATGTATTCATCCAATATTAAGAGATGTTAAATTGTTATGCAGTTAATAGATGGATTGTATAGATAAAAATAAAGAATTCAATCTGCATAACCAAGTAATTCAGTTGCTTTGTTATCACTGTAAGAACTTTATACTGAAAGGCGGCAACTCCTTTAACCGCCCAGCTAGTATATTCATGCCTCCGACTAACTAGGTTGAATGAAATTAAAAATATAAGACAAAATTCAATCTTTCAAAGCTAGCATTGAAAAGTAATAAAATAAAATAAATAAAAAAGAAGAGGAAGAAGGAGTAGCACAAAGTTACTAAGGTACACTGCAAACAATAATAAAAAATAAAAATCTAGAACTAAAGAAAGCAACTAAGGGATACATTATTAGATATCTTAATTGCGTTAGATAGAAATGTGCAAGCAAGAACAGGTAATTTATTCCACAGATTTGAAGTCATTCGGGATGATTAAAAGAATTCCCCAGATGTTAAAAGATGCAATTTTATATGGGCAGAGATTGTTTTCTTACAATTCCCTTAACACAGGAAAGTTAACATTTCAAAGAGTGCTTAACCATGCATCTTCAATACTTAGAAAAGGTCGTGGAATGAAACTGAGACATACAAGTATATCTATATAGACATACATACACATATATTTATATATATAAGCGAGAGAGAGAGAGAGAGAGAGAGAGAGAGAAAGAGAGAGAGAAAGAGAGAGAAATGCAAGTAAGAACATTAGATTAGTCGAACAAAAGGACACAAATACCTTGATTGATGCAACTGAATGAAGGCAGAAACTAAATCAAGATGTCTACTAAGAATGGGAAAATTAAATGAGAAATGTTCACCGAGAAAATGCGCGAGCCCTTCGAGTCCGTCGGGATCACTAAAAGAACCGACACCAACATCCATCGATGCAGCACACTGAGACCAAGAACACATTCAAACATCAAACATTCATTCCAACCAAATCACCAAGAGAATCAATGCAAATCCGCACCTTATCCGTTTCTGGATCGCTGACGAGGAGAACTTCAAGCTTGTTCTCCAAAACAATTCTTCTATACTCTCTTTTATCATTCCTCGGCTTAACAATCTCAACCTTCTTCACCGTTGCATCCACGGCCATCTCTTCTCTTCTTCTCCGTCTTCGTGTATTCCAAGTCAAGAGATATTTGTGCAGTTCGGATTTAAGACCTCTGTCTATCAGTGGTGCCTATTTATTGGGCTGCGTTTACACGTAACATTTTATTTAAATAAAAATTAAATATTCTAATTTACTTACTATTTCTTTTTATTCGATATATTTCATTTAGTATATTAATATAATTTTAATAATAATAATAAATTAGAGATGGGAAGATTTGTTAAAAAATAAAAACATATTAATGTAATTTCCATATTACGAGAATATAAAATAGAAAATTAAATATGTTAAAATAGTCTTATGTAATTTTGTCCTATCAATTTCTTATCGATTATCATTTTTAATAGGGAAAAATTATTTTTGTCTTAGTATAACTAAAATTCATCAATTTTGGTTCAATATAAAAATTTTATTAATTTTGGTTTCAATATAACTAAAACTCGATCACTTTTTGTCTCAATATAACCAAAACCCAATATAAATTTTTTTATCAATTTTACTCCAAATATAACCAAAATTCATCATTTTTTTTCAATATAATCAAATCTTATTTTTTTGTCCCATCAACAAACCGACGCAAAATGTTGATGTGGATTTGCAAGATTGTGTAATTTTTTCAAATATAAATATAAGGTTTGATTTCTTTTCACGTCAGCATTTTCCCTTGATTTATTGACGGTAGGACAAAAAAAATTGATTCTATTGAGATAAAAAATGGTGAATTTTTGTTATATTGGCACTAAAATTGATAAAAATTTTATATTACGACAAAAAATAATAGTTCGGATAAAAATAAAAAATTTTGGTTATATTGTGACCAAAATTATAAGATTTTTATATTTGGACCAAAATTGATGAATTTTGGTTATATTTGAACTAAAAATAATTCTTTCCCTTTTTAATAGTTATATAATATATGTTTTATTTTTTCATAAAAAAAATAACTTTTAATATAAAATATTATTTTTTATATTATATTAAATATAAATATTTTTACTTTCAAAATATTACATCAATACTAACATTTTATTATTTACAAAATTTCAAAACTTCTAGTTAAACAAAGCCAAACTCTAAGGGTGTGTTTGTTGATATGATATAAACAAGTGTTGATGTGCTATTTTCAGTATAAAAATTGATTTTTAATATAATATAAAAAATAAAAAAAATAAATATTTTTGATTTAATATTTTTGAAGAGAAAATATTTGATGTATGATTAAAATCCTTCAAAATCTCCCAAAAAAAAACACCCCCAAAAGACACCAATAGGAAAGTTGAAAATTAAAATGAAAATCATTAATACAAATTCTATTTAGTAATAGTTGTCGCATAAATTTCAAGATAGATATGAATAAACCTGAATAGGGTCGATTTAATAGCATGCAAAACATCTTACAGTATACGAACTGTTCAATTGATCTCTACCAAACTAGAACCATGACAAGGAAGTAGACCTGTTTTTCCATGAACAATGGTAATGCAAACACAAACAAATTTAAGCCAAAAGATGAACAACATAAATAAACTCAGTCCGAAAATAGAAATCTCAAGTCCGGCAAGGATTAGAGCACTTGGCCATTATTCATATCGAGAATAGATCAAATCTGGGGGGCACTAAACCAAACAATGAAGATCCAATCCCGGCAATGTATAAGACAGGTTTGTAAACATAAGCTTTTTGATGCTTAAAGAAGCAATTCAAAATTTTATTGATCGATGCTGGACTTGACTATGAAGTTCTGACGGGAAATGGGATTCATGACCACAGGGGGGCCTGCGGTGCGAGGCCATGCTTGGAACTTCTTGTCAGTTTCTACCCACCATTCTTTGCTCGAGACCGTTTTAGGAGTAGTGCCTGCAGTGAAATGAGCTATTATTGTGACATGACTAGAAAAATGGCACGCATTTGTCGATTTAAAATACAGATTGCTAGCACAAACCTCCAAAGATCTTCTGCTCGGCGAGCAGATAGTCACAAACATATGCAATAGCAAGGGATCCCCCTAAAGCCGGAAGAACATATTTAGCTCCCATTTTAAGCTACTTCTGCATAATGGTATATCACGAACAAATTCATCATCATATGAAGCTAATCATACAATTATCAAGACATTTGTAGATTGAATGGAAGGGGTGAAAACCAAAGCAAAGCAATCATAAAATTCAAATAAATTCTAAAACCTCATAATGCAAATGATAGATAATCTACTCATGAACTTTGCATAGTGTTGTGAACTGGAGAGTTTTGCTAGAACAGAATTCAATTGAATAGTCAACTATATTTATAACTGGAAAATTTTGATGACAATTGTGTGGCATCTGCGGAGGGAAAAATGATGGGTTATTCATGAATCTCCCTCTAAAAATAGACAAAAAGTATTGCTGTAGAAATAAAAAAACAGGAAATTTATATATATATATACAGCAGGAGGAAGAGTGGACTTAATACAGATCAAAATATGATTGAATCAATAAATAAAGAAAGATACACCAAGAAAGCTAAAGCAGGCTTGAAAGTAAAAGCCAATTCAACAAGGTACCTCTAATCTATCATCAACCACAAATTAAAGAAAAATACCTATGTCTCAGAAATCAACCATTAAATCTATATGATAAAATAAACAACAGTGCATGGAATCACAAGATAAGATTCTTTGCATAAGAAACAGATCATAAAAATTCCGGCAAACGAATGGCAGAAACCCTAACTAATCAAATACTGCTAATAACCAAAACAGGCGTCGAAGGACCACAGATCTTTTCTTAAACAGAGTCATGTTATCTCAATCCAGTTAATATAACATCAAATACTGCAAAAGGCGTAAAATCAAAAGCAGCACAAACCCTAGCAATTAGGGGTTTTTTTCTTTCTTCAAACCCATGAAATCAAAAGGCAGATAGTCCAATTAAGAGAGGAAGACAAGAAGAAACAGCGCCTAAAACCATTCGCAAAGACTCTTACCAGCAACCGAATTCCACGGAGACAAGATCGATCCGGTACATGCGACTGCAACAACAGGGAGAAATGAGACAGCAGGAGACTAAAAATACGTGAGATGGCCGAAACGCTGTCGTTTTGCTATGCCTATTTTATTTTAGTAAAATTCTAACAATAAAGGTTTCGGTTCCTATTTTCTCCGACTCATAAACCACCGGTTCGAACGGAATTTAAATTATACTTATTATTTAAAATATTAATATTTTAAAATAAAATTTATTTTAATTAAATTATTTTAAATATAAATTGGTTCAAATTGAAATTGTCGTCAAAATCGAATTAAAATTGTTGTAGTCGAAACTAAAATCATTTGATTTTGAATTTGATATTTTCACAGACTAAAACGGACGGTAAATATTATAAATTAATAATTCAACTATTTTAATACAAAATTGCAATTTTGCATTTAACTAAAATAAGCGCATGACATAGTTAAATTAAGACAACAAATTCGTAAGTGTTTTCCGAAAGAATTTTTTTTGTAGACAATTCAGTTTCTTTACAAGAAAATTATTGTCTTAACCTATACACGCAATATAATACAACATCTAAACTACAATTACAAAACCAATAATTTCTTCATGGAGGACAGGCCAAAGCTTCAAACAGCCCTCCCTCCATGGGCAGATAGATCATTTGTAACTTTTCTGGCAACACATGCCTTCCAAAAACTAAAGAATCATCAATGGAAAAATGATCTATACATACATATAAATATATATATATGAAGAGAAGACTCTAAATAATCATGGACAGCTTCGAAAACCGCCGTCCGCCGGAGGGTCGGATCTGGACGAAGCAGTTAACACGACGGACGGATTGGATCTCCAGCGAAAACCTTGTCATTGCACGGTATCGCATTCGCTTGTTAGCATCCGGCAGCCTTCAAGAAGTTATCGTAAGGACTCGACGCGGGCAGCATGAAGGGGTTGGGGTTCGGGAGGTGCTGTCGTTCCGCAGCGCATATTGCCCCACCCGACGGGGTCATTAGCAGCCCTCCCGGTGTGTCGTCGACGAATGGGTTTCCAGGCTGCAGTTTTGGCGATAGAAAAAATACAATGAGACGACGACAAAAGGACGAGAAATAAACAAAACAATATAAAATCCACTTGTGGTTTTTAAAGCTTGTGCGAAACGGTGATTTCGTAGTTATAGATTTTCTGAATTACCTTCGCAGTTAGGGTGCGTATAGAACATAAGGGGAAACTATAAGGAAATCTAATGCAATTTTTAAACAATTGAGAATTTTCGTGCAATTTTCATAAACTACAGAGTGGATTTTATGGTGTTTTGCCAACAAATATATAAACACATTCGTTTCGGATGTATTTCGACACAATGTACCTTGTGTGAGATACCATCGAGCCCCGGTAAGGCCATTGGCTTGTCGTCATGGATGGGGTTCAATTGAACACCGAACGAACGCCCCTGCTGCATTGATTGCGTGTTGATTAAATATGATATCCTTTGTTGCTTCCCCATCAATTGGGCGTCGCAGTGTCCGGCCGTTTCTCTGTAGGATGCGTCGGGGGCATGGCTAACGGAGATTCTACCAACGTGATGTGATGTCTCGAGGACCTGCAAGTGAATGATCGTACACATGTAACATACGTTTATATAATACAAATAAAACAGATGAATTGATCAGCCCGGATCAGCACCATAATCCTTCCGTGATGAATTTGCAAGTATGTGGAAGGGATGACTTACGGATTGTAGAAGCTGGTCGACGCTCAAGAGGTTAGGAGCCTCGATCATTAATTTCGAATTCTGCACATTGCTATCGTTCAAAAGATCATCATCAATTATGAACAACGAGACAGCCTTGTCTAAAGATTTAGGCTCTGAAGAATCGCCGTTGTATCCGCCTGTCGGGTTATCGGAGAATGACATGCCTTTAATAGAACATGTTTCGTCGGGTAAAAATTCCCTCAGCAACTGATCCCTCGTGGAAGCAACGTCGAACTGGGAATGATACCATCATCGTCAAAGTGTAAGAACATGTGTTAGGACAACGCGTGCGAATTCATCCGAAATTCAAAACTTACTTCGCCCGAGTTCCCCAAGTTATTCATAATAATTGAAATAAGGGACTCCGTTGTCTGGTCATTGTTCAGTTTTATTTCCGAAAGACATCTCTGAGCCGAGTTGTTGTCGTCTTTAGATCCGTAGCCAACCTTATTAGGTCCTACCATTTTCGCACTAACCTGCAACTTTGAATCTCCGACCAAACACAAAAATGGATCTACCTGCACGTGCAAGAAAGGCGCTGATGCATATTAAGGCAGCCAAGTAACAGCAACAACATCAGCACAGAATGTATATATATACATGTATTTATATATTACCACTTTTTCCGAGAGGGTAGCTTTGACAGGCGGAATAAGAGAATGGATTTCAAAAGCCTTTGCTGAAAAGATAATCATACAAGAAGACAATACAAACAGTGATCTACGACGCGATGCTGGAAGGATTCCTGTAAGTAAGGCAATCAAATGTTACTCGAGAAATTGTCATTTCTATAAATGAATTGCAACATCTTTTATGACAAGAATCGACACACAACATCAAGAATCGAATGCATCAAATAAAAAGATCATATGTAACTTAGCAGTTACCTCCTCCTGACAGAGAAGCATTCCTCAGTGAAAATGCAAGCTGGAAACTCTTTATAAGAGTTTCGACGTACGAGTTCTGTTTTGGAAAGGGAAAAACGGTAAGAGATTTTAGCGTTTCTATTTACCCAAAACATTATAATCTCATGAATTCAATGACAGATTGCAATGTCGAGATGATTGATGTATTCTACCAACGGGTAAATTCAGTGCACATGATTTCGAAGAAGGTACAAAGCCTAAAGTTACCTTGGCTCGTGAGAACAGTAAAATCAAGCTGTAAGTATGGGCTATAGCTTCATAATTCTCCGGCATGTTTGCAGGGGAAATGGATTGTGCCCATATGGATGAGAGCAGGAGGGTTATTTGATGGCTACTCAATCGAAGAGGAACCGAATCCTGAAATTGAAGAGAGCAAATTATTAGCAGAAGAGCTGAATGAATGAATGAGGAGAGTAGTGTGAGAAACACAGAACACAAAAGTGACCAACCGCTTCTTTGTTCGACTTGTGTATCGAATCACCATCAAGTGCAGGTGCACCTTTCATGCTATATGCTCGACTGTAAGTCGATCTAATTTTGTTCAATACACCACTCGTATTGTTTTTCTGTTCAGCATCGCCGAAAGACTTTTCTCTGTTCATGTCGAGGTTGGAACTATTCTTCTGTCTCTTCATCTTCTCAAAGAGAGCAGCTGACGAAGAAAACACCGACACAGTTCTGGAGAGAGTTCTCGGGACATGTTTATTCTTTTTGGAATCGTGCATGGTTGAATCTGCACGAGGGGCGACGGAAGATGGCACGAGCACTACAGAGAACACCTGATGAGCTCCGATACGTGTTTCGTGGTCGGGATGAAGCATTGCTGGAAGTAACTGATGAAGCAATGCCTCTGGGAAGGCCTAATGACAGTAAAAATTGAAATAGCATATTGAGAGAGAGTGTGTGCTAGAGAGAGAGAAGCATAGTGAATAAATTCATTCCATAAACAATCTTGCCTTGCTTTGATAGGATAACTTTGGCAACGTCGCGATGATTTGAGCAGCTCGATACACAGCAGCAATCGTAGTTTTAGCTATTACCGGAATGCTCGAGATATTCTCTAACATGCTAGCCATTACATCAAGGATCAAACCAGCGTCTCCAACCTGGTAATAAGCGAAAAGATAAATGTCACACAGCTAAAAATGATAGAAAAAAGAAATAAGAAGCCGAAAAAACAAAATAAAAGATAGTCGAAGAGATGGACAACCTTAGACGACAACTCTGTGAGGCATTCATCGACTGATTCGTGGAATTTTCGATTCCAATGAATTAATTTATCACCAAGATTGGCGTCATCGAGTAAATAATGTATGCTTTTACGCAAATGTCTCATGACATCACTTACAGCACTGACCATAGCAACGGATTGCTGGGCCTTTGTGAGCCGAGCAAGGGCGGTGACAACCTGAACAATGTCAAGCTGCATGTCAGGTTGCTTAACGACATTTTTATGGTCAAGATGCTTGACTAATATTGACAGCAAAAAGTGCGTATTTTGCCCTGCACAATCAAGAGTATAAACCGGCATCATCAGTCTGATCGTCGGAATTGTCCTAAATTAGATCATCGAGTAGACAGAAACGAGGAATCTCACCAGAATCATCCATCAAATACTGCATGTCTTTAAGAACTGGAAAAGCAATCCCATTTTGAGGATGCCATAGATTTCCACTGTCGAAGCACCGGAACAAAGACTCCAAAACACGACGCATTGTAGTGGCCTCTTTACCGAGCCTGGCCATGTTATGCAGGCAAACCCGAGACCAAAAGCTTGGGCTTTTCGCATCTTCTCTGCAAGTAAATCAAGGTTTAATGTGCATAGGCGGCAGTCAATCAAGGAAAAAGACATATAGAATTCAGACAAGGAATTACGCCGCCACATTCAGTTGCCCTTTATCATTTACAATCATTCTCCAAGAAGGGACCCTCGCCGTGGCATCTGGCGAAGGAGTGACATGGCCCTCAGTTTTTTGAACTTCCTGCACCCATCGGTTTTCACTCGGCTCGTCGGACTCTTTATCGGGGCCTCCATAATTTTCCAGGACAACAGAAACAATCTGAAGAATGAGGTCGAAATACAACAGATTTAAACTAATCGTAAAAGATCCGTGAACAGGGCAATATGTGTGTATATATATATATATATGTATATCATTTCCTTAGCTTAGAAAGCTACACGCACACTGTCAAATTCTACTGGAATATGAGAGTTTTCGCCCATGAACCAGACCTTCAAAAACAGAAAACAAGAAAAACAAAATTGTGAATAAACCAGAGGGAAGAACATGAATGTCCAGAACAAGAGCTCAATAATGATTGAACAGATTCGAATTTTCCTTATATACAAATGATTGAAAGAGATTACCATTGAAGACAGAGCCTGCAGCCCAGCTGCCCTCGATTGTTCTGCCTTCTCATCGTCTCCCACTTCTTGAGCCATCTGGCAAAGTTTTGGTATAAACCCTTCCAAGTTAAACATGTAAGTTCCGTCATTCTGGAGAACATTTAAGTGTTAGTTAGTTTGATGTTAAACAAGTCGACATAAACTGCAACAACCTAAAAATTGGGCAGTGAAAAATACCGACCTGATTATTTACAAAGTCGAAGAGCAATTGGCATCCAACAATTAACATTTCATCTTGGTTTGTTTGATCCAGCAGGGTTTGCATTATAGTCATGGCACTATTTGCAAACAGTGGCCTAACATGAAAATGTTAACAGTAAATTCTACATCGGTAGGCATATGCTATCACTCAAAAAACGAACAAAATATCTCCGAAATACAAATTATTAGAGGTTAAACCAATTGATCAACAGAATAACCAAACATACACTACTCAATCCATCGGTACCTCTTGCTTAGTATAAATATTTAAGTAAGAACAGCAGCGAACCTACATTTGTTCCCGGCAAGAAGACAACAGTTTCCGGTATATACACATGACAATATTCACTGATTTAAAGTTTTCATTCCTTAGTTCCTTGTAGCATTTTTGCTCAAGGGATGTTGCAATCTGTGAATTCAAAGTAAACAAAATTACACACAAGTATGTTTTCAAACATAAAGCAATCTAAGCTGATGCAATCCAATTCATACAAAAGAACATTCATTACCAAACAATGATGATACCTTGGGGATTCGCATTGGATTTTTTGAAGCATATTCACAGAGTTTACCAATCTTCCTGTCATTTGGTTCTTCTTCCTGTAAAATATCTGATATCAACTTCTTGTATCTCTTTACAGGCTGCCGAGACCTCGTGCGCATCGCCGGGCAAAAAAAACATAGGGCGTCGCATGCTGGCAAGACCTGCCTTGAGATTACACCCGAAACAACACTCATTTTTTCTTTTCTTTTTCTTTTTTATTTTTTTATTTTTTTGGTATCACAATTGGCAATGCTATGCCATGAATCAACCTTCAAATACAAAATTCAATGCCTTCTTTCCCTTCTTGGCAACAATTTAGAGCCCAAGGGAAAGGAAAGCCGATAAAGATCAATCGGCCACTTCTCAAACAGCAGTGCCAACCTACACAAACCAATAAATTCGAACACCATCACATCGCCTAAGAATTCAAAAAACAAATTCAAAATATATCGTGAATGCAAGAATTTCTATTCCATCAATGCCCAGAACAACGCATCCTAAAACTTCTTGTCAAAACAATTTAGAATCCTTCTAGAATCTTCGCTTTAAATTGGAATATAGATGCAAGAATTTCCATTCCAAACGATTGGGTTTTCAGATAATCATTTTTTTTTTGGCAAATTCCAGCCAGGAATATGAATTGGGCATCGAAATTTACCTTGAGAGCGGCGCATGTAAAGAACAGACCTAAGGTCTGGTTAATTAATTTGATTCAGCGAAGATTATCAACAATGCGCCGATTCTGCAGCATTTTTTTGAAATCTTGAGTCTCCTCCCCATTCTCTCTCCCGCCCCTTTGTCTCTCTCCAACGACCTACCTCCGAATAATTCTCTCCGCGTAATAAGAGTATGATAATCGCGCGCACTACTCCATTGCGGGATAATTATAGAACCTGATTAATAAACAAACAAATCTTCCAAAATAATCAGCCGGGGCCGGCGCTAATGATTGACAACGTGTCTCCTCACGTCCGCAACAATTAATGTACGGCGTGTCAATTGGGTTTTCACACTCCCGCCATTTGGAGGACCTGCGTGAAAGAAAAATGGGGTCAAATTTAAAATTAGAGAAACTACTCGCACCCAATTGGAAATAATGGACTAACGGTCTCCGGTCAATAATACCGTTGTCTTCTCTTTTAATTAATAAGTCCAACTGTAAATTACGAAAACAGCCTTGACCTGTATTTTGAGTTGTTTGGTCCACTCTATTTGGGGTTACCCAGGCCCACTAATTTAATTTTCTTTATGGTATTTATTTTCTAGATCGTATTTACCCAGCCCACTACTCTATTTTTGGTTTCATACAATATTATAATTATCAATTTTAGTCTCATTCTATATCTTTTATCAATTTTGGTCCAACTCAAGTAAAAAGTTATCAATTTTAGTCCAGATGGTTGACTGGGCGTCCCTGGCAACCAACACGGCCGTGTTGATTACCCTGCACTTCTGAACACAAATACAGTTGTGTTCCTACTCGTGTTCTGAACACAACCATGTTCATGTTCTCAACACAGTCATGTTCCGGACTATTTTCTCAACACAACCATGTTTTAGGCCATGATGTTCAATCATATTGTAGGACATGTTAATTATTATTTTCACTTTCTTTGTTAAAATTATTTGATATATATATTTATAATTCAACAAAAATATTTTTTATAATTATTTCATAATATAAAAAATAATCAATTTTTAATATTTTTAAAAAAATATAAAAATAATATTCCCTCCGTCTCAGATACTATGTCCACGTTGCTGTGTAAAAAATAATTAACATGACCTACAATATGATTATATTGAAAATGTAAAAATGACCTAAAACATGGTTATGTTGAGAACATGGTCGTGAACTTGGTCTGAAAAATAGTTGTATTGAGAACATAAGCATGAATATGGTTGTGTTCTTAAAACAGAGGCAGAAACACAGCCGTGTTCGGAAATGCAGGGTAACCAATACGGCTGTGTTAGCTGTTTGGGACACTCAGTTACCTTCTGATTCATCCAATACGGTTGTGTTCAATTCCAATCAACCATAGACTAAAATTGATAAATTTTCGTTTTAGTGGAACCAAAATCGATAAATATAATATTAAATGAAATAAATAATAATAATAATAATTTTTGCTCTTTTTTTTATATCCGAACAAAACTAATAAAATAAAAATAAAAAGACCATATGAATAAATGCCCACAGATACCTCAAAGACATTCACTGCAAGAGATTTGGTCCAAATCTCACTATTCATACAAAAAAAATTTTTTTTTACATTCAAAACATCACATCATCACCTATTTATATCACATCATACAACTATTTAAATTCAAAATTTTTACTATTCAAATCCCAACTCAAAATCCAATCCCCCAAACAAACACAGAACGGCATAGATATAAGCGGTAAAATTTCATTCACATTTTTTCTGCCACAACTGGGTACAGAGTATACGACAAAGCATCAATTAATTATTATTGTTAATAATAAGTGCCCTCTAAAAAATAATCTGATGTTACAATGACCCAAGAGTAAGTTTCTTTTTATGGAGTTTAAAAAATTTTAATTTAAATTTAGTATAAGAGTAAGTTTCTTTTTATGGAGTTAAAAAAAATTTAATTTAAATTTAGTATTAAAATAATACATAATTGGATGTTTTATGAAAAATATGTATATATATATATTTTTTAAATATAAAATTCAAATAATAAAAATTTTGAATTTTGAATCAAAGAAACATACTCTTAATATATACTATAATTCTTTGATCGATCTTAAAAGTATTTATGTTACAGAATTTTTAAAAAATCAAATTGAAATAATAAAGACAAAAGAACACAAAAATTTGATAATTCAATTCGATCAAAAAAATCAAGACAGAATGACAAAGATAAAAGAACAAGTAACAATCTAAAATATAAATTAATTTATAAAAGCATCTCAAATATAAATTAATTTATAAAATAAGCAGCTTTTTGACTTTGATGGAGTGAGGGGACTCGAGGAGGTCTTTTTCAGACATCATTAACTCATTCCCACATTACAAAGACCAAAAGCGACTTAAATTTGGGGTAAAATAAACATATCCAAAGTGAACTATATATGAATATTAAAATTAAATAAAAGATAATGATACATTATTATTATTATTATTATTATTATTGCACTATATATATATATATATATGCATTGATATATCCATAAACAAGATCCAATGAAGCGAAGGGCATCACTAGATTTCCCCCCAAATTAGGAGTGCCATAGTTTTGTTTACGTTTGGTTGTTTTCTAAGGTAAGAAAATTTGTAAAAGTAGTACTATAAAAAATGATTTTTTTTTTCTTTTTATGGACTTTTATTATCATGTATAATATTGTATATATATATTTTTGCTAATATTTAAAATAATTATGTTTTTTCTTAAATGGCCATTAGTTGTATATAGAAATATAATATACTGTAATAGTTTATGCCATTATTATCGTGTTTAGACATATTTTAAAATAGTAATTAAAGATTTTCTAAAATTTAATAAAAATAAATAGTCAATATTTTCAAGGTCTGTTAAAATAATGTTAGTTTATAATTTTTACAAAAAATATATATATAATTTTGATGAATAGAAAAAAATATAATATTTAAAAATAAATTATTTAATTGCTAGTGGAAGTTGAAAGCAAGTAGTATATAGATATATATGAGCTCTATCTACATTCATATTAATATTTTATATATTAAAAAAAAATTAAATATTTTGGTATTAACCTTTAGATTTTAGTTGAAAATTTGACGTAAGAAAGTAGCAGCACTTGTGCTGGTCCAAAGTTACACAGCACCACCAAATTTCGCATTCCAAAGCCATTTCTCTCTCTTCTCTCTCTCTATATCTCTCTCTACAATTTTTCGTTTCCTCTATGTTTCACTATATAATTATTCCATAACCATATTTTGGAAGTGATTCTTGACTATATATACATATATATATATATAAGAATGTCGTTGTATTCCACTAATCAGCTGCCGCCGCTGGTAGAGGCGCCGCCGTCGGGGGCGGCGGTGGAGGCGGCGGCGGCGGCGAGCCACTCGACGCACCACTCGATGGAGACGCTGGTGGTGGTGCTGGCGGTGATCACAATACTCGGAGTCGTCGCCGGAATCATTGCCCGCCTCTGCGGCGGCCGCCATTTGGGAGGCTCCGGCGAACACGACATTGAAGGATGGGTCGAGAGGAACTGCCGCAGCTGTATTGACGCCGGCGTCGCCACTGCGCCGCCGCCGGCCAAGGCGGAGCCGCCCAAGCAAGAAGAAGTAAAGAAGTGAGACGACACGTACGGACGGACGTTAGGTGTGTTCAAATTTATGTAGCTAAGTTCAGTGTGTGTAATATTTTGATTTTATTTATTTATTTATTTATAATCATTTTCATATCTTCCAACAATTTATACATTATTTGACAAAAAAAAATATGAATATACTGTTGGCTAAAATTGGGTCACAGCAGCGTAATTACACAACGGTAACCTTCACTTAATAACTCTACCAAACCAATATTAATTAACGACTTTGTGCTATGAATTAATTTTATAAAATATTAAAGAATGAGACTAAATTTATGAGACTGAATGAGTATTTTTTTATTTCACATTTTTTAAAATAAATCTTATAATGTTTGATGAAGAAAAAGGCTATGTGTTGGGTGAATTAATTGACAGCCGTTGGATCGTAAAGGTGGGTCTGTATGTCTGTCGTGGAAAGTTTTCCTTTTTCAATGTGCATCATCATATTACCGTTGCCAGATATGACTCACCCTATGTAACCTTTTAGCTATTTTGACCGGTCAATACAGGTGGGACCCATCATCATTTTGGAAATATATTCAACAATTTTAATACGAAAATATATTCATTTTTTTAAGGGGTAAATAATTTTGATATAATGGTTTAAAAATATCAAAACTTGTACAACAAAATATGAAAAAAACACACCCAAAGCAAAACCGGCCCATTATCATAAAAAGCAAGATATTTATATTACTTTTTTGTGAAAAATATGACCCTGGACTCGTGAGATCATGAAAAAATAAAATTGATTAGAAAAATTACTATTAATGAATAGTACAATAAATTCAAGATGTATTTTTGTAAACAAATCCCAAAGCTCACAAACAATAACATTGTTCTGCTATGATGTGCCAACAAGAAACCATACACACAACTCTGACAAATCTGCCTCTAACCCTAATCAAAGATTCTCGTACCTAATTTGTAACATATTAAATTTGATTGGAGATTTACTTAGTACACAGTTTCGATAGCGGCCGCAAATTTCCACGTCGTAACATTATATAAATGAATAAATAACCTGAATCAAAGAAAGCAAAGCCCTCACTTCTCTAATGGTCCAATATTTAAACATACAATCATATAAAATTTGATCTATTCTCTAAGAAATACAGAAGACAAAAAAAAAAAAAAAAGAACTTTAGATATACATGGTTATAACATTTTCATAGGTTTTGTAAAGGTCCAGTCCAGCAAACAGTAAATATGTACGCCAACAAAAAAGCACCAAAAGGATAGGATACTCCCAAAATAAAAATCCATTTTCAAGAACCATTCCACAGGAGACAGACTCTCTCAAATACACATATTGTTATTTATTTATAAATACACAAATTATAGATCGAACTTGTAATAAAATCAGAGGGTGTGCATTTGTTTAATTTCTTATTTCTCATTCAAAACAGAATGAGATAAACATTTTATATAATAGTGAAGAACACAGGTAGCTAGCTGGTCAGTAGAAAGTAGAATACTTGGCTAATCATGGAGTACAATACTCCTAAGCAGAGTAGGGAAATTAAATTGCAATTACATTATCAGCTAGGCATAATAATGGAATTTATGCACTATATAATTAACCTAATCAAAATAGGAATAGACAAAAACAAAATTAAGAATAATAGATAATCCAGAAAAATGAAGAGGATTCAATTAGGGTTTGGAAATAGGCAAGTAACTAATTAAATCAATTATTAGGCATAGAAATTTTGAGGCGCTCGCCGCAGAAACCCTAATTTTGAAGAAATACCAATACCAAAACAGAGGAGATGTCTGGTTTGCCCTAATTTCCAAAGTTGGTGAGTCGCCGGATACAATAGCTTGATTCGATGTTGAATTCCAATCACCGCCTGCGACCATTCCACGCCATCAAAGGAGAATGGCAAGCCTGACGAATAACACTCAGCCCGCGACCCACCGATTCATCCTAATTCAAATTATTAATCAAGCTTGAAATTCTCCTTTGATTCGGCAAGAAATAGTTACGAATTTGAATGATCATACGATTCCGCTTCTCATTCAATACGATATAAGTATATTGTTGAAAAACAGAAGGTGCGATGAGAAGAGAAGACAAAGGAAATATTATTATTACTATTAACTAATATTTTTATCAATATGCAATTAAAAAAATTAAGATATTCATATTATTATATAAATACATCAAATAATATATATATATATATATAATATGGGTTTGTTTGTTTATTACATGAAATTTTAATTTAAAATTTGCATTATTTTAATAAAATTATTTTTATAAAATATTATAGTATTAAAATATTTTTTAATAAAATATTTAATTCAAATCAAAACCAAAATACATTCCATAAAATTATATTTAAATGACAATTTATTAAAAATTATATATGATCGAAGTCTTGAAAATAACTAAATGGGACCATACTTATTCTTTAAAAATAATTACATATTTATATTAATTATAATATTTAATCACTTAAATTAAAATGATTAAGTTTTAAGGCCTAAGCAATTGCACTTTAACTTATCCCTAACTAAATTAATAAATACATTTTTTGTTAATCATATTTATTCACTATTTAATTTTTTTTAATATCCACTACATTATGCATATCTCAATAATAATAATCAATTTTGTTCGCTCATAATTTTTAGGGTTAGAGCTCTAATTCAACTCTAAATTTCTTTTAATTTTTGCGCTACAGTGTTACTATTCTATTCTATTTATTTTATGTATTTTTGTTATCTTTTAAAATGTATTGTGTAATTTTATTTTATTAATAATAATATACTATAATTTTATATTTAAAAAAAAATAAGTAAATTTATTTTTTTTAAAGATAATGTATAATTTTATTTTTAAAGATTTGATATATAATTTTATTTTTTGGAAAGTAATATGTAATTTTATTCTTTTTTTTTAAATAACATGTAATTTTATATTTTTACAAAAGTATATAATTTTAATTTTTGAAATGTGATATGATATTTTATTTTTTTTAAAAGTAAAATGTAATTTCACTTTGTTAAAAGTGATGTGTAATTTTTTTTAAAATAATTATTTTATAAATTATCAGTATATATTTTTAAGTGATAATATAAAAATATAAAAAATTATATAAAAAATAATTTTTTTAAAGTGAAAATTAAAATATAAAATAAAATTACCGTAAATCATAATCGATGAAAAAATAAATTAAGAGTTAAAAATTACCTAAAAAATCAATAGTATTTTATCTTTATTTCATAATTGAATTAATAAAATAGGAGTACTAGTATATTGGAAGAGTTGGTGAACCTTAAAAAAAGGGGGACCACAACGCCAACGCCAACGCCAACGCCAACGCCTGCTTCCCCAACGACTCTTCTAGGGACAAATATGACTTTTCACTCACAAACCACTCATTAGAGACCTAAGTCACAACTGTTTAAGATACGGAACGTTGAAATTAGTCAAATTAGTGAAAATACAGTATATTTAACAATTTATTAATTAAAACTACAAAGGACTATTTTACAGCTGTCTTCCAAAATTTGGGGACTAAACGCACTATTTCAGAAGAATACAGGGACCATAACGCAATTTACTTCGTCAGGTCTCTAGATCTAGACCGTTCGCTGGCGTATGTAGATTATCTCATCAGTTTGTTCCATCATCCGGACCCACTCACCGATGGCCGCTGGTGACGATGCCGACAGGTAGTGGGGCCGACGCCACTGTCATTGGCGCTACCTGCCCTGCTTCCATATACCAATTCATTATCTTAATTTTCTCATAGATAATTGCGCCGTGGAAGAGGACGTATAAGCCTTTTTCGTCTTCTCTTCTCCTTCAGTCCAACGCTTAATTAATCAATCAATCAATCAGTTAAGTTTTTTTTCGTATTTTTATCCGCTGTGCTTGTATGTATGTGTAGTTAATGGAGTTGTTGGTTACCTCGAATTTCTGCTCTATTCAGTTTGGATTGGGAATTGTATTATCAGTTTGGTTGGAAATTGTATTATCAGCTCTCGAAATTGTGAGTTTGCAGCAAATTTGTTTGTTTGTTCTCGAAATTGGGAGTTTCGTCCAGATCCTTTGTTGATGGTCGCCTGATTTTGATTTGGATTGATATCTACCTCCATTTTTTATGAAATCCTGCAATACTCGGGTGATTTTCTTCTTCTTGTTACTTTTCCTTGTTTGAAAAACACTCTTTTGTATTTTTTGCTAGTGTAATTTCTTTGCCTACATTTCAGTATTTGTTGATTTTCTTTTGTTTAGAATTCTTTTAAGGATTGGATCTAATCTAGGACATGCTGAATTTTGAATTTCTTGTGTTGTGTTCTAACATTGAGTGTATGCTAAGTTAATACATGAGGTTATTTGATTGGGATCTTGATCATTAATCAGTTAATAGACCATATTAAGAACTTGCAATGTTCGGTTTCGGGGAAGACAAGAAATCGATTTCACTACTGTTTGTATTTGTGAGATTTTACATTTGTATGCTGTTAAAGGATGTGTTCTTCTGGTGGATTCCATTTGAATTTTGGTTTTCTCTTTTTTTTGGATACTAGTTTGTTCTTAATATTTTGTCTCATTAGTATTTGTATATTGTCAAGTGTGTGTTCTTTTGTTGAGTTCATTTGGATTTTAGTTTTGATTTATTTTATTTGAATCATGATAGTATAAATTTTAAAAAGAATTGTTGAATGCATCTATATCACTAAATTGACCTATTGGATCTTCAAATATACAGGCGAGGTTTGGATTGATCGATCGATCGATTGAGGAATGGATCGACAAGGGCAACCACAATCATTGTCGTCATCATCCAAGACTAAGGAATTGGATGTTCCGCTTCACTCTATTGGATTTGAGATTGAAGAGCTCACGCCTAGCAAGGTGTCCGGCCATGTCCTCGTCACTTCCAAAGTGTGTCAGGTAAAAGATTCACATCAACAACGCCTTATCTAGTTGATCTTTTGTGCAACTATTTAATTTAAACTATTTTCAAAATGCGCGACATGAACTAGATAGATAACATCATTATACTTGATTCAACTTGATTTTGAGAAGTATGTGCTCGTAATAATATCATAATGACGACGGATGGCATGCAGCCGTTCAAGGTGCTCCATGGTGGGGTGTCGGCTATGATTGCCGAGTCACTGGCGAGCATGGGCGCTCATTTGGCGTCGGGTTTGCAAAGGGTCGCGGGCGTGCATCTAAGCATCAACCACATAAAGAGTGCACAGTTGGGCGATCACGTCGTGGCTGAGGCTACGCCCGTCAGCCTTGGCAAGACGGTTCAGGTTCGATCGTCTTTTATTTTATCTGTAAATTTTTTATTATTTCCCATAATTTTTCAAAAATTTTAAACTTATAATAAATCTTTAATTTGAACTAAGGTTAGTTTTATGTGTGAAATTTCTTAATTAATGTTGATTTTGGAGAATTGTACCGTATGCATGTATGTCATGTGTGTGAATTATGCAGGTTTGGGAAGTGCGACTTTGGAAACGCGACTCTAGTTATGATGGAGTGAAAACGCTGACGTCGTCTGCACGCGTCACGCTTCTTTGCAATCTGCCGGTGCCGGAATCGCTTAAAGGCGCTGCGGACTCTATTAAAAAATATGCCAAATTGTGATTCAACCGTGAATCTTGTGCTGGTGAGGATGTGGTTTTTGTTTGTGTATAATGAATTAATTGTTGCTGTTGGATTGTTTTTTCCATTTTTAAAAGATATATGTATAAGAATTGTTTATTACTACAATTTACTAAATAAATATAACATCAAAAGTAAATAAATTGAAAATCTAGTAACTAATGAAACTAGGAATTGATTGATTAGACATCTGAACTAACTAATTGACTGTTGAACCACTTAAAAAGATTGGGCACAAAACCAGTGGAACATAAAAAAATGCCTGATTTTATTCTCATATCTTTTCTCAGTTTGTTTTTATATTTATAGGGAAAAGAATAGCTGTCTGGATAAACAAATAACAACAATATAAATATTGACTAATGTAATACAATGAATCAAATTTTTGCATCAAATTCTAAAAGTAAGCTTGGTATCATTTCGTCAAGTTCTTAGATTATTAAAGTCCACTTAATTGATGGCATAGAGTAAATTGATAAATTAGTATTCAAAGTTGCAATTCTATCATATTAAATAAACATATATTTACTAAAAAATAAGAAAAATACGTGGGCCTTTAGAAAAGCCCGAGAAAATGGGCTCGTTTTGTTTTGAAAGCCCAAACATTTTATACAAGTTTTGATTGATTATTAAATACACAAAATATATAATCCAATATAAGCGTGAAATATTTTCCATAAAAATTTTTCTTATATAATAAAAAAGTGAAAATTACATCAATTTTGTGCAAATATACGAATAATATGACTTACTTTAATCACAAAATATTTAAGCAATATTATAAACAATAATTAAAATGAAATCGTTTGTAGTCCCACATAAGACAAAACAACAATCTAACGAACATCACACATAAGATAACCAACGTCTACGCAATTAGTTACTAGCGCATCACCTTAATCTCCCGGCCAAGTTGTCTACTTATTAATCTATAATAACAACCCTTCATCACCAATCTTGTATAAATACCTCAACCATCAAACTTATGCATTCCATCCTACTCTCAACTTCTCACCTCTCCACACCAAGAAAGAAAGCATCAAGAATGGCAATGTTGCCATCATTCATCACACTCCTACTCTTAGCAATGTGGGCATCTCAAGCCACGTCCCGCACGGGGCCGAGCTCGGGAGGGTCCATGGTCGAGAGGCACGTGGAGTGGATGGCACAACACGGGCGCATCTACAAGGACAATGAGGAGAAGGAGAGGCGGTACAAGATCTTCGAGGCGAACGTGGAGTTCATCGAAGAGTTCAACAAGGCGGGGAGGCGAGGATACCGGGTCGGGATCAATGCATTTGCCGATCAAACAAATGAGGAGTTTAAGGCAGCCAGGAATGGACTTAGAGTGAAGAAAGAGTGTGAGGTCACATCATTTAAGTATGAGAATGTAACTTCTTTGCCTGATAGTGTTGATTGGAGGAAGAAAGGAGCTGTCACTCCTGTTAAAGATCAAGGCCAATGTGGTAAGCATTAATTCATATACTCATACATACAAAAAAACTCTTATATACATCCATGCATCCAATTCTTGATCATGGGTGATGCCTACGGTTGTTGTAGGAAGCTGTTGGGCTTTCTCGGCGATCGCCGCGACAGAAGGGATACACGAGCTTTCGAGGAAGAAGCTACTTGCGCTGTCGGAGCAAGAAATTGTGGACTGTGACAGGACAAGCCAAGACAATGGCTGTGAAGGAGGGTACATGGAGGATGCCTTTGCCTTCATAAAGAAGAACAGAGGCATTGCCACAGAAGCCGCATACCCGTACACGGCTGAGGACGGGAACTGCAGCGCGAGCAAAGAGGCTTCCCGGGCTGCCAAGATATCGGGGTTCGAGAAAGTGCCCGCGAACAGCGAGGCTGCGCTGAAGAAGGCCGTGGCGCACCAGCCGGTTTCGGTGTCCATCGATGCAGGGGGTCTCGCCTTCCAGTTCTATTCAAGCGGGGTGTTTGACGGGGAGTGCGGGACGGATCTTGATCATGGGGTGACGGCTGTCGGGTACGGGGAGACGAGTGATGGTACTGAGTATTGGCTGGTGAAGAATTCTTGGGGAAGTAGCTGGGGAGAGATGGGGTATGTGAGGATGAAGAGGGATGTTGAGGCTAAACAAGGACTTTGTGGGATTGCTATGGATTCTTCATACCCTCTTGCCTGATCATCTGATCATCATCAAATCCAGCAAAGAATATTATGAATATGTATATATGTATATGTGGAATCTACTGTATTATATGAAATGAATGCAATGCAATGCAAGATGCAGATATGCAGTTTCTTCTTCCTTAGAGTGGTTTACATATTACATTACAAGAGGAATTGAAGATAGATGATGATGGATGAACGCAACTCTTTAACTTATTTGAGGAATTGAACTTAGACTTGGATTTCAATGGACCATCTGTACATCTCCTCTACCGGCACCGGAATGGAGAGAGTCGCCAGGCCAGTTGTAGCTTCGTAGTCGAAGGTAGTCGCAGTGTTGTCGACAATGCACTTCAGAGGGGACTGAGTACAGTAAAATCCGAACCGGCCACATCCTCGGGCCTTGATAGTTATGGTTGCGGATGGGGATCGGTTCTGAGCTGAGTTTTCTGATTCAGGGCTGCTGTTGTAGTGCTCGACAGCGCCGCCGGAGTTGAACATGTCGAGTAGTCCGATGGTGGCGAAGGAAATGTTTGCTGTGATTTTCTGCATTGAGAAAAACATCATAATGAATATGATTACCATTGCATTGCAGTTAAAGTCTAGTTGAGATGATGAATGGATGGCATTGTGTGCGAAAACTGAAAACTGAAAACTGAAAACGTCCGATTTTCCCTGGGAAACTCCTAATGAATATCAGATCGTCGTTGGTCCTTATGAAAACACTTTACCTTCAGAGGACAAATGTGGAAGAGTTCATACTCAAGAACCTTAAGAGTGACAGGAAGTGAAGCGCCTCTAGGAAGGCGAAGAACCTCCCCGGAGCGATGAGCGTAGACTACAGCCTCGCCGTCCCAATCTGCTCCTGCGATTTGGGTTACACAGTCGACGTCTGCTGCCTGGACAGAGCTGGTGAGGGTGCCCGGGGAAGCATCATGAATGCGTGTCTTCTTTTCGACGCGGCACCAGCCGGCGCCTTGGCAGTTGAAGACACCTACCACGCCGGAACACTTGTTGGCATTCCATATCTTGAGCAAGCTGCAAATGATTGTTAGAACGAACTTAGAGCATTGTGATCATGAAAGTGGATTAGAAGATAAAATCAAGTTTACTGACGTTGCTCCATCTCTGGCTGGATCGACAAAGAGACAATCGACAGTAGGCCGGCCGGGGAGCTGTGCTCGAAGAACAGAGCCATCAGGAAGAACCAGTTTTTTCAGCAGATCAAAGTTGTGGTTCCCTGGCTTGTCACTAAAAGTAAAGATTACTTAAAAACGTTACATGAATGAATCTGAAGAACAAAATGGAGATGCAAATTACCTGACATAAATTGCACATCCTCCTACAGCTCGAGCTGCAGCATGATACTCAGCAGTCGGGTGCAGGCTCTGCGTCAAGGATCAAACTCATTATGTTTATTTTTTTTTTCATTTATCTAAAGAGAATGTATGTATGTGTTAAAAGGGAAGAATGGGAAAAGGAAAAACTCACATGGAACATATCCCAATCAGGTTGCATGAATTCACCTAAGAAAAATGTGTTATAGGCAACTGAAGAAATGTGGATGGTGTGGGAAGCAGGATCCCGGGGGTAGTAATCATCGGAAGCTCGAACTACTGCAGTCTGTTTGGCGCTGTAGATTCCATCAGTGTTATGACACATGCAGGAAATGCATCCGTTGTCATGAAAATTGCGAGCTATGGAAGCTTCAAGGGCCTGGTGGTAGCTACGGGTGAGGGAAACTCTTCCGCCATGGCCGGCGCCGAGAGTTTCTATGATGTTCTGCACGTCGACTTTGACTCCATCGATTCCACAGGAGGCAAGATAGGCGTGAAGCTCGTTGTAGAAATTGAAGACCTTCTTAGGGTGCACCAGGCCTAGGCCATGGACAGCGAGGCTGTCCATGACGATGTCTGGCTGGTTTCCTAGCACGCCGGGAGATTGCAAGGGGTATGCCAAGGCAGTGTCGTAGTGTTCCATGCCCCGACCTGCAGGCTGTACGCCGCCCCAGTAACCGGCTAGAGCGTGCCATGCGTAGACATATCTGAATACAGTAGATTATTATTAGTCATAAATAGACAATGTAGGAAGAAGTTTGTAATAAGTTGGTAGAAGAAGACAAAGTTAGAGGACTGACTTGACATTGTGGCTCTTCTTAGCTTCTTTTACAACAAGCTTTAGTCCTGATTCTTGTTCGCCATTGTCTCCCTTCTTTTCGAACTTGGCGTTCTCTTTAATTCCTATCAGTCTGTTGGCAAACCTACAAGTTGAAGATGCAAGCATGTTTGGTAAGAATGAACTTCATAGTAACATATAAATAAACTAATTAGTGATCTTACTGAGCTCCTTCTTGCACGACACAGTTCTTGTCTTCTTTGATATCATTGCCAATCTGTTGCCAGCCATCATCGATGATCAAAAAGCGTGGCGGTGTGCCTCCCTCGGACAAGCTGTGTCAGAATATTTATGATTTTATCCATACTCAAATTAATCCAGAGAAAATCCACATTATCATTTTGAATAAGAGAAAGCAATTGTTGTTGGAATATACCTCTTAAGTCCTTGCATGACGCCCTCAGCAGTGACATCAGTGTAGAAAGCATCCCAAGTGCACCAGCCAAACCAGTCAAGAAATGCAGGCAACTAGAAAAAGGCCAAAATGAGTGTATTTATATAAGAAAACTGGGTAATTAAAATTCAGAACATGATCAAATTATAATGTGATCAACAAAACATGGTCTGACCTGTTTCTTCTCCCGGTGATGAAATGTCTGCATGTGTTTCTCAAGAGCTCTGTTTCACAAAGTAGTTTATTTAAAGTCTTTCAGAACCCAATAGCAATTTTTGCAATAGTGAAAGGAATAAAGGCATTACTTGACAGCCTGATTAATAACTTCAAAAGGATTTGTCCCCGCGTGCATGTAAACCAGGTGATGTCCTTGGTTAGTTTCAACAGCAATATCCCCTGCAACAAAATGGAGGTAAATGCACATCAAAGTCTTTCTCTTCATATGGTTAAATCCAACTGGTTTTCATGGCTAGAAAGAATAAAAAAAAAAAACTACTCACCACTTTCAAGGCAGATCTCCATCTCATTCTTCTCATTGCCCTGGAGAACAGCACGGAACTGCCCTTCAAGGACAGGCAGGAAAACAGTGTAGATGATGGGGGCGTCTTCAAGCTCTCCTTCAGTTATGTCTTTGCTCTCAATCAGCATGAATTGAGTCTCCAGTGGAATATCCTTTCCACATCTTCCCATTCTTTGAGTCATCCACCACAGCTTGAAACGAAATAAACACATGAACCGGACATCCCTGCCGATGAGCACTACTTTGATTAGATTATTGACAATATCTCTTATAATAGGAAAAGGTCATGAATTATCAAATAAGCACGTTTTATTAGTGTAGTACTTACTCCAAGACCCCAACTGGGAAAACATGCAAGCTTTTGCTATGAGAAGCAGTGGCACCGATGAATGCACCCGTGACAAGGCCTACACCTGATCCTGGAGTGAGAACAATGTTATCAGGAACTCCAGTAAGTATGGTTTTCCCATGAACCACAAGGTTTCCGTCGTTGACCGAAATCTTTGGTGTAACTGTCATTGTCGCACGTTATTTAGGACTTCTTGAGAATTCACCCTGAACACAAACAAAATATGATTTAGAAATCAATCCAGCCCATCTTTAAGCATGTTTCTTGGGGAGAACTGAAATCATGATAGCCAAGGTCGGCATAATTTAGATCCGACCTTACTCCCACATTATAAAAAATAACAATATAAAAGTGTTTCATGCTATAAATATTTGTGGGAACGTATAGATCTATAGTAGTTCTTTTCTATATTTATATCATTAAGTTCATCTTTATTGGATAGCACACACATTTATAAATAAAATAATCACCTTTTCTTTTTTTTTTTCTTACGCAATAAGTTGTAGTTTGCATATTATAAAGTGTGTGTATATATATCGTCCACACAATACCAAGAAAGCACAATCAACTATCAAACTAGGTGCATAACCATTCTAAACTTAATCTGGATAATGTGACAAACTCCAGGAAAAGTAGGGAATCAACAAACCAAAAAGAATCGATCAAAACAGTGTTATAATTCCCAAAAAGAGAAGCAATCTTTGGACTACAACTCCGACATCGAGATCTGTAGATCCAAATTTTATCTTTTACAGAAAGCATTGCCCAAAATTTTCTCTCTCTCTCTCTTCTATTTCCCCCTTTTCTCTTTCCGAACACCACACTAATAAAACGAATGTCAGGGAAAAGTGGCAAGTAAACTTTATAATATCGTCACAATTAGATCTAGGATCACTGCAACCCCAAAGTATAAGTAAACTGTAACTAATAAACTATCATGTGATTAAAACTAGCTAAATTTAGTAACCAAACTTAAAAAATGTTGCAAACAAAATTGTAAAAAAATATAAAGATATTGCAAAACTTATTGAAGCATATAACCCTAATAATTGTCCATCTTACTCGGAGATAAATGATTTGACGAGAGATTTCATGGTCAAACAAGTCCAGAAAAATAAAAAATACACACACGGAAGAATTTAATTAATATAAGCTTAATCTAACTTATTAAGTACATCCACCTTGTTGCCTCCATATATATATTCAAGTTCTTCCATCTAATCGAAGTTAAGCACTAGCCACATGCAAGAGCCACGTCTTCCCATCAAGCAATCATGGAATATACCTCAGGATAGATTCATCGAATATAATTAAGCGATTAATATGCAAACGATTCAAATTCACAAGCTCACCAGTCACTGTACTATTCAAAATCACCTCAACATTATCCAAATCTACTAGAACTCCAAATCTCCGCCTCCGAACCTCCACACAAACATAAACTACGAGCACAGTTCATCAAACAAAGCAAAACAGTTAATTAAACCATTACCTGCTCACCGCGCGCGTCGATAAGGCGCTTCGGGAGATCAAAATATCTGATACCAACACTCCCGCTCGTACATGCACATACAAGTACGGAGCTCACGGCAGAGCAGAATGCACTACTAGACAATACGAAATGCAGCCGTTCACGTGAACCAGAGAGAGAGAGTGAAACGCACGCGGATCACGCTCAACACTGAGATGTGAGTTTGAAGAGGAAACCGCTGGGACTTATATAGTGCGTGCCCATGTTACACACCGAACTGATTCCCAGAAAGATGCTCTAAAAAATTGACACGTGTCTAGATCTGCTCGGTGGTTAACCATGGTTATGGCTTGTACTGTCTCCGTCAGAGCTGAGGGCAGTCGTTTGTTGGCTTACTGCTCAGACTGTAGCGGATAGAATCTGTCTATTTTTTATTACTCTTATTAATTAGTATTACGATTCAATATTCATTTTGCATTAAAAATATTAAAGTAAGCAGACAATTATAACTCCTAATTGTGTGTATAAATAAATAAATATATTATTATACAATTATATAATTACGACGCCACTTTAGACATATATCAAAATCTAATCATTTCCATAATTACAAAATCCACAAATTTGCTGACCAGTCTCTTTTCAAACTGCCCAACAAAAAACATTAAAAAACAAAAAATGGGACCTAACTAAAATGCAATTATTCTTGCTTTTATTTATTATGTACATTAATTTTTACCATTAGTTATATAAATATAGATATAAATGGTTGATTGTGAATTAAAGATCATATGGACCAATAAGAATGCTACATTCAATTCATGGAATATATATATATATTTATCGAATAATATAATTGTGTAGTTATAAATTTTTGTTTAAATTTAAGGGTTTGTTTGTTTTATTTTTATCAATTTTCAACTATACAATCTATCATATTTGTTCTTAAAAAATTAAATAATTCAAATTATCAACATTTAATTAATATTTCATTGAAAATATTAAAACTATAACAAAAAGATCAAGGTAATATATTGGATAAATTCACATATTGTATAATTATATAAAATTAATCTTATTCTAAACACTCGACAATATTTATTAAATATAATTGCTAAAATTAATTAATTAGTTATCAATTTAACCTAATTAATAAATTTGGGTTTTATTTACACGCTTATTTATTAAAAATTTTGATAGTATTCATCAATAATAATTTTTTTTAAAAAAAGATTATATCAAATACATATATTTACTTTCACAAAAATATACTCCATTAAGTATTCAAGTTTTTATTATATTTATTTTTTAAAAATATAAAAAATATATGGGTCTAAATTTGATGTCCAGATATAGGAGGGAATGAAAATCATCCACGTGTGATAACTTGATTAAGAGACCTATCACATGTAGCCACGTGTCTTCTTCTTCCTGAAAGGTGGGTGGCTTGGGACTACTATTTTTCGCAAAGCTACCATGGTACAACCCTTGAATGCACGACAATTGGCTGGTGCACAAACCAGAATCTGCTACGTTAGGCATTGGAGAATATTGTCACATTATTTAACTATTTGGCCAATAAATTACCAATCTTAATATATTTATTGAAATTATGCTAGAGAATTTGGGGTATATGATCATTTGTTTTTTTAGATATTTTTTCGAGCTATTTTACATATTGTAAATTTTAAAAATAATATCTAATAAAATAAGTATTAATATAATATTTTAAAGAAAAAATTGTATAGTATAAGGTATTTTATAAATATTAAAAAATAATTATGATATACATAGTTAGAAAATGAAAAAACAAATAAAAAAGAATACCAGATGACTATTGCAATGTCACGTGCATCTTGCATGCCTAACTTAGTCGGCTACCATTACTTTCGAAGTCAAATTAATAGAAATGACACAACATAAAATATTTACAATAGATCATTAATATAAATTGTTAAAATAAACTTATAGAGTTGTCATTTTTTTAGTAAGTGGTAAAAATAGGGTAACATAATTTTGTTTTAATCATGAAATTCTTGCCATATAAATTTCATGAAACGTCAACGTGGGATTTATTAAAATGTGTTTTGAAAATATTTTGACAGTTTATATTTTATTAATAATAATAATAATAATAAAAATTAACGTTAGATATCATATTTTGAATAGAACCATGTAATGTTTAAATATAAATGAAATTTATTTATTTTTAAATTTTTTAAAATGGTACAAAAATATTTTAAGGTAAAAAAATAAAAACCAGATCATGGTGTATAATGGAATGACTATATAAATAAATAAAATTTAAAGGCTTGTGGTTGCTTTTAATTTCTTTAACAATTTACATAATATATACTATTATCAATAATTATTTTTTTTCCAAAAGTATACCAAAATACTATTTTTTAATAATATTTGTTCTCAATAACTAAAAATAAAATTCAAAAAACATAATCTAAATACCATAACAAAACAACCTATATAAGTGTATGCATGTGAATTATTCCTCAACTTTAATTGCAGTCCACAATATTCATGACTATAGTCATAGATGTTCAAAAAATACATATATTCAAGTATGTATAAAATAATAATTTAAATTATTTAATTTAGTGAAACGATGTGGATTTGACATCTTAAATTTGGTGTTCGAGAGAGAAATATTTAAAATTATTGTTGTTATACTTTATCATGTCCCATCAATTTTTTATTTGATCATAATTTAAAATTTTTGTTATATTTTAAAATATCAAAGTACAATTCAGCACATAATTATACATTTTTGCATATAGACATAAATAAATGACATGTTAAATACTCCCCCCATCCATTAAAATTAATCCTTTTGAGTTTGACATAGAAATTTAAAAAAAAATGAATATTTTATTGAAATAATAATAAGTAGTTGAGGGTATTTTTGAAAATTTAAAATAAATGAAGAGAGATAATGTAATAAAGTTAATGATATTTGTTGTAAATAAGTGTTGAATGGAGGGTAATAATTAAATATTGATTTGTTGACTTTGCCAAAATTAGTAATTGGATAAATTCAGTGGACGGATTAAAAAAAGTGAGAATAAATTTGGCGGACGAAAGGAGTATATATTAGTATTTTTTAAATAAAATATCAAAAACTTTTTTTAATTTAAATTTTGATCTCTTTTTAGATTGATCTTAATAAACCACCATCCAAACCGATCCGTAATAAGAATATTATAATTGAAAAATCGAACATCCAAATAAAGTAATAAACAATTGATTTTATTATAATTTTAATAGATGAAATAATTTGGACCCAAAACAAGAATGGGACACTACCAAGTTACTTTAGGTTCGATTTGTCAATTTATCGTAGAAATTGGCAAAGAATATTGCTTACAAACACACACATAAAAATAAAATTACTAGTGCATACAAACAACAAGTGTTTTAGGGATGGATAGACCAACATGTACTAATGTTTTTAACTTTTAAAGTCGCATATTTTGATGAAATTAATAAAATTAAATTATTTAACAATACTTGCTAGCTCTATACCAAAAGTACTTTTAACGTGCAAAGTCGTAATTAAGTGTGCATACATTTTTTGTCATATTAAGAATATATATATATATATATGTATATATTATAGATTGTCAAACATCAACTACCATTATTTGGAGTTAAATAATTATCAATGAGATCGAGACAATTCTTTAATTTCAAAGCACATATTGCTAACCTAAAAACTTGAAATTTTATATGGATGATAGTTTTCGTTATCAAAGTATTTTTTTTTCTTTAGTAAAACAGTAATCAACCCCCAAGAAACAATGGTTGTTGATATTGACAAGGATATAAGTATTTTCTAAAATTTGTAAGTATAATTACATTTATTTGTACTCTTATGCCATGTTAACTTTGAATCACTCTTATTACTAATTTTAAAAAAGTTAAAAATTGAATATTTAATTATTACCCTTCATTCAATACTTATTTACAACAAATATTATTATATTTATTATATTCATTCTCTTCATTTGCTTTAATTTCTAACTAAATTTTTAAAAATATTTCTAATTAATTTTTTCGATAAAATATTTATTTTTCTTAATTTCACTATTGGGCTCCGCTCGGACATGGTCGGCCCATTACTAAAGCCAAGCCTCCAATTAAGAAAAAAGCCCAGTTACAAATATTAAATAAAACTAGAGCGATCGACATTCTAGATTGGACAATATATTTGTATCTTTTATTTACTAGTATTTTTACTCTAGATGACGTATGGTTTTGGGCCAAAGCAGACCAGCCGGTTTCCGGTTCGGCCCGGACCACAACTTGAGTGAAACTTGATTTCGAATTAAATTTTGTTTTTGAGATTTCTTACTCAACAAAACTACCTCAAGCTCTATTCGAGAAGAAAAACATATATAATAATAAATAAGTAAAGTTCTATTCAGGTAATAAATATATAATATAAAGCTCTATTCGGGTAAGTTCCGAAACAAATATTTTATCTTCAAATGCATTTTCAGAAGTTTTGCATTATTTATAGAACAATATTTTCTAAAAATATATATTACTTCAATTATCGTATTAATTTGGAAAAATTAATATTTTTTTTTTACTTTTTCAAACTATGCAAATAAAAAAGTACAAATATTATATATTGTTTATTTCATATAGCATATGATGAGTGAAATAAAAATATGTGATATGTTTGATTTGTATTTAAATTTAAATTAAATATTATATTAATATAATTTTATTTAAAAATAATATTACTTCCGTCCCACATTGAGCGAATTTATTTAGAAACTCCTATTTTGAGAATTCAAATACGAGAATATATTAGTAGATTGTTAAAAATATATTAATAAAAATAATTAATTTATAATATAAATTATTATATATTAAAATTAAGATACTAATTAGTTTAATTAAAATTTAAAAAAAAATAAATTTAAATTGACATTAAGACTTGGGTTTTTTTTAGTAATTATCTACGTAACATTACAAATATGTTCCAATTTACAATATATTATATAAATGTTTTTACATTTATTTCTACTTTATTCCAATATAATACTAATATTTTTAAAACTCCTCGCAAAAAACAAATGAATATATAGATATGGGACGGAGTGAGTTTATATTTATAAAGAAACGTCTTTTATTTATAAAATAATATCATTTAATTATTTTATTTAAAATATATAATATTAAAAAGATTAAAATCACGTTTTACTTGTGAGGTTTTAGTTTTAGGTTTTGATTTTGAATAGTAAAATTTTTAATTGAAATAGTTGTTTGATGTGATATTTTGAATGTAAAATTAAATTTTAGAGTAGTAAAATAAATAAAAATTAAGTATTTAATTTGATATTTTTTTAAAAAAAAATTAAAATAGTAAAATCGTAAAACCGCACAAATAAACACACATTCTATGTATTAAGACAGCCACCTGGGAAGGTTGGTTTGTCTTTTCAGGAAAAGTAAAAGGAATAAATAAAAAATAAAAAGTAAATTGGTAGAATTAACAAACCCATTATCAGTGGGAAAATGTGTTGGAATAATCAAGGTGTGTTGTTTGTATTCATTTTCTATTGTTTATTATACAATATATATATATTTTTTAAAAAATAATTATATATGATATTTATTTTCTCTTATATTAAATATTTATTTTTTACTCTATACATTTACCTTAACTCCTTTCTTTCTCACAAAGTAACAAACATTTCTCTACGATTATTTTATTTTGTAAAAATATTAACAAGCAAAACATTTTATTGAAACTACCTATGTTAATTTGTTTCGTGAAATAGTTTGAATATATTTTTTTTAATATAAAATATAAATTTTTTTATAAATAATATAAAAATAATAAATGTATATAATATATTAATTTTTTAAAAAAGAATATGTAGGAAATTTTTCACAAAAAGAATACATCAACAAATCTCCTAAACAAACCCCTTTTCTAAAATTAAATAAAAATCAATTGTTTTTTATTTTCTTATATATAAAAAATCAAATCAAATGATTGAACATAGCTTGTGTTCTTTTTCAGCTAAACCTTTTTTTTATTATTATTTTTAAAAAATAATAGTTTGAACATGAAAATATAAAAATAAAAATACCTAAATAAAATTTGTAATTATTACATGTTAAAAATATAAATACAAGTAAAAAACACACCATATGCGTCCCTTTTATTTTATTTTTTTAAGTATTTTTAATAATTACTCTTATCTTTCACTAAACAAAACAATCTTCCAATCAAATACCAAACACCTGTTATATATGTCACAATATTATAACTATACCCAAACCACATAAAATTATTAATAAATTATAAATATATATATATACATATAATAAAAGTTATATGGACAGATGTCATATTCCACCTCCATCTAATAAATAATCTCTCACTATGAAATGTCATTATTCTTCTTTTTTAAATTCCAATATAAAAAAGCAAATGGATTTCGACTTTTGTGTTACAATAAAATTATATATACACACTTTTACGTTTATGGATGAAAAAAAAAATAATTAAGTACAAAGTTCACTGTCTGTCTTTGTAATTTGCATTTTTTTTTTATTACATTTTTCTAACATTCAACTTTCATTTAACAAAAACTAATTATAAAAATAAATTATATATTCCAACAATATATGAAATTCAACATTATTTTAACTAAATAAAATAAAACTCAAAATCGAAACCCAAACAATATACAGAAAAAGACACACCACATAATAGTTTTTTTTTAATATATATATATATATATATTATATATCAATATCCTTAAGATTAAACAAGTGATAATATATACTACATCAATATGTAAGTTCAGCTTACTTTCATATTTTATTTTCACTTATATATATAACTACAAAGTAATACACCCATAAGTTTTAAAAAATAAATCAACCTTTCCGCAAACTAGATATTGTTAATTTATTAATATTATAATTATTTAGTTTGCATTTTCTATTAATTAATATTCAAAATAATATGGTCCATTTGTTTTTATTTTAGTTATATATAAATATCATACTAAATACTCAATTTTTTTTTTTTATTATTTTTTCAAAGTTTGATATTATTGAAAAAATTTAAAATACTAAAGCATTTTCAAAATATAAGTAAACCAATTAACTAATATATCTAATTTATTGGAAGTTCGAAAGGGTATGATGCAAACCATTCGAATTCAAATTTGTTGACGGTAATAATAAATAAATATAAAATCTGGGCAATGATATCTAATCGAATGAATTATCTTTTATTTAATAATAATAATAATAGAATGAAAAAAAAATAAACAAACAAACAAAACAGAGCATCAAAAGATATATAGTATTCAGACATGAGAATTTTGGTGGATAGTATCAAATTGGATAATTTGATAATTAAGTAATATAATAAATATATATATATTTATGTGAATGATATGATAAAATAAAATATAAAAAAGAGATTAAATACATTAAATTATTTTTTATTTTAAAAATATTTAAGAGTATTTAAGACATATCAAGAAAATATTAGTATTTAAGAAGGAAGGAGGAAGGAGTAACGTATACTTCCCTCTCCCTTAATAATTTATCTATTTTTTTTATTTTGATCAATCTAATAATAAAATATCAAATTTTTTTTATTAATTGTACTATCTACTTAAAATTACAAATACCCTTCTAATTTACAATATATTATATAAATATTATTACCTTTATATTATATAATACTAATAAAAAAAATTTAATTTTTTTATTTTTATTTTTATTTTATCACAATATAATATTAATATTTTTAAAACTTAAAAAAAAATATATAAATATAAAAAAGGAGGGAATATTAATATATTTATGTTGATAATGTTGATTATTAATATTGCATGTGACGTATGCATTTAGAGCACTATCCGACATCCGCACACGTGTTGGCGATCGAATGGTCGGATATTTGTGGGGCCCATAGAGGTAGCCTCACCCAATAGGAAACTGCCATTCATCAAACAGTGACGCGTGTACAGACCACCACCACTGCGGCACCGTCACCACTAAACCTAATTTCTGGTGGGCCCTATCCTGCTTCAGCCGACACTCCCCAAACAACATTGTATTCAAAAACTTTTGCAATGCACCCCCTCTAAATCATTTCTTATTCCATATTTCCCCTTTAAATTCTCCAATAGAAATTGAACATGAACTCTATCTGTATTAGGGTTTATTATTTCTATTTTATCATGAGCTCTTTTTGTTAAAATAAAAAAAATTGAATATTTGAAATATAAATTTATTTAGGAATACACATTAAATAAATAATCACTATGAGTCATAGTTAATAAAATTTGATCTTAAAAATAGATATATAAAAGATTTGATTGTTAAAAGATAAGATATTTTCTATATAAATATTTTTAATTTTATTTTAATAAGATAAGATATTGTATCAAATACTAATTTTTATCGTATTTATTTATTCTTCAAAACTTCCAAAACTCTAAAATTCCTTATCTAAATAGAGCCTAACTATAGAACATGAGAATTTCGGAATGTTTTCTTTAAATTAGTTGGTTTTTTTTTTATAGGATAATAAATTTATCCCATAAATTTTTAAGAAGTTTACGGTGAAAGGAATTGAATTAGAAGAAAGTTAGAGGACTAAATTGAAAGATCGGAAACAAAATCAGCATTTTGCCAATATCTAGGCAACTGCCTTATTTAGTTTCGCATTGCATGGGTGTGTCACGTGTGGGTCATATGTCTTCAATGAGATTTCTATGGAGCTCCACGGAGCACAAGCCCAATTTAATCCTACCGTTCAGTAGTGGGTGGGCCCCACGATAATTATCGCGTCTGTGATTTGGTGGTGTTGAGGTCCATGGAGCTTTTGAAAATAACACTTCCTGTTCTTGAGTGAATATATAGACTGGTTTAGGTTAATGATTAGTCTCTTTCCTTCTTCACCGATTTTTTGTCGTCACTGAAGAAAACACACAACGGAGGCGCGAACTGCTACTGCGGAATTCCTTTGAGGTAATGGGAGATCAAAGGGCTTTGATTGCGTACAACAATGGCGGAAGGAGCGGGAGTTTTAGTGAAGAAGATAATCGCAGTCATCGAGATGACGATTCTCCAATAATCAGGGACATCCATGCCCTAACTCCGCCGCGGGCGCCGCGACCGCAGAGGGAAGCTTGGGAGACGAATAGCCGCCGATCATCGAACCTATCCATGGCGTCGTCCGAGAATTTCTCGACTATGAGTCGGGAATTCAGCGCTCTGGTCCTCGCCGGATCCACAATCGGCGGTACGGAGCATGAATCTGGCTCGAATAATTTGGGGAGAATTAGGGAGGAGGAGAATTTGCAGGAGGAGACCAATCCCCTGGCGATTGTTCCCGATAACAATCCTTTTCAATCGCCTAGGGCTACCAACCCTGGCGGCGGCGGAAGTGAGGGAATGACTCTCGCTACCGTTAACGGAAACGGAAATCACAACGGCGGCGACGTTTCCGTTCAGCAAGTGAAGAAAGAGGAGGTGGAATCGAAGATAAACGCTTGGCAGAACGCTAAAATTGCTAAAATCAACAACCGATTCAAGCGTGAGGATGCGGTTATCAATGGTTGGGAGGGGGAACAGGTCCAGAAGGCATCCTCTTGGATGAAGAAAATCGAGGTAATCCCAACACATATGCACTAACTAACAAACAATTTAATTTCTTCATTATGTCAAAGTTTAGTGTTGATTTTGGAATTAGCTCTGCAGTCTGTTGATTTGATCATATCCTGCTTAGCTTAGTTCCTGCATTCATACTTTCTGATGATGCTCCGATGCTATCTATCTGTGTGCTAAATTTATGATCATCTGAGGAACAGAGATGATAATCCCCTTAATTCTTGAACATGATCATATCTCTAATTGTTTGCATCAAGCAGAAGCTTAATTGAATTGAAGTAGATAGATGAATTGTTTGCCTGATAGATGGATAATCTTATTGTTCAATCCTTATTATTACCATCATCTTATTTGATTGATTGACGCTATGGATAATCTCATGGAACACATAATCTTCTGTCGGGTGCGTGTACGTGTAGAGAAAGCTGGAGGAGAAAAGGGCAAAGGCATATGAGAAAATGCAGAACGACATAGCAAAAGCCCACCGCAAGGCGGAGGAAAGGCGAGCTTCTGCCGAGGCCAAGAGGGGCACAAAAGTGGCCAAAGTTGTTGAAATATCCAACTTGATGAGGGCCGTCGGGCGGCCTCCCATGAAGCGCTCTTTCTTTTGATTGAAAGAAATCGAATCCCTCAGAGGAACGCCAAAACTATTGGTAATATGTAAATATTACTTGCAGAAGAAGAGATGATCATCATCAACAGCAATAAGTTTGCTGATATGATATGGATGTGTGGTGCATGAGGAAATCCCTTTTACTTTTTGAACCTTTAAGGGACTATAACTATGATCATCCTTTCTATTCTAAGTGTGGATTTTGAGATATAGATAGATTATGAAGTATATATATATATATATAGAGAGAGAGAGAGAGAGGATATTTGTGTGTGTGATGAAATTGAGGGATCAAGAATTACTGTGTGTATGACAAAGGGTGTGCCATTTTTTGTGTTCTGAGGAACTTAAGACATGGATTGTTGCCATCTTTAATGATGCAATTACAACATGTTACATGTGTTAGTGTGAGAATTGACAGTGGTGCTTTTACTTTACTAGTGAAACTTTTACTGTACTATTATTATTTATAAGGAATCGAATTTCGCATAGATGTCTTTTGAATGTGTTATGTTTGATACTATAACAATTTTATTGATTTATTATATAAATAAATATTTATTATATTTTAAAGAAATGTTGAATTGAGTTGAATGAAAATAGGAAAAGAATGGGGTATTCAATTCTGTAAAATTAATACGAGGGTGGATATAGAGATCATTTGCGTGTAAATTTTTTGTCCCCTTTTTTTTTAAATAATGGATGTGTGATATAAACAGCTTACCAAAACTGAGCTGACCATAATCAGACAGACGACAGGTGCGACTTATCAATTTTTAAAAATGGTTCCTTGTGTGTAATGCTTTAATTAAATCCTTAAGATGTTTAGATATGTGTAGTTTACAATACACATCCACATAAATATCTACTACGTCTTTATCCTTCTTTTTTTAGAGATCATCCTCGTAATAAAATGCTCCCTTCGGTGGCCAACACTAATTTTATGTAGTAATACTAATACAAATTCAAAAAAAATTATAATGTGTAGTAAGACGGGATTGGGAATATAGTATTTGTGTTTACATGGAAGAAGGTGGTAAAACTTGCAACTTAACACGAAATTATCTTCACATTAAAAAAAAAAAATATATATATATATATATATACATATACAACCTAAAAATTCCATAGCTCTATTTATTTCTATCTAGTAAAATTGTATATTAAAATATTTATTATTTTTAAAATTTTCAAAACTAAAAAAAAAAAAAAAAAAAAACCCTTCTATTTAATTAAAGGAGACCTATATGTTCTATTAAAAAAAAAAAATCAAATTAAACAAACCAAAAGTATTTTAAATAATAGCTTTTGACTGACATGATTATAATCAATTTCTATTTTCTCGAATTAATGCAAATTTAATTGCATGCAAACCTAGCAACAATCGCCAAGTAATAATAACATTGAGAAATTTCAAAAAGTAGGATGGAAAATGATGACCAGCGTGACATTACTTATGTATATATATATATATATACATATATTATGTACACAAATACGAAATTCTTACAATGCCATGCCATGCGACGCCGGCCAGTCAGTCGGACAAGAACCCTTTCCACTGGAAGAACTCGACGCCCTTGTTCTCCTCAAGCGACACCTCCTCCTGGCTCATCCCCGGTGGCCGCGCATCCGACTCCAACGAGGACCGGCCACCAGAATCCTTGCCAGCGCCATTATTGCACTCGTCGTTGCTGTTGCTGTTGCTGTTCTTCTTTGTGTTGATGAATCGACCCCCGCATCCTCTGGCCCGTCTCACGGCGTGTAAATGCCGCGATTCATGGAGATAAGGCTGCCGGCATTGTGTTGTTAAGAATATCATTTTGTAGATAATAAAATTTTATTTACCAGATAGATAACCTTTCTGATTCTTGAAACTTTGTTTTCCAACTCTGCCTTCGTGCGCAGCTGCCGTCTCCTTAGAATCCCGTGGTATTGCTTTGCGTTCACGTACACCGGCTCCTCCGGAAACACCATGGACGGCGACGGAGTCACTCCGTGATCAACGGGCGCGCCACATTGTACGGCAGGATACATCTCCACATATACACATATGTTAGAGACACTTTTAATACTATTTATCTATAGTAATTTTTTCAAAAACATCACGACAAATACTAAGTTTTTACTATTTTCAAATTTTTTAAAAAATTCTGTCTAAACGGAGCCAAAAATGTATAATTGTATTGGAGATTGGAAAACATGGGTGGGGAATGTATACCAACTGTGGTTGACTAGTATTCGACGGAGCACCATCCCTGAGAGGCAGTTCGATGCAAGAATACGAGTAGACTGCCTGAAACAGAACGACACCGATAATCGAATCGATGTTTTGTTCATCAAGATGAATATATAACTGTTTTTTCTTACATCCGAGGTTGCAATATGATCTTGTCGAGGTTCTTGCATCAAATATTGGCCGATTGCTCGAGCCGGTGCCATCGATGATGCGAGGATTTCTTGCTCTTGTCTCCGCTCTGCGAGTAAAATAAAAACTCCTCTGGCTCACGGGGCAAAAGGCGCAAATATTCGGAGAAAAACAATCAAGGAAACTTATCATGAATCAATAATCATGGTACCAAAATGTAAGGAAATAGTGATAGAACCTGAATCTGTGGATACAAAGCTCTGTATATAGCTGGATTCTGATTCGGAAACTACACTTCCCCAATATGTATTCAGGAGATCGATAGACATCAAACCTGTTTGGTTACTCGACCGCGCAAAATTGTCGCGGCTACTATAACGGCATCGCAAACCATCTCTGAGTAAATTATGGCCTTTGGCATCGAGTTCTTCCTGCTCGCATTTATTGTGATGGTGTTGCATTAGGCCTGCTGCTACTGCTGCTCCATTGTAAGAAAGAAATTGAAAATAAAGATCTTAGTTGAGTCCCGTTTGTAAATAAGTAAATAAATTATATGTATTCAAACAACTTAAACTTTAATCTTTTAGGTGAAATGAGCATTGATATCATCTAATAAAAATATCGCAATATAAGCCGATGCAATATCAAACATCAGTGTATTGCATTATTACACTAAAAACATATGTTCTAGATTTAGAATGTGTACTTTCTGGGGATTTATTTTGAATTTTGAATTTATTATTATTATTTTTTTAAAAATGGTAGATTTAATGTGATAATATATAAGAATAAAAAAAAAAATGATTGCATGGTAAATAAATTGGGAAAAAATTTATACTGACTGACTGCAAAAATGATTGTTTTTTCTTTCACTCATTGTGGAATCACATCAACATGTGATAGTTCCTACAAAATACCCATGCATATGTCCTTAAAATTGAAGCAAACATTTAATAATAATAATAATAATAATAATAATAATACACCGTAGACAATAATTGCTAAAGAAAACCGTCTCTATTAATAATTTGGCTCACATCGCTTCTATTATTATATATTTCTTGATGGCTATTGTTTACAACATAAAAATTATTGACAAAGAGCATATGAAATGAAATATAAATAAGCAATACATTGACAAAGAGTATATCTAATATTCCCTCCCCTCAAATCAAAGGATTTTTTTTTTTTTTTTTTGAGTTTATAGTAAATTAAGAAATAATACTAATATTTTATTAGCTAAATTTTTTTTTGACAATTTTGTCTTTTGATTTTTTTTATGTAAAGTAATTGTACATGTAATTTAAGTGAAAGTCAAAAGGTGTTTTAGTATTAATATATGATTATTTTTTTTTAAAATAGAAAATAAATACTTTTAAGTAAAACAGACGAAAATGATAAAAAAAATATTTTAAATTAGAACGGAGAGATTATAAATACACATATTTGCAGCCTACAATAATAATTTACACAATACCAACAGTCAATAATTTTAGCACAAGATATATTCATTGAATACACCACACATCATTTAAATAACACATGCTTGTAAATTAAAATTATATGTTGTATGTTAATAATTTTTCTACATTAGAAAATAAAATAATTCAATAGACAACACCCTAATTGAAGAATGAATTCATAAATTCCAACAAGTTTTTATATATTCATCAAAATAAATCAATCTTAGCCTTTCTTTATTAAGCACCTGATGATGATCTAATTACAGACAAAATATATATATATATATATATATATCTTCAACTTGATCCCTTCAAATTTGCTATTTTTTAGTACGTGGACTTTAACAAACATATTCATCATAAGCCAATAGCATTAACCATATTATCTCAACCATAACTCCCAAACGATCATCTAAACAAAACAGAAGGCCTAAACCAACAAGACGAGAGAACACCAAAAATGAAAATCAAAAGCAGTAATCAATAATGATACCAAACAGGAGTTTTACAGTTCAGAATCAAAGATTGAAGACAGGCAGCCATACACCAGTGACTGTATACTGACAAACTAACTACCAACCAAAAAACAATCGAAATGAAGAAGAAATAGAAATTTAAACCTGAGAAGGAAGGCAGTCATTCGTTGGATCGTCAGATTATTTCTCTTGGCTGAGAAGTGGAGAGGTGAATGCAACTATCATATATAAATGATTCGGCAGATGGATGGATGGATATATAGAACTGTAGAAGAGAGACTGTGGGAGGGGGGTGCGTGTCCTCCGATGATGAGCGAATTTTCAAATTCGAAACTTCATTGTCTGCTTTTATCTCGTCGTCATCATCGTCGCCATCATCATTATCATCCGAGATAGCGATGCACTCCATCGATCTCCATTACAAATGCGGCTGGGAATAATTTAATCCTTCATGGCGCAAATTAGGGCACAGAACTACCCCCTATTTTGCCCTAAATGACTTCCCTCTCCTCCTTGCTCTTTTCTTAATTTATGAGTATTTATAAATATAGTGGTGATTTTTTCTTTTTTATGCCGTTTTAAAATTAAAATTAATATTATTTATAAAAATTTATCATATTAAAATGCTAGTTAAATAATTTATAAAAATCAAAGTTGGTCTTATTGAAATAGCAAATTATCGATTTTGCTTCGAATGTAAAAAGTTATTTATTTTAGTCTTTTTATAAATATTCTAGTTACATACGATATTACAGTAGAAAAATGAATAGAAAAATGAATGGATCTTGCTAATGTGAATATAATGAAATTTGATGTGACATCTAATTTAAGACTTAATAAGACCGTTCATCCAAACATCGCTCTATTTAATAGCACACTTTTACTCATTTAATAGCACACTTTTACTCAGCACTATTCATTTTTAAAAAAATATGACATTAAATATATATATATATATTTTTTACAAAATATTAAATCAAATACTAATTTTTTATTTTCTTTAACTTTCAAATTTTCAAAAACTTCCAAAAACCCCTATCTAAACAAACCCATATTTTTTTTAAAAAAAAAAAATTAAAATATATTTTATACTCACTTCATCTCGTTGGAAGAGTGGCGTTTATTTTTTGCATATAGATTTTTTAATATTAATATTATATTAAATTATAGTAAAAAAGATGAAAAATACCCTTGTTAGTATGGTGTAATACAAAAGTAATGACATTTGTGTAATATATTGTAAGTTGAAAAAATATTTATTATGTTAAATAGGTAGTACAATTACTAAATTAGAAAATGGTAACCTTTGTTTTTGGGAGGAACGAAAATAGAAAATAATAACTTTTAATGGACGGAGGAAGTAATAAAATAAATTGTTCTAATTTTTTAAAAAAATAAAAAATATATATAAAAGAAAGAATGCCAAAAAAAATGGAAGGGGGCAAATTCGTAATAGCACGTCCGAAGCGAACAGAAAATTAAAACGCTATAGATTTGGGGGACCCACAAAAAGCTCAACGTGTCCAATGTAGGTCCCACAGAGAAGATAAAAAAGGCCACGTGTTGAGATGACTCAACGGCGTTACGACACTGTCCGGCCGTTAGGTGGCATATTAGGCGGCTATTTCCTCCCCGGGCACCAAAACGACGTCGCATGCGCGCATCGGGAACTTTACACGCGTCCATCATGACAAATTATGGCCACTTATTTTTGCCCAAAGGTTAAATAAATAAATAAATAACACTAATGACAAAATAACAATACTTTATATATATATGGTTAGCTAGCTTAGCTATGCCCCCAAGACAAATAATTGAAGATTAGAGTTTAGAGATTAGTGATGTAGTAAAATAATAATTATTATTACTATTATGGATTTTATTGCAGATTAGTCCCCCCCAAAAGAAATTATTAATAAATTAAAAATGTGTCACATCCATGGATAAGATTTAGGAGCCAAATCTAGTATATTTCCCACGATGAAAAAACTTGCCATCTGTCTCTTTCTAGAGTTAACGATTGGTTGGTTGAGAAGGTAGGAATAACTTATAAGTAGCTTTAATAATCTTGCATAATTAAATAAATAATTACATATAATAGTTATATGAATTCTCGATTTAAGTGGATAATTACAAGTTCAAGTTTCATTAAAAAGCATGAAAAAATCACTTAAGGTTATTTGTTTGTGTGATTAATTAGTATCTACGGTTTAATTAAACAAAATTCTACAAACAAATCAATTTTATCAGAACGAATCAGGTGCTGAAATTGAAGTTTTAGCACCTGTGCTGAAACACTTCAAAATTTTATTATATGATTTAGTTTATTAAATCATATAATTAATATAATTACACAAATTAAGATGTAAGTGTTCAGCATTGTGCTGAAAATATTTTCAGCATTTGATCCAATCTGTAATTTTATTAAATAATTAACTATAGAAATTTTAGATATCGATCTTAGCAAGTGTGAAAATGAATTGCATAAAAAAAACTTACACAAAAACATTTCTTGCATATTTTTACTAAAATAGAGATATATATAATAAACACAACTTTACATATTGTTAGAGAAATAATCCTTTTGACGATAGAAATTGATAACAAGTACAAAACAAATTTCACTGATTAAATTGATTTGCTTGGAAATTTTACCATATTTTGACTATTATAAATATCTCGGTTTTGATTCAATATACCTAAGATTGTATCATGATAACAAAAATAAATAAATAAAACTGGATTCAATATGTGAACATGAAACCCTAATAATTGAAAATACCTGAAATATTCACACAACTTATTGTAACCACCAAATTCAGACATGGAACAAACACCAAGAAAAAAAAACACCCCTTCAATTCTAACAACAAAAATATTAACCCTAAACAAGATTTTTGAAGGCACACAAGAAAAATATTTCAATCTCGGGATGATTGAAAAATTGAGTACGTGATCGTTTAACCGAGCAACTTCTCGTTAATTTTCTCTTCTTTGGGGCTGGCGGGCACATCGTGATCTTCAATCTCTTGTCCTTCGGTGTCGAACATTCACTTTGCAAGAATACATCGCTCGCTTTTACTAAACCTTCATCGCAATATTTTTCAAGAAAATTCTCATTTTCATCCTTTGATGATCCCATGTTTGGCCCCTGATCAGATGATACTCTTACAGCCATTTCTTGGTAAGAAACTGTGTGTAAGAATGGAAATGTTGCGCCAAACTTATCGAAATAAATAGCCGCGAAAATGTGTGGATGGTCTTGAAAAAACCCTAGAAACCCTAATAGCTTTTTGGGGTAAAATATTTGTGTGATAATGTAAGCATTGAGACCAAATTCAGATAGAACAAACATGTGAGGTTAAGATTGGGGGATTAGATAATTGAAAAGTTGGAAAAGGTTGTGTAGATCACTACATTACAACTATTACATAACATTCTATCAACTGCTACACTTGAAATATTAATTAAGGTTGTTTGAATTTTACTTCTTTCAATGATTTTTAGATCATGTTTTGATCCTCTCATATATAAAATATATATTCCTTTTGGACTAATTTTATGTTTTAAATGATCTTCTAAAAGCATTCCATGAGCTTTTTCACATTAATTTTGGAGAATATGGGATTTAGTATCTTGGGCTTTTTTGTCTATGGGCCTTCAAGTTTTAGAATATGAAGCCCAAACTACTAATGGCCCACTAAAGGCTTGGTTTACCTTGCACATTCGAAATAACTTGCCGAGTGTTTTTTCTTTTAATTTTAATTTTTTATTTTATTTTCAATTATATATATTTTTCAATAAAAATATATTTTCTTATTTTATAAAATATTTTAAAAAATAAATAAATTCTAAAAGCTTACAAAAACAGAAGAATAGCATTCCAAATTCCAATTAATACAAATAAATAAATAAATCTACTCCTAGGTCCTAGGTCCTAAGTCCTATCTAACCCATTAATGTATAATTCTTTATTTCTTTATGCATATAATGTGGCCCATGCAATCAACATATCATATACCATATGCCCTTCATACTCATAAAACGACAAAACACCCACACTCACAAACATATATATATATATATATATATTATCGGCACATCCCACCTCCAAATCGATATATGAAATTAGATCCTACAAAAAGTAGTTGTCCAAAATCTATCATCCCTTCGTTTTATGACAGCAACACCCAAAACAACCATTTCTTGCCATCTGTCCCATTATTTCATTATCCATAGATTCCTTCATCATATTAATTCTCTCTAACACACATAATTACATATATAATATAATATCATGGATCGATTTTCTAATATATTATGTGCCCGAAAAAAAAAAAAAACTTTATTTAAATCCTTTCAAATTTGAAAACACATTTTAATCAATTTCAATTTGAAAATTTTATAATATGTATGTATTAGTGAATCTTATTAAAAGAATCTTTAGATATATATTAAAAAATGGGCTAGACCTAATCAGGTGTTTGAACTTATAATAAGAATAAAAATTATTAGAAAAATAAAAAATAAAAAACCCACAAAACTTAGTCATGTTAGTAAGTGACCTAAAATGATCTCTTAGCTTACTCGTTTGATTTATAGCTTAGCTAGGTTGATTTACGCACTTAGAATTTGTAAAATAAGAATATGGGACAATATAATTACTTGAAAAGAATCACAAATATTAATTAGTACAACTTTACAAATAAAATAAATTGTTGAAACATGTATATATGCAAGATTAAATCATGCAAACCCAACATTCATTTTTATCCTTCCCAATAGAAAACCCTAATGATCAAATTATATAGTATGTGTTATTTTTATTATAGCAATCGAGTTAGTGCTGCAAAGAATCTTCGATCAATTTTATTTTATTTTGTTGCACAAGTACTTACCAGCAAATAGTAGTTATTAATATTATTATTATTATTATTGATTTCAGTTACTTTAATTCTCATGCATGTTTAAAGGAATATGAATCTGAACATGTTTGCAACAAAACTATTTAAAAAAGGGAAAATATTTCAATCAAACACAACAATGAAAGATGTGATAAGATACGATGGAAATATATTTTACTAGAGAATATTGAATTAAAAATGAATCAGAATTAAAATTTACTATACACAATTGTTACAAAATGAACTTTAATACAAGGTACATTTTATTTAAATTAAAGCAATTTGTATCATATTGTGTTATAATTCTTTTACAAATTAAAGTAAAAATATCCTTATTATACTATTTATTTATATACAAAAAAATTAGGTAGATGAATTAAATTAAATATGTGTCATTTATACAAGTTGAATATCACATATGAAATTTTTTTGGTTCTTGCT